GTTCAAACAGTCGGCCGGCCGGGGCTGGCTGGCTTGTTGGGTCTGGTCTGTGTCGGGGGTGTCGGGGGTGTCGGGGGTCGGGGTCTGTATCTGTAGTGTACACTATCCGTACCTACCAAGTAGGTAGGTATCTATTGGGGAGGTGACTTAATTGTACGTAGCAGGCACGAACGAACAACAGCATGAAGCAAGGTGCGAGCAAGGCACGTGTATGGTTCGCATTTCCTTCGCAGTCACGGAAACCACTTGTTGCTGCCTGCCGCCCTACCTGCCAGCTGCTTTCCCCATTCTCTCTCACACAACCTCTCTCTCGCCCTTAGTGCCGCCGACGTCTCCCTCTATTCGCCATCTGCCTCCCCCGTTTTCCCTTGCAGTTTTGACGTCGCCTGTCTTCCCCAGCGAATTCCCCTCCTTTCTGCCACTGCATCTCCTACCTTACCATCGATATCCATGCCTTCCTGTTACGGTGGCACAAGATCGAACCTCGTCCCCCTCCCCCTCCCCCAATTGCCCGTCTTACCCCCCGGATGTTCATCTCCTATCCATGCTATCTCAACTGTATCTATACTCGGAACTCAGAAAAGGCTGACCTGGCGACAAGCCGCCGATCCGTGCCTTTGCCTCACCTTTGACCTTGTCAGCGGCTTATAAATGAAATAAAAACCCCTCCACGTCAGAATATGTCGGGTTCAAGCGTAATAACAAATACACAAGTGCACCCGGGGGGGAGGCCGACCATTGACTGACGCCGTCGCTTTCGCTCCCGCCACATACTACACTATACACTATGCTCCTCTGATTGCTGGTCATGTCATGTTCGACGGCCCGCCCACTTCTTCCTTCGATTCCTTTCCTTGGTTCGTCGCACCCCGGTTTGTCCAACCCTGTGGAAACGAAGGGCTCCTTACCGCGTAGGGATCTGCCCACGACATGTCGTCCACAATCCCCCCCCCCGTCATCACCCATGTGTGTCGGTCCCATATGAATCCCACCTCCTGGGTTACCTAGCTGTTCTTGGCCACCCACCCCAATATCAACAACAGCGCTTCTTTCCTTTGCCGTTGCGCCCTTTTTGACCAGTTCACCCAGCCTTTTCCTGTCTATTGTTTCTGACGGGCTATTGCCGTCCCTCCGAAACTGAAATACTATGTATGCCTGTCTCCGCCGTTTTTCTGCCCGCTTGATCTACAATATCTCGTCACTTCATCATCTGCCCCAGCTCTGACAGGACACACCGGGGTTGGAGGTGCGTCGGAACAAATGCTTCATGTCGGTGTCATCGAACCTCATCCGGGTAGTTTTCTTTCTGCATTTACTTTGAAATATATTTCTTGCCCATCTGCCCGTATCCGCGGTACTGCGTCATTGCACGTTTTTCCCTATTGGCATTTCTTACCACAGGTGTGTGTGTGTGTGTGAGTGAGTGAGTGAGTGTGTTCATGTGCACACATGGCCTGCCAACGTTATATGCACGACATGGGGGCCATTTCCGGACGTTATTACTGCACCACATTGTATGTTCGCTTGGTATCGAGTATTCATACCTTTTCCCTTTTTCCTATGTTTTTGCCCCCCCCCCCCCTCCTGGTGCCCCCTCTCTCAATCTGAACATCACCTCTTGGCAAAGTTTTCACCTCGCGCCGATTGCCTCAGGAGTTGGCTAGGCTACCACCTCTTTTGAAAGATTGAACCTGCAAAGTGGCTTACCTACCTTCCTGTGGTGCAATTTCATTTGCTGCGTCTGGCCAGCATCGCCATCGACAATGCCACTGCCGCTGGCTCCTTCCCCCATCCCAAGAACGGTTCGGCGTCAGGGAGGCGAATGAGTCGCTACAACGCCTCGCAAATAGAGGGCCGGTCGGGTCGATCCATCGCCGCCGTCAGCAAGCTTTGTATCAACGTACATATCGTGCGCTTACCTCATCCGTGGTAGGATGCTCTCTCTACAAGGACACGGCATTCATTTCCTGCTGCGACGGCAAGGAAACGTTGCAAAACTTTGGCACCGCACCGACTACGTATCTCCCCATACGGCGTCCTTTTTGCTTTCATTGTCCATCACCTTGGGCAGCCCAGGATGAAGCGGATGGTTGGATGGCAATGCACTGAGCAGGTGCATCCACAGTCAGATGCCGACCGTCGTCCATCTAGCTGGTCCGAGGCACGGCGCGCACCACCCCGTACAGGTGAGATCGAGGCGCACTCGCCCCCCGCCCTTGTAATCCGAGGGTTCGTTTTCCTAGCGGCTGCAATTCGTTCTTGACGTTTCTGACGACCGTCCGGTTTGAAGACACTTCAGCGCAAAAAATACCACTGTGTGTTTCAAAGTTCAAACCACATGTCTACCTTACCCAGTACTTCCCGGTACGGGGGAAACACGCTGAAGTCCGTGAGAAAGCCGAGGTACTTCCCAATGTACCTATTTCGACGCCGGGTGGAGCCGCAAGGAACACTGGCAGACAACCGAACGGGTACGTACCGTCCTTCTGCCATGATAGAAGCGCTGCAGCACTAGTGTACGCAAATCAGACGTCCCCTGAAGATGAAGACGGGCTGGCTCGGAGCTTTGAACTTGCTTTCCCCCTCTCCAAGTCTGGATCGTCTTCTTCGGGGCGGGAAGGCAATTCCAGCCTGGCTTGTAGTTTACGAACTCAGCCCAAGGACAAACGAGCTCGGTTTCCCACACGTATCGTTCGTCAGTTACGCTCGATTGCTCTCCCTAGCAATATAGTCGAGAGGAGGCCCTACTTGCTGCCGCACGCTGTCTATCTCACCCTGAACTGCCTTGTTTAGCTACCAATAATGACAACTGTCCATCCACGAAGGGAATCAGCGGCAGCCAATAAACCATGGCGGACGACTTTCATTTCATTGCCATGCACAAGCGTTAACTTACTACTCGAAGAATAGCAACAACGACAAGGCGGAAGGCAAGTGTTGAACCGAGAGATGTTGCAGTATTTACGACTTGACTTGAGTAAATCTCCTTCGCGATAGCGATAGCGAGTTGCCTCGCCGTTGGGCAAATCCCGCGGCCAAGATTTGGCTTCAGCAGAGACGGGGAACGTCAGAAAAGACAGATGAGGTTGACCGCATTTGTCGGTTGGCCCGGCACAAGCGAGAAAAAAAGAAAGAAAAAAAAAAAGCACCACATGCCGCAGGGTGCAAGGGGCAGACCACTAGCCGATGACCAGTGCAGTGCATTCCCGGCCATTTCCAATCGCTCTCAAAATCCACCGGCCACAAGATCATGCACTATCATGAACCCCGTTCCGTTTCATCGGGGAGAAGATGGACCCGGTGGGAGAGCGACATTTTGATGGCTATCGAAGTCAAGGTTTCGTACGCAGAGACAGAACGCGACCGTCCCTCCTCCACTTTAACCATCGGACCCTGCGCCGAGTCATCGACGCCCATGTACGGAGAAGCCAGTTGCTTGGACCTGACAAAACAGGCCTGTGCCAGCAATAAGGGGGGGGACTACGCGTTGTGTATTTATGCCTTTCGCTCCCCGAATCTCCCTTTGGGCCAGCGCAGCTTCTGACAACCATAAGGGATTGCCCGCTGGGTGAGAGATGCCTGATACTACGGGTTTGATGAATCGACCGAATCGAGGGCATCGTGCGCGCCTCCCCGGCGCCTGCAGCTAGCTGCACGCCACCCGAGCAAAGAATGACTACCTCCTCTGCGAACAGCGCCCTCCATCAATACTCATGCAGGCTCCGAAGCCAATACGTATGACAGTAAGATTTTTTAATAGCGGCCAGCCGGGTCGTCAAACGGCACACAATTGTCGCTGTCCATCGTCGTCATTGAGTAAAAGATGGGTGGTAGTCGCTGGTAGCAGGCCACGACGGGGCTAATGAGAAGCGTTGACGAATGGATGGGGCCAGATGATGATCCCTGTCCAGGGACAGGGTCTTGTGCCTCACTTAGCCTTGGTCCCCGGGGAGACACCGCATCGATGCGTACCCTTTGGAGAGTTGTTCCTGCCAGCACTGGAACATGGATCACCCTTCTCACGAGTTGGACTTTTTGGTGCGGTTCGGGTTCCTGATTGTCAAGGTCGGCTACGTGTCTGGCGCTACACACAAATGGTGCAACCCCAGTAGCCACTGCCTACCTAGTGTACTTCTTTTATCCTTCTTTTTGCGTTTCTGACAGTGTTCGTTTTCTCTGCTCGGTCTGCCTTCGCGGTAGGACTCGGCTTTTTCCGCCGTCCTCCATCGCATCGTGTCTGGACTTTGATCACAGTTCAGACAAGCCCCCGTGCCAAGCGGGACCCATCCCTTCCCCCATCCCCTTGCCCCCCCCCCAAATCCAACGTGTGGCAGGCAGCGTTAGCATCCATCGACCCAGTCTATTTCGACTCAAGTCCGATAGGCCGCGGCCCCCCCGGGATCTTGTAACAGCGACTGCCGTCAGTGACACACGTCCAGTCTGTATTCAAAATAGGCAAGCAATTGTGAGCAACGGGCGAACTCCACATAGACCGTGTGTCGTGGTGTATGAAGCGTGGCTCGGTCTGGAGTGGGGCCGATCTTGACAGCCAAGAGTACGTACCGACCGCACGCCCCGGTCAGCCCGGCCGAGTCCAGTCGCTGTGTTTCCACTTTCCATTCCATGTTCTCCAAGTCCCCTGGGTAGGGTACGTACCTTGCTCTTACCAACTGATTGTTCTCGCGGGTGGTGTTCGCTGAGGTAAGCTCTTCTGCTCTCTGCACCTGATTTCGCGTGACTTGGGCAAGGTGGGTCATCCCTGCTGCTGCCTTCACACGTTCTATGGAGACGCGCTTGCCCGTTTTCTACCAATCAGTGTTGCACCACCAGATGGGAATAGTTACCTGCCGGTGCAGTCCAATTCTACCTAGTTATCGCTCAACCCCCGAGACTCAGTGGTGTGATCCAATCTTTATGTTCCAGCTAGGACTCGTGGCAGCTTGTATTTTCCCGTCTTCCATGCATTGCACTTTAGCCTTGACCAATCTCTCTACTTCATCATGGCATCCCATAACGGCATATGGCACAAGACCTCCGTTGAGGCCGCTCACGAGCAAAGCCGAACATATCAGACCGTCTCCACCGTTTCTGGACACAAACGACCTCGTTCTGAGTCCGAACATCCTCCTGCGCCGAGACCAACAACGCTGCCGAGCCATACAGCACATGTACAGCGAGCGTCAAGTTTGCCCCCGGGCCCTCCAAAGCTCACGGCAAGCCCGATAATCTCTCTGGACGTTGTTACCCAGGGCCCGTCCGAATATACTCAGCGACGGAGCTTCCCTTCAACGCCATCTTTGCCTTCGGATCCATTGCTTGCCCTCGCCCATCCCTTCTACGGACTTCCTCGGCCGTTGTTGCGGAACTTCCACAGCCTTGGTATCAAAATCATGTACCCTTGGCAAAAGGCCTGCCTGCGCGGCCCAGGGCTTCTTTCTGGGGAGAGAAATCTTGTCTATAGTGCGCCAACTGGAGGCGGGAAGTCTTTGGTGGCCGATGGCGAGTTGGCCTCTCCCATGTTACGATGCTATACTGACTGGATACCAGTATTGATGTTGAAGAGGGTGCTCGAGGACAAAAATGCCAAAGCTCTCCTCGTATTGCCTTATGTTGCACTTGTACAAGAAAAGGTCCGTTGGCTGCGGAATATCGTTCAAAACGTGCCAAAGCCAAAGGATGAAATTGAGCATGAGAAACGCATCTGGAGACGCCGGGCCGACGAAGACTCCATCAGGGTCATCGGCTTCTTTGGGGGAAGCAAGATCAAACCCACTTGGTCTGATTTTGATGTTGGGGTTTGTACCATCGAGAAGGTATGTGCATCACAACCCGTAGTCCTGACCCTGCTGATAGTAAGCATCTCAGGCCAATGCGCTTATCAACACGGCGATCGATGATTGTTCGATCAACCACTTGAAGGCGGTCGTCTTGGACGAACTTCACATGATCGATGATGATCACCGCGGATATCTTATGGAATTAATCGGGACCAAATTGCTTACCTTGCCTCAGCCAGTCCAAATCATCGGGATGAGTGCTACGATGTCTGTGAGTGGCGGCCCATCTGTAAAGTTCCGCAGGATTCTTTCGCTGACGATGGCTCGTAGAACATTAATCTCCTGGCTAATTGGCTCGGTGCTCATTCGTATGAGACACGTTATCGCCCAGTGCCGATCGAAGAGCATCTCGTGTATGAAGGGAACGTCTATCCGGCTGCCACGATGAGTGAGCTGCTCAAGACGGCCAATCACTTGAAAACAGGAACACAACCAGAACTGCTGACTTCCAAAGCGATAAGACGGGTCGAGCCATCCGGCCACAAAGAGTTCCAAGACCCAGTACTCAATGCGGTTGTGTCACTCGCCAGCGAGACGGCCAGAGCGGGATATGGAGCGCTAGTATTCGCCAGCAGCCGCTATGGCTGTGAATCCGATGCTCGATGGATAGCCAGAGTGATGCCGATGCAAAACGAGCTCGACCCCGCCCTGGTTGAAAAACGCATCGATTTACTTGCCGAGCTACGTAGCCTCGGGACGGGACTCGATCCTGTACTCGAGGAGACAGTACCGATGGGTGTGGCTTTTCATCGTAGGTCTTGTCGAGCGAATATTGAAACCCAGACTGACAGCTCACTAGACGTCAGTTCCCGCCAAATACATTACGTTACGTCAGCTACTAACCATTGTAGGCCGGCCTGACAATTGAAGAGCGGGATCTAATTGCCAGTGCATATGACACCGGAGTCATCAAAGTGTGCATAGCCACGTGTAGCCTGGCAGCCGGCATTAACTTGTATGTTTCCTGCCCCCCTCGAGAACTTGTAATGTCGGCCCCGCTAACCGTGTTCAGGCCGGCACGGAGAGTCATTCTCCATAACGCCCGCATGGGCCGAGATTTCGTCGGGCCCTCAATGCTTCGGCAGATGCGTGGACGAGCCGGCCGAAAGGGGAAGGACGAAGTCGGAGAGACCTATCTGTGCTGCCGAAAGGACGACCTTGAGAAGGTAGTCGACCTGATGCATGCCGAAATGCCGCACATCACAAGCGGTCTAACGACAGACAAGCAGCGTATTCAGAGGTCAGAGAGACGATGCTCACTGTTCCATGCTCTTGCACTGACCAATATCAGGGCTCTGCTAGAAGTTATCGCCGTGCGGTTAGCAACAAGTAGAGATAGTCTTGATGAGTACATCCGTAAGACGCTACTGAGCCACTCCAGCTCCCTCGAGGCTCTCCAGGAATGCGTTGAGGCGAGCCTTCAAAACCTGCAGAAGATGGATTTTGTGGTAACAGATGTCTGCGGAAATTATCAGCCAACAACGCTAGGCAAGGCAGTTGTAGCCGCTGCTCTAGATCCCGACGATGGAGTGTTTATTCACAAGGAGTTGGAAAGGGCACTCCAGGCATTCGTCATGGATGGAGAGATGCACATTCTCTACACCTTTACTCCCGTCCAGAACTTCGGCACCAACGTCAATTGGCAGGTGTTTCGGAACGAAATGGAGAACCTCGACGACAGCGGCCATCGAGTTCTGGGGTTTCTCGGGCTCAAATGTGCCATGATCAACAAGCTGTAAGCACCCTTGCCTTTGGTTCCGACGTTGCTAACCGTGTCCAGGGCGCAGGGTAGCACGCTGAAGGAAACGACCGCGGAAGAAAAGGAGACGGTTCGTGTGTACCGTCGGTTCTACATGGCTTTTCAGTTACGAGACCTGTGCAACGAGATGCCCATTCAGGCCGTTGCGCGTAAGTACGACGTGCCCCGTGGCGCTGTCCAAACTCTCTCGCAGACCTGCCACGGTTTTGCGGCTGGGATGATCAAGTTCTGCGAGCACATGGGCTGGGGGTAAGTTGGGCCAATCTCGTTTCGGCAATAGCAGACAATTAATTCCCGATTGCAGAATCATGGCTGCCGCACTGGATCACTTTTCGGACAGACTGAGGGCAGGCGCCAAATCGGACCTGTTGGCTTTGGCACAGATTACCTTTGTGAAGAGCAGGACGGCGTGAGTTGCGTGACCGAGGCGGCGTCGGAACTGTGTCTAACTTTGGTGTAACAGGAGAGTTTTCTGGGAGAATGGCTTCCGCAGCGTCGCGGCCATCGCAAATGCAGACCCCAGCGAGCTTCTCCCGGTTCTCATGCAGGTAAGCAGACTAGACGCGCGAGCCCGTCATGCAATACAAGCTCATGGTTTGACAGGCCCAACCGAGTAAACTACGCATCAAGGGGCAGGAAAGCGAGAAATACGAGGAGAAACTCAAGGCTAAGGCTAGGGTCATCTCAGACTCGGCCAACCGACTGTGGCGTAAGTCTGACCGAAAAAACATGTTGGCGCCGGCGGTGAAATAAGGATGCACCTAGCACAGCAGCTAATAACGGCCAACAGAGATACAGATGCAACAGGAGGTCTACGAGGAAGAATAACCAACATGCCGGGATTCGTCGGTGGCGGCTGGAGCGGCCAACGACACCACCGCCGTCGCGCGTGGGGTTGGCTGCACGGCTGCCGTTGCGAAGTAAGTCGGGTACATATATCGTACCCGGGCAGTTGGCTATGCTGCTCATAGGCTGTTTCCCATCACTTCCCGCAGCAGATGCGCATGCATACCGCCTTATACCCGTCAATAATTGGTGACGAAGACGTTCAACCTGCATTGCGTCGGACAAGGTAATCCCCCCTTCACTACACACCCACACCCGCAGAGCGAATTTGGCGGGACAAGCTGCGTGCGTGTGATGAAGCACCGACACCCACCGCCACTACGGGCTGCTATCACTTCTCAGTGGCCCAACTAGCCGCGACTTTGGTACGGAACCGGACGTCAACACCTCGAATGCCACCAACACGAAAGAGGTGCAACGGCGCAAGACATCCAAAAGCAACGCAGGCTCGTCACATGGCACCCGCCGAGCGGTGCAGCGATTTCGTACGTCCCGTTCCGGAGATGCGCATACGTCCAGCCATACCACCCACACCGCATCTTTACTCACACAGACGCACGCGGTCTCGGATGAGAGGGGTAAAGAACGCAGACCGAGGTGGGTAGCAATCCCGGGACTGTTCGCTACGGAATAGGATCGCGACCTAGCGGGAATGACGACTCAACGCGCCGAACTCTGGGTGACACCTCACATGCAGCGGATTCCCATGCGACGGCGCAATGGTTCATGCAGGAGTGGCACGGCCGGGAAGCGGGAAAATAAATGAATTCTACCATGTCCCAAAGTGGCTTTGACCGGCCGGCTCCTAGTGACCGGGATCCGCCTCGCCATGGTTGGTGGTCGCAAGCCTTTCTGGGCGCGGCTAGCAAAGGTCTGACAGCCACCGCCCACCGAGCTAGCTACCCACCCTCATCCGTCTTGTTTGACTATTTGCGTATAGCTCGGGGGGGGGGGGGGGGTGTGGCTGCCTGACCTCGGTCTGGCGCAGGTCTGGCGCGAGTCTAGCCTATATGAAGCCGTCATTTCTCTCTCCCATTCTCGGAGGAGGAGCCCTTTCATCCCTCTGGCCCTCTCTCGCTGTATTCTCACACGGCTTACTCGGCTCAAACCTGGCCAGCTGCAGCAGTCTGTCGCGTTCTACTGTGACGCTCAAAACGGGCGTACATCATACGAACACCGGTCGACCAAACGCATCTACGCCAAGCTCAGAATGTCTGTTGACGGTCGCGGTCACAGTGGGGGGAGGGCCGGTGACAGCGCTGATGGCGCATCTCGAACTCTGGGCGATGTGATGCGATCAGGCCCTACCATGTCTCCTGGCATCGTCGTCGTCGATCAAGCGTACGAAGAGACGAAGCGAAAAGACGATCTCAGCCCCAGCGAGGACCTGTGGCTAAGCTCGGCTGATGGCCGATACAATTCGGCCATCATACCCTTGCGAGTCGGGCGGGCGCCTAGTCAAGAAGTTTTCTACGTGCATAGAGACATCTTGCTCACGACCGAGTACTTTCGGAAAGCTCTCTGCGGGGACTACAGAGAATCAGAAGCGCAGTCGATGGAATTTCCGGAGGAGGACCCTGCCATATTTCACTTCCTCGTTGCCTTCTTGTACCAGAGAAGCTTCGTCCCCATCAGGCCCGCCGCATCCGCGCTGGATACCAAGGAGCCGCACCGGGGGAAAGCACAAGATCCCGGCCACCGGAGCGATTCAGAGTCGGAGATGTCCTCCTCGGAGGCCAGTGATGCGAGCGCCAGGAGTCGGGTACGGGCGCAGCGACGACAACGGCGGCGGGAGCGGCAATGGGAACGTATGAACCGAAAACACCCAGGCACACACCGCCCTGATTGCAGATGCCCGCGCTGCATCACCACCAGCACCGGGCCGCCATGTTGGAACTGTGGCGTCAGTCGCGCGAGGCCGACACCCGGCCACCTCCCGCCGCACATGATCACCCCGATACCCCCATTAAGGCCGGCGGCGATGCCGCCACCGCCGCCGCCGCCTCACCGACGTCGCAGTCGGCAGCCCGTCCTCACACCTCCAGGGTCGACCCCTTCAGTCGGCACGTCGACCCCGGCCAACGCCGACTTTATGGACGGCGACCGCATACGTGGCGAGGACATGCGCACGTGGCTCGCCATCTACGATCTCAGCATTTCCGTGTATGCGTGTGCGAACAAATATCTCATGGACGACTTCAAAGCTGCCATCCAGCGCCACTGCGTCGACATGCTCGAGTCGGCCGGTTCCGACGCGGCGCAGTCGACGGTTCTCCAGCTATGTTCGAAGCTGTATGCCACAGTGCCCGAGTCCGATCCATTGTTGAGGATGGTTTTTGCGCGTATTGGCTTTTTACAGCCGCTGCTGTGGCAGCGGGCACCGCGGCACACATCTGAGTTCTTGATTGGACATCCCGAGGTGGCAGCTCTGATGCTTCGCGAAACGGCAATCCGGAGGGAGGAGGATCTGGGCAGCAGAGCGCTGCCATCGATGGAGCGGGCGATGCATTCCCATGCCATGCCCATCTGGCCGGTTGGCCCTGCTATGCATCCTCACATGCGGCCGCCCCCGCCCCCTCCGCCGCAGCCACATTGGCATCCCCCCTTTGGTGCTTGAGTTCTCGCGATGGAGATTACCGTCCCTCATCCGATGGATTTTGACGCTTTCGTTTTCTGACGGTACACTGGGGCAAAGAATATCGGCATCGTGATCATAACCTTTCTTGTACATGATTTGGGGGTGGGCTGAAAAAGGGGGAAACCTTATGGTTAGTATCGGGGTGGTCAAGGAAACTCTAGTCTAATGGAACTACTATCCTTGAGATCCTCTGTCCTTTGGGGATGAAGTCCTTGTCATTTTCTTAAAGGCAAACTACAGAGCACTAGTTTCATTTGCAGCTGGCCAAAACAATTAAAGACGGGCTTTCCCGTTCGTCCAGTCGAACCAACCCATGTCGGCTAGGACGCGATAGGGGGGGTTGTATGTTGGCTTGGTTTTGTTGGGAAATGGCTGTCGTAGAGGAGGACCACGTCGGATTGAATATGATCTAGGTGCCACTCGTTCCACCGTTGGGAGCTCTTCCACCTTTGAGAGATGGGCGGCAGATCAGGTCGGAGCTTGTCACGCAGTTCGTTGCATTATTCAATGGCATACCAGAGAGACATGGCAACCCCGAAGAAGCTGATGAGCTATATCCAGTGTGCGTGCGCGGGAGCAAACCCCCCATGGATTCCCATAGGCAGGCAGACAGGCCGCATCCACGACGATTACCCAGTTTGAAATCGCAAGCCATGCACAAAATAGACCGAGGTACGGATCCAACGCGGCTTCGCGTGATGCCGCCCAGCTGGTTCATCATAATAAGCGATGACTGCTCCTCTACTCTGAGGCGTACATTCTCAAAACGACAACAACAACAACAACAACAACAGCCAAGAGAATGACAGCATGCCGGTTGCTAGGCCTCACGCCAACGTTGAAGTCCATGGTAAAACACATAAGCTAATCAGTCTCTTTCTCTTGGCTACCACTTGATCATCTCTACGTGTGTTGCTCTTCTGTGAGCACTCTCTCTACCAGAACACCTTTTGGATCTGCTGTCCTACCCGTAGTACAGCTTTGTTCGACCAATGAGCCAAATGGCATCGGAAGTAGGAACGCCTTTCGACCTCTCATGGATACGGCATGTCTAAGCTATTGCGACCAAGGTTGATTTATTACGACTCGGCTCTTGCCTCCAGCAGTGTGATGACAGGCTCTTCCCCGCGGTGGGCGGGCTTGTGAGTGACGTGAGCAGGGTGCCCGCCCGTGAGAGAAGCCTAGTGTCATCTTGCAACTTACAAGGAGCCTTTTTCTCCCGAACCTCTTTGGTTCCCTGAAAACGCAACGCGCAGACTGCATGGCCTGGGGCGGAGAAATGGCGTAGTCGGAGTCGTCTGTCGCCTCGGGCCATCATTGAGCGGAACCACCGAGTCAGACCCCTGGCCGACTTCAAGCCGGAATGGGGAGAGGGGAACCCTTGCCGGTGCCCCACCATCGGCGCTAGCTACCCCACAGAACCACACGGCGACAGCTTTCCTCATCTGCCATCTTCCCCGGCCTAGATGGCGAGTCGGGTAGATGGATGCTAATACAGCCTAGAAATGAAGCAGGCAGGTCGAAGTGCCCAGCGAACCCGGCGTGCCGGAGGCGACTACATATATATATATCTATACCTGCGTGACCGAAGCCGCCGCCCACCATGACGGCCTTTATTGCTACCGTGCTACTGTGAGAACCTATAGGCTTTTCCCAGGCTTCTCTACCTGGAAGAAGATAAAAAGTCGCCCAGATATGCCGCCAATGATCTCAAGGACACTCGCCGCCGCCATGCTCGCCGCGCTTGTCGCGACGTGCGGCGTATCCGGCGCCGCCGTTCAGGCACGCCAGGAGCACCAGGCAGCGCATCTCGTCGCGGACCTCGACTACGGCAGCTTCCAGGGCGCGTACTCCCAGCAGTACAATATCTCGTACTGGAAGAAGATCCCGTACGCCGCGCCGCCCGTGGGCGAGAACCGGTTCCGAGGACCCCAGCCCCCAGCGGCCGTGGAGGGCGGCGTGTATGACTCTAGTCAACCGTTTGATATGTGCCCTCAGCGGACGGTATGGATCCTCGACTAGTGGCTTGCGTGGCAAGAGATTAGCTGACGGGATGGTTGCTTGTGTAGGTGAACGGCTCGGAAGACTGCCTGTACCTCGGTCTCTACTCCCGCCCTTGGACTAGAGGCGAACCTCTGAAGCCTGTTGTCGTCACCTTTTACGGCGGAGGTTTTATCTCGGGCTCGGCTTACTTCAACATCCCGCCCACGGCGTACCCGATTCTCAACGTCTCAAGTTCTTCCGACATGATGTTCGTGTACCCCAATTACCGAACCAACGCCTTCGGGCTCCTTCCCGGAAAAGAGATCGCAGCCGACCCAGAATCGGACTTGAACCCGGGCCTTTTGGACCAAGAGGCCGTGCTGAAGTGGACAAAAAAGTACATTCAGCAGTTTGGCGGCAACCCGGACGACGTGACGGTGTGGGGTCAGTCGGCGGGCGGCGGCAGCGTCCTGGCTCAAGCCCTCGGCAGGGGAGGGAAGCAGAAGCTGTTCCGCAAGGCGATGGCGAGTAGCCCATTCTGGCCCAAGACATATGCCTACGACAGCCCCGAGGCGCAGGCTCTTTATGACGAGCTCGCCGCCCGCACAGGATGCGCTGGCCCCGACAGCCTGGCTTGTCTAAAGAAGGCCGACGTGCAGACCATCCGAGACGCCAGCCTCGTCATTTCAGGCTCCCACGTAACAAATACGTCGTCCTTCACCTGGTCTCCTGTCATTGACGGGGACTTCTTGCAGCAGCCGTTGTCCTTGGCAGCCGCTGCCGGCAAGGTGAACATGGAGCTGGCGTTCGCGATGCATAACACGCACGAGGGCGAGAACTTTGTGCCCGCTGGTCTCCAGAATACGACGAGTGTTGGATCGCCGCCTTTCAACTCTAGCGAGGCCTCATTTGATGAGTGGTTGAGGGGTTTCCTCCCCGGCTTTGGCGACTGCGAGATCGAAGGCGTGAAGAGGTTGTACCCTACGTCCGGAACCGCCGAGACGATTTCGTATAATGAAACCTACGTGAGAGCAGGTCTCATCTACCGGGACGTCGTCTTGTCGTGCCCGGCCTTTTGGTTTGCTGGCGCCGCGCCAAAGGGCGGATGGCTTGGCGAATACTCGCTTGACCCATCTAGGCATGCCAGTGATACCGTTTGGGTGAGTTTATACTGACCATGTTGTGTAAGACTTCCGTTAACAAAGAGTCAAGTGGAACCAGGTCAACGCAGTGCAGAAGTCGGATCCCGCCCGTTACCAAGGGTATGCTGGTAAGTGGTCTTGCCTCTCGTCTTGCTTGTCATTGCTTTTTGTCACTAACATCGGCGCTTACAGGCGCTTTTGCTTCCTTCTTCCAGACCGGCGACCCCAACACTCTCAAGTTATCTCCTTCGGCGGCGGCAGGCGTTCCATCTCTCAAAGATAACAACGAATGGGTGATAGACGCGACAGGTTTCGTGGCTGTTGGACTGGACCAGTTGAAGAGGAGATGCAACTTTTGGAAGAAGAAAGCGGCGAAGATACCCCTGTGAGGATGTTTAGGATATTCAGTTCGTAGTAGAACAAAGACATGTTTGCGACAGCACCCGTATCTCTCCATGATGGCTTTTGTCACTCCCGACTCTTTCAGTCCTATTTTCCATCAACGTCGAGGTAATCAGACAACAGAGCAAAGTGAGAACGAGCGAAAGGGGGGGGGGGGGGGGCGAAAGGAGCTGAGGGTGAGAATTTGTGTCCGGTATCATCTGTCAACAATGTGATCATGGAGTAATGAATCGAGGTACAGACTAATCAATAGGGTCGTCCCTCAGCCTAAAAAGCTCCCGCATAACGTCCCCCGTCCTGCCACGCAGCGCCGAATGATATAGTTGGTTTGTCTCGTAAACCTTGGTACCTCTCACGAGGGCCGCGGTTTCCCTGGCGTAAGAAATGTCGACATACATGTCGTCTATGTAGCTAGCAGCGTACACTGGAACCGTGTTCTTTCGTAACTGCTCATGGTCGTATAGCTCGGGCCACTCGTCAAACTTGGCGAGGATTTCGGCAGCTTCGCGCAGTTGAATCAGTTCCGGATATGTCTCGAAGTGAAGCGGGAATATCATCTCGCCCGAAAAGTAGAGAGGAGCGGCCGTGTCTCCGGAGATGGTGGGCTCTTTTTCCAACCAAGAAAACTCCTCTAGAGCCTTGCCGACTCGATAAGCAGCCCAGTTGGATGCAACGCCTGGCTTCTCGGTGTAGATGGCCTCGTGTAAGATGGCGTAGATGATGTTACTGTCAAAGGAGGTGGCTTGCTCAAATTCGGCGAGAGAAGCACGCGTAAAAAAGCCAAACTGATCAAGGTCCGTTTTTAACTTGAATATGGTCAAGTGGACAGAGTCAAGGCCACCGTGAGCACCAAAGGCGATCCCCAGAGTGAGCAGCCTTGGGATGGTCATGTATCCGCCGCCAGGAAGGTCAATCCGTTTGTTTTCTCGTATGAAACGGGCCACTTGAAGGACGGACTCGACGTCCTCGGGGTATTTCTCGTAGTAGGCCTTGTTTCTCTCCATGACCTTCTTGAAAGTTGCCTCGTACACTTGCTCGGGCCTCTTGCCAAGAGGTGCAAGACCGCCCGTCAGAAAGACCTCTCGCAGGCCCTGGGGAAATTTGGAGAGGTAAGTCAGGGAGACGAAGCCTCCAAAGGACTGACCAAAAAGAGACCACTTCTTCTTCTCTTCCGGAAACTCGCTGGTAAGACATGCTCTGACAGCTTCTAGGTCATTGACAATGTTGTCCTGACGGAGCAGCTTAAGATGATCAGCCTGTTTCTGAGCGTTGCCTTGGAGAGCCAATGTGGCAGCAGAGACAGGCGAGCTAAGCCCAACTCCACGATAGTCGAGAAAGAGAACCTGATAACCGCGGTCCAAGGCTGTGCGGGTGACTGGACTGTCCTGGGGCTCGGGATTGCCAAAGCCGGGCCCTCCCTGTAAGAATACTAGCCATGGCTTCTGCTCGGCCTGCGTCTTCTCGGTCTGGCTGGGAGGGACGATGGGTCTCTCATGCTTGGTGACGGTTTTGCCGAACAACTGCAGAACACCCGCCGACTGGTTGTTGTAGTCTTTAGGGACCTCGAAAAATAGTTCCGAGACTAAGAATTGGCCTGTGCATCATGTCAATACCGTCATGAGCTTCGTTGAGTCTATGGCTAAGTTCAGGGGTATACTACCTGGAATGACGTGTGATCGCTTGCTGAGAAGCTTCGCTGCGCTGATGACTCTGGAGGCCATGGTTGCCACGGCACGAGATCAAGGTTCGAGTTGGTTGAATGGCCAGCAGTGAGATGAGTTGTCAACAATTTAGAGGACCCTGAGGACCCCGCCCAGGCGATGGCACAAGATAAAGTGTAGTGAGATGTCGCACCTTCTCAGTTGGGTAATTGAGCCATGTGCACAGTGTCCATCTCCTTTACCTAGACACTGTTTTCAACTCACCTGAGTCTGCATTCCACATTCTCTTCGTTTCGGTATGGTGGCTCCTTCTAGCTCCTTACTGCTATGTTTCGAGCTCGTTTGCATTCCAAAGCATGTCACCGTTTCCAAGATATTTCATGCTGGTAACTTCCAACGGGGTTCTGACTTGTGAACACTACTACGCATGCCTTCTTCACGCGTTGCTGACAAATTCTCTATCGTTACTTTACCATCACTACCATTACCATGACTCCTGGCTATGCGTGGTCGTTATATACATGGCACAAGCCGTATTCAATATCTGGCGCCTGCTTAAGGCAAAATGTATAGTTCGTAAGAGGTGGAAACAAAGCTGGTACACTATCGCACAGTGGTCCTGGCAACCCTTCCATCTTGAAAGTAAATTTTGATCTGTGACTGCATATATTTGAGGGCCTGACACGAGAAGAGAGCTTTGGCACAGGAAACCGGGAATACGCACGTAGCAGAATATATGCTGGCTTCGCTGTTCTCCTTTCCACCCCTCTTTGGCTTTCTTTGTTTGTACTTAGGTATTTTGTTTCTCAGAGGTGGCTGTCGCTCTAGGCTCCTTACATAAGCTTGCCGCCGATTACGGATAAAGTCCACCAATGACATCAACCACCCCTACGAGCGACCATGGGCTCGGCTCGGCGAAATCTGGTCGGACTCTAGAACCTTCAAAGTCCCAACTTGGGGAAGCGTCCGGCGGCAAGATGGGCTGGCAAAGGAAAGTCTCCCCATCACCCCAAACATCAAACACCGCCTCCTCCCGCCACCTGATGCCGCATCTCACATGCTCGGAGCGCGAAGACACCAACAGTGGAATGAATTACATACATCTCACCCAAACGCTTGTCGAATCGTTCAACGCCCTTGCCGATGAAGTCCAGATCCTGACTGACAGGAAGACGATCCTAGAGCACAAGCTCAGGTTCGCCCATGAGCAGGTATGTTTGAAACGAAACGCGCAAGGGTGTGTCAGCATAGCCTCCTGTGATTGCGACATCTCTCCAAACCCTCCTCCCACATGATGAACAACCTTAGCTCTAGATCAAGAGCCCCTCACACGAGGAGCGAAGACCGATCCTATTACTATTTTCTGACTGTGAATTCACGACTCCAAATTTCCTTGTTCGGCTGATTCCGGTGATAAGTCGCGCTGACCCGACAACTTGACAGTATCAGTACATCGCAGATAAATATGCACCGGCTGCTCCTGAAATCTCCGAAGTCCTGGCAAAGCTACAGCTCCCGCCCGAGCTCGCAAATCCATCTTTAGAAGACGCGAATCCTGTACCCCTACCGAGGCGCAACAAACTGGACACCAGAAACCAGATTGCCCTCATCATTCGAGACGGCCGGCGTGTGGCCCAGCAACTCACGTCCATCGGCGAAACGAGCAAGACGAGCGATTCTAGCAGAGAAACTTCTTCCCGCGAAGCCCGCACCGTAACTTCCATGTCGACCGTTCTCGAGCAAGATTTCACCATCGAGGGAAAGAAGGGGTCTTTAGAATGCCCCTTCTCCTCGCCAAAAGCTGAAGGTGATGGTGTTGGCGACGCACATAATGCAGAGGGAGGGTCGCAGGATCCTACGCCTCACCACTCTGCAGACCCCATCTGTGCCGCCATGTTCGAGGAATCCACATCTCAACCGGCTCCTGGCGCTGCCGACTCGCCTGCGAAATGCCCGATACGCTACTTGGACCAGCACTCCCCCGAGGAGATTGCACACTACGTCGAAACACACAAGCACGAACTCCCTCGCAGCCATGAGGTCTGCGTGCGAAGATATCAGAAGAACGAGGTACAGATCAAGAAGTTGGATGCCAAATACGGCAACTTGGTCAACATGATTCAGGGGCTTAGTGCGCTGCATCAACCCATGTTGCCGGAGTCTCAACGGGAGCAGGAAGAGATTGACCGAGCCTCGAATGAGAGGGTGCACAACTGGGCGAAGGACGTCACCGTATCCGAGACCGAGGATGCTGAGCAATCCCTGCCTGCACCCATGGACGCCGACGAAGTTCGGCAGAGCCATTTCGATCGCCCTCTCAAGGAGGTCCGAGTGGGCGAGTCCCCTAGTCGGCCATGGGGCATTTCTGTTCCAATATACGAATCTCATGGTCTTGGCGGCGAAGAGCGCCCTCTCTCGCCACCACCGGCCCCGGTTTTTATGCCATCAGGCTCGGAGGGCGAGGAGACTCCGGCACCCAAGACTGGCAAATGCCCTTTTGATCACACCAAAATGGCTGCGATGGCCACGGCCCTCGAGGAGGTGCAGCCGCCCTCTCCCACGCGCGCGCCTAACTTGATGTCAAATGGAATGAGCGACAACGTATCGCCACAAAAAGCCGGAGGTGAATGCCCTTTCGACCACGCCCAACTGGCTGCAATGGGATTTGCGTCACCGACGCCAAATACCGGCGAACAGACCTTTGTCCACGCGGATCCGGATCCCGTCGAGCTGCCGTCGACTCCTGTCAAGCCGCAGCCTTCTCAGAGCGCACCGGCTCCAATACAACCACAACAGCAGCAACAACAACTACCACCGACATTCATCAACCCGCCGCTGGACGCGAACAAGCAGTTCAACTCCAATGGGGTACCACAAATGGTCTTCACCGGTCCGGTATTCATTGGCTATCCCATTGAGCAGGCAATCCAGTTCATGCAACACTTTCAGGGGAGGCAATAGGGGCTTAAGCTCTTGCCCTCTCCTCTTCTCATCTTTCGTCGTATACTTCACAAAAATGGCTTTTAATGGTTGGGAAAGGGAGGCATGTGGGGGGTTTTTTTTTTCCAGCGAAGGCGTTGGGATGGCACCTTGTTCTTCGAATTTGCTGTTGAGCTTTTTTGTTATTTTTAACTTCTCTAGTCGAGTCTCACTCCTGGGTGTGCTACACGAGTTGTCATGTATAAATTGACGAGAACGAAGAAAACGGAACGAACAGACGCAGGAAGGAGTAGCAGACAGAACTCGTCCGTATGATAGATACCACGCAATACCGGAAATGAGACCACTGATGTCATGAAACCGCTCGTGCTGTCTGCCCCGGGGCGTTCCGAAATCCATTATGAAATTGGTCCAGCAACTCACTTGGTTGTCCCACGTTACGTGGAGGACGCAAGCACACGATGTGTTGAATCATGGTCTATTCCGACGCCGGTTTTCTTGACTCTACACCCGCCCACTGAAACAAGTCTTGTGAATAAACGCCCCCCCCCCCCTCCAAAAAAAAAAACGCCTAATGAGAACCCTTGACCCCATTCTCCTTCCCGCCGTGCTCGTCGTGAAACGGTTCCGCAGTCGCATTTTGGTTCTTCATCCCGATACCATTGACATCATCTTCGTTTTCGTCATCGTCGTCGCGATACCCGCTCTCTTCGTCTGCCTCGCGCGTCCACAGCGAGATGTCGTCGTCACCCATGAGCGCCGCCACGTCCTCTGGGTCAACAAGGCCAGCCTCGACGTCCAAGTAGTCAGGGGTATCGTCGGAACCAGGCACGAGACCGTTTGCCTCGGCCTCCTCAAGGGCCAGCTCGGCGGCGCGGGCCATGGTGCGCTGATAGATGAGCCAGCCGACGACCAGGCCAACGGTACCGCCAAGGATCATGGAGATGTAGTTGATAGCCTTGCCACCGGTTGTCATCTCGTCACCCTTTTCGGCGATGAGAGCAAGGCGGCTGCCAATGAAGACGTGGACGAGCAGTTTAGGACTGTTGCGGTGTGTTAGCTACACGGATAACTCGGAAGTCAAGTGAGAGCTCGGGGAGGGAGGTGTACGTGCGTACCTAGCAAGAGCCGTCGAGGCCGCAAACGCCCATGGCTTAATGGACGGGATCGTCGACAGGAACCCATTTGACAAGCTGTACGGTAGTGGGCAAAAGCGCACCGCCGTCAGCATTCCCAGTCCGTCCTTCCTCAACACCTGCCCCAATGCAATGAACCGGTGGTCCTGACCCACTAGCTGGTGCACGTATCCGCTAAAGATGCCCCTACTTGTGTAAAACGCCGTCAAGCTCCCCGCCACTGTGGCCGTCGCAACAATGGGGTACCCCAGCGGGAACCCGTATACGAAGCCCGAGATGGAGATGGCAGTGCTGTAGCCGATCATGGGCGGGAAGGCCGTCAAAAACGTAAAGGCCCAGATGATGAGCCAGCCGCCGGGCAGAGCACGCCACTTCTGCGCGACCGGGCCGAGCCACTTGAAGATGGCATGCGAGTAGATAAGCATCAAGATACCGAGAACGTTGACGACCAGAAGGAAGGCGGCGACGGCGACGCGCTGAACGGGGCTGAGGCTAAGGTACATGTCCCAGAGGCGGTTGCCAGTCCTGATCGCGTAGCGCACGGTGCGGTTCAGACTCTCCACAGCTGTTGCCTGTCGCGATGCCGACCTTTGGCGGCCGAAGCGAGCGGAAGACGTGCGGCGGCCAGAGGTGATTGTGGTGGTTGAGATGCCGCCGATGTTGCGGATCCATGGCGGGCGGACGTCGGCATAGGTTTCGGAGGGGGAGGAGGGAGGATTCGGGGAGAGGGACAGCGCCCGCGCTGCGGATTCAAAGTCGGCCGGCATCGTAGGGGGAACTTGGTCGGCGTCTGCGGCGATTAAGAAGAATAGAGGGTTTGGCTTTGGGGCCGGAAGCTCCGAGAGTAGAAGCTGCTCGCGGGGTCGACGAGTCGATGTCGTTTCGGCTTGGCGTTGCTCGGTTCTGGTCTATAATTGTTTTATTGAAGCTGTAGAAGGGCCATTTCGAAGAACTGGTTAAGTCGGATGCAAACGGGATCGAGATGTGTAGGTTGGCAAGCTGCGCCCCAAGGCATGCGTGTCAGTATCGAAGGAGCTGGCTGACCGTAAACACCTGCCGCGATGAGGTAAGCTAGGCCACAGCGAGATCAAAGGTTGAGCCAAGCTGTCTGTCTACTTTTACTACTAGATCGTCGCTAGGTCCGTTAGCTTTCGGGGATTTCAGCCGGGGTTCTTCTTCAAGCTTCTCGGCCCCAGTCTACCCAGGTAACCTGTTGCTTCTTCGTTTTCTATTGCAACCAAAAAGCTCGCAAGATTCGTGCTTGAAGCTAGGAGTGCGATAAACGGAAGAGGAACCCCGAGGTTGGTTTAAAATAGAAGCTGAGATGAAGATTACGTTTTGTCGAAACCGCAATGAGCTTGTCTCATGTTTCCTGCGAACAGTTTCAATCCCCCGTCATGGGTACCTAAGTTAGGTACCTAACGTAGGTACTCTGTACAGGCAGGGTTCTAGTTTACGCATGCACGCACGCACTAAAATGGAACTGGCGGTGCATCCCGTCCGGATCGGCTTGCCTGCCAACCGACTGGCGCCCGGCCGGCCCATCCATCTACCCAAGGTCTGGGTGTCTCTGTGGGGACTCCACACGAGCTGGAGGCTTTGGGTGCTGCTTCCCTGCATGAACTCTACCTACCTGTATGTACCTAGGTAGGGACCTCAGGATGTAGAGTTTTCCTTTCTACACCCATCATTTTTTGATCGCACTCTCTCGAGGTGGCTTGGTAGAAGAGTGCTCCTGGGAGCGTCTGGTTGAGATTTTCTACTTTGGTTCTTTCTACTTTATTGTGATTTCTATCCATCTAGCAGTCGTCATCGGCGCCCGCTGGGTCCTTTCGGAGGATCTCTTACAAGAAGCCTGACCTTGCCATCCCCAATTTCCACACCCTGGCTCAGGATGTCCACTTCCTCCTTGCTGTCATCTGCACTTGATGCTCCCTCGCGAGCCAGACCCTTGTCATAACTACGAGCATCGATGCCCAAGATTCCGCCCATGTTGTTGCGGTCTCCGGGAACAGAGAATTCGCGGTAGGCGTATCGCCATTCGTTCAGAAAGTTGCGGATAGCCTTGCCGACTTTGTCCTTGCCATTCTTACTGTGGTGACCTGTGCCTGTTATGGCGTAGATCGGCCGGCTTTCCTTGACATTCTCCATCAGCACCCGTTCCAAGTACTCCACAGCTTCTTCGGGATGAAGCCCGTGCAGGTCAACGTAGATCTCGACGCTGTTTGCGTTGGCCTTGTTGCGCTCTTCGTACAATTCGCGAGCTGCCTCTCGGTGCGCCTTCCGCATAAGATCATTCTCGCTCTGGCCACGCAAGCTCAGAGCCTTAGCAGCCCTCGCATCGTTGCGGTTCCAGGCTTGTGCGGCACTGACAGGCAGGTTAGCTAAACTCGTCACGAACCTCTGCGTTCAACCAACTTACCTCTGAAGGAACTTGTTTCTGAGACCGCCGTGCTTAATGGCTTCTTGTCGAGCTTTGAGATAGGATTTGTTGGCTCTTTCGCCGGTTTCCAGCCATGGGATGTGTTTCGGGCTCGGGATTGCTTGGGCTGCCGCGCTGTTCTCCCCGTTTCGGATACTGGTTGAGCTGCCGTTCCGTCCAATCTTCTTGAGGTCTTGGCGAAGCGAAGCTGGGCCGGGAGATGGTGACATTTTGACAATCTCGGCAAGGGAGTTTGGTGTAAAGTTCTCCTTGTGACCGTGACCGCCTCGTTTCCCATGGTGCTTCTTGCCCTGCTTCGCAACAGCAGAGCCCAAAGTAGGAAACGCATCTGCGTCATCTAGCGAGGGGGCTACGGGCTCCCTAGCTTGCTGGTGTCGGCTGCCCGGGCGAGATCTAGACCGAGGGCTCTCCCCCCCAAAGAATGGCTTCAGACCAGGCGGTGGCGTAATTCCGATGGTAACATTGGAGCTTCCACTGTAGCTGCCGACATGTTCAGTGGTGCCTGCTGGGAGTGCCGGGAATAAGTTAAAATCGTTCAAGTTGGCTTGTTTGGCAGGCGGCGTGCTGGCCCCGTCCATGGTTAGCTTGTTCATGAGATGTGCAGGGTCGTGAGAGAATATGCATGTATCGCCTGCCAAGCAGTTGCCCATGACCCAGTACCTTGGAAGATTGTATTAGTTACAGCTTTACGCAAAGAAAAGATGGCTGCATGCACTCACTTGCAAAGGTGGTTGCTCAAGTCATGGCTGAACCGGCAATCCGCCCTAAGACATTGTCCAGTGGACATATAAAACTTGCAGATGACGCCCGATCGCTGCCCAGCTGGTGTAGTAGGGCGGCTCTCAGCAGCCAGAGCTTTCCCAATGAGAGAGACCTTGTTCTCCTCGGGCTGTGGACTACTATAACCAATATCTTGCGCTTGGCTCTCCATGATGGACACGATTGTCGCGCTGAGATCGTATCCATGGACCGCAAGGGCGGCCTCGATTTCTTCATCAGTCCGTGTCTGGCCAAGAATTGAGCGGAGCATGTCATAGGGGGACATGTCGGCTTGTTGCGACGACATGGACGAGAACTCCGGGGCGGCGGCGTTCAAGCCGCTTGAAGTCCCTAGGGACGATGTGACGCTGATGGCATCATCCGCTACTAGCCACTCTACATTCTCCGTCTGGTAATCGCCAAAGGTTTCATGGGAAGGCGATTTATCGCTGGCGAACTCGTACGCGTTGAGGTTAGGGCTGTGAGGTATAGCGGGCGTTGCAAAGGCGAGTCTCGGGGAAGGTCTTGGGGAGGAGAAGGGAGAGACGGCGGATGACTTCGTTCTAGTGAAGGACGGGGTAAAGGACGGGACAAAGCCCGGAGGAGCCAGTGGGCTAACTCCAAGGCGCGGAGATCCTGAGAGAGGAGTGACATTGCCGCGCCAAGATGCAGGTGATGGTCGTCGCAGGATGGTCTGACGGATGGGAGGCGGAGAGGCGGCAGCTCCGCCTCCATCACGGTATCGCCATAACACATCGAGGATCGCATTGTCTAATGAGGAGCCGTTCAAGGTTGTCTGGCTTCGCAGGAGGTCCTCGAGCTTGTCCGTCTTGTCTTCGTCCTCGAGAGTAGCATCCTGAAGGATAGGGAGGCAGATCTCGTAGTGCTCGTCGGAAACCATGATTGCGCGGTACGGGGCCGAAGCGTAGCCCTTGAAGGATAGCAACAGACAGCAAAGGTGCGTCAAGGGTATGTATTGTATGGGTACGTAAGGTTTGAAGCCGAGATCGAAGCGGCGCGTCTATGTATGGTGTTCGGTCCTGGGGTGAAGCAACTACTACGTAAGGCGGCGCGGTGATTAGGCAGGCTTGGGTTGAGTTGACGTCGGAATGTCAGCCTGTGCGCATCGCCGTCGGAGACGAGTCTTGAGAAAAGGGGCGTCCGGTTGAGCAACGCCGACAATATGGGCCGTCCGCTTGAGCTAGAGCTTCGAGGTGTAGAATGTTCGGAAAGCAAGCTGGGAGCGAAGTTGGTGGGCGGCACTCGATGGTTCCGTCACATGGTTTCGGAGCCAGTGGCAGAGGGGATCGTCTCTAGCTTCTTGTTTGGATGAGGTGGTCGATCTTCCCGGCACAAACGCAAATACAGAATGTGCCTCGTTTGTTCGTGCCTGGTTATCTCGCGAGCTTTGTAGTCAGCCGTTGAAAGGCGAGGGGGGGCGAAACACGAGTAATCGGGGAGAGTTGGAGATGATGGTTTGGGTTGTGGAGAGAAACGCGGCCGAGTGCACGTCGTTCCCCTTCAGCTGATGACTGACTGGGACCAGGAACTGGGACGTGGACGGGGCCCAGAGAGCAACGGGAGGTAAGGTGAGTTGCGGTAGGGTGCTTGGGGCGCGTGCTGCTACTGAAGGCTGGCTACTGAATGGGGGATATCAGCTGGCGGCCAACAACTCCTCTGGAGAGGGTGGTCGGGAACTGGGGCCCGGTGTCAAGTAGACTGTGGTAGTAATAAGGGAGGTACGTACCTACATACCTACCTGTAGAGGTACGCAGTACGGATATTAGCGGGTGTAAACGTGGGGTCAGCCCTCCTACCTCTCCCACTTCCCAGACTTACTGCATACACATCACATCTACAGCCTGGTCTCGGCACAGAACAGCACAGGTCGTTGCTTCATTTGGATGTATTGGCAATTTGGAACGAGACTACCGTATGGGGCAGAAGCTATTGAAAGATAGATCGAAGCAAACCACCTGGAATCTTGAGCTACTATTGGACGTGTTCGCCTAATTGCATTTGTCCTCATAGGAACGACGACATCCTCCACTCACTGAAAACACAGACACTGTCAGAAGTTGCACGAGACTGGGGGGAAAAAAGCAAGTAGGTTATCAGCCATTGTACGTATCTGCCAAGACACAGTACTGTCTGATTGATGACAACATAAGGGTAATCTCTTTTCCCTCTGACCAGTTATTGCTTACCCTTCCCGTTTCACGCACCTCACCCAAGCCAAACCATCACTCATGTCTGGTTTCACAAGCTAAGAAGATATCTGACAATCGGCCATGTGTTGTTTAACCAACACCTTTCTGCTCCTATTCAATCTCAGTCTCGACATTATCAAACCATCCCGTTACCTAGTTTATGGCTTCAAACAATGCCACACTCTACTCTATCACTCAACTCAAAGACCCATTAGACTCATCGCTGCAATAAAGAGGATTGTATCGGATTTGAAAGACCCTGTGCCTTCCAAAGCCCGTTGTTCAGGCAGGTGGGTCTGTCATGAATCCCCAGCGCCCAGGCGCCGCAGTGTGAGCTGCGGACCTAGGGTACCTCGTCATCCTCTAGATCACCCTCAAACCCAAAACTGAAGCCTCCCCCGTTGGCCTCGCTGCTACCTCCACCCACTGCCTCCTCCCACTTTCTCTTCTTTTGGGCGCTTTTTCTCTCTATAGTTTGAAGCGCTTCTTCCAGGAGATCCGGCTGATCCTGCCGCAGCCGCTCAACGAACAGTCTGTATGGATCCTTTACCTCTTGCTTGAAACCCGTGACCTGGTCTGGTTTGTCTCTGAGGAAGGACAGAACCTCGGAGAGCTGGTTCTTTGGGACAAAGTTCTGCGTCAGAGCGATACCGCTCTCGATGTTGACAACCAGATGCCACCATCCGCTGGGCACATGCAGAATCTCCCCCTCGTTACAGATGCCCTCGATGCACTCGGGCAACTGACGGGCTTCCGCATGGAACTCGAGAAGCCACTCTGCGATGCTTAGGGGACTGGTCACCTCACTACTGTCCTTAGAAACATAGACTCCGGGTACCGATGCCGTAGGCGGGAACATGATCCAGTACTTTTTACCCTGAATCACGGCGTTCCATGCACTCGTGCCGTTTGGATCCTTGTGGAATGTCGATCCGCTCCTCTCTGGGCCAACGATGAGCCAACGATGTGCTGGCCGTTCTCTGCCCAGAAGTTCGAATAGGTCGGGTCCGAAGCAATCTGGCTTCCAGTACGCCGCCCCTTCCTCGCGCCCGGCGTTGATCCCCATCTTTTCCGCGAACTTCTTATCGAAAAGATACAGAGGACTCTCATCATCGTTATTGTCCATGTAGTCGCGATAGGTTGAAAAGGGCCAGTCCACGGCCTCTGCACGAAACTCGACGTTGCCATAGAGCTTTGAAATGGCGTCAATGTTCCATTCATGACAGACTGGCCACGTCTGGATATAGTTGGTCAAGATGAAGGGCGTCTCTGACCATTTCTCAGCGAATTCATCGTACGTAAGAGTTTCCATGCGCTGGATGAGGTTGCTCTTCGAGATTCTCGAGGTAAACTGCCTCAAGTCAACATGGCTGCAGACGAATGGCCTATGCAGGACGTCGGAGAAGACGTTGCTACAGTCGATCTTTGACTGCTGCTCAGGAGACAGCCGGAGGTGGGTGGCCCTCCATGTTCCCTGCCACGTGCCATTGAACCTGCCTGAACTGTGGGACCTAAAATGTGGTCAGCAGTTGGCTCTTACTTACATGACAAGATGAGATGAGCGGGTGTGTGGCTGGAATCGCGTCTACAAGCCGGTCACACTGCAGACTCATAGAAACCTCGGATCCATGGAAACTGGTGACGAGGGCGACAGCGTGGCTCACAGCGATTACTCATGAACGCCATAGCCCCCGGCTTACGGAAACTTGCCCAACCTATAGACTGTGTGACTTACTGTAGAAACAACGACTTCCACAAATCGTCGGACCGGCAGAATGCATAGAAAAACTTGCAGCTTGAGCCCAGGTTTCTCAGAAGTTCCTGATCGAGATAGTCCAAGAGCATCATCAAGGCCTCGTCGGGCATAGTCTTGAAATATCCGATGTGCATCCGAGCGTTCGGACGATCCGAGAGATACTGGTTGCCCAGCGGTTTCACGCCCAGAGGATGGGTAGGAATTGACTCATGGAACGTGACTGCATTTTTAGCAGGTTTTGAGTCATAGTCGAGACCGTTGGTGACAGCTTGCGCATTGGCTATCCTATTGGACATAGTGCCATGGGGTGGCTCGAGATTGTCGTTCGCCATGTATCTTTAGGACGTAGGTCACTGGCAGAACAATGACATGTGCCTGCTGCTTTGGGATAGTATGGTAGTGGCGGGGAGAAAAGGGGGGTTTTGGCAGACATTGGAGAACCAAGGCAAGCAGAGAGAGAGAGAGAGAGAGGGATTGGAGAAAAACACAATCGTCAGAAAACAAAGGAGGAAAAAGACCAGGAAAATCTGCACAAGAAATCATGTCACTGGGCTGGCATCGCAGGTGCAGGTGGTATGGCAAGCGGTAGGCACAGCAGTGATGGGTGGAGGGCACATGCTTCAATAAACACGTTCTACAACTCAATTAATGCATGAAGATGTCTAGATGAAATTCTTGCAGGCATTCCGCTACCAAAGGGCCGGGGTGCGTGGCCTGGTAAGAGAGAGGGGCAAAAGAAAACGAGGATGAAAATTCAGAAGGCAAGCGCGACTACGGTGCCTCTTGCAGCGCCTGGCATCTCCGGCCCTCCCTAATGCTGCAGAGTTGTAGAGTCCCACTGAGGCCGCTGAGCCAGTTGGCTCTGCTGCATTGCTATTAGTGGCCTTCTAGTCACTCTGGCAGGTACGGCGGGTGTGCCCTAATCACTATTCCTGCCTTTTCTGTTTAGCGCAACCTCGCTTACCGCATAAATCGAGGGGCCGCCCGCCGCCTGCGAAATTTTTTTACGTGGTCAAGAATTCCTGCGGCTGCTGATAAAAACTTCACCTCCCACCACCGGACAATCAACGTGCACCATCACCCCACGAACAAAACCAACACCAAACGCATCCTTTATTCCTAGATTCAGTTCTACTCTTGCGATTCGCCAAGAGTACCGGATCTAGTTGAGACTTTAATTCTAAGAATTCGATTCGTCGACCTTTTTCGCAACTCTCACCGAGACGTTTGCGAATTTTCCAACCCCTCGCCAAACCCCACCTTCGCGACGATATTTCTAGATCTCAAGCTGTGCTTGTGATCTAGATTTCTTCCACAACACAACCGCAATCATGGCTGACAAGGGTCTTGAGGATGTGCCTGAGGGTAAGTCTTGCGACGACATCTTGATCTTTCCATCAGAAGCTTTGGGAGGTTTCGCCGTAAATTCGGATGGTCGCCGACCGGCCACCTTGTCCCCTCTCTTTGTTTTTCTAATCTGCGGCCCGGCGCATTCCAAAATGACCTCAAGTCGCTGACAACATATCTCTCAGGCCAGATCGAGTCGAACTACGATGAGACCGTCGACTCCTTCGATGACATGAACCTGAAGTCGGAGCTCCTTCGCGGTATGTTTTCCCGGGCTCAAAATTTTCGGGGGGAAATACCCTCATCGTGGACTGTGTCGCTGACATCGCTCTTGCAGGTGTCTACGCCTACGGTTTCGAGCGTCCCTCCGCCATCCAGCAGCGTGCCATCATGCCCGTCATCAAGGGTATGTTCAGATCAGTTGATCCTCTGCGCGATAAACCCCGCTCACCCTCTATCCAGGCCACGATGTCATTGCCCAGGCTCAGTCCGGTACTGGCAAGACCGCCACGTTCTCCATCTCTGTCCTCCAGAAGATCGACACCAACGTCAAGGCCTGCCAGGCTCTCATCCTCGCCCCCACCCGTGAGCTTGCTCAGCAGATTCAGAAGGTTGTCGTCGCCATCGGTGACTTCATGAACATTGAGTGCCATGCCTGCATCGGTGGTACTAGCGTCCGCGACGACATGAAGGCCCTGCAAGACGGTCCCCAGGTCGTCGTTGGTACCCCTGGCCGTGTCCACGACATGATCCAGCGCCGCTTCCTCAAGACCGACAGCATGAAGATGTTCGTCCTTGACGAGGCCGACGAGATGCTTTCTGTAAGTTTGTTGCTCAGTATCCTGGTTCGCCCCCATCGCATGCTGACACCTCCCTCCAGCGTGGTTTCACCGAGCAGATCTACGACATCTTCCAGCTGCTTCCCCAGAGCACCCAGGTCGTCCTTCTGTCCGCCACCATGCCCCAGGACGTCCTTGAGGTCACCACCAAGTTCATGCGCGACCCCGTCCGCATTCTCGTCAAGAAGGACGAGCTTACCCTCGAGGGTATCAAGCAGTTCTACATCGCCGTCGAGAAGGAAGAGTGGAAGCTCGACACCCTCTCCGACCTGTACGAGACTGTCACCATCACCCAGGCTGTCATCTTCTGCAACACCCGCAGAAAGGTTGACTGGCTCACCGACAAGCTCACTGCCCGTGACTTCACCGTCTCTGCCATGCACGGTGACATGGACCAGGCTCAGCGTGACCTGATTATGAAGGAGTTCCGTTCCGGTTCTTCCCGTGTCCTGATCGCCACCGACCTTCTGGCCCGTGGTATCGATGTCCAGCAGGTTTCCCTGGTCATCAACTATGACCTCCCCGCCAACCGCGAGAACTACATCCACCGCATCGGTCGTGGTGGTCGTTTCGGTCGTAAGGGTGTTGCCATCAACTTCGTTACCGCCGAGGATGTCCGCATGATGAGAGAGATTGAGCAGTTCTACAGCACCCAGATCGAGGAGATGCCCATGAACGTTGCCGACCTCATCTAAGTAACGCTTTCTCACGGATACACGCATTTTCCCTCTCCCTTTTAGCACGGAACAAGCCCCTTTGGTCTGCTAAGGTCGATCACGCACCGGATCTGGCAAGACGCTTGGGGTGTTTTTTTACTCGAGATTCATCAGGACTTGTTTGTTGATAGATCGCGGGAAGGCTACCTGGCGAGCCACTGGGCGTGGCTGGCCTCACCAACTCCTTGGTCGACTGCTAGACGCGCCCCGGCTCATGGGTGGAATTGAAAAACTGGCTTGCATGCGGGAAGGGCTTACGAGTCTTTTGGCACCTTAATACCAACGAAGGTGCGGCGGACTGGTACCTAAAAGAATCATTGGCAAGGTTTCTAGTTTTTGGCTTTCAGTTTCCTAGTCTCTCTGTACGTAGGGGCCACGTCACGATGAATCTGCTCTTTAAAAAAATAACTTGCTGTTCCCGACCCCTGATGAGTGAAGGTGAACGCCGACGTATCTCTACCCTTCGGGCAGCGATTGGGCGGGTGTACACTATTTCGGACATGTGATCCGACTTTGTCGTATATTACCCACGATGCTACCCTCTCTTGCCCACATGTCGCTCTGCTTCTTGTCGACCGGCGGACGCTTCAGCAAAGGAAGCGGGGGAGAGGATGCAGAGGGCTGGATACTCGGGAACGAGCAGGGCGAATGGCTGCAGCCACAGCCCAGCCGCGATAAGAGAATCGCCCTCCTCAGTCCCACCATACAGGCTTGTAAGTGGCCGACGCTCAGCAACACTAATACACCGTGCGTCAAGGAAACATGGGGTGGGGAGGGTTCCGAACAGGGCTTGGGTCCTCTTATCGCAAGACTTGGAGGCCATCCCACAGAGGGGGGCGGCGCCAGGACACCTGGCATGGTGCCTAGCACAGAAGGAGAGACTGGAGATGTGGGAGGTTGGGCTGCGACGAGAGCGCCACGTCAAATCCAACTGCCAGTTGTTGACAAGGCAAGAATGGTGAATGCGGTGTTGAAGTACCTACATCCAATGCCGTCAGTCATCAGTACACGTGTGAGAGGAAGCCTGCTCGGTGAGATACCCGGTCCGAGGTCCCCTGTACTCGGTGCTTCAGTTTATAGTTCGTACCGTCTTTTTCATACTGCCACTGTCGCTTTCGCCATTCTTTCCAACTGGCCAGGTGGCCGAAAACGAGAAAATAAAATACAAGAGCAGGATCTGCTGCCTGTCACTCACAAACCTTAAAGATAGGTACGTAGTGTGAACGCCGGCCAAAGTGGACTCTGTGGGCTGTTTTATTCCAGCATGAACAAGATGTCTTCAGTGAGTGCTGTCAAAATTCCTAAGTGGTGGGGATTGCTGCTCTCTGGCGGGAACAACGGTTTTACCCCGCCAAATGCACCCTCTCTCAGCAGCACACAAACCACAGAATGCGTCCAGCTCACCAGGTGCCACGGGACTCTACCAGAGATTTCTTGAAAAAGAACAGATGCAGTAGCAGTACTGTGACTGCACAGACTGTTCCTGACTTGCGCCGACCAAAAAGTTTTGTGGTTCCGCAGATCAGGGTTTCGTGTTGTGTGGGATGAACCTTGGGGGGGAAAGTCATTCCCTGTTTTTTTTTCCTTCTTCTTTTTTTCCCTTCTCTCCCAACGTTCTGTTTTCCTTCTCTTCGTTGCCAGGCTTACCCTTATCCCTTTCCCCCTTTCTGTTTCGTTTCGTTTTGGGCGTTTCTTTTTAGGGTTGCAGGGAAGAGGAATTGAAACCCACATTGAAACTACGGGGGCAATATTCAATTAAACGACAGCGGCTTTGGTCTCCACCCAGGGCGATATCGACAGGGGGCCAGACAGGAACTGTGGCTGGGCGTTTGACTTACACCGAAAACGAGCTGCAGGCCAATATCAATAAGTCAGTATTCAGATCACGGTCTTCTACGATAACCCGACAATGCTGATTTGACCATCAGAGTCACGTTTTTCTCTAGAGCAAGTAACACAGTTCTTGAGATTTATGGCCACAAGAGGGTTTCCAAAACAAACAGTACCGTGTTTTCTCGATACTTCTAGATGTATCACGGTGCTGCTGCTGATGTGAATATCGAAAAGGCCACAGATCCCATTGACTAGGCAGTGCTGCAGTCGCACCTAAGTTTCGATACTGGAATATTCCGCACTGGATGGGGGGTAACACATGTGAATTACAACGAGGTGGGCAGCTATCCGTCGATGCCCGTGAGGCAGGCAGTAACAACACGCAAGGAAGGCTTAAGTTTCAACCGAATTGCCCTGATCCTCTTCGAACTAGTATTCCCAGTCTCCTTGACGAGTTCATTCAGTGAGACATTGGCCTGTTGTCAGTCAAGTATTCAAAGAGTGGCCATCAACGAAGTGGTGGCTGAGCTTGCCTCAAGAGCAATCATGGGGCACTCTTTGTAACGCCAGGAGGTTTGTAGGGAGTTTTTTTCGTGTTGCTGGTGATATATAAGATTGGCAGAGATGCTGCGATCCTTTATTCCGGCCTTGTGGTATTGTCGACTCGAAGAGGTGGTCCGATATAAACTGCTGAGTGAGGAAATAAGAAATCACTCAGCATAGGACGGACATGAAATTTTATACCCCTTCTCCTGTAGGGACAAGTGATATTGACCGTGCTGGCTCACCTAAACTTCACTGGCTATCTTTCCCCCTCCCCACCTTATTGGCTTTGGTTTTGCACTTCCAGCGCTGGACACATATAAGCTGCTTGCTCTTACGCAATTCCACCATCCCGGAACACGCTCCCAACTATTGGGACGCTCCCTGCCACCCAATGGTTACCTGCTCACTATCGAACACAGGGTTGGCAATTCTGAGGCCCCGTACCCACAAACTAGATGAACTGGACTCACAGATCAGCAACCTAGGTCGATTGTAGAGGGACCGAATTGGATGTCGGCGGGTTAAGGCTCCGTGCGACTTAATATCTGGCCATCGAAGTAATGCACCATTCTGCTTCTGCCTCATGTGTATGAACTGATGAACTGGCGAGGCAGAGAGGTAAGTGTCAGGTCCATGCATGCTAGCTAAGACATTATATTCACATTAAATGTAACTCGCTAAAACACCAAAAGTTAAAACCATTGACCGTAAATCTCGATCACAACCCGTCATTTTCCCTCTATTGCACACGGCTAGCTTTTGCATATACCACAAGTGTAACTTGATCTTTCTAGTACCGGTTCGGCGGTGTTGACGGGTTGATAGACGCGCTAGGTGTACACGGCGGCTTTGAGAACGTCGGCCAGGGCTGGCAATCGGAGTGGCAACTTCAAATTCTTCGAGTTAGTGACTGGCTTTGCGATATGTGCCCTTGGTAGATTGGGGCCCAGTGACTTACCCGCCATACATGTGACCGCAATCGTCGATAAAGTCCCTGCAGATTGTTCGGGTGCTGCAGGAGTCACCCGGTGTGGGCTTTGCGGTGGGGGTGGAAGGCGGCTTCGTTATAGAGGGCGGCCCTCTACTCATAGATTTCCGGCTCGGGAACGGTAGCTGGAGACCCGGGAGAGGCCAGATTGGGGGAATGGCGTACGGCGTCGGATTGCACGGCGGCATCGTCGGTCGCGTGTCTGGCTTACACCGGTCGTAGCATCCTCCCCATCGCGTACTGCATTGCGTGTTGATGCCGTCGATGCATATGGTTTGTGGGCATTTGTCGGAGCGAGCCTGTATCCGCGGGAAGGCGGCGACAAACCCAGCGAGGCCCAGAACCATCAAGAGTCGACTGGCAAGCATCTCGCCGTCGTGTCGGTGGCAGTATTGAGCGGAAAAGTGGTTTTTGGCGTTGTTCGTTTGGGAGATACGTAGGTGTGTATGTGCATGTGTTTCTATAGTCAGGTGAAATCTCCAAGCAAGTGTGTTATCTTGTGTAAGTGTGGACGACCCTGGGATGGCAGCTTAAGTTCCTATATATCCCTTGACCTTAACACGACGTTGTACCTTGACGAGTCCGTCAACATCCGGTTGAAGGATAACCCTTAAGGCGGGAAGACGGAAGCTAGCGGACATAGGTTCGTGACTGTCTCATCTCCTAGACCATCTTCGTCGTCCTGCGCTGCCTTGGCGGATGCGCCCTGTTGGCTAGTCCATGGTAGCCACAACTCCGATGTTGTTTGTCATTGACAAATTTTCGTAGACTAGAGGTCTAACATGGGCTAAACACGACATGATATCTACAGCTGTCATGGACGGAGCGCATGCGGTCGAAGTGGGCAGACTAGCGTGCGCCTCCCGTCCAGATGGACAAATAACCAAGGATCCTTTACGATCGAGGGTCATCAACTAAGTCAATTTCTGGGGTGTCTTTTGCCGTTTTCGAACCTTTCGATGTCCACATCGTTGGCCTTGCCGCAACGAGCAAAGCAAGGTCTTCTTCCCCTCCAGAGGTGTCGATGGGCGCACAATGAAAGGGGCTACGGGAGGTCACACACTGACACAGCTCCTCTGTTTGTAAGACCGCTGAGTTCGTAAAAGAGCGGCGAGTGACCAAATGAGACAAGCAACGGCTTTTCCGTCGCTCTGTGGGATGTCCCGCCAGACATTCCTCGGGTGGGCAGACGAAGGGTAATACCTCACACGGGGCAGCGTCATCAGGACTTCTTTGGGATCGCCCGTATGTAGAAAGACCGGCAGATCTTTGGCAGCCTAGGCCACAATCTTCATGTTGTGTTGCCTTGGAGTTGTTCGGCAGTTACTGGAGGAGCGATCTGGCATGACGGTCTCCGCCTTGTTCGAGCTGAGACCCTTGTCCAGACTGGGCGTCGATCTAGACCCTTACTGGAGAACGGTCTGGACGGATGAGTACGTATTAATTGCCTCGATCTCCGCCTGAGAGGTCGCATCCGGAGAGGTTTGGCTCGGCCGCTGACGAGCGATGCCCCTTCGGTCCGTTTGCTGGAAGAAGCATCGCTGACAAACCCGGCTTGAGCCGAGTGTTGAGGTAGGCTTAAGAAGTTAACATGGGCTTACAGCCTACCGGCTATATCGCAAGTTTTGCTGAAGACGTTGGCAAGGTGTGCAATGGCGAACCCCTTTACCCATTTGGGTGGAATGTCACTCCAGGTTACTTCCGGGTGTGTGAGCTTCTTAGTCACTCTAGCGATTGACGTCTACAGTGATTAGTTCAACCGGAATAGCTTACTATTGGACGGCGAGCACGAAAAAGACAAACAGAGGGTCGTTTTGCGCACAAGAAAAGTTCGTCTCGTGTCACTGCGGGCTGGAAGAATAGGTACGGTGTAAGTTTGTAAAACGTACAAAAACTGCGAATAGTATAGTTTAGATGGGTACATATTCCTTCCTCATCCGGTATAATGCATACCCAAAAGCCGAGGAGTAACCCCTGTTTAGTATCCTGGAAGACATATTTTTGCTATTCGCCCAGAATAGTAGTCCGCAATCGAGCATATGTCACAACTTTGACGATGATTATCCGAGGGATCTTCGTTGACGAAGGCGATGCACCGAGACATTAGCCCTCGTACATCGGGCACGACTGATGTTTCTATTGATTCCTCATCTTGCAAGGCATAACATATGCATCATCATTATCCGGTCTCGGACTGATCGGCACCATCCATCACGTGGGACGCATACTTCTCGTATCGAGATATGAAGACGGATATAGTACTCTCTACTGACCGTCGCGAGCAAGGATTCGCGCATGAAGCAATTACTCTATAAGGTAAACACGAGAATCGAGTTCTCGATTTGCGTATCTCACCCGAAACGCCGCGTCCCGATCACCGACTGTGATTTTGCTAGAGCACTTGCCTAGAGTACAGAAAAAGAAAGAAATACCTGTAGAACCCTCAGTCGCAATCACGGGTGGCATAAGTTGGCATAGCGGTCTAATCTCTGACTACTTGTAAAATTCATACAATAACGGAGAGACTTGTAGCGTTGTGTTCTCGTTCCCAATCTTCGCGACACAGATTCAACACTTGGTGGTTGACTGAGTATCGAGCATCGTAGACAGACCCCCGCCGTTATCGTCACCAGAAAGCCCCACCCCCACTATGACTACCCAAGTGAGGATCGCCCATCTGGGTTTGACGCCACAGCCCCCCCCCTGCTCCACTGTAAAACGCTGTAATTCTACACTTTTTAGAGCCTGAACAGCGTCGTATCGTCTCACACTCATCTCACAATTGTTTGTTTGTTGGTTCACAAAACTCACTCCGCCGTGCATGAGCGTGCCCGTATTGTGTTGTCAGTATGGCGGCCGAACTCTACAATGGCACCATTTCAGATAGGACACAGTGAGCTCAACCCCCAGTTACCTCATGATCGTGTTCTCTTAGCCTGAAGGACTGACAGCATGTCACTCTATGCAGTCCTCTGAAAATATTCGATGCGGCCAAGAGCCAGGATAGGTTTCTCTATGTCTCGGCCCCTATGGTAAGATATAGCAAGGTAATCTCCTCAGATATCCATCAAGAAAAATACGTACAATGGAGACTCATGATGCTACAGCTTGCTTTCCGTCAAACCGTTCATGAATATGGAACCGACCTCTGCTGGACGCCAATGATCCTGTCCAAGGAGTTCAATCGCAACAAGTTTGCCCGTGACAGTGGTTTGTATGCCCGTACAGAGGGTAATTCAGCAGCTAACACACAGTTTCCAAGATCTGACGATATCAACCTGCGGGCTTCAACCTCCGACGATAGTTCAGTTTGGCTCCAGCAGCCCCCTCGAGCTCGCCCGCTCATCCTCTCTCGCTGCACCTTATGTCAACGGCGTAGATCTCAACTGCGGCTGCCCGCAATCCTGGGCTTGTGCCGAGACGCTCGGTGCCGCACTCATGGAGAAGCGCGAGCTTGTCCGTGAAATGGTGGTCAGCACTCGCCAGCGCCTGGCCAGTGACGGATGGCATGTCGGTAAGGAGCGCGACATAGACAGTCCCAAGGGGAGGAGCATCAGCGTCAAGATTCGTGTTCATAACGACCTGAGGTGAGTCGCTTATCCCTGAGGAATGAGTTAATCTTCCCTGGAGAAGCTCTCTGACCGAGATGTGCTAACGACATACAGGCGGACCATGGATTTCATCGACACAGTCATCGGCAACCCCCAGGACAGAAACATCGACTTCCTGACCATCCACCCCCGTACCCGCCACACGGCCTCCAGCATCCCTATCAACACCGAGTCCCTCGGCATCCTCCTCGAAAAATACGGCGACAACCTCCCTATCCTCCTCTCGGGTGACGTCTTTTCCATGGCGACCCTGCCCCTGTCAACAGTCTCCAGAGCAGCACCACAGCCCTCGGAGCCGAAGACGATCAACGGCCACAACGGCTACACGGACTTCACTCCCAGCGGCACCAAGCTCGCGGGCCTCATGTCTGCTCGCGGCATCCTCGCCAACCCGGCCCTCTACGCCGGTCACGAGTCCTGCCCCTGGGAGGCCGTTGAGTCCTTCATGCGCCACGTCGTCCGCGCCCCCATGCCTGTGAAGCTGGTGCAGCACCACCTCCACGAGATGTGCGGACCCGGTATGGGCCCGGATAAGCGCGCGCTACTCAACCGGCAAGAGCGAGCAGCGCTTCTCGGGCTCGACAACATGGTGGATGTCATTGATTTCATGGACGATGCAATCAACCGCAAGACGGGAAGGACAGATGGGCTCCGTCGCGAGGCCGTAGGTAGCTCAACAGTTCCTGTGCCGTGACCGTTTTGTTCCTGGGTCCACAATACGCTGCTTTTCCCCAATGTGATGGTTTTACTATGAGTACAAGGCACTGATAAGGTATTATGCCTTCGGAAGCATCGCTCGCGTCATGACTTCAGCCAGACCACCGCCCCGTTAACGCCTTGTCCTTGGACATGCCATGAGTCTTTCCGCAAGCCAGAATGCTTGTTCTCGAAGCTGCCTTGAAAGGGGTCCCATATCGTACAAATGGGGTTGACTCTTTGCCCCTGTTGGTCCCTTCCTTCTCTTGAAACCTTGCCGTAGAATGGGATAGGCCTCCAAACGCCCGGTCCCTGAATAATTACAATGGTGTAAGCTGAAAGCCTAGTCCAAAACCTCCCCTTCGTCTTCATCCGAGAGTCGAGCTCGTTTCTGGTCTCTGCCCTCGGTGTCGGAATCAACTTCCTTCCGCTTGCCGGGAGAAGTAGCACCATTGCCGTTCGGCCTCTCCGGCTCCTTCAGAGTAGCCTGTGAGCCCGATTCGGTATTAGTGACATCGTCTCGGCCATTAACCCTAGCTTTCGGGCTCTGTGTCCCCCTGTCCAGCTCAAAAGGCGTGCCCGCTGTGGACGACAGGGCGTCTTGGCTCATCGGATCCCTTGGCTGTCTAGTATTGGCCAAGTCGAAGGCCGGCGAAGGCAAGGACGGGTTCTGTTTGCGGAGCGGGTTCTCGGTATAGAACTGTCGCACAATGTCAATGGCTTTCGCGCACTTCTCCTCGTTTCCTTTCAAGGCTTTCCACCAGGGTTCGCCATTGACGTCGTCAATCTTCTGATTGGTATGTACACTGGCGAAGAAGATCGCAGTGATGGCAACATCGCGAGCCTCAAGCAGAAGGGGAATGGACGTAAGACAAGCGTCGCTGCAGAACGCCCAAGCCGACTGTCGGAGATGCTTGTTGTGGACAATGTCAAGCTGGCCGAGAAGCTCAAAGAGGCGTTGGTATGGGTTCTCGACCATGAGATCAAACGTCAGGTACTCCAGCATGAGCTCCTCGTACATGAGGATGCTGTCTCTCCACCGCCAGTACTCTTTGCTCATCTCATCAATCATAAGCTTGGGGTTCTTCTGAGCAACCTTTGCCACAGTGATGATAATCTCCTTCGTCTTCCGGCAGTTCTCCTCCGTCTTGTTCGCGAGAAACAGCGCCGTGGCCGCGATGTTCTGTTCAATCGATTCCGTCAGCAGTGGTTCAGCTTGAGCTTTCTCGACCCCTCGCTTTGATCGAGGAAGTGTTAAAGGCGCCTGACACTAATCAGACACGGCCAGGGTTGTCGCGAGAGATGAGGGAAGGGGGTTCTGGTCTCACATAGTGGTGAATGCCACCCTTCTCTTCTACCATGCTGTAACGCATGTAGAATCGGTGGAAGAAGACACCTGCGACCCAGAGAGTGATCTGTGGCAGATCAAGCAAGACACCTGCTTGGTATATGAAATTGATACCCTTGGCTCTTCGCAATCGTTCTTCTACCGGAGAAATGCCATCCAGAACACTCGGCGTGCTCAGCGTCTCGTCGGCAGTGAAGTACCACTGGTTGGGCGGGGGGCCTGGTGTCTGCGCCCTTGAGCGCTGTGGCGAGCGCGTATCGCGTTGAGAGAGAGGTCGCGGTGGCGAAGTCCGGGAAGAGTGCGTAGGTGGTGATGGAACAGCTGGCGGAACATCGAGGCGACGCGCTGGAGATCGTGAAAGTCGATCCGGTCGTGGCGGCCCCGGCGGCAGGTTAGGAGGCTGGTATGCCTCTTTAGACGGCCTATAGCGATCAATACTGGCCATCGCCACGAGCTTTAATGGGACGCTTTCAAGTCGGCAATTGGTGGAGTTGTCGTGATAAATTGGTCATGGAGGAGGAGTTGCTCGTTGTCGCAAGATGGGTTGATGGTTGATTGATGATGAATGCGCCTTCCTTGGTTTAGCTGAGGTGGATTTTCGGCCCAGTTTGAACCCGTTATCTTATCGCAGACATCACGTGATCACTTAAGATCCCGGCTTCCGCAGCTATCTATCCATGCCTACGTACCGGTGGCAGGTCCGTGCGCATGGATCGAATTGCGTCAGGTACCTGGTAGGAAAGTACTGTAGGTACCTGTAACTATTTTGAGAGCGCTCCTTGGAATTTCTTGATTTCTTGGGGGGTATCTTAGTAATGTATAGGACATGGATCTCTCTTCTCTCCAACCAAACGATGCAGACCATCTCTCTAGAGACCCTCGCCGTCATTGCGGCCCCAAAGCTTCACCGTCCGGTCGTGTCCACCACTCACGATCCACTTTCCGTCTCTGCTCACGTCCACGCTTGCGACAGGACCAGAATGTCCGCTCAGCGTCTGTATCAAGCCCCAGTTGTCGGCTGAGAAGACCTTGATCTTTGCGTCAAAGCCCCCAGACACAAAGAATGTACCAGCCTTCTTGGGTTGTTGTGCGCCCTTCTCATCGGTCACGGGAGGTGTTCCATCGATGGGGTCGTCCAACCCCCTGAACCATCGTATGTCAGAGACAGCTTTGGCGTGTGCTCCAAGGTTTGCTGTCCTCTGCACCTTCCGAATATCCCAGCATTTGATCCAACCGTCTGCCGATCCCGATAGTACCCTGTGTCCTTCAGAGCCCCAGTCGAGCGCGTAGATGGGTTGTATGTGTTCGTCTAGGATCATCACCGTTCTTCCTGAGCGCAGATCCCAGATACGGCCGATGCTGTCAAGACCAGCGCTTGCCAACAAGGAGCCATCGGCGTTGAAGCTGACAGAGTACACGCCTCTGGAGTGGCCTTCCTGGAGGAGAAGCTCTGCAGTCGTCTCGACATCCCAGAGCCTCCAAGTCGTATCATCCGAAGCCGACGCAACATAGCGGCCAGAAGGATGGAACTCAACGCGTGACACCCTGCCGCCGTGACCAGTAAGCGTCGAAAGGGGGGTATCTTGATTCAAAGACCACAGGTGTACCGAGCCCTCGGCTCCTCCCGAAGCAAGGTTCACCGCATCTGGAGATACGTTGCTTTCGGGCAGCGTAGAGCCAGGATACCACGAGATACCACTGATCTTCTGGGTGTGTCCTCGGAGATTCATCTTTGCCTCCAAACTGGGAACCTCGATGAGTTTGAGACCTCCTCCCCAGTTGCCCACCGCAACCATCTCTCCGTTCGGTGACAGCCTCGTCATGCTGATGTGTCTATCGCCGGCTGTTTGGCTGCCCTGAAGCTCGAAACCTTCCAGTTTGTCTTTGATTTGTTTCCGGAACTTGACGTGTGTGCGCAGAGGAATTGAGGCTTCGGCCTTTTGAAACTGGACCCGCCGTTTCGCTCTGGGGAGAGAATATTTCGCGATATCGATGCGCGCTTGGAGCAGTGCCTGGCCACCCGGTGTGTAGAATTCCTCGTCCTGCTCGTCCGCGTCTTCGTCTGCGTCTGCGTCTGCGTCTTCCATTTCTACGTCGCCATTTTCGAGGCCGGCCATCTCGTGTTGAATGGCGAGAAGGTTTCGAAGACGATCTCTGCGTTCGGGCTTGCCTTCTCCAAACAGTGTGATCGGTTCGCCCATCTCCCGGAGCTTCGCCCGCACTCGGTTGTCGTCCGTAGGTACCGCGATGCTAGCAGCCAACTTCTTCCTTTCCATCTGCGCCAAGACGGCGGACGCCTTTTCAGGCGCGGCGCCGGAGAAGGCCGAGGGAATCTCATAATCGTGGTCTGTGGGAATGTCCTCCAGCGCAATGCCTCGATCTTCGTCCATCGCCTCCTCGACGTAGGCTTGCCGCGACGGGTGCATCATGTTGGGCGGAAGGGGAGCGGTTGGCCCAAATGCGCAGGTAAGGTGGTAAGTGCCTGTCGGCGAGCGGAAAATGGAGGGTTCGGAGAAAGTTGGCGAGCTTTGGGAGTGTGTGGTTGAGCTTCAATAGCAGCCTGGCGGGAAATAATATCGGGATGCTTTGCAAACAGTCTCGAGAGTTGAGCTTGCCTACCAGCCATGGCCGGAGATCAGCTGTAAAAATTCTCGGCAACGGTGCTTCTTTTTGCCGTTCCACGATTCCCAGGCACCGAATCCACCCCCACATCTTTCTCGAATGCAAATGGCCCCTGGGCTGTCAGGGATCCCCAAGCTTAGGAAAGTCGCATTCAACATAAAAACTGCAACAAATACTGGAATGTTCAAGAACCGACATATACAACACAGAATACATGGGGAGGATTAACATCATGCATCGTTTCAATCCACGCTACAGTCGAGCTTTCGGCGCGGCACCCAACACTGCCGTCTGTCTAACACGGCTCAACACTTCATCCATTACGGCACCCAGACGCTTTATCGCCAAGTCGCTGATCTGATGATGCAACATGACCCTTTTCCCATCGAGCTTGATGCTATACCGTCTCCCTGTTTCGTTCCATTCGCTTGTCTCGATACCACACCCTCCTAGGTCCAACCAAACCATGTTGGTCTCGATGGGCTTCAGCACTATCCCTCCTCTCACCGCCCACATTCTTCCGACTTCCTGTGCCATGGTCCGACTGATATCGAGCACAGCTCGGGAGTCTCGGGGCCCAAGTCCAAAGTTCTCGACAACGGCCTGTCGTGCTGCAGCAACGAGGACACCTGCCTGCCTCATGCCGCCTCCGATGCTCTTGCGCAACCGCCGCAGACTCTTGATCAGACCAGACGTGCCGAGGACCATGGCACCCATCGGCGCGCCCAAGTTCTTGCTGAAGTCCACCGTCAACACGTCACAGCATCTGCCAAAGTCGTCCAGGCTACCGGCCCCGGCTGAGACTACCTCCCACAGTCGCGCCCCGTCCATATGGACGGCGATACCATGTGCCGAGGCCCATTCCTTGATTCTTTGCAGCTCCTTCAAAGGGATTATTATCCCTGAGCAGGTGTTTTCTATGCTAATCACTCGCGTCGGACACTTGTGGACGTCGTCCGTGACAGCAGCGTGCTTCTTGACATCGTCAAGGGTGAGATAGAGCCCGTTTCTAGGGCGGATCCCCTGGACCATGGCCCCCGACAAGTGTGCAACTCCTCCTGCCTCCCAGTGGATGATGTGGGAGCTGGCATCAGCGAGGATGGCGTGGGGCGGTTGGTGGAGGAGAGCGCGAAGGGCAAGCTGGTTCGCCATTGTGCCCGAGAGGGTAAACGCCGCGCTCTCGTGCCCGCATATCTTTGCCATTTCCTCTTCAAAGTCTCTTGTTGTCGAATCCTCGCCGTAGACATCATCATGGAGCGTTGTTCGGGCAATGGCAAGCAGCATACCTCGAGAAGGTGTTGTAATCACATCGCCTGCATCTAACGTTAGAACGCTGCTGGCTCTAAGAGGAGGATGAGACGAGAGCAGAAGAACTACAGGAAACAACGAGGGGTATGTGAGGTCAACCTACTCCTAAAGTCAAACGCTGCACCAGTCGCCTTGGGAGATCCCCAAAGCATAGCGCTGGACTCGTTACTGGTCATGATGTTCTATATCTTAGCCCAAGAAAGGTTGCAGACAAGTGTCGCTAGAGTCTATAGGCGGGATTCATAGCTGCAAGAGAATTGGGACGTCGGGGAACAGTCCTACTTGAGGGCGATTTATAATTAACCGAATATGGGAAGATATGTCTCGCAGACAAGCGGGCCCCTTTGCTAGACCATTGCGCCACAGATGTGAATTGTCACAAACAAGTCACTCACGTCATTCATGGTTGATAGGGAGCTGTGACACGGAGTCGTTTTCATCGCACGCGAGGTCATGCGTTCAACTCAGGCACATCTGACCAAAAAGACCCTCGCTAGTCTGATCATAGTTGAACGATCCTCAAGGGAAGCAAGGGACTAGGGCCTAAGTCGATGGATTCCATAATCCTTCAATATCAAAGCCCTCGTGTACAACATATCCTTAGACTCGAAAAAGCACTCTCGCCATGCATTGCAGCCCAGAGCAAAATGTCGTGTTACGATTGGCTAGGCCGCCTCCAAGTGCTTATGGCAGATGTAATCATTCCAGGTCTTACATGCAGCCGGCATCGCGGGACTCTATGGCTCCTACAGTCAGAACAGGAGCCTCGAGGATCGCAAGGGATGCCATGAATCAAAGTTTGCAAGAGCAGGGCTGGCCTAAGGATTTTATGTCTTTGCCTGTTTGGGAGGCTGACATATTCAGGCCTGCCTCTTGGGCACTTCTCCAGGTTGAAGACTGGCGAGCGAGTTACATCCCTTTCTTGGCTTAATGATGTTTGGAAAATGAAGTCGCCAAGTGGGCAGTGCGGCATATAAGCCCTCGAAAGGAGGTGTCCACGTCGTGGAGACTGGAAAGATGTAGGGTTTCTCGCCGCCATCTCTCGCCAGTCATCCACCAGTCTATTCACTCGTTTACCCAGTCGGCAGAAAACGCCGCTTGCCAGACCGACTTAACAACTTGCATTCTCTCGTTCTGCGTGGACTTGGGTTACCATGGTCCTTGATGTACACGACTCCCGGGAGGTTCACTCCGAGAAGCGTACCTGTGCTGTCGTCGAGGCAGACGAAACAGCAATTCTGGCACAGTATGGTGCCGAGAGACGGGCGAATGGACTCATCAACTGGCAACGAGACTGCAAGGCACATCCGAGAAACTGGTCGACGAGGAGGAAGATATTTGACACTACCGTCATCGTCTTGTTTGAACTTTACACGTACGTGTTTGCATGTCTGTGGTCCCTCGCATTTTTTTACTGTAGTTGACATGACTTAGAACCATCATAAGCACAACAGGTGTAGGTTATCACGTCATATCTCTACTCCCCCCCCCCCCCCCTCCCCCCCCAAGATCCTGCAAACGCGGTTCGCTTGGCGGCACGACGCGAAAGGCGTGCTGCCCTCTTGATTGCCGCTATAGCAAACGATTTGGTGATATATAATCTGGTGATATGCCTAGTAGAAAGTCATGGCTAAACAACAATGACATCCCGTATCAGTGCTAACCCTTCGCGTAGGCTGTCGCCGCCACGGAAGCTGCCCCCGACTATGGGCTTAGTCGGCAAGCATCCTTGGTCGGGTTCACGCTCATGTCAGTCCTTAATTCCCTACGACTGAAAATCTTAAACTTTGCTCACTACAGGACAGGTACCAGCTCGGCCAAGCGGTAGGGGGGTTCTTGATCCCCCCCTTTTCCGAGCTCTTCGGCCGTCGCCTTCCGTATCTCGTCTCCTGCGTCGCCTTCTGCGTCTCCAGCCTCCTCACCGGCGTCGTACACTCCCCGGTAGCAGTTTACGTCGGCCGCTTCGTCGCAGGTCTCGCCTCAGCCGTGCCGTCCGTGGTCATCGCCGGCAGCGTGGAGGACATGTTCAACACGAAACGGCGGGTATGGATCATTGTACTCTGGAACGCGGGGACCACGGTCGGCTTGTGCTTCGGACCAATCTACGCCGCCTACATCTCCGAGGCCGCAGGGTGGCGGTGGATCTTCTATAGCGCGACAATCGTCACAGCGGTTCTGTTCATCGCCCTCTGCGGGATCAGGGAAAGCAGACCGAGTATTTTGCTGGGCGGGATCATCCGGCAGATCAAGAGGGAGACGAAGATACAGGAGCTGGCGTGGCATAACCCCGACGAGGCGCGAAATTGGCGTGCCTTGGTCCGGATAAGTGTCGTCAGGCCTGGCAAGATCTTGCTTACAGAACCGCTGGTCATCATGGTCGCGCTCATCTCGGCTTCGTCATGGGGTATGATCTACCTATTCACCGAGTCGCTCACCGTAGTCTACCTCTCTCTCGGGTTTACCAAGACCCAAGCTTCACTGCCTTTCCTGGCCGTTGCCGTCGGCGTGCTCTTCACATCTCTCCCCCGTTTGTGGGATATGAAGATCGTCCGGGACCGCCAACGTATGAAAGTGCCTGTCCAACCGTAAGGCACCTCCAAAGCTCCTACGTAGGACCCGTACAAGAAAGAAATTGACGTGCGACCAACAGAGAAGACAAAATCATCGGGTTCGCCTTCGCCGCGCCGGCCCAAGCCATCGGCCTCGCTTGGTTCGCCTGGACTATCCCGCCAGCGGTGGGCGGCGTGCACTGGATGGTTCCGACGGCCTCCCTCGTGCTCGTGGGCTTCGCGGTCAACGAGACGGCGCACACGCTCAGCGGATACCTCGCCGACTCGTACCTGCTCTACTCGGCATCGGCGTTTTCGGGGCTGGCGCTCATACGGGCCGTCGCGTCAGGGCTCATGCCGCTCGTTGCGCACAAGATGTACGCCGGGCTGAACGCCAACGTTGCAGGCTCAGTGCTCGCGGGTTTGGCGGCGGCGTTTTGCGTCACCCCGTGGCTGTTCTTCCGGTTCAGCATGCGATTGAGGCAGAGGAGCCCGTTTGCGAGATATAGTCTGGAGACGCACCACCAGACGAATATAGAGGAGAACTAGGACCCATGCTTGAATGCGTCCTGGCGGATGTGGGTAGTGGTGTGTGTATCCAACGTATTGCGTTAACTCGGTGTGACGTGAGGTTGACGTGCTCAGAGCAGATCGTCGCGATTTCAGCAGGGTTCCATGGTTGCGGAGGATGGAGCACCTTATTTGGTGGGAACCGGTGGGGAAGTGGGAAGCCGGTCCTGGTTGCTGCGACGAACTCGTGTTTGCGGCGCTGCAAGTCAAATTCATATCGGAAACACACCATCTGGATGGTTATCCAGCATTGCACGAATGTCAAGCTGGCAGTACACATGGACATTCGTCCAACGTCAATCTGGGACCGAGAGTGCCCGTATTCTTGATCTGTCCACTGGCGGAGTCCGGAACGAGCTTGGCCATACCTATCAAAGTGAGACACGATGCTCGGGCCAGTGTTGCATTCTGCGTGATCTAGAAGGCGTCGACAATGTGAACCCGTCCGAGACAACGCCGCAGTGTTATTTCCTCGTCTCAGCCAGTCTTCGTTATTGAACTCTGCTTGAGAGTTCACTTCATGCCAGCATGCATTGAAACCTGGAATAACTGTAATGTTCCGGCATATCTCGACAGTAAGTTGCGCAAAGACCACACATGTTCGAGACAGGGCCGGTGCACAAAAATAGCAAGGGAGGAACGCTAGCGAGCGGCCGACGCTATTATGTACGTGTTTAATAATGGATGAACAAGTCCGTTGTCAGATCATACCAGGTATGAGGGGCACTCCACCTTTCAGCCATAATTGGAAGGGAGCCGTCATGCTCATGCTTACCCTTTCTGCGAGACAACTACGCAGTAGTACTCGGCTGACTACTGAGATAATTACCTCAATCTACGTACCTAGGTAGGCAGTCTGGAGGGATGGGACGGTTTCTATCTTGCTTCCATTCTCAGGCGGGGAGAGACGTAAAAGTTGGTGGAATTCCGCCTAACCGGAATAAATGGTAAATCACGGCTATGCACTCACTGCATGTTACCTTCCCGCTCTGCCGACATGGCCGACTGCTTTTGGAAAGAGAGTGAGAGGGAGGTAACATGCTGAATGTCCGCTGCTATCCGGGCGAAGACACGCATGAGGAAGGCCCTAAGTTCCAGGGGTAGGCAGAGACAGGGGAAATAATGAACCGATGGAAAAAACTTAACAAGAAAAGCTTACCCACCCAGGGAGTTCGGGCTGAAATGGGAACAAGGCAAAGTGCTCCGTACCTACCTAGGTATGTTACGGATGATGGGTCCAGCCCCTGCGCCTGCCCAATGAAGTGTCGAGAGAAGGCCCCAGCGCGGCTTCCCGAAATTTGGCTTCCGCCTGCCAATGCCACCCCCTCCCTTCCCCCTCCACCCAGCGGGAAAAGTGAGGTGAAGGTGGTAGGCCCAGTTGTTGGCTGCACGCTCTCATGTGAATGAAAAGTCACTTGCTGACATGGGGACATGGGCTCGCGCTCTGGTTGGCCGACGCATTCGCTACCTCCCCCCGGCCTAGGGAACCGGCCTGGGCGGGCTGAATTTTCCTGTATTTTTGTTCACTGGGAACGCCAGGCCCTGTTTCGATTCCTTTCCCTTTTTCTTCCCTCTTCCGCCAACACCATCTGGGTGATTACAACCTCCCTTCCACTCTCGATATGTCTAGTTGACTGACCGCCGTCCCAAGAAACCCGACCAACCACCAATGCATAGTAAAAAGGAATCGTACAATATCTCCAGCTCATTCTTCCGCCGCCAGATGCGCAGCCCGAGCCACAAGAAACTCCATAGAAACTACGACTCCGAGCCGCGCGCCGACCCCGAGCGACGACGAGGCACGCTTTTTGTGCTTCGCATCTAAACTCCCCACCAAAGTGACGGTTTTCACCAGTCCAGGGCGCGACCGGCACTCCAACGCGCGCCCCTCGTTTACGAGCAACATTCACTACTACAAGGAGCGCCCTCCCTAAATAATCTCACCACCCCCACCGAGATCATGATTGCCAAGGCGACGCCCGCACTCAACACGGTGCGCGGCTTCCAAAACACCCCCGTCACCTCCGGCGACGAGGACTCCGACTACGGTGTCTGCGCTAGCCCGCCCCCCTCTTCCAAGAAGCGCGGCGGCCGGCCCGCCCACATCGACGACGTCGTCAGCGCCAACTGCAGCCCCATCATGCGCGGCGTCTCCTCCCCCGCTGTCTCCGGCATTGCGAAGCTTCGCCTGCAGATGGAGCCGCTCAGCCTTGACGCCTCCCGGACGAGCACTTTGACTCTCAACGGTAGCAACGGCCACGGCGGCCACTACAAGGGACTTGGTATCAGCAGCGCTGTCATGAGCCGCTGCGGTAGTCAGGATGGCAGCCAGAGCGAGGCCGGCAGCGAGCGCTCTGAGAGTGGGTCTACGAGCTACGAGATCAACCTGGAGCACGACTACGTTGATGAGAGCGTTCGGGATCGCACTGGGCAGATCGTGCCTATCGAGAACAACAAGGACGCGCAGCGCAAGATGACGGCCGACGACTTCGAGCCGCTCCGGTGTCTGGGCAAGGGCACCTACGGCACGGTGCTGCTGGTCAAGCAGCGCAACACCGGCAGGCTCTACGCCCAGAAGCAGTTTAAGAAGGCTTCTCTGACGGTGCACAAAAAGCTCATCGAGCAAACCAAGACGGAGCGCCAGATTCTCGAGTCGGTCAACCGACACCCTTTTGTCGTCAAGCTCTACTATGCCTTCCAGGACCACGAGAAGCTGTACCTGATCCTCGAGTACGGCCAGGGCGGCGAGCTCTTCACCCACCTGAGCACCGAGAAGATGTTCGCTGAGCCCGTCGCTGCCTTCTATATGGCCGAGATGCTTCTGGCCATTTCCCATTTGCACAGCACCTTGGGTGTTGTGTACCGTGACCTGAAGCCCGAGAACTGTCTGCTGGATGCCGAGGGTCACCTGCTGCTTACCGACTTTGGCCTTTCCAAGGTCGCGATCGATACTTCCGAGGACCACTGCAACTCGATATTGGGAACGGTCGAGTACATGGCCCCCGAGGTCATTCAGGGACAGAAGTACGGAAAGGCGGTCGACTGGTGGTCTTTCGGTGCGCTCGGCTTTGACTTGATGACTGGCAACCCGCCCTTCCGCGGCGGCAACCACGCCAAGATTCAGCAAAACATTGTGAAGCAGAAGCTCGTCATGCCGTATTTCCTGAGCCCCGACGCCAAGGATCTCCTGACGCGCCTGCTCAGGAAGGATCCGAAGAAGCGACTTGGCGCCAACATGCCCAAGGACCTCCAGACGATGAAGGGCCACCGTTTCTTCAACAAGATCAACTGGAAGAAGCTGGAGGCCAGAGAGGTCGAGCCGCCCATTCAGCCCATGATCACGGACCCCGAGCTCGCCGAGAACTTTGCGCCCGAGTTCACTGACTTGTCTCTGAGCCCCGTCATAACGTCCAAAGACCCATGGAGCGCCATGTCAGCCAAGGAGGATGACCCCTTTGGCGGCTTCAGCTTCGTTGCGTCGAGCAGCATGCTGGAGAGCCACGCGTTTCGATTCTCCACCGAGGTGTAGAGAGGGTGCGCAGTGTAGTAGCGCCCAACGAAAGAGCTTAGAGTATCTATACGGCGTTGGTAGGCGTGAACGGTCTTGAGTGAGGATAAACGATGCGGAAAGGAAAAGTATAGAATTTCAATTGGGAGCTGGCGCGGGTGAGCAGTCTGTCCAGTAGGCCGTTATTGAAACGAATAAAGCAAGCAAAGCAGACCGGGCTTGGGCATGGGCGCCGAGTCTAGTAGTTGAGCATTCGGGTATCGGAAAACGGCACATAATCATTGTTCGCATTTGGTCCTTTGTCCTTCTTTTCCGAGGGAACCCTATTCGTAGTTTGTACGTTTCTTACCGAGTTGGTTAAGGGGCATTGTCCCCAATAGAATTCAATAGACACGAGCTTGAGCTCCTTGAGTTCTTCAGCAAAGTAGCAAACGAGCGAGCATTGAATTGATCGGCTACCTCGTTCCCACGATGCTTTTGTCCCATTTTCTTAAATCGATGGTGATAAGTTCCCCGTTCCCTTTCTTCTAATAAACTAACTTCCCCCGTGGGCCTTGTTCGGATGACTAACCTATCGCTCCTTGTGATCCTGCCATTCCTTGGTCAGCTGGGGGCTAAGCTCTTGGCAGGCAATTTGCATGTCCGGGGGCCATGAACAGCCGGACCTGCCAAGTTGCTGAATCGAAAGTGAACTCTCTCCCCACCCCCTTCCGTCACCCTGCCTTGTACGCAGGAACAAAGTATGTTAGTCACTTTTGGTTAAACAAGTGTTTGCGATTAAGCGGACTCGCCCTGCGCGTGGTACACTAGTGTAGCATCGGCCCATCGGGGATTTGTAAGAGCAGGCCCGACTGCATGTTGTTCCAAGATGCGCGAACCGGACGACGTCCCCTCCAACCTCCCCCCTCCCCCGAAAAGGAAGAAGAAAAAGTAAGAGGAAAAGAAAAAGAAAAAAAGAGCGCCGAGTCTTCCGCCACGCCGTTTCGGTAGTCCGGGCAGGAACAGACGTGAAAACTCGGATCGCTCCGCTGACGTGGGCGGCAGAGTTGGTTGGACGACATCACTCTGGCTTACACACCGAAGGATGCCGTTGGTTCGGGGAGGCTGGCCGTGCGTCTCATGGCCAAAGTCGTTCGAATGGGGGAGGATACGCCCCCGAGCGGTTGCTGTCGACGTCGGCATCGGATGACAAGAGGGTACTCATCTCGTGTCACCTGGCATCCGCCATCGTCGTCGTCTTCATCTCCGCCGGCGTGGCGGTAAGTGTCGTACAGGGACGTCTCGGGCGCGATTGAAGGGGCGCAAGAATTTTTGACATTTGACGAGGTCAGTAAAACTGCTTCATGTCGACATGAGGTTGAGCGGCCATGGATATTCAGTCACGTTTTGGGCAGTCTAGGTATGCTCTTGAGTGGTCGTCACGGATGGATCCAACGTTGATAAAGGTGTCGGGGTTGGTGGAGCCCGAGGGAAGCGACGTCCGAGGAAAGGGCTTTACGAGCGCCGTTTTGAGGGCGAACAAACCCATGCTGCAAGGCCTGGGGTTGGGGGCAAAGCAGTTGGTAGGTAGGCTACCTAGGGCAGGGAAAGCTTAAATGGCGAGTCGTGAACTGCTCACTCTATGCTGCCAAGGAAGTTTAGGATTGTGGGTGAAGACTAATAAACTACCTACTTAGACGACCTGTAAAATGTGGATAAACGGTAATTGGTGTACTGAACCACGGATATTACCTAACTACCTATCTCGGTAGGCAGTTTACATATGCGTCCGGTAGTTACGGATGTGGGGTCGGAGCAACTCTCAATCGGCGCGGGGTGATTGTTGTGCCATTCCCCAGACGCGGCGTTGCAGTGGATGGAGCTTTTACCAGCTCGCATGCGACTCAGTCGCCGCCGGCTTAGCCGACCTTTGGGACCAGGGCAGGACAATCTCCCGTCGGGCCCGACGTATCCTGCCTCCTACCTTTGCATCGGCTACACAGCCGGTCGCCGCAGCCGGATTGGTACATCCAGATCGGCATACCTACCAAGGCGATCGTCGTAGGGTGGTCATGAGCAACCAGTCATTGTCGAAAACCTTGCCGTGACAGGTGTCGTGACAGCGGCGTAACAACTTGCGTAGCTAGCACGAGAGGGGTTTTTGGAAACCTTTTGCAATTCGCAACGAGTTGCTCCCAAGGTTTCGCGGTGTTTGCGGTAAACGGTCGTGCGGCATCATCGAACGTGTTGCAAGCATTAGCAGCTTTCCCGCTGTTGCAGCGAACCTGGGTAGAGGGGATTAGGTATGTTGGGGTTTACCCAGAATGGACGCCTCTGTGCCAAAGCACATGCCCATTTCTGGCATGGACATACCTGTTCAAGTTTTGGATCTGAGGGGGGGTGCCAGGGAGATGGGCAGACTGCAACTCTACCAGAGATCCTTGGCATACAGAAAGAGATTAGACTATACTCCGTACTATTAGTACAGTCGAGCTACAGCGTTGGAGCCCTCCCTTGGTACGGACTCGGACGGGTCGAGTGCCTCCACTCTTACAAGCGAGCAAAATCGTCGGTGGGAATATTGGCGCCGTGTACCGGATGTAAAGTAGATAGATCCTTGAGCCACATATTGACGCGATTCTGTACCGTTTTCGGCGATAGGGCTCTTGCATGTGTGTGTGTGCTGTTTGCGCCTTGCTGAGAAGTACCTACTACAACGTCACTGGCTTTTGACCTGCACCCTTCGCGCAGTAAGCCGAACAAGTCAGACGATGTCCGTCCGGAACACATGAACTTCAGCGTGTCAGTATTCGGTCCGAGTTGCCCGTACCCGTATCGAGGCTTGGGCGACTTAGTCAAGAGACAAATCCTGTGGGAAAAAAATTGAAGTGTATCTCGGATCTGCGTGCGTCATTGTCGAGGCAAAGCAGCCGAGCAAAGCAGCCAGCCAGCATTGCCCGTGCAATGTCAAACCAATAGTTGGGAACCCATACATGAGTAGCACCGTTTGTGAGCCCGATGTGTGCAGTAGTAAAGTTTCATGTTTTGGAAATGGCGTCAAAAGCGCGCGGGTATTCAGGCTCTAGTCGAATCCTTCCGGTTTGGGCAATCGGCTTGGTATCTCTAGCCAACCTTATCGAAGCCCAGCGAGGGCGGCTGGCGGCTCTTGGGTGACCTGCCCGTCTGTCTTGTCTGGCCCGTAGCTCAATGCCCGTTCCACATGCCTGGGTGCAAAGTGATTGGAGGTTAGCCAGGGAAACAATTGCGCGGCCTGCATTGGTGGCCATCCACTTGTCCTACTGGTGCGGGCTAGATAGAGTATTCGACATGTCGGGACGGATGTACGGCTGGTTCAGTAGGGGCGGTTTGATCGTCTCGACTGCAGATGCCCAGGTTGCCTGTGCAAGTACGTACCGTGAGTCCGTCCTTGTATGTGCTTGCAATCACATCGCCGATGAGACCTTGAGGCTTTGTAAATAAGGGTGACCTTGGGGAATGAAAATAGCACCGCCCGTTCCGTCGGCGACGATGACGATTTCTGGCTGAGATGCGGCCACAAAAGAATTGTCGAGAAGTGCCGAGAGGTGCGGCATGCGAAAATATACTAACCTGCTTGGCCAATAGTAGCAACGACATTAACAACAATAACAATAACAGACGCACGTTGTAAGTCGTCTAAGTGTAGGTAGGTATCTATCTCCATCGGCCAACAATGCAAGTCCAGGGCAAATTGTTGCTTTCCGTCTGTGATGCAGTTTTGTGTATCCGTCCGTAGTAGGTAGGTACGTCTGTACATGTGTACATCTCGCTTGATCCACCCGCGACTCCTCCCCCTGGCTGCCAGGCTCCGTGGCTCCTTCCTCTCCCATGCGCTTTTTGGCTCTCCCCACCCCCATGATCCATTACCATTTGATGACCCAGAGCCGAGCCAACAAGCCCCGGCATTTGACATGGCGGTGATGACGGAGCATGCAACCCGAAGGCGCGGCCTGACGCACTCATCCCTGCGTTTTACATCTCACTTCCTTCTCTTTGGCCCAACTGTCTCAAGCCAAGCAACTCGCACGGAATGCTTGCGTATGCTTTTTGGCTTTGCCAAATGTCTGATATCCTCTGGCTCTTACTCTGACCAAAGGCTTACGCAGCAATGGAGACCAAGGATCGCTCGCACGGTATCATTTAGTATCCGGGTGGGGGGGGCTTAGTTGCCCATTCCGTCGGTCGGCTCATTCACCTTGACTAAACTTTTTTTTTCTTCTAGGCCACATAATACGCTGTACTAGTAGCTAGGCAGGTAGGTACCCACGTGTACAGTATATGCAGGGTATCAATGGCCCATCAATCAGGCGTTTCGTTTCCACCCGATATACCCACTGTCTCATCCTAAATGGGTTTGTATCTACACGGATTCACGGCCTCCAAACGGATGCCAGAAACACCCTGCCAACCCGTTAGTCCCATACCTATGCATAGAACTCTACTCGTTCCCGCCAGGGCGGTCCCGGTCCCGGGCCACTCGACCGCCTATTACCCTTTTAGGCTTGTCATTGCGCTTCCGCTGCTCAACAGGGAAGGGAGACCCCTTCCTCGACTTTCTTCCTCAATCATCACCTCAGAAAATGTCTAACTGGATTCGCATCGCGCCCTATGCTTCCAGCGTCGGGGGCTGCAAGTTTCTACTTGAACAATCACGCTGCTCGTAATTCCGTCTGCCACCACGACAAGATGGCAGACTGCATCCAAGGCGCGCACTGCAGGGAGTTTTGATCACAACCAAGTGCCCGATTAGTCCCTCCGCCCATTTTTTAGGCTTCGCCCACCCGGGGGAACGTGTTGTGCCGACCGTGTCCCCGCGGTACGACACTAGCTGCTTGCTATGCTGCTTATTATGGCATCGAGGCATACGGCAGCTCCTCTTTTGCGTGGCTGTGCTAGCCAAGGTGTATCGACGTAGGCATGCTGATAACTAGCCTGCCCTAGGGTTGCCCTAGAGTGTCTTCGAGGCGAAGCCAATAACAGCAGCTACTTGCCAGATGATCCGGTACATCTTGCAGCCGGGCCGTCCTAGGTACACCTCATGCATCTGTTACATGTGCTCCAGGGGTGGTCCCCAGCATGACTGCATCTGCCAGAGAGGAAAAGGAAGAGGGCATCAAATCTCGCTGTCCGCACTCCCCCAACCCGAGTTCCAGCCAGCCAGCATCGAAGCAAGGATGATAGGGAATTGGCATGGGCCAGGGCCTGGCTCTCGGGACCGAGTCGAGAAGCCAAAGTCGGTATGACCCTGTGCGAAGGCGTTGTCTACGTACATCCCTCGCCAGGGTCTCGTGTATATCCCGTTGGCGTGGGGAGGAAAAGCAGGTACCTCCGAACGTAAATCACAGCAAAATGATTGGCAGAACAAGCACCACCCCCCAATACCTGGATAGTTGCTCCATGCCTTCTCCCGGCGCCGCTTTGAAACTAGCACCATAAGTCTCTGCTACCTATTGTATTACACGGCTAGGTTGTCGTTGCGCACCCGACATTTCTTCATAAGAACCTCTGGAGCTCCCACCCTGCCCTCACTCCGAATCACTTCCAGCAGCAGTGCTACTCCAACAACAAGCCAAGAGCCTCCCTACATACTCGGACGCATAAAGACGTATGTCACATCCCCAGCCCACGTCCCCCCGGACTCGTCAATATGACTTCCTTGATACTTGATACCAACCCAACCCATTCGTTTTCCCATTGTTTGATCAGTCACTGACAGGGTGGTTCAGTATAGCCACACTCGACTCAAGCTCATCCAGTCCCCAGAGACATTGTCCACGATGAAGGCCTTTGCAGCTTCTTTCCTGGCGGCCGCCCTGTGTACGTCAAAGACTGCCGTTCTTCCATGGTACATAACTAATACCAAAAACCATAGTCGCGGTGACAGCCTCCGCCGACCCCATTCAGGCATGCCCCAACGACGTTTGCTTCCAGGTCGCTGTGCCCCAAGACGCTTCGAGCTCTGGTAGCGGCAACCTTTACTTCCAGATGTCTGCCCCGACCAGCTACCAATGGGTTGCTCTTGGAACCGGCTCGTCCATGTCCAACTCGAACATGTTCCTCATGTACACCGACGGCAGCGGTAACGTTACCATCAGCCCCCGTACTGCACGCGGTCACAACATGCCCACGCTCTCCTCGAGCACCAACCTCCAGCTCCTTGCCGGCTCCGGCGTCAAGGACGGCAAGATGATCGCCAACGTCCTCTGTACCAACTGCGCGAGCTGGAGCTCTGGCACGATGGCCCTCAACTCGGCCACCAGCTCCTGGATTGGGGCTTGGAAGTCGGGCAGCGCTATAAATTCGGCCAGCACCAGTCAGAGCATCCAGCAGCACGATGACCACACCAACTTCAACATCGACCTGACCAAGGCAACTGTGCAGACGGACAGCAACCCTTTTGAGGGTACATCCGGCGGTGGCAGTGGCAGCGGCAGTGGCAGCGGCAGTGGAAGCGGAAGCGGAAGCGGCAGCGGCAACGGTAACAGCAACGGAAACGGAAACGGAAACGGGAATGGCGGTTCCACCAGCGGCGGTGTTGTATTTAACGGAGGCAGCGGCGGCTTGTCCAACGTCCTCCTCGCTCACGGCATCATAATGTCGATCGTGTTCATTTTCTTGTACCCTGTCGGAGCCATCCTCATGCCCTTGGTGGGCAAGTGGATGGTCCATGCTGCCTGGCAGTCGGTCGCCTTCCTCCTCATGTGGGCTGGTTTCGGCGCTGGCTACGTCTATGCCCGCGACAACGGATATGTGAGTTGCCTTTTCTGGCGTGAACGCGGGATCGCCCTCCCTGATCCCACCGACTTGCCATCCAGAACCATGAAGCTGATGAGACGCAGCTCTTTGCGCAAACCCACACTCTTCTGGGCACCGTAGTCGTCGCCATGCTGGCCATCCAGCCGTTCCTCGGAGTGGCACACCACAAGTACTACAAGAAGTACCAGACCCGTGGTATCGCCAGCCACGCCCACATCTGGTACGGCAGGGCTCTGATGCTCCTCGGAATCATCAACGGCGGTTTGGGCCTCGAGCTCGCTAGCTCATCCCGGTCCTATGTCATTGCGTACTCTGTTATTGCCGCTATTATCGGCGTCGCATGGATTGGATCCGCGGTATGGGGCGAGAGCCGCCAGTCCAAGCGCACCGTCAAGCGTGAGCAGAGCTACGACTCTCCGGGCTCGCAGCAGCGCATCCCTTACCGCCAAAAGAAATAGAGATAGACAACAGGATATCCGTATTGGGGACAGAATGATGGGTGGGTTCTGGGGAAGGTGCGGCAAAAGACGAGGGAACCAAGGATAACAGGAACTGGTTGCCTAACAGGCCCTTGTTTTGATTTGTCTTTTTATTTTTATTTTTATAATGGTCATACCCAAGGATTGGTTGCTTTCGTCTTGACGATGATTGCTTTGTGTCCATGGCTGCATACTGGCAAGTGGCTGTTGTGGGTAGAGCTGGGAGTTACAAGGCGTTGATAATGATATCACATGATTGACGACGGGATCGTGAGTCCATGACCGCTTGATCGATCCGATGAACGCTTATTTTGGTGTTTGCAACCCTTTGGAGGGGATGAGATGAGCGAGTGCAAACTACTTGACTTACCTGGTGAAAGTGAAGGGTCAACAAGCGATGAATGCCTAGCTCACTATGGTCGAAGTTCAACGGTGACGAAATGGTCTACATTGGGAAGATGGGATTGAGGGGAATACAGTTGGTGTGTATGTCCATGTGTGCTGTATGAGGTCATGCAACGCCGATGAGGTAGCTCTCAGCAAGCTAACCAGATCGCAAAGAGCTTAGGCCAAGCAGCCCCAAACGTTTGGTGTGGGATACCGTGTGAGCCACTGGGTCTATGATGTCGGCGGTTTAGACGCCTTGGTTCTGGATTGACGAAACTGTTTCTGGAGAGGGAAAAAAATAAGGAGGGGGGGGGGGGGGGGGGGCAGGATGAACATGAGCTGCCGGTGCGATCCTTCACCGACCCCAAATCACTTAGTTTACAAAGCCAGTCAATCGAAGAAAAGTGTCAGGCAGTTCTCACGTGATAACAGTCTACCGCACCATCTCCAGCGCTGTTGTCACTGTCTGGTTCCCATGCTTTCGCCCCGAAGGCGTGGGTAAGTGGAGAAAGATAGAGATCGAATCAGACCCTGCCTGCCTGCCTTGCAAATCGAGTATTTCAGTGTGATCGCTGCCTTACACCTAAGGCACCACTAAAATCCCGCAGCGTTTGGATCATTGCGTCCAACCAGAACCGAACCGGCTCACTCCAGCTTTTTACTGCTGCTTGTTCTCCCATCCCGTACAAAACCCTCAACCACCCGTCGTTCCGCCCTCTACAACCCCCTTCCCCCCCCCGGTGTCCCCCAATTGAGCCAGCCACCGTCCACATATCAAGATGCTCGTCCAATTGTCCCGCGCCACTGTACGTTATCTCCCTATTTCCCGTGATGGATTCTTTTTTTTGCTTCGGCCGCCGTCGGAGTTTCGACGCTGCAGTCGATCGGAAGAGCGAGACAGGAAAAAAAACTGACAATTGTGCAAATAGCGCGTCGCTTCGGCTGTCTCTCGGCTGGCGAGGCCCAGCGCCGTCCAGATGAGGGGATTCATTGCCCCCACGGTCTCGCGAAGAGGTTCGTTATTCTCTCGTTTCCCCAGTCGTTCGATTCGCCGGAGGTGGAGGAAGGGGAGGAGGCGGCGGCTGATGGAGATTGGTTCGGATTGCCGGTGCGGCCAAGGGAGGCTAAGCTCCGAAGCTGGCCTGCGGTTTTGCACCCCGACTTCGGGTGACGATGTATCGCAAACTCGCATCAACACACGTCGTCGGGTGCCATCCTCTCATTGTCAATCCGACGCCCGATCTCTGTCATGTCGTCTCGGCGAATGACCATTGCCGTTCCCTCCCTCCACCCGTATCCCTCTAGCTTGTCATGCATATCCCGTCGCCGCTACCGCTGAGCGTCGCCGCGTAACACCAGAAATGCTAACTACGTCTGGGATGCAGCCGACTTCGTCCAGGAGCTCTACCTCAAGGAGCTCAAGTCCTACAAGCCTTCCCCCGTCAAGGACTCTGACGCCCAGGGCCAGGTTCAGACCTTCTCCATCCCCCAGACCCCTAAGTCGCCTGAGGAGACCGACCTCGCCGCCAGCCTGAAGGAGTACGAGAGCATGGCCGTCGAGGTCGAGGGCCAAGATGCCTCGGCCGTCGCCGCCAACGGCGAACCCGTCAAGCACGACTGGCTCATGATCGAGGAGGACGAGGAGGAGCCTCACCACTAGACGCGGGCAACCCTTTTGGGGCACCCCGATATCGAAAAGTTTTTAAAACAAACGCCGCATTTTCAACCCCGTCTTAAACAACCGATCGAAAACAAACCATCCTGGGAGGGCGACTGGGGGAAAAAGTGCTTTTCCAACTCTTGCCTTTTTCGGAATTTTGTAAACCCTGCCGCTTGCCCCGACGGGCCGAAGGAGTGGGAGTGTGCTGGTGGAGAGGGAGAGGAGAGCTGAATAACGAGGGGAAAGAAGGTGTGCTGGGAGGTGGTAATCCCGTGTATATTGTCCAACTGAACCTCGCTGGCTAGGAATGCTATTTGCATGCGCTCAAGACTCTCGAGACACAATTGCTAGCTGACTACGTATGCGTGTACACTTGAAGGTGACATGTTCAGTTCCTCGAATCGCCCTGCATCGTACTCGTCGCCACTGCAGGCACTATAGACCACCTGCCACACTCGACGTGTGTCTACTAAAACCCTACTTCACCCAGCCATGCCCGTGTTATTCTTCGAAATCAACAGAAGACTGACGGGCGTGGGCATGTGGACCCCAGAAACTCCCGGCAGACGGCCAAACAACAACATAAGTCCGGCTTTCAAAAAGATGGGCAGCCGCAAGATGACGACCGTCTTGTAGAACGTATAGTAATCACGTCTGATTGCCCAACCCTTTTCCCCAACAACAACAAATCTCCAGAAGGGAGGAGAGGGGAGCATTGAGAGTCACAGGTGGGAAAGAGTCATCCAAGGGCCCCTGGTGTGTTATCAATGCGGCCCGGTCGCCGGTCCCCGCGCAACATCAACAAGGACAACAACACTAAGGCGGATTTAAGAAATGATAACGAGCATGACGAGCATGGCAACAACCAGCGCGCGCGGCTCCCTCCCATGGACCCCCCTGTCTTGGTTCGGTAGAACAGAGGGGCGGGCGTTCCCCACAACAGGAACGACGGCAAATGGCGTTTTGTTTTTGTTTTTCGCATGTGGAAAGCCAACAACAAAAGATCCCCTTCCTCCTTTGCTTTCTTTTGCATACTGACAGACTGATGACTTGAGAAAGGGGGGAGTTGCAGCATCACCCTCGTCCTTGTGTATTATACCAGCTGGACGGATCATGCCCCATAGTCTATGTCTCTGTCTTGCTGTGCATCACAAGAATATTTAAGCATTAGAAGAATTACACGTCAGTTAGTAAAGGGAACCATGCACATGTACATATATACATCACCGTCATAGTGGCATATAGGATGAAAAACACTAAGCTGTCTTTAAGCCAGCTAACTAATTAGTATCGCAGACATACGACCCGGTCTCGAGTTGGTCGCCAATTCCCTCCCTTCACCCTCCCGCCAAAGTCGCTGCCGGTAAAGGGCTGGGCTGGGATGCAGCAACCTTCCACCCCAACTCGAGTTCCGGGACCTCGGCCGTAACAACAAGCGACACGTGATAACGTGTAGTGATTGCCTATGGGGGGATCGCTCCTTCTGGCCAGAAGAACGGCTTTCCCCCTTTCCAATCCATCTTCAACGTATCTGTCCCCCTTCAGCTGGGGTCTACTTTCGGATAGCCCATGAAAATACATGCATGCGTTGGGAAAAGATGCTATGAAGCCGAGTGAAGCGAAATGCTGAGATCACTGATGCCTGGAGGGTTCCAAGGGATTTTGGAGTCTCGTCGTAAGGCACGTTGTGTATGTGTGTGTATTTTGTTGTTGTAAGTGCTTCGATCAGCTACAAAGCAGCATTCTGAAGGCCGATCCAGGATCCGAATGTTCATCGCTCTCAGCCCAAACGCCATTACCGATTAATCCCCTATTGATCACATGCAAAGTTGACCGCCCTTATGCACTGAATCCATGAATGTTCGTTTTTGACTTCGTGATGTTGATCGTGTTTTGCTTGTGAAAAGGAAGACACAAAAAGAGTTTGACCAACTTTCTTGTCCTCAAAGTAGGAGCCCTTCTGCCCAAAAAGATGACCAGGACACAACCAAAATGCGCTCATTTAGACGTCAAAGTGCCCGCCCCCAATCATCTGCTCGTCATTGGTGGCTGTGCGGACGATACCGCTCATGCGGTTGCTCTTTTGGTTCATGTCCTCCAGATCATCCCAGTCATCGTCCTGGTTGTGAGAATCACGCATTTCCTCGTCGTCATAACGGCCCTTATCTCTCATATGGTCGTCGAGGGCGCTCTCATCCACAAAGGTAAACCCTTGGAAGTTGGCCTGTACGGAGGGTGAAAGAGGCGTTGATGTGGCAAAGCCCTTGGATAAGGCTGCTGCACGTTCGTTCAAAGAGCCATTGTTGTCCAATGCATTAGTGAATTCTGGGTCAAAGTAGGACACGTCCGTTGCTGAAGTCAACTTCGGCTTGAAGGGAGGAGAGATGAGCTTCTTCGCCAGCAGATCCCAGTCGATGTCTGCAAAGAAGGGGTGACGCTTCAGCTCCTCAGCGTCGTCAGTTGCACCCAGCCTGTGCTTGGGGTTTCTGTTGAGCAGACCCTTCACAAAGTTGCGGCCCTCCTGCGACAAAGTGTCCCGAGGAAATCGGACCTTGCCAAATGCAATGTTCTTGTACATCTGTTGAGTGTCCTCCGCATAGAAGGGGCTCCAGCCGCAGCACATCTCGAAAACAAGAACTCCCAGAGACCAAAAATCCACCATCTTGGTGTATCCTGATTCGTCAAGGAGAACTTCGGGGGCGAGATACTCGGTCGTTCCGCAGAAGGTGTTGGTTGTGTCGTTCTTGGTGAGGTTCGCCTTGGACAGACCAAAGTCACAAAGGGCGATATGGCCGTTTGCGTCGAGGAGAATGTTCTCTGGCTTGAGATCGCGGTATACAATATCGTTGTTGTGAAGGTGTTGGATGGCTAGGATCAGTTCTGCGATATAGAATTTGGCTCTTCGCTCATCGAACCGGCCTTCCTTCTGGAGATGCCAGAACAACTCTCCGCCAGACATGTAGTCGGTGACCAGGTACAGATCCGAGGGCGTCTGGAATGAAAATTTCAGACCCACGATGAAGGGCGAGTCTGACATTGCCGTCCGGACCAGGATGTTACGCTCACCGACGGTGTGAGCGACTTCCTTCTTCTGGACGATGACCTTCTTGGACAGCACCTTCATGGCGTAAATGCGTTCGGTATCCTTCTTGCGAACTTGGTAAACCTGACCAAATGTACCTTTGCCGATCAGCTTAAGAATCTGGAAGTCTTCGGGGCCAAAGTGCTTCCGCTCGGTGCGCTGATAGACGGCTTCGACATAAATCTCTCCTGTAGGGGCATTCTCCGCCACGGTATCGGCATGACCCTTAAGGGGGAACCAGCCGCGGACCGGGTTGTTGGAGTCCCTGTTTGCTTGGAAGCCCACGAGGCCCAGAAACTCTTCGCCATTCGCGCTATGATCATAGACAGAAATGTTCACCAGCATGTTCGAGTCGACAACATCGCTGTTTTGGATTAGCCAGAGTAAAGCGGTCAATCAAGGGTGCCCACTTACAACTGTGCCTCGGCGTCCCACTTGGGGCTGGTGAAGGATCGCCGTGACCGATTGCGAAATGTGTTGTAGTCCGAGATACTGGTGTTGCTGCTTTGACGGCTACGCATCGGGATAGACATGGCGGGCCGACCCGAGTCGCTTCCTTGCCTTTGGATCGGAATGCCGCCGAAGGACGGCGGCGGCAGGTTCACATCCTCTACCTCCTCGACAGAGTGCGGGCCACCCGAGATGAGCTCGGTTTTCTGGAATACAGCCACGACGTAGGGATCCTTGGCCCGCCTCAGGCCCTTGGCTTCCACAATCTTGATCGTGAGCTTGCCTCGAGCGGCGGGGACCTGAGCCCCGGTGGTCCCGCTCCTGGGCGTCTGTGTGCCACTGGGAGGCACCGTCTCATTGCTGCTCCTCTTGGAGCACGTCCGCTCCTCAGACTGAGAAGGCTGCGCGGCCGAAAGCGCCCTGGTCGGGGTTGGCGGACCGCTCTTGAACGCCGCGACTTGTGTTAGCTTCTTGAGCTGATCAACTGACGAAGAGCTGTGTAGGGAAGTGGCTTTTTGCGCTGAACCAACGTGGAAATAGGAGGGAGATATCGGTATGGGGCTGGGGAAAATGGGGTTGGAGATGTGATGCGCATGCACAGCTGACGTTGTGACGATGCTTGAAGGTTGGGACATGAGGGTGAGGCTGTGGCACTTCTTCGGGTAGTCTGTGATGCCTCTTTGGAGCAACGGTCGCGCAGATGAAGATGCAGCGGACCGTGTCTCACCATAGCGCAATGACAGACTTCTCTTGAGAAGGCCCACCGATGACCGTCTTGATATCGGCGGGGTCGGATACTGATGTGTCTGAGCCAGTGCCATGATGGGTGAGGTGTGTGGTGATGAGGGCCGCTCTCCGGGATGATGGGGAAGTGATGGGGAGGTTGGTTCAGGATCGCCACAGGGCACAGCATCCACTGAGCTGACCTGAGAGGCCTTCCCGTCCGTCTCGACTTGGCTCGTTGAGGGACCAGGAAGCGTTTGTCTTTGATTGCGATGCGATGCGACTGGGGCAGATACAGAATTGTGAGAAGAATCTGTACGAACCTGGCCGAAGTAGCTCATAATGCCCGGCAGGCGTTTATCATGGAGGTCGGGTTGAGGGGTTGCCACACCGGAGCGGGGCGTATCAAAGCCGATCTGATCCGCGCCATCCTCGTCAGCTGCGGCCGCGGGGGTCCTGTTGTGGTGGTTAACGGTGAGGTTCATCGTTTGATTTGTGGCGGAAAATGCGCGAGGGGGGGAAATCCTGGGTTGGACGACAGGGACGGTGAGGGTTGAACGCGCTGAGCAGGAGGGCGAAAAGCGGAGGTAGACTCAAAGTAGGAGACCTAGCTCATGACGGCTGCCAAGCCCGCGGCCACTTGACGAGGACGGAGTGTAGTGAGCAGAGGAGGCGGAGTAGGAGTGCAGCCTGTGTGCCTGCGGTGACGGACGGGAAAGTACGGGTAATTTTTTTCTAATTTTTTTCTAATTTTTTTTTTTTTTTTTGCCTTCTGGTTTGGGTGGAAGCAAGGATGCCGTCGCAAGCCAGCCGGGTGGTGCGTAGTTTGTAGGGGATGACGCAGAAAGCCAAAAGGGAAGGAAGTGTCGTCAAATAGGGACAAGAGCCAAGTGGGTTTTTCTGTTCCGAAGCCGCCCCTCCATTGTGCAAAGGCCCTGTTCTTAACCACTAGTCAAGGACTCGAATCGGAGCGCTTCAGTTGAACCTGACGCGAATGGGCGCTACAAAGAGCGGAGGGTAAGCAACCCACTTGGGCCCAAGGTGAACAGAACGGAACAGGGAGAAAGAGCTTCAATGCTGCAGGCCAGAGCGACAAGACAAGACTTGCTCCGGCTACTGGCCGGACTTTCAATGAACGAGTCAGGCCTCGCCCGATAAGCCTCCTGCAGCATTGGCTCTTGGGGCTTGCACTGGCACTGGCACAGGCGGCCCCCGCGTCCTGGCTCATCTATTTGCGACCATTTAGTGTAATCGCCGCCTCGGCAACTCAAAAGAAGGGCCTCAGGCAAGGCGAGTGAGTAGGTAGGTAGGTAGGCAGATGGTGGGCATAGGATAAACAATGGAATGGGGTAGGATGGGACCGGGGGTATGTAGCGATTTCCCCATTTGCATGTGCAAACGAGTGTAAGGGGGGTCGACCGAACTTTCAAATGGATGCATCGTATGTCACGCTCGACAATACTCAACGTAGGCCGTGGAGCAGATGCCAGCTTGAGCACGCCCCAGACTATGGGGGGAGTGCCGCCACCAACACCCACAAAGCGGGCGCGGGCAAGGGTAAAACGACGGAGATGATGAGCCGGTGACAGAAGGAAAGGAGAGGTGAGGAGACAGACCACGGGGCCAACTGGGCTCAGTTGCTTGCAGCCTCGGACTATCGTCCGGGATCGTCTGGGATCGTTCGGCGGTAGGCTTAAAGGGCCGTTGACGGCAGTCTGATGCCACTGGCACTAGCCAGATAAGGAAGATCCTCCTCCAAATAATCAGGTGCAGGAACAAGCGACTGACAGTGGACGTCCCAGGACGAGCACCCCGTTCGCCAGCCACCCCTCCTTCGCCACGCTTTTTGGGTAGCATGTATGTACGACGCAGACTTGCCGCAGAGGGAGGGTTATCGACCACCTTTTGAGACGAGAGGCTTATCCAAGGGTCCAGCTCCTGTTGAGACCACGACGGTGAAGGGAAGACAACCTTGGACCTGGCCATGACAGACGGCAAAAGCCTCGATAACATGCAGTGCCAAGAATTGGATGATGGAAAAGTTGATATGGATTGCACGGCTCCTCCAGCCTTTGATGAGCGGTAAATCAACACGCCCAGGCAAGGGACAAATCCCCAAGCCAGGAAAGGAAAGGAAGAACAAGGTGTATATCAAGCAAATGGGTAAGGCGTCACACATCTCGGACCGGATAGAGGCGAGAGGCGAGCTAACGCTGAAGCTTTGACCAGGCAGATGTTGAGGATGTTGAGGGAGGAGGCCATAGGCCATAGAGGCTCCGTTTGTCGAATGGGGGAACGGGTATGACTGCAGCAAGGAGGGCGGTAGACAAGAACGGGTAAGAGGGGGGAGACCAGAAGAAAGTAGGGGGGGAAAAAGCTAGGAGAATGGATGCTCAGGCAGGTGGCACAAGTGTAGAGGGGTATCATTGGGCAGGAGAGTGGTAGAGAGATGCGTCACAGAAATGGCACATACCTAGAGCCTGACATCATGGCCTGTGTCGCCCGCTTCAGCAGGTCGAAGCCGCCTGTGTTTGCATGTGTGCCCTCGGCGCCGGACATGGTTGCTGGTTGTCCTCTGTTCTCGTGTAACAATGATGGATGGCCTAGTCGAGGCAGAGGCCTAAATCCTTGGTTGGCGTCAAAACAGGCCGAGATATTGCTGGCGCTGCTGAAAGATTGGCCGATGCGAGAGACTGAGCGGCAGATGTGGTGAAGCCTGGCGCAGGTAGGTGGTGGGTGTGCGTGAGAAGGAGTGGTGTAGGGAGATTGTTTGCGTGAGAAAGCGGCGGCGGTTGCGGTTGTGGTGCAAGTGCAGGTGCGGGCGTTGTGATTTTTGGAGTTGGAATTGGAGACTTGATTTTTTTCTCTGAAGGGGGTGAGAAGTTGAGTGGGATGAGGTGAAGGTCGGCCACTGTCTATCCGTTGTGGGAGGGTAAGTGGATTGGATGCGGACGAGTGGAGGGTGGGAGGGGATTCTAAGAGGAGGGAGGGGGCGGAAAGGAAGGAAGGAAGAGAGGGGAAGAAGGCGCGAGTGAGTTCAGGTAAAGCCTGCCCGCTTGCTTCCTTGTTTTCCTTTTTTGATTTTTTTTTTCTCTTCCCCCTCGCGTTACTGGATTGACTTCACGCAGCAACCAGCTGGCAAAGAAAACAACAATTTTGGACCTCGAAGGGGGCAGCAGGACGGGGACAGGGCAGCCTCGACCAACATGTATGTACCAGTACCAGTGCCAGCAACAGAGCAGGGCAGGTAGGTCGGTTGAGTGAGTGAGCGAGCGAGTGAGTGAGTGTCGGTACCAGCGTTGTGTGTGAGAGTGGGGCGAGGGGGGCGACTGCGTAGCGTAGCACTCCAGTCGATGACAATGGACTGGTGGTCCAAGGCCCGAATGTACATATGGCAGGGAGTCCGTGACGAGGTTATGAACCCCCGGCCAGTGTGATTGCGGCTGTCGCAGAAGGCGGATCGTGAAGTGGCACCTAAGGACGGAAGGTTCACGAGGAGGACTCGACTCCTGATAATATTGAATAGCTTGGAAAATCGGGTTCGATGTGGGGTTGATCGAGTCAAAATGAGGTCAAGCGGGAGACGTCAGAGACGGAAGGAGGTCGTTGGTGAATATGTAGAAAAGGGAAAACCCTGAACTGGGGGGTCTTGTTTGTAGCCAGGCAAGGCAAAAAAGGCACTTTGCGTTGTTACCGGTGAAACCAACATGAGAGGTCGGCAAAGGTAGTAAGTAGGTAAGGTAAGGTACACGGCAAGGCGAGGTGAGGCGAGGCGAAATGTGGTGAGGTGACTATGAGAGGAAGAGGGCGTGGAGATGAGGTGGGGTGAGGTAAGAGGCAGGAAAACAAGCCTGTTTATTGGGAGGGGAGCTTGTTTGGACATTCAGTCCTATTCGATCCCGTTCTGCATCTTATGCCCAGAGATCGGTAGGCAATTCCTGGTGTCGAGTGTCTGTCGGAAAAACGGATGGCGGTGATGCCTGGGGCAGGTGCTTAGAGGAAACGTGATTCCAGTTCCAGTCCACGCCTGGTGTTGAATAAGCAATTGACTGATTGTATTGGGTCAGCGGTCAGCCAGTCGTCGCAGCCCGACGGCCAAAGAGTAGCTACCATCTACCTACGTTGCTACGTAAACTACTTTAGGTACGGTGTACTACCGCAAATGGTGTGCCTCCCTAACCCCACAAAAAGGACGATACCCCCACAAAGGGACCGGACTCTCACACAGGCCATATGCGCCGGCCTAGTGCCGGTAGCCTGAGTACCTCCTCCTTAGGTATCTACCTAGGTTGAGAGTGTACTGTAGTGCAGTGTACCTAGTGTAGAGTAGAGCGAGAGGCTTCTTCTAGAAACCTTCTATTATAATGAGTATTGGCATGATGTTATGTTCACCTATATAGTGTTTTACCGACTGTGTTGGAATACCTTGTTGCGAGTACCTGTGCGACTTTGAGAAGGACCGCCTTGGACACGTGCGTATCCGTACCTCAGTAAAGCGAGGTGAGGGGTTCTGCTCTCGAGCAGGGTAGATAGGCATTTCGTTCGGGATGCCGTTTTAGGGATACAGGCTTCCAAAGAGTTCTGGGTGGCCTGCATTCCACAGCTGCTTTGGTAATGGCGAGAAGATGACTGCTGCTTGCCCGCCCGCCACGCCAAGCGGCATACGCAGTTGCCGTAGGTAGTGTAGGTGTGTACGGAGTACGGATACACTAGGTATATACGGAGTATGTATTGTCTCATTCGAAGAAGTACGAATAGCGACAGTGTCCATGCAGCTGCCACCCCCCCTGCCTCCACTTACCCTCCGCCCGCGGCGTCCACTTCGGCCACCACCTCCTCGAATTCATACCAAATGCAGGGATGACACATCACATGGCTTTATATCCAAAGGGCCTCCCTCTCTTCCGCTTCAGTTCCAAACGTAAAAATACGGCTTTCAGAATGCGCGCATATAGGCCTCGCCTTTGGGCCGTATCGTCCCTTCATAAACAATCCACGTCTCGTCCGGCATCGGTTAACCTTGCTTCATTGCAATTGCAGGGGGGGGCATTTGTTCTAGACGGCCTTCGAGAACCAACTGAACAGGCTTGCCAAGGAATGTCCAGCGCCTCGCCGGTTTGAGCGAGGTTTTCGCCGCAACCAACGACCAACGTCTAATTCAGGACCGCGCCTCTCAAGCGGAGGGTAACAAACGATAATATATACAGCTCCATCTAAATGATGTGTATAACCTGTACAACATTCAAAGGGGGGGCGAGGACACGAACGCTTGCACGATGGCGTCGACTGGCTCAGCTCAGGCTTGTGGGGTTCTCACCGGCCTCCCTCCGAGACCGCCGACACGAACATGAGGGATCCTCCTCGGGAAACCGTCGACCCCCGCCAGCGGGCCACCCTTACCATTCTGACATGCGAGTGACCCGCGGGGGTGGATGTGTTAGCTGGACCATTCGGTTAACAAGGTGGATGAGTCAAGACCGTCGACAAACCAACATCACATTTGGAAGGCAGCATTGGCTCCGACGCATTACACCCCTTTCGCCACTCTGCAACCGTACAGCTGCAGAGCTGCCTGCCTATCTTGTCATGGTGGTCGCACCTGCAGGGAGGGTTGTTGGTTGGATACCTTGCTGGGCCAAAAGGGGGCTCTGCTTTGGCCAGGCCACTCCACGGTCCCCATTTCCCATATGTCACCGTCACGTCCGCAACTCTTTATAGGTAGGTATCGTTGACTCTGCGGATCGAGACACTGCTGGGGCCTGGCATGTCTCGAAGCAACCCCCAATGTCAGCTTGCGATGCATTACAGAGTACGGGCCATGCACTGTCAGCTCGGCAAATACCAGCCGCCATTGGTCGGATTCGCGCCTTCTATTCGCGCACTGAGAGATACGATGTCATGTACACTATGTCCTTGTCCAAGGTGATGCGCCTGCCGGTTTTTGCAGAGGCGGGTTTACCACAGCATGGATGGGTGCCATGGCTTGGCCTACCAACCTTTGGGGACTAGCACCAGCTTGTTGTCGACTAGAGGCCGGCATGGTCCATCCAGCCGTCCCAGACGGCCTGCTCAGACTAGCGTATTGTCTTCGTCCTGAGGGCACGGGGCGATATCATGTTACACAATCCCGTCATATCGGTCAATTCGAACGAGCGGGGCTGACGAAGAACAGTGACGGTACAACAACACCTCGCAAATCTACCTACGGCACGGCACACGCGTTGTTGCAACCACACGCTTACATTTCGGGATGCCCCTAAGTTGAGGGTCGACGCCATGATTTATTTGGCAGCTGGGGCAACGTCGCTGAATAAGCTGACAAGCTCACGCTTGGGGATCCAACCCCCTCCCCGACTTTTCACCTCATGCATGGTACATGATGGATGTGAGTCGACCACTCCCACCAATCGTTCCCGCCGTTCGCCTACCGGTAGAGAGGCCGCCCGGCCCCTACGTAACTGGTGGAATTCGCTACGTCAACCTCTCTCCTGCCCCTGCCCCGACGTTGGATCTCCATCTCTGTTCCCGTTCCATCCGACGTTGCCCAGCGTTCAGTGAATGGCGATTCTTCATATGCTTTTACGAGTCATTAGGCTCTTAGTCGCAGCATGAACATGGTATTCAAGGCGCTGCTCGGGCGTTCATTATACCCTCGGGACGCTCTTCGTTGCCTGCTCCATGTTCGTGTCAAGCGACCAACGTTCCCTTCATGCGGCGTGAGACGAATGTCTGCTCCAAGGCGTCAACTTACCTTCAAACCAGAGAGCTCAGCCTTCCTATAGAAACTCGTGTGTACCTTGTGCTATGGCAATCGTGCCTTTGGTCCCAGCCGCAGTCCCCCAGTCCCGTTCTCATGTGCGCTCGAAAACTCTTTACCCCGACTCGACGAAACGCCCCGGCCGACCGACTGTCCCTCGTTAACGTTTCGCAGACCCAACCCGGAGCAATCCTCGTCCGAAGAGTATTCGAACCGAACCGCCGGGTCTGCATTTCGCCAACCCCGGGCTGTCGCTTGTCCCCCAACACATGTCCAAATGTTTTCAGGCCCGAGTTCCCTCTCGTCTGCCCCCTTCCCGCTTCGGGGGCCACATGTCGAAGAATCAACGTGCTTCATTCTCATGCGACCCTTCGTGCATCTGGCATTTGCACATGAACGCTGGCTGGCGCTGACAGGTTGGGGGAGGGGGGAAGCAACCAGTGCCAGTGCCCAGCTTCGTCTCTCGCATTGACAACTCCCTCGGATGGGGGGTTCTCTCACTGACCAATCACCCGTCAGCTGCCGGGAGCTTTCATGCTTCTACCGTACGTACTGCGTAGTTGACTTATGTATGTAGGTAGGTAGATGCAAGGCCGATGTCTGTGCTCCCGCGTTCCGCCGATGGGGGGGGGGGGGGGGGGGTTGATACCCTGCGTCTATTTGCCATGTGCTGCTACCAGAGAATGCAGGGTCGGCCTGACAAGACGGCTACCCAGTGTTGCAATCTTCCCTGTTTCGGGTGCTCCAGTTCCTGTGTTTGTCCTTGCTTCCACGACGTCGTTTCAGTGTTGATCATGCCAACGCCGTCAAGCTGCATGCATCCCGTCTCTACAGAGCCGAGTGGTCTGATGCCGTTGGTCGGCTTCTTGGAATTCATGAGCTCCACGTTATGTGGCTGCAAGTGTTCACTTTGTCGCTGGCCAACAAATGGTAACTGTAAACTTGAAAACCGATGTTTTTGTCATTGCCAATTCATAAACACTGGGGTTACGTTCATATATTGCTTAATTAGGTCGCAGCCGAGGGGAAGTATCCCCTGTTCATTCAAACGACCCTGGTCATCTTTATCCTGTAACCTGCAAGGCATATTAACTCGAGGCTCGTGCGTATAGGTCAAAATGTGGTTTTGTATAATTTGCAACCGAACTCACTATGCTAGGATCTCCAGGACCCATTGGGAACCTCTCCAGATGTGTCTAGTCTAGTAAATGTAAACCCGCCGTGCCATGCAACGAACAGCCCGGTGTGGATATACTCCTATACGGAGAAGCGACGACGTCTAACCCAAAAAGCCTTCCGAACGCCCCATGGTATGCTTCTCCCACATGATTCATTACTCAATGGCTAGGTAAGCCGGTCACGTCCGGCCGTCAACGCGATGAGTCCATCTTCTCCACGCCCTTCTTCTTGAGGGCGATTCGTCGCTTCTTGATCCACACGGCGTCGTCAGTCTTGACCCACTTGAAGTTCTTGGTCGAGAGCAGGATCCTGGGACGCTTCTGCGCCGCGGCCAGGGGCTGGGGTCTCGGTCGCGCGAGCAGTCGTTGCTGCAGTAAATGGCTGTTGTGGTAGATTCTAGGGCTCGGGAGGAACGCGGCCTCATGCGTTTTCCTCACGATGATGATCTCCTCGGCCAGCGGGGGCGGCGGGAAGACGAGAATGTCGGAGGGGCGGTGCCGGCGAGATTTGGAAGGTGTCTGCTCTGTTGCAGGCGAGCCGTCAGTTCATGAAGAGCTAGGGATTAAGAGATGGGCATTGGGACTTACTGCGGATCTTGCGTAGGGAAACCGTCGGGGTTGTGAAGGCTGGTGATTGATGCTTGGTGTGGGAGCCGTCCCCGACAGACTCCTGGTCCAACATGATCGGGGCCATGTTCTCCGGATTACGATTCACTTCAGGGTGAAGTGAGGCGGTTGTGTTTCTTAATAGTTAATTTGTTCGACCAAGGTAAAGGCGTCCGGCGCGGTTGAAGTGGGTGACTGATGATGAAGATAATGAGGTATCCAGGACTGGGCTTCAAATCACTGTGTTGGATGTAACTACGTCTTGATTCTGCAGTGAAACTCTCGTGTGTTCTTAATGAGGTTCAGGTATTCTGAGGAAAACGAATAGGCCGAAGAAGGACAACTGAGAGCAGCCAAGATATAGGTCGAAGGCCGGTGGAGCCTGATCTCGATGTGAACAACTGATATAAGTGACTGTTCCCAGCCCTATTATGAATGATCAAGTTGAGACGAAATAGAAGTACGGATGCCTGGATTTTCCACGTCGTGGAGTCGAGTAATGACGGCATGGAGAAGATCATACGGCTAGGTGGAAGAGGTGAATGACCACGGCCGAACCCATCCGCGTGACCACCACTCCATTCACCCCAAAGCTCCACGCGGCTCCTGGCGGAACCACATCACTGGACCGCGAACTCGCCAGAAGAGCCCCAGGCATATCGATAACATAACATTGGGGTTGATTGGCGTATTGATTTCTTTCTGCCTGCCGGGACGAGAAAAGATGGGAAAAGGGGACCGACCACAGCGGCGAAACTTGTTTTTTCGGGCAAAGGTCGAAACCCTCAAAGAACTTGTTCATTCCTACAGAGGGACAAAGCAGCGGCTTAAAACAACACATTCATATACAAATACTACACAGAAGATCGACAAACCATTCAATCGGTGCACATAAGGCCGTCGTGGCCAAAGGCAGACCAGTCCGCCGTGAGAGGCTCGCGGACCAACTCCTTAATTCCGGTCCCTGTACTCGGCGATGATCCGGTCGATCCTCCTCTCGGCCTCCGGTGTTCCTTTGGGATTATTACGTGGATCAGAGCCGTTCCTCGGGAGCAGAGGGTCGGGAAAGTGCTCTGCCAACCTGCTTTTAGCACTGGTTTCCATCTCGGTAACCGCAGCCGGCCTTGCTCGTTGATGAATTGTTCAAAACACGGGAGATGCGAGAGATGTGAGAGATGCTGGAACTGCTCCCCCAATCCAGAGTAACGAACAAAAAGACTGGTGCTGATAGCACTTACTCGGATCGAAGCGCTGGTCGAGAAGCTTCGACTTTAAGGATTCAAACTCCTCTCTGGACTTCTTGCTGTTCCAGCTGGGCGCGGCCTTGCCGTCATCAGCGGCGCTGGCTCCGGCCTCGGAGCGGGGTGTCTGGAGCTTCGCAGAACCAGCAGCCATTGCTTTCCTTTGTTTCTTCGAGTTAAGATCGGGTTAAAATAGTCTTTAAACCATTGCGAGAAGCCGCGGGATAGGGTTGGAAGCTGGAGATGTATGCTTACAGGCCAGGGTCAGTTTCAACACCCGATTCGGCAACCTAGGATGTGCCAAGAGGCGTAGTTGGGAATTGGTGACAAGAGATGCGAAACGATCGAAGCACTAGAGAAGATCAGAGAATTGATACGACAGATATAGGTATTGAGAAATACTATAATGGAACCTGAAAAAGACAATGAAATGAAGATGGTCTCTTAGCTGGGATTCTGCTTACGCATTGAACTGGGCAAGTGATAAATGAGAGTAGTCTCTCGTCTGGCTGGCTTGTCACCTGGCCCGGGCAACCCCACTATGCCCCAGCGTGTTTCCAAGATCCGATGCGCCTGCTGACCCCTGGTGCCCCTCCACACAAGCCTGGACAGAGAGGAGACTTTATCGGTACATCAACTCTGGCTCCATAGTGGCAGGTTTGAGAAGTATTACCGAGGTCATCTTCCTAGTATGGAGAAGCTAAAAAAATATAAAAAAATAACCGTACCGACAACGCACAAGGCACAGCCAACAAGGGACCAGGCCCGACAACTTCATCTCATTCCACCTTTTCCATCCCCAGTGTGCAATTGTGAACAGCCACCTCCTTTGAGAACTGGGCAACCTCCGATTTTGGGTCGCATTGCGTTCACCTCCTCCTTGAAACCCTCCAATGCTTCCGTTTTAGCTGCTCTCACCGCTCGCCTCGTCACGGTCACAGGACACTCATCCTTTTCCCACCCCACCCAGCCAAAGCACCTTTCTCCTGAGCAGGCGTACTTGCTAGTTGCCGACAAGTCTGTATACCGCGCCTGAAACTCTGAACAACTCCTGGACAGGATGGTCAAGAAGGCATCCGTTCCTAACGCTTGGGAGGACGATGACTGGGAGTCTGCTGCCGACAAGATGGATGGTGGGGCACCGTTGCAGCCTGAACCGCCGGCACCGCTGAGCAAAGCAGAGCGCCTTGCCCAGCATGCCGAGTCAAACAGGAAGCTCTGGGAATCAGCGTACGTCCATTGATGATGTCTCCTGCCTCCCGATATAGCCTATATGCAATTTCCCCGTCCTCTGGGCCTTCCAGTCTTTCGGGTGACCAGCCACTGACATAGCAACCCCGATAGCGATACCCCGACACCTCTGACCTTCCTTGAGGCCCAGCCCTCAGTGCCACTGGCTACGGGCTTCAAGCCGCAAGTTAAGGTACTCAGCCGCAAGCCCGCACCCCGGACCATTGCCCGCCGTGATCCTGTCACCGGCCAGCTCTCTCACCTCTCCCTGGCCGACGACGACGCCGACGACGAGGCCGCCGAGAAGAAGCCCCAGCTCACACCGGAGGAGATTCGTGCCAAGCAGCAGCGAGAGCTCGAGGAGAAGCAGCGCCGATACGAAGAGGCCCGCGCCAAGATCTTTGGCGAATCGAACCCCTCGTCCGGGGCCTCGAGCCCCGGGACGACGACCCCGCCCAGGAGCGGGGAGAATGAGAGGGGAGGAGGAGGCCGCGGTCGTAGTAGGGGACGCGGCCGTGGCGGCGGGCACCGAGGAAACAACTCAAGCCGGCAGGAGGACTACAGGCGACCCGGCAGCAGCAGAGCCGACACCGTCCGTTCCGAGAGCGGCCGCGAGCTCTTCGATCCTGGCTATGCGCCCAGGGGAGGCTTCGCAATGCAGAAGCGAGGAGGCGAGCCCGGCCCGCACTCTGGCCGGTCCATGCCAAGGGACGAGGAACAGCCCAAGCAGGCCCTGCGAGCGCCACGCGGACCGGACGGGAGCGGAAGAGGAGGGTTCGGCTTCGCCAAGCGAGGCACCAAGGAGGGTTGATTTACTACTTATCCTATTGACATGAAAGCTACCAGCCTCCACCAATCTTGCCCGCCAACTGGACAACGCGCTCTGTGTCGCTCACCTTGTCCTTTCCCACGTCGCTAACCACCTCGCGATACGTGGTGAGCGCCATCCTGCCCAAGTCTATGCCAGTAATGCCCGCCCAATGCGCCAGGGTATCTCGAATGTACGAAGGTGAAATTCCATCAACAATATCCGCTCGAAGGTCGCCGCCGTTCTGAGACACGCCGTCCTCACCATCGGAGTCCTCCGCTGAGAAGTAGGCCTCGTCGATCTCGGCCAAGAAGACCTTTTGCTCAAGGGGGCCGGGCTTAGCCTCAAAGCCCCGGCGCTCGACGATGATGGGGTCGTCGACCTTGATCTGCCCACCGCCGTTGGTGCAGCCGCCAGGGCAAGCCATGACCTCAACGTAGGCATACTCGAGCCCGGCCGACTTACCGGCGGGCCGTCTGGCAGCGCCAAACGCCTTGCCGCCAGGCATTCGAGACGGCCGTGCCGGCTTCAGCTTCCGCACCAGGTTTTGGATATTCCGGAAACCGTAGTACCTGGCAGCCTTAAATATCGGATCGCCGGCGGGGGAGGCAACAATAAACTCAACAACGTCGGCGTTGCGTCCGCGGACCACTTGGATCTGGGAACCGGGATGCTTGGAGACCACAGTCTGGAGGGTGAAGTATAGGTTGCCGCCGGACGTGCCAGCCGCCTGAGACGAGCGGTGGGCGATGCGGCCAGGGAAGAGGAACTTGTCCAGGCGCGCGTCGGGAAAGAACACGCGCTCGAAGCTCGGCTTACTCCGGGCAAGGTCGAAGAAATTGAAGCCCCTTGATTCCGCCAACATGAGGACCTCCTTGCTAGTGATGACGCAGTCGACGTCGCGGACTCCCCTGCCCGGCATCCCGTCCCCAGCCCAGACCGAATCCGTAAGCTCCTCGCGACTGGCCTCCAGCTTCTTGTCGAAGCAGGGCATGACTGCCAAGTGCCAGATCCTGCTGGGCGGAATCCCGAGCTTCTTGCTGAGGGTGGTCTTGAGCAGTGTGCCCATCAGCGCCTGAGGCGACTTAACCCGTGACAGGTGCGGTAGCACGTACGGGTGCGTCTTCTCGGCGTAGCACACCCAGCCAGGGCACGACGACGTCAGGATGGGCTTCGTCGCGGACGACGCAGGGGCGTCCTCTGCGCTCAAGACCTCGTCCGCACCGAGGACCAGGCACGCCTCACGCGCAACGTTGGTGTCCAGGACCCACGTAAACCCGTTGTTGTGCTTCCCCGCGCTCGCCAGCCCATCGGGGCCGCCGAGCAGCCTCTCGAGCATATGACCCGCCTCCTTCTCCGTCGTCCCCTTCCCCGCCGCGGCGGCCAGGCTCGCCCTAGTCTGGGGCGATACGCTGGCGACGAAGAGCCTGCGGCTCTCGTCCTCGAGGCCGTCGACGCGGAATTGGCCGTCATCGTCCGGGCCGACGATGCGCAGCGCGGGGCCGAAGTCAAGGGTGTGGAGGACCTCGGTGTGGGACTGCATGCTGACGAGAACGGCCTCGGCGGAGGTGACGCAGCCGGAGCAGGCGAGGCAGTCCGTTAGAGAGATCTCGGCCGGCGGGGCATTGGCTGCGGCGGAGCTGGGTTGGCCGTCGAGTATCACTTCGTGTTCGAGGGAGGGGTCCTGCGACGGTGGCGGGGCGGAGGGAAGGGTCTCGATTGGCTTTATGCAGGCGACGCCCGGACTGATGAAGTCGTTGAGGTCGTCTGCCGAGAGGATCGCGCTCATCTTGTCGGTTTCGGGAGGGTTTGTCAAGTCGTAGTGGGAGAAGGGGGGTTGATGGTCAAGGAGGTGGGATGTTGACGATGGCGGGGCAAATGTGATGCGAGAGAAGAACAAAGGGCAGGCCACAAGGATTTTGTAGAAGAGCAGAGCAGGTTCAACAACCAGCAACTTTTGTAAACATTACAAACAGGTAGCAGAGATAAGAATAATCCAGGTCGCCTTTTTCAGGATGCTGCTAATAAACGTGAGTGGTCCCCTTCTCTCACCCTCTATCTCTTCGCGAACCCGGAGATGCGCAAATGGTTGACAGCCTTCGGACGCTTGAGGAAAAACAAAACCGGCAGAGTGTGATTGCAAATCAGCCCCTCGCAACTGGGCTTTTGCAGGGGAAACGCCGCTGGCAAAGGCGAAAGTTGGGGAATCCACAGGGCACGCAAGCGCTGCGAAATCGGCAGGTGGCGGATTGGCGAGAAGAAAAAAAGCGGGCGAGGAAAGATTCCGCCTCCCACTTCCACACCACAGGCGGCATCGGCCTCGGACCCCTGAGAAGCGCTGAGAGAAATACAGGGGGTATTCTTTACAGGAACAAACAAGTCGTGCAGGTGCTGGCCAGCGGTTGACAGGGAGGGTGGCCGCGCGCCTCTCCGACAAGCCCGGGGGGGGGGGGGGGGCGGTCCAATGACGTCGCTTGGATACCCAATATACGTACCGTTTACCAACCTTGAGGTCATCCACGCGATGGAGAGCTGTAGAAGCCCCAGCCAGCTTCAAGTTATTATTATTCCCTTCTGTTTCCTGGAAAGCTATAATACCCCATCTCAGAAAACTCGTCGCTCAGAAGCAGATAATTACCGGAAACTGGCTTTCAGTAGCTCCCTTTAACACTTCAATGGACGTATGGGCAATCCTCTCAAACCGCGCGCACATTGAAAGCCGCTGACAAGCTCCTCTCTACACTACACAACAGGCGATATCGACCTTCAGCTTCGGCAACCTGGGCTGGCTCGCGACACAGGCTGTCCCGCTCATCATCTGGCCGAGGTTTATTACCAACCTCCTCCGTCCCGAGGACTACCAGGCCGCAGGCTGTGAGCCCTTTCTCGCCATCTTCGCGAGGACAAAGTGAACTGACGTCCACCCCGCCAGCTCTTGAGGACTACTTTGCCCGCTCCCTAGGATTCGCTCTCCTCACCCTCGGCCTCCTCGTAGTGACCCTCTCCGGCGCGGTCCCCCTCGTATCCGAGGACCAAAGTCAGTCGCATCCCCCCCCCCTTCCCTGTCCGCATCCTCGCCTGCCTGTCTGTCTTGATAGACTCCTCTCCGCATCGTACTTACAACTCGCAGCCCCGCCGGGGACTGTCTCGCCATACGCCAACGCCGCCCTGTTCCTCTCCTCCATCCACCACGCCTCCGCCGCCTTCTACTGCTACAGCAGGTATCTGCGGACGGACCAGACGGGCTTCGTCCTAGGCTGCCTCGGCAGCACTTTCTTCGCCCTATTCGGCCTCTGGTGTCTCATGTTCGCCGGCGACAAGTCGCGCCGCAGCAAGAAGCACGGCTACGACAAGGACACGAGCTCGTTTCCCTTCAAGAACGCAGAATCGTACCGCGCCAAGAAGAAGGGTATGTAAGTGTTTGCATTTCACTTCTCGCCGGCCAAGTGGATGCCGCTGTCTTATAGGGCTTCGGCCTACAACGCGCGTCATGGGATTTGGCAGCGCCTCCGGTCCAGCCCTTTCAAGAGATGGCGGCAATGTTAAAATAACTTACACAAATTCTTACTTCTTGTCAAAGTCATCCCCACGCAGTATGAAGTAAGGAGTAGGCAGCCAATATCAAGGTGTTTTAGGGGCGGCTGTACCGCCGCTGCTCATCAATTACAGTCAACGATGAATCATTCTCCTGTTAATACAATACGCCATGCGCCGTATGCCCCATGTGCCTCTTGCCAAACTTCCCTGACGCTCCCTGCGGCAGAGTGTGCAGACAATGGAGTTTGTCGGCTCCACACTGACTGCCTTGTTATTTATACCCTTGGTATTTGGGACTATCCTTCTCCCGCGAGTTCTGAAAGACGCTCCATCTCATGGTAGGCTCTGCTAGGAGGACTACAGACTCGTCGACTCTTCCGCGTATATGAGATAGACTGTTTGATCCTTAGGGGCGCCGGGGTCGCTGTCTGCATGGTCACCATGGTTCCTTCAGCTGTCGAAGTGCTCGTCGAAGTGGACCTGAACAGACCTGCGCGTGCGTTCTGATGAGGTAATAGTAGGAATATTCATGGCCACAGCCGATGCAGGGAACTTTCGGTTCGCCCATGCCCAGCGGTTCCCCCACGAATTGTCCGAGGTCGCCGTTCCTGTCTAGGTTCCCCGAGCAGCCCTCAATTGCAGAAGACTGGCTCTAACTAGCTGCCGCAACTTCCGCTGAGCTAGCCCCGTTGGCCAGAGTCTCTTTAGCGCTGGAATCTTGCTGAGAGCCTGCGCCATCGCCATTTGTTGCATCTCCATTGCCTTCTTGGCTTTCGAGCACGCCTGACAGCTGAACATCCGCTGCGCCTGACAGCACTGCCTGTCTGCGTTCATGCCAGTCGACCTCGCTCTTTACAACCTGGGAAAAGAGCACTTCCTTTTCGCGCCAAAGGTCCTTGTACTGTTTCTCCCAGTACTTCACTTCTTCCGCGAGCTTCGCTGATTCATCCTGGGCCCATTTGACTTGGAATCTGCAAAGTTTGTAAAGCTTCTCGAGAGGTATCTTGAGCTCCTCGGGAGTGAAGCCTTGCTCTTCGGTCAGGGGCGTGAACAGGTCGGCCGAGAGCTCATCGTCATCCGCACCATCGTCCATGGCGTCGTCATGGCCGGCGGCGTGTGATTGGGGGGTCTTGATGATGATCTTCAGCTTGCCCTTGCCCGTAGGGCCGGCCTGCATCGACTTGGGGACTGGGTCAGAGGGGCGCAGAGCCTCTGTCTCGTGAACAGTCCGCATGTGCTTCGCTAACGCATCGGATCTAGTAAACGAGCGGTCGCATTCTGCATTGGTTAGCCACCATCTTTAGGGTGACCGGATATTGGCATTGCAAACCTGGCAAGTAGCAGTAGAAGGGCTTCTCCCTAGTATGGCTACGCATATGGGCTTTGAGCGCGTAACCGCTGGCATGGCCCATGCTCTTTCGGTTGCACCCAATCCATTCACACGTGTACTTCTTTTGTCGGCTCTCGATGTGATCGCTGTGAATGTGGTCTACCAACTTATCCATGTTGCCAAAATCACCCGCGTCGCAGCCCTCCCAGGCACAAGCCGTGACCTGCTCCTGGAAGTCCTCTTCGTCTAGTTTGGCATTTATGGGAGAACTGGGAATGTCACCAGAGGTGTCCGATGAGACGTCCGACATGCCATCCAACGGGTCTGGCTCGGGTACAGCTTCGGGCTCGGGTTCGGCAACGACCGCGGGAGACGTCGTCGAAGCCGCTCCCAGCTTCTGTCGCTTCGAAGGGCGGAGGAGCGACTCGTCCTCGTAGTCGTGGACCTCGCCATCAGAGGCATCGCTGTTGTCCATGGAGGAAAGCGGCGATTCGGGTGGTGTCGAGTCTCCACGAGCCATTTTGCGCCGTTCTGGGGATGGAATGCTTTTCGAAGGATGCAGTAATTATCGTCAATGGTTTGCTACTAAAAGGCGTGGAACCAATCGTCTCCAGGGACAGTGAATTAGAAGGTGAGATTGATGTAAAATAGATAATTCCCAGTGGAGGGAAGAGTAGAGGGTGGATTAAATGGCGGATTTCAGTTAAGTGCAGGCCAATCGCCGGAGAAATCACGTCGGGCCTTGCTCCTGACAACTTTAATGATGTTTGCGCCTGGGCTCGATCCAGTGTCGCGACGAAGACCGTGTGGTTCATGGGAGCTCTGTAAGGTGGGTCCAGTCGACGAGCCAACTTCACTGGGGGTCCGTGACCAGCTGGTCTCGCCTGCGCGCTGATGGCGACAGCTGGCAGGTCTGCCCTTGTGGCGTGCTTGGAATCCACCCGGGTTCCTCCCCTGCAGGTACCTATGACTCGAGGGGTCTTCGAAAGTCGAAATCGTTTTGTTTATTCCCCCGCCCCCACCATCATCACAACACCCGGACAGACACTCATTTTGCGCACTTGGAGCCACCTCTTCCCAAGCATTCTACTTCTCTCTACCTCTACCCATCATCATACTCATCATGGCGTCTTCGCGCAAGGTGTTCTCCCTTGAGGGAAAGGGTCTCAAGCTCGATACTGCCGCCGACCTGGAACCCCACATCGCCGAGCTTATCTCGACCGATGTCGAGGAGGTCAAGTTCCTAGGAAACACCTTGGGTGTTGGCGCTTGCAAGCGTCTGGGTGAGGTTTTGGCCACCAAGAATAACCTTCAGGTACGCTACTGACGGCTTCGACACTCACGTCCAACTGCTAACGAAACTGGCCAGTCTGCCGACCTCTCCGATATCTTCACCGGCCGTCTCCTCAGCGAAATCCCCGAGGCTCTGACCTCCCTCCTTACTTCGATCCTCAACCTCCCCAAGCTCACGACGATCAATCTGAACGACAACGCTTTTGGCATCAACACTCAGGCGCCCGTCGTCGCCTTCCTAGCTGCTCACGTCCCTCTCCAGCACCTGTACCTGAACAACAACGGTCTCGGTCCCCATGCCGGTATTCTGGTGGCGAACGCGCTGTCTGAACTGCACGCGAAGAAGGAGGAGGCAAGGAAGGAAGGCAAGGAGGTGCCGCACCTTGAGACTGTTATCTGCGGTCGTAACCGTCTGGAGAATGGCAGTATGCAGGCCTGGGCCAAGGCCTTCAGCCTCCACAACAAGATTAAGGAGATTAAGATGGTTCAGAACGGAATTCGCCAGGAAGGTATCAGCCACCTCATTAGCGAGGGTTTGAACCATGCGACCGAGCTGCGCATCCTAGATCTCCAGGATAACACCTTTACCGTCTCGGGTGCCAAGGCTGTTGCCAGCGTTCTCCCGACCTGGACACACCTCCAGGAGTTGGGTCTTAACGATGCCTATCTCACTGCTAAGGGTACCGCTCTCGTCACCAAGGCTCTTGCAAAGGGTAAGCAGGACAAGCTCGAGATCCTTCGTCTGGCTTTCAACGATATCACCCCTAAGGCCCTGGCCAGCATTGCCAGCGTAGTTTCCAGCTCTCTGCCTGCCCTGATGAAAGTTGAGCTCAACGGCAACAAGTTTGAGGAGGAGGACCCCTCTGTCAGCGCCATCCGCGAGGAGCTGGAGGAGCGCAAGGAGAAGACCGGCGGCGACATTGTCGATGAAGACGCATGGGGCCTCGACAGCCTCAGCGATCTCGAGGGCGACTCCGATGATGAGGAAGAGGAGGAATCCGAGGAGGAAGAGGAGCCGGAGCCCACAGAGAGAGCCGAGATCCTCGACAAAGAGGCCCAGGAGGCCCAGGAGGAGCCTACTGTTCAGCTCAAGGACAAGGAGGTGGACGATCTGGCCAAGAAGCTGGGCAAGACGGAGATCTAGAGTTGGACATAACATTTCTTTTGGTTTACAGGTTTAGAAGATGGAACGCAAGAGGAATGCCCACCCCCCATTTGCAGGAGTGAGGAGACAGACACGATACCCCCCAAAATTACACTTCATCCCACAGAATTGCGATGGTTGCCGGAATAAATCGAGCACGGTCATACCGAGACTTTTTTTTTTATTGGTAAGGTCGATCACCAGCTTCCATTCGCATAGAGGCTTGTACCGTACAAGTCGTATGTTGGGGGCACAACTAGTTGCCTGTCCGTATACCTCCGCAGGCCGTCATCCCACAATCACCCCACCCACACACCTGGCGTCCACGAGACAGCAGAAGCGTCAGAATAGCAGAATGGGGAATCGCGTGAGGTGAGCGACATTTTGTAGTCGTATAAGAGACGGCAAGCTTATCGCGCTCTGCTGGTTTTACAAGAAAGAAGGGCCAACCAAACTCGATCAAATCAAATCAAATACATATCTGCACGTTACAGAATCTTCTCACCTTGCTGAGGAGGCAATGATGGGACACTACCTTTTCGAGACGACAGACCCGGTCGTCGAGCTTCTCTGGAACATCGCCATCGCTTGCTTCGTCTTCCGCATCGCGCTGTCGTACTTCTTCCTTGCCCTCACACCGAGCGTGCTGTTCTCGTGGGCCATATACAAATATCAGCAGCAGCAGCAGCAGCAGCACGGCCTCACAGCAACACAGGCTGAACTCGTGCTCGTTTCGCTGCAAACCGTCGTCGGCGCAGTCTTCGCCCGCCATGTTGTAGTTGCCCACGACCTGCCGCGCGTGCCGTGGCTCCGGCTCGCCGTTGGCGGACTGGCGGCGGCATTCCTGGCCGGCGCGGAGGCAATTCTCTGGCTCATGCTGTACGAAGAAGGGTATGGGGGTCAGGTCTGGGAGGCGGATGGGAGTTGGTTGATAGCGGTACTGGTTGGGCTAGGGGTATTTGCTGCGATGCCTGCCGCGTTGATGGCAGTCGAAAGGGAGGGGAGGGCGCCAGCGATCGAGAAGCAGCGGCGAGCTGATGAAAAGGGAGGAGTTTGAGGGGCGAGGGAGCGTTGTCCATGTGAGGGAGTCCCGGGCCCCAATACCACCACTATCGTCGTCGGTCATGTTGGCGGTGCTATTATGGGCGCCCTTATGTGTAAGTCTCGAATCGGACACACAAGGAGTTCCCGGCGGTGGGGACAGCAGTCAGCCCGCCATCCCTCTGTACCGTCTTTCCTGCTGGCTTACAAGCATTATTTCGTTCAAGGGCATCGCCGAGGGCGTGTGACAAAACTATCGAAAAGGGACTTAGGTTTGTCGAGACAATGTTAACGACGCGTTTGCTGAGACGACATGCTAGCCGAGACATTGTTCTTAAGAGTGACGTACCTACTGTACCCATGAGTCCGCGTGTAAGTGTGTCAGTGAGGCTGGACGCTTGGAATGTGGCCCTGCAGCTCACTGTTGCAGAAGCTTTACTACCTACATAGGTAAGTACTTTACATGTGGCTCAAACACATTGATGCTGGGCCAACCGGATATCTTCAGACCCTTTTCAAAGAGTGAACTCACGACACAACGGTTCTCAGTCTGGGTCGCGACTGCGAAGAGAAACCGGACAAAGCTTGGAAATACTCGACTAGACTGCCATAGGCGTTGCTGCACAGGCGCCAACTCGCCCCCCCCCCCCACTGATGGCTGCCATCCCAGCGGATCCGCTGCACCGGTGTGGCAGGGTTCATTCTTCAGCGTGTCGTAGTGCGACGACGCCTTGTAATAAGTGGGGCATCCGCCTGGCCGTCCCAACTGCGAACCTGTGGGAATCTAGCACACATCCCCTCCCGTTTAACGACATCCCAACGTGCTGCGTGGGGTCCGACCAGCTCGGAGCGTTATCCTGTATGCAGGCAAGGGAAAGCCGTATGTAAACAATGATATTGTAGACGTTCTTGTGTCTGTTGGTCCAGCCTGGACCTGAAGCCTGGTGCCATGGACTAGGGCATTCCCTCCCCCCCCTCCAGTTACTTCCCTGGGCATCATGGACTTCCATTCTGAAGAACAAGACGGCCGAAACCAAGAGTGTGTGTGGTGCTTGGATGGGCCAGTTTTGACTGGGTTGCCACTACGAGTGATGCTCACTGTAGAACGACCCAGCCCGAAAAGAAGTCTATTCTTCCAAGTCTCGTTTCCCCTTCATCTACTATGTAAGGGCACATGCTTAGGATGTCTCAGGAGCTGGGGATTCGGGTCACTGTGGTGGCCCCGATTCCTCCATGTGGCGGCCAACCTCCAGAGCACGACTCCGATATCTAAGGGGCCGGCGCGCGAGGCAGACCGCAACATCTCAATCCATGTTCGCCTTACCACCATCCACTGGGATCTGAGGGCTGTTTAACTGTGCCCCTAGTTCTATGCATTCCTCACCTATGATGCGTCACGGCTTGCTCCCCTAACCTCCTCACATCAACCTCCTCACATCAACCCCCTCGACATCTCGCAAGAGACAGGAGATTCAAAAAGGAATAAAGAAGCCCTTTTCCTTCCCCCAAAATGTTCGTCATAGCATCTCCCTTTCACCCTCCCCCTGTCGATCGTCACCAGCCCTCCTCAGCCGCTAGTTTGCAGTCATGATTGGATCAACCATTCTCTTACATCTTCTCCTCGCCTCCGTCGCGGACGCAGTGCCTGCGAACGAGCGCCGTTCGGCACGACCAAGCTGCAAAAATGCAGGCACCGGCACCATTGTTCAGTCCACGCAGGTCACCGCACCAATATCGCAGGTCACCGCACCAACATCACAGGCGGCGGCCTCAGCCTCCAGCCCACCGGCTTTCTCAGCCCCGGCCCCGGCTTCCGGTCCGGGTCCCATCGTCGTAACTCCCTTTCTTCCTCCGCGCTCCTCCACCACAGGGCCGGCGCCGCCTGCCGGCTCATCGCCCGTGGTTTCCTCCGTCGTGCCCCCGGCCCAGCCATCGAGCTCCGGGATCGTGTCTCCGCCTACGACCAACCCGGGACCACCTTCATCGGGGTACAGAAATGTGCTGTACTTTACAAATTGGTAAGCTGAGCCGTCCAAGGACTGACAGGGGCTTTGGCTAAAAGAGCCAGGGGCGTCTACGGAGCCAACTATCAACCAGCGGACATTCCCGCCGATAAGGTGACGCATCTGCTCTACTCTTTTGCCGACATCGCCGCCGACGGAGAGGTGTAAGTCAATATCGCCAGACAGACTAGCCAACGCCCGGAACTAACAAACCGTAGAATCTCGTCCGACAGCTGGTCAGACATTGGGCGGCAGTACCCGGGCGACTCGAACCAGGCCGGAAACGCCTATGGTTGCGTCAAGCAGTTGTACGCCATCAAGAAGCAGAACCGCAAGCTCAAGCTCGTCCTCTCCATCGGCGGCTGGAGCTGGTCGTACAAATTCGTCCCCGTTGCCGCGACCGAAGCCGGCCGCCAGCGCTTCGCTACCTCGGCCATCAAGCTTATGCACGACTGGGGGTTTGACGGGTAATTCCCCCCTCTCGACAAGACACCGAGGTTCTCGGGAGCACAGAAGCTAACCCGCGACGCAGGCTCGACATTGACTGGGAATACCCCGCCAACGCCCAAGAGGCAGCCAACTTCGTCGCCCTCCTCAAGACCTGCCGCGAGGAACTCGACAAGCACGCTGCGCAGTACGCCCCTGGCTACCACTTCGCCCTGACCGTCGCGTGCCCGGCCGGCCCGACGCACTACGAGAAGATGGACCTCCGCGGCATGGACCCCTACGTCGATGCGTGGCACCTCATGGCCTACGACTACGCCGGGTCCTGGGACCAGACGACGGGCCACCAGGCCAACCTCTTCACCGACCCGTCCAACCCGGAGGCCACCAAGTACAGCACCGAGGCCGCGCTAGCGTACTACCTTGGCCAAGGCATCCGCCCCAGCAAGATCGTCCTGGGCCTGCCGCTCTACGGCCGCTCCTTCCTCAACACGGACGGCATCGGCAAGCCGTACCAGGGGATAGGTCAGGGGTCCGTCGAGCCGGGCGTGTGGCACTACAAGGTCCTCCCACGGGCCGGCGCCGTCGAGGTGTTTGACCAGACGGCGGGCGCGCTGTACAGCTACGACGCGAGTTCGCGCGAGCTGGTGACGTACGACAACGTCAAGAGCGCAAACATGAAGGCGGACTATCTCGTTAACAAAACGCTCGGCGGCGCTGTGTTCTGGGAGGCGGCCGGGGACCGCAAGGGCGAGGGGAGCCTTGTGGGCGCGCTGGCGAGCAAGATGGGCACCCTGGACCCAGCGCAGAACCTGTTGAGCTATCCCAACAGCCAGTATGCCAACATCAAGAACAATCTTGCATGATGGGATTTGGTTTTTCTCCCGTTCGTCTTTTTTTCTCTCCCCCTTCTCTCTGCTTCTTGGCTTGAGGTTTTTTGTTTTGTCTTGCGGCATTAGAGGCGTTGGATGTATTGGAGGCTGTTTGTTCAATGGAGGCTTGGTGAGCTTGTCTAAGGATCATCAGCCATGCCCATGCGTATTCATTGAGCGAGCGGGATAGGAGATGATAGAACTCTGGCTTTAGGGAATAACATATTACTTTGGATTGACCCAATTGCCGCGTTTACTGTTGACTGCGGAGTCGCATGGTTGATTACGCCAATTGTTACAGTGCTCGCATCACTCAATTGCGATGTAAGTGTAACAATGAACTTGCCTCAAAAACGTGAATCGACCAGCTTCACAGCATCGTCACTTGAGTCCTCGTGCAACAGATTGAACCACCGCGAGTTGCTGTGGCAAAGAGTTGCCGGCAGCTTCGAAGGCATCGATACTGGTTTGCCCTATCATCTGCTCTTGCCTTGGATGTGCTCGTGCCTTGTCGACGAGGTTGGTTGACTTCGTTGAGAAGCATTCGACTAGTCTGGGCGGTCCTGGTTTAATTTGACGTTCGAATCATCTTCTTGCCGGGACCTCGTAATACCGGTGGTGTCCCAAGGCTTACCTTGAAGCAACCGGGCATTTTAGAAAGTATCTATCATGAGTTGGGTATTCTTGCTCAGTCAACGCCCTGCTTGTACGCTATTCGTTGGGGGCACTTTTGATGTGCAGCCCTGTAAGTAAACCCCACAGTCCAGGCGAATCGGCGACATAGATTGGAATCACGACACTGTTATTATTGCCAGACGAGATACTCTATTTCGTAACTGCCGATATACCGGGCTCTTGCATAGGGGAAGCGATGGATTGACTTGGCGTCATCCCGCGAATATGGGATTCAGTTAAGCCAAGCCCCGACAATACGTTCGGCAGGAACCGAACACCTTCCAAGCTTGGTGCTGACTGGATGGGTTCTTTGGGGGGGCTCATGAACGCTCACTGGTTGCTAGTTGGTTTAGCCTCGTTGTACAGTGGGTAAGCAAAAGTTCCGCCGAATCCCTAGTTTCACACCAAAACTCACTAACTTTACAAGCTTATTTCAGACTAACTACTATTACTTTAGAGCTAGGAGCTTGTATTTATATAGTTTAAAGTAAGCTCTAGTATATATATATATATATATATATATATATATATATAGGTCTTAGCTTAAAATTTCTAACTTATCATTTTATATATAGTTAATAAAGTTAGTACTTATAAGCTATAAATATTATTTCTTATACAAATAGAATAATAGAGCTTATAGTAAGTTTATATAAGGCTTTTAATACTTAATAAGTACTTTATAAGCTTTAAGTATATACTTATTAGTAAAATAGTAGTAAAAGTAGTGTCACAGGACGATAGGTGGCAAGTGCCCATAGACAATAGATAGACAGGTAGTAGGGATCAGATACCTAGCGTACACGTAATACGTTACGTGTACCACAGGTATATATCCCTCTAACAGGAGACCCTTCACAGAGGGAGGGTCAACCTCAAATACACCTATTGTCTATCACCTATCTTGTCCTGTGTCATTTGTTCAGCTCCTTGTTATTGTTCGTCTTGCTTCACTGCTCTGCTGTTACGCTTCGCCTTCACACTACGTCACTTCACGTCACCATCGCAGCCTAGCTCCATCCTGTCAGATCCACAACAGCTGCCAGGAAGGCTGTGTCAAGTAGCTTATAAGTTTTAAAAAAATAAAGATTTTAATAAAGTATTTCTATATATAAAACTATTAATAAATAAACCTTTTAACTATCTTATATACACTCAAGTAGCTCTTAATAGTTAATATATATTATATTATATCTTCCTTTTTATACATATAGTGTAGAATTAAAGTCTAAAAATTATAAGTTTTGGTGTAAAACTAGGGATTCGGCGGAACTTCTGCTACCCCACTGTAGGCTCGAATTTTACGAGCCTTGCAGGGCAGAAGTAACCACAGTCCATCATTCGGCCCGGGGGGCTCTCCCCGCCAACGCCGTTCACTGGTGGGGTTTTCACATCAGGGGCAGGGGAGAGGAGAGGCACCGACGTTGGCCGACACAGGGGCGGTGATCCTTGAGGGATTTCTGGCTGGCTGCCGACATAATAACGGGATGATGATAAGCCGCTGAACTTTCTTTGGCAAGCAACTTCAGTGAACTTGCTTTCACAAGCGACTTCAGATGGCTCTGGTTCGGGGCCGGTCTTTTCCCTGGTCAGCGTGTCTTGGGAAGGGGCATGAGTCATCCGGTGAGATTGGGAACCTACTCGTCTGATACCACACACACCCCTGTTCAACAGAGGCCAACCCTACGACGCTAGTGAGTACCGACAAGACCGGCAGAGGAGTTGTGTTCAGGCTACCGCGTACCGCATTGCTTCGGCAATAACCCTTGGCAAAGCATGTGATGTAGATATGTACATAGACGGTGCTTCCAGGCTCAAGGGTCGGTTTGAGGTACCTCCCTACCTTGGACAGATAGATTCATATTGGCAGCCCGAACGGTATATATCTAGTGGGGCGAGCCTTTCTGGACTACCTATGTCGGCATAATAGTACAGTACCTACTAAGATACCTACCTGCCCACGGAGTACTCAGCGTCATCAGTCGGATGTATACCCTCTATCCACCAATCTGTGAAGCAATGTATCTACAATAAAAGCATCGCCAGATGTACAAGCAGACGAGAACGAGACTGGTAAACCGCGCCACCTAACAAATAGCCTCGCCGCTTTCTTATACGCCGATTTGGCTCTGGTAATTGCTGCACGTTCGGTTATTGGCTCAGACGTACCATGTGCGCAAGACGGGTATCTTCATCTTTGCATGTGTAAGAGGTGCTGATGATAATGCCTATCATGGCAGCCCAGCGCCACATACAATATATAAATGTATAGAAAGGTGGCGGGTGACATGGTTTTTATATCCGTTAACTCCGTCACAGTTCCAGAACAGGCCCATTTATCAATTGTTCAAGGTTCCATCCTAGCCAAATAATTGCTAATTGAGGAAAAGAGTTTCTAGAGCCTCCTTTGGCGGCGGGCTCCTACTGCAATCTACACGGATGGAGGCATCTCCAAGGCAGTTCCTGGGAAGCCAGAACAGCGAGGGGGAGGGGCACTATGTTATGTAAGTGTATCAATTAGCCCAAGTCCAGGTGTCTGTCCCGCGTATTGCAGCCCCAAGCTGTCAGCAGGCACCAGCATGGCGGCGTTGCTTCTCGGAACGCTTATAGGACCACGAAAAGAGAAGGATCACTGGTAGCGGGTCACCCCCATACAACCCCCTTGCCTAGGTACCTACCTACCTACCTATGACCAGTCGTCGCTAAGAGGGGTTCGCTCTTTCTTTCCATGATTTTATTGAATCTTCCGAGTAAGCTCACGACTTCACCTCTCCCCCTCCCTCCTCTTTGCCATCGTCCGCCGCTTTTGCAAGTCGCGCAACTTGACCCACTGCAGATCTCTCACGGCGATATCTCGAGGGGGATATTGTCAATACGTGATTGTGTCATCGTCCCGTCCATTTCTTTTGCGCGCTGGATGTACTTCGACACTGCCCCGAGCCAAAGCACCTTTCTCAGTGGTGAGTGGTGACTTGGGTCCCTTCTTGTCGCCGACCACCGCAATCCTCCAATCATCCGTACCACCGAAAGCTGACGCTGCTGCCGTCAAAGCGACCCCGACCTTACGAGACTTTTGTCTTCTGCTCTCGCCATCTTCTGCTCCGCGCGCGGGTTGCGATACTGCTATCCCGCACCTGCCACGAATATCGTGCGGGAGGACACCGACGCTGCCTTCTGTTGCACCCACACTCTTGCTTGGTTCCCCGGAGCCGACCGTCCCTTCACCTCTGCCCTGGCGCATTGCGGAACCTGGCCCGACCTCCCTTCTCCAATCATCGTGGTACGCGGGCCGACCAACTCGATTCACCGTTGCCGTGCTCGGTTCCAAGCTGTGCCGAACTTAGGCTCCCTGTCCTGTCGCAATATTGCGGCCATATCTGCAGCTTATTGAGAAGCAAAGCTATCCTGCGCCCACCACATCCCGAGCAGCGAAGGGCGAGAAGTAGCTCGTATCCGAGGCGTGATCAGCCACATCGGACGTAGACAGGATTATTGAGCCTTGGATCAGGGGCTTGTCTTATAAGGACCGCCTGCCATAGGCCCAATCCCATCTTTCAAGGCAGTGGAAGTACTTTCACGTGTGCTCCGCTGGACACACCTTCAACCCGTGGGATTCGTCACAGTTGCGGCCAACACGCATCTTGATTCCTGAGACTCTATTGTCGTCATGACTCCCACACCACCGTCAACTACGCCCTCTTCAGGATCGGGTCGCTCTCCTGAAGAGCAGTTCCGCGTCGTGAGAAAAAGGAACAGAGTTCCTCTTAGCTGTTACCCTTGTCGAACTAGGAAGTAAGCATAGAAGCGATTTCTGCCCCCACGCTTCAACTTGCTAACGTGTCTTACAGATTGTAAGACCTCTGCGAATTACAACTCTCCCACAAGGTACTGACCGTCTTCTAGGAAGTGCGATAGGGGTCACCCATGCAGTAACTGTGTGAAACGTGAGGGCGGCGACGCGTCATCATGTTCTTACGCGACTCCCTCCGCTCGTAAAAAGACTCAAAGTCAAGGCGCTTCGAGCCCTGACGATATGCAGAACCGTATTGATCGCCTAGAAGGCCTAGTTTTGTCTCTAATGCACGGAGGTGCCACTATTGACCCCTCCGTTGCTACTGCTGCCGCAACAGGCACGTCGACTGGGAAATCGCATACCGACAGCACACCTCCATCGGCAAAGGTAGACCCCGACGACGAAGCACAAATGCGCGACGATGAGGACGACGACAGTGACCCAGATGGCGAGTTAGCAACTTCTCTGGGCGTTCTGAAAGTCGACACAGAAAAGGGGAAATCTATGTATGTCGGTCAAGAGCATTGGCACACGATATTGAAGGATATATCGGAGGTGAAGACTTACTTCAACAACCACAAAAAAGAGCTGGAGAAGAGTTACGAGAAGGTCATGATGTCAAAACCGGCCAGCGCTAGAGATGGGCCTACATTTCTCCTAGGTGCAACGCCCGCCAGCGAGGTTGAGCTGCGAGCAGAGCTGCCGTCCAAGTCGGCCATCCTGACTCTCTGCTCGAGATACTTTAACTCGATGGACAATGCGGTGAGCATCATTCACGCGCCGACGTTCCAGCAACAACTCCGTGCCCACTGGACAGATCCCTCAAAAACCCCAATCATGTGGCTAGGGCTTCTGTACTCGATCTTGTGCCTCGCCATGCTGAGCTATCATAAGGCTGGGGATGAGCCGCCTGAGTGGAAGGGGAGATCGCTCGATTTGGCCTCGGAGTACCGGCTGCGGACCGTCCAGTGCTTGGTCGCGGCTGATTATACCAAGCCAGTTGAGTATACAGTAGAGACCATGCTGCTCTACGTTTTTGGGGAATACTCATCAAGATGGGATGCAGACCTGAGTATCTGGTTGATCGTCTCCCTGCTCATCAGAGTTGCTTTCCGGATGGGCTACCACCGCGATGCAAAGTGGTTCCCTACGATAGCACCTTTCCAAGCTGTAAGTCCACCAGAGCAACACGGTTTCCGAGCATCGTCTGATACTCTTTGACAGGAAATGAGACGGCGAACGTGGGCATTGGTGAGGATGGCCGATGTGTTCTTTTCGCATCAAGTCGGCCTGCCGTCGATGATTTACGGCCACGACTGCGACACTCAGTTGCCGACTAATATCTTCGACGAGGAGTTTGGACCGGACACAAAGATCCTGCCTCCTTCGCGACCGAATACGGAGCCTACTCCGATAGCCTATATGATCGCAAAAGTAAGGCTATCCACCGAGATGGGCGACATATTACAGGCAACGAATCGGGTGGGCAGACAACTACCGTATGACGAAATTCTGCGGTTTGATGCCCGTCTTCGGGAAATCAACGATGAGCTCCCGCCGCATCTCAAAGTGATTCCCTTGGAGGGCTCACACGACCCTGTCACTCTGATCATCGCGAGGTTCAACATCAACATCCTGTATAACAAGATCGTCTGCTTGCTGCACAAGAAGTATGTTCCACGGGCTAGACAAAACCCGCGCTATGCCTACTCACGCAGGACTGCGGTCGAGGCTGCTTTGGAGACGTTGCGGCATTTGATCACCTTGGATCGGGAATCCCAGCCAAATGGCAGACTTAGGTCTATAAGGTGGTTTGTGAACTCGATAGCGACTAAGGAATTTCTTCTCTCGGCCATGCTGGTCGCTCTCGACCTCCACTTCGATCGAGTTGCCGAGACGAGCAACGATCATAGAGCGCCCGAGACTGCTATGTTCTGGACGCCAGAGCAAAGGATGGAGATGATCAGGAGCCTCGAGCTTACCAAGGATATATGGGCAGGTCTCGCCGACGGATCGATGGAGGCCTACAAGGCGTCAAAGATTCTGGAGATCATGCTGCTGAAGATCAAGAGCCCGAACGCCATGGAGGAGGCGTTCAAGAACGAATCGTTCCCGACTTTCGACAGCAGCCCTAAGATGGAGAAGGAGTACGATGCCGCTATGACATTGGACATGCTCTCCGGAGGAATGACGCCCAATACGGCAGCTGCAATCGAGAGCAGCTTGCAGGCGTCGACCAACTTGGAAGGCAGCATGAATTTCGGCGTGCCGATACCCATGGGAGGGGCAGGCATGACACCCAACTTTCAAGGCGATTTTGGTTTGAACAATGCGGGGTCCCCGTTCTCAATGTTTACGAACCTTGAGGCCGGCGCAGATTTCCCCGCTAACTTCGACTGGGTAGGTTCCGAGTTCCGCCAATGACATGGCAGGTTCGCTCGCTGACACTGCTCCTAGAACGCATTCGAGACGTACACCCAGAACGCCAACTGGGCTCCCGACGCCGGGTTTCAACAGATCTATCCGGGTCAGTCGTCGCCGGAAACAGATGTCTCGGGGATGCTCTTTGGTGGCGCCAACAACAACATGGCTGGCTAGTTGACCGATTCAATCCGGAGAAATGGGCGTTCGAGGCAGGGAGTAGATAATGCGATGATGACTTCGATGATAGAACTGGGGAGGGCTGGGCGATCAGGTGATTCAGCCGGGTGAACAGTAGGAACCGAGGAATATACTCCCCTCCACGCTAGCTACGGGCACGGTAGGATAGAAGGGTGACAAAACCTTGGGGCCATGTTGGAAGAGATTCGGAAATAATACCCTACTCCTCCTTTCTTGCACGTGCGACCCGCCCCTGGCCGTTGCGGCATGGTATGTGACGATGCGATCTGAATTGATATTAGGTTACGATGTCAAGCGGCCCGAAGGCAATAACTGTTGCGGAGTCTCCGCGTTTCCAGTGTCACATTGGATGAACAGTGGCCACATTAGTTTGTTCGGCTGCAGAATGACACAGCTTGTGGGGACGACAGACTTGCCAAACTGGGTGAGGGGCACGACCGTCCGCCTGGAGTGGCATTCGGCGCCCATGCCGGCGGTATGCAGTAGCATTCGGTCCGTACCTTTGAGCTTGTGGTTAGAAAGTCACTGCAAGGGGGTGCGCTTAGTGAAGATGCCGCCCTGCAGAACACAAAGAGTGAAAACTGTCGCTTTGAAGAAAGAATGCGGGGGAACGTCGCTTCGGTATGTAGTGGGGGCGAAAGGGGCAAGAAGAAAAGGAAGTGACCTCGTGTTCCTATCACTTGGCTTTGCCAAGCCACACTGCGGTTCCTGCGGTTCCGAGAAGGTCAGTAGGAGAAGGTCAGTAGGAGCACACATGGAAGACGCAGGCAGGCGTTCTTATATTCGTGTGTGTGTGTGTGTGTGTGTGTGTGTCTTGAACCTCTCAACTCTCCTCGGTGTGTACAACTTCAGGTTAGACCTTTTGGTTGAACTCAAAGAGGCGATTAGTATGAGATTGCGCTGTGTCCCACTGCCTTGGACTTGGCAGAAACCCGAGCTCCCATCTCGTTTCTCGGCGATTGCTTGAATAAAACTCTACACACACGTCTTACCCCGACCCACGAATACAAAATAAAGATGAAAAGTCGGGAGCCCATATTACGCCCAGAGCGGTGAGTAACCCAGGATGGGGCCACCACCCCGCCGATAGGGCCGATGGTACTCCAGTTGATGCGACCCCCTTTGGCAGGACGCGACGGCCCCCTTCACACCAAAGAAAAAAGCAAAGGGAAGGAGAAAACCGAGGAGACGAGGAAGTGGGGGTCCGCGGAACTTGTCCACAGGGCAAGTCCTGTGGACAAGTCATGGGAAAAGAGCAGACATGCTTGGGAAGGAGGATCCTTAAACCTCGCCTTGCCTACCGTATGTACTATTAAACGTCGACTTGCGTCGCTCTTCCCCCGGCTTCTATACTACCTAGTTCCTTGCGGGGACTTGATCAAACGACAACCTGGTCTTCGTCAAAAACCAATCAACTGCATCCTCTCGGGTGAACCCAATTCTATCTCATCTCAACTACTTTTTTTTAACCTTCGCTGGCCGATTACTACTCTGACGGCCTTGGCCCCTTCGACTCGGACAAACACCCGCACGCACCAAAATCACGCCTCCAGGTAGACTGCCTCGCTCTTCAGCTGCTTCGGGGGTCTCCCTGCTAGGACAGACGAGAGGCAGAGCGGGAATCTGAGACGGAGCGCCTGAGAGTGACAGGACCGACGGCTTAATTGGGAAATATCAACTGCACCCCTCACAACTCTATCAGAGTTCCTTTTTACGTCTGCGCTTGCATTCTGGTTCGCGTCTAAACCCGTTATGGCAGACGGCGCCAAGGCGACGAGCAGCAGTATATAATTCACGACTCCACGGCGCCTCCCGACTTACGAAGCTTTTACGATTTTATCACGAACTCGGCTTGTTTTATACACTCTCTTTTCTGGTGTTTGTTGTTTGTTTCTTGTTGTTGTTTTTCGTTTGGTTCTTCCGTCACTCCCTTTCTATTCTCTTCAGTAACTCTCTAAGACGAGGCAACGAACGTCAAGACGCTCCGAGAAACGATGAAGGTTTTGACAGGTTGGTCGTCTCTTCTGGCGGCCACCGCCCTTTACCAGGGTGTATCTGTCTCGGCCCTGAGCCCGGCAGAGTGGCGGTCCCAGACTATCTACCAGGTCATGACAGACCGGTTCGCGCGTTCGGATGGGTCAACGACAGCGCCGTGCAACATGGAGGAGCAGGCATACTGCGGCGGCACGTGGAGGGGCATCGCCCAGCGGCTCGACTATATCCAAGGTCTCGGTGCGACGGCTATCTGGATCTCACCCATTGTCAAGAATATAGAGGGCCAATCCGCTGACGGGTAAGCTCTTCCTTTTCTTTTTTTCCTTCTCTGCTGTTATTAGTTGCCCGCGTTGAGTCGGGAAAGGGCATGTGTGTGCGGGGGAAGGATGCATCTCGTTCCAAACACTGGAGAGGCGTAAGAGTTACGAGGATTGCGAGAGGCTCATGGCAGGCCCGTGGGGTAGACTGCCGAAGAAACCGAGAACCACGACTAACAGGGACTTAGTGATTCGTACCACGGCTACTGGGCTCAGGATATCTGGTCGCTCAACCACCACTTCGGTACCGCCGAGGACCTCATCGCCCTTGCCGACGCTGTGCATGCCCGCGGTATGTACCTCATGGCCGACGTCGTCACGAATCACATGGCCTGGCATGGGCCCAGAAATGCGGTCGATTTCTCTATCTTCCGCCCCTTCTCCAACGCTTCGGCTTACCACTTGCCCCCCTGCTTCATCAACTATGAAATCCAAGAGACGGTCGAGAGGTGCTGGCAGGGTAGCGAAGCTGTCTCCCTCCCAGACCTACGTACTGAGGACCCGCATGTGCGGCAGGTCTTCAATGTGTGGATTAAGCGTATGGTGCGTAAATTCAAGTTTGACGGTATCCGCCTCGACAGCGCCAAACACGTCGAGATGTCCTTCTGGCCGGAATTCGAGACCTCGGCAGGGGTGTTTGCCATTGGAGAGGTCTTACATGGTGACCCGGTGTACGTCACCCCGTATCAGGACGTCATAAGCGGGCTCTTGAACTACCCCGCCTACTATTGGATTACCCAGGCCTTCCAGTCAACAAGAGGAAGTATATGGAATCTTTCCATCGGAATTAAACAGATGGCTCTGCACGCCCGCGACTTAACTCTCTACGGCAGCTTCCTCGAGAATCACGACCAGCCTCGCTTCCTGCATCATACCACTGACCGCGTCCTGCTCAAGAATGCGCTGACCTTCACCCTGCTCATGGACGGCATCCCCGTAATCTACCAGGGCCTGGAGCAGGGTCTGGCAGGCTCCGACACGCCGTTGAATCGTCAAGCCCTGTGGTTGACGGGCTACGACACGCAGTCGGAGCTATACCGGTGGATATCTAAGTTCGTAGCGCTGCGCTCGACGATGGCGGCGCTTGACGGCGGGTACCTCTTCTACAAGGCTGAGCCGTTTGATACCCAGCAAAACACCATCGCAATGCGCAAGGGGTTCGACGGCAGCCAGATCGTGAGCGTCTATTCCAACGTCGGGAGCAACAACACCTTCAGCGTGTCGCTCGGCACGGCGCAGACGGGGTTTCGGCCATGCAAGTTGGTCCTCGAGGTCGCCAAATGCCGTCTCTACGTGACGGACGGCGACGGCGTGCTCACGGCTCGGAGCGAGAGCGGGGAGCCTCTCGTGTTTGTCCCCGCCGAGAGGGTAATGGGGACGGGCATCTGCGCTGGCGGCATAGGCAAGCCCCCTCCTCCCCCTCCCCTCTCCGCTCGTCGCAAGCCTTCTCCCACGACGAGCGCTGCTGCCCAATATTCCACAACCCGCCTCGCCTTTGAGACTACCGATTATAACTTAGATTCTTTAGGACGTTACAATAACATCACTTCGTCACCTTGCCTATTATCCCAGCCGTGATGTCTCGATAACTGGAGAACAGCGAATCAGTAATCGACGAATCAATAACTCACTCAACATACACACCAGCAACAGCAGTAACGAGCAACGACGTCAACAACAAATAGCAATTAAACCATTAATCTATCGGCCTTTACTTACATTCAACAGCTTAATCTCTGCCGTGAAGCTTGGGATAGCTTCGTGTGGCTTATTCACTGGCACTGTCCGCATATGCGGTTCCCTAACACACTGACACTGTATCATTAGTCATTAGTCATTAGTCATTAGTTCGACCCGCTCACTTAGTGGGTTTCTTAATAATTACGGATACTTCATACTTCACTTTTACAGACGCTGAGGTTCATCACGACCGCCTAAGTAGTGTGTGTTCATCGCGCGTGTTTGTTTCAACCTCTTATATTTGCTTTAGCAAACAACTTGGTAGTGGTATTATAGAGAGGCGACTGGGTGAAAGCTCCAGGGGCGGGGGGCGGGGGGTTCTCTTTTTCTTGGTTCACGGGGTAGGTATCTCGCGATTTCCAGGCTCGAGAGGCATCATAAAGCCTCGTCTAGGCCGTACATACATCTTATCATTATGAACTGTACATAGATATCGCCTGTATATGAAAGCTGCACTTGTAGCGTTGGCGCACTGGGCATTTGCCGTTTTCCCTCCCGTGATGAAATAAAATTATTATTTTGAATTCGATGTACCCTGCCCCGAGCATGCTACCTAATGATATCTACAGGAAAATGAAGAAAATTGGGCACGAAAGCCAGCCTCGTATCTATGGCATGTTGAAAGCGGCCTTGGCCCTCGACCAGTATTCGACACGGTCCTCCGTGCCCGAGGTGCCGATGCACTCCATGTAGAGCGTGAAACCCCTGACGGTGCCGGCAGCGAGCCCGTCGCGGACATCCTGGTCGCACTGAGTCGCCAAGAACCAAGGTCCCGAGCCCCAGGAGTAGTCGTCGGGGAGGAGGAGGTCGAGGACGGCATTCTTCTGATCATCGGACAGGCTCGCACCATCTGTGGCACCGGCGGCGATCTCGGCGGCCTTGTCCTTGAGCTCGGGGATGGAGAGGGCGTACATCAGGTTGTACTTGGGCATCTGGAGGTTGCGCGTGCCCTGGCCGGGACGGCCGGGGGCGGGGAAGTGGTTGCGGTTGTACCGGAAATCACCAGTCTCGAAGGCCATGAGACTGAGGACGCCGGCAATCTCGCCAGGGCGGTAGATGCCGTACTTTTGGAGCGCCGCCGGAAGGTACTTGGCTGCGCGGTCCGCGGTGGCGCACTCGTCGGGGAAGTCCGTTACGCCGTTGCATGACACCGACTTGGGTGCGACGGCGGCAATGATGGCCGTCGCGTTGTTGTCGCGAGCAGTGATGATGGGCGAGGCGAGAGCCAAGCTAGCGAGGAGGGAAATGGGAAGGAAGCCGTGGAGGAGCATTTTCTTGTTTTGGCTTGGTATGATTCTATCGGACGATTGATGCGGTGTAAGAGGATTACAGATGTTGTGTTGTGGAAGACGAGGGTATGCTTGAGTGACGTTACTGATCGTGAGCCGTGATAGGAAGCAAAGCGAATGGCTTTTGTATAAAAGACGCAAACGAGGTGGGAAACAAAAGCCAAGTCGGGTGAAGCTGGCGGGGTGTAAACGATCGTGGGTGACTTCAAGTGAGTGACACAGTCAGACAAAGGCGAACTAACAAGGGAGTATGCAAGGAGGAGGAGGAGTTGTCTTTTTCTGGATCAGAGGATGACGAGAGAACTGCGGAATACCGCCCCCCTGGAGCACAGCATCCTTTGACGGCTCACTATGGCGAGATGGTAGGGTGGGAAGGCCTGGTCATGCGCGTGTAGGTTCTTTAGTCGGACGCAGGAGCCAGCGCCTTGATGCCTGCCCCTTTGACCGTGTGGCGATCATTTCGTCCTCCCCGCGCGCTTGCGCCGGTTGATTTGCAGCCTTTACTACCCTACCCCCACATGGACCGCCCCTGCTCTGCCGAACGGTCGAGCAGGGTAAAGTTTTCTGGTGGAAATGTTGCCATGGTAAAACTGAGACCTCTTTGGAAAGGATATGATGAAGGGGGCAGAAGCAACGGGTGCATCATTGGCCACAGATCATCGGCGAGGCCTCTGCGAGGTGGCCGTGGTGAAACGAAACAGGGGCCAAGCCTCTCTGTCCGTCTGTCAAAAAGATGCAGATGCATACCAGCGATTGGCTAGGGGCTGCGGCTGGCGGTGTGGGGCCTCGATGCTATCCCCGGGGCTCGCGGAGAGGCCGTCGGTGCCGGAAGGGCGGCTGAGTGCTTGACAGAGGCTGGCTGGCTACGAGAATATATGGCTCAACGGGGCGTTTGGCCCTCCCCATCATTGTACCTGTAAGCCCGCATAGGCGTTCGTCTAACGCACAGACTGCGAAAGCAAGTTGCCGTCCTCAAAGACTACACGCAAACACAGCCGCAAACATTTTGACGTTTTTTCTTATTTCATTTTGGGCGTGATCGCCCTGCCATCTTGTCTTTACTCCATATTCAGGGGCAATACTGGGAACCAATGATGAGTGGCTCGTGTCCGTTGCAGATAGACAGCTGTAGAGATCATAATCCGTCTTGATTCATGCGCCTTGGCACCCCCAGCCTCTGTACCGGTACTGGGGCCCGGGAGGCGATGCATGTGGCTACACGACCTTAAAATGAATGGGGCAACATAGGAACAATGTTAATTTTGGGGGGGTAGAGAGGGGTATGACAAAGACCCAGCGGAGATGCCGCCCGCATCCAGAAGGACAAGTGTAAATTAAACGAGAAGACGGACTGAAAAGGAAACCAAGCAGCAAGGGGTTGGCTTGCTTACTGGAAATATAGTGCTAAGTGAGATGTCGAGCAAAGGACTCGAGTTCAACGAACTGCCACCCCACTGAGCCTCATTCCAAGCCCCTTCCGCGGGTCCACAATCACGCAACGGTGCACGCCAATCTGACTAAGCACCATTCCACCCACTCAATGCCAATCGGCCAATGAGCGGGGCCCTTTGCCAACGGTCGGTCGTCTGCGCCCACCTGCCTAGGCGCCTACCAAGGTATCGATCGGTTCCTGAGCCGCTAGGAGCTCCGACATGACAAGTTACTCAACCTTTGCTACCGCAACAATTTCTCGACTCGACCGCACCCATCGAGTCCATCACTGAACCCACACTCTCCAACCCCACGCACTATACGCGCAACTTCCTTCCGGCACTATGGGCGAAAACCAGCCTACAGCCGCCGCCACGGCGTCGCAGCCGGCGCCCACGATGCAGATGTACAGAGAGGAGCAGGCTCGTTTGAGGCAAATGCTGGATAAGAGAGCTGTCATCGCCAAGAAGCTTGCCAATATCGAGGCCGACATCGAACAGAAGGAGACGGCATACCTCGAGAGCACCCCGAACGGGAACATCATCGCCGGGTTCGACAACTACATCAAGGGTACGGGCGCAGCTGCCCACCGCCGCAAGGCTGGCGCCACAGAACAAAACCGCGTCTTCTCGCGATCGTCCCTCTCGTATCGTCCTGGCAGTGTGCGTTGCTTCATTCTTTCCTCTTGTGACTTGCCCAAGCTGACCTTCCTTACAGGAAGCCACGACGCCCGGCTCCACTCCCGCATCCCACGCGCCCACTCCCTTGTCTACCTCCTTCAAGGACGGCTCCGGCTCCAACCACGCCACGCCAACGTCAGCGACGACTTCCAAGTCGGGAAAGAAGAACAAGAAGCAGAACGAGGACGACAGCGACCACGACTCCCAGGCCCCGAATAAGAAACGTATCAACTTTGGAGCCGGGCGCAAGTGAATTGGCCCGCGCACATCATTGGCCCAAATTTACGGGTTCGTGTAGGCAGCCTGCCAAGGCATTTTTTCGTTAACGATTTACGACCACTTCGGGGAGATTATACACTAGATATCTTCGAGATCCAACCCCGGCGATCTTGGATTTTGTTTAGCACGATGAAGCTTAGGGTTCCTATTAACTTCTAGGAGTGGCATTCTACGGTCACAAGAGGATTTTTTGCCCTTCCCTTGACTCGGAGAATTCCACATGGTTATGGAGGGGGCTACAAACCAGCAACCGATGGCGTGAGAAAAGAAGAAGAAGAAAAACAGAAAAGAAAAGAAAACATGACGGCGAAGGCTGGAGGAGTTGAGGAGTTCCGGAAAATAATGATACCCACTGGAGAATTAGACAAAGTTCTCATTCCCAATTTGATGAGCCGGCAACACAGTCTCCCTTCTCGGCTTATCTTTTTGGAACCAATGTCAAACCTCAACGACGAAGGCATATCACGCGAGATGGCCAGAAATGGGCATTTTGCCGACGTTGCGGGCACTTCTGCAGGGGAACGCCGCAAAAGTACCTAGCGGAGACGAACTTTGGCGTTTTCTGGCCTATCATACCATAACGGTGAGAGCAGGCGTCGGTTGACCGGTCTTCTGGCGCGCTTGAAGATGGGTCACCCGAGGCTGGCCGCGCTGTAGGAGTTCTTCTCTCAGCCAATCAGAGCTGTGAGAGACAAGAGAATTCCTCCGTGACTCGGCAAGATGCTGAACCAAATTACAATGAGAGCGACTTGAGTAATAACTATGAAGAGCTCGTGGTAGGATAGGCCCCAGGATTGATCCCCAACATGACTCCTTCCAAGCTCATTCAGATTAAACAATCCCATGGATATTCATTCGTGCGAGTGATGCGAAAGGCGCTCGTCACATCCATCTCGATTCGGCATGCCCCTTGCATGACGCAGCATTCGCTGCCCTCTGCTGCTGTTGAAGAAGCTTCTTCCCAAGGTGCTTGGCGTCCGGTATCTAATTCCCTTACCACCAATAGGCATGCTGCACCCATTGGTGTCGGTGCCTGCGGGGATGAAATACAGTGAGGGGGGGTGGCCTGAGCCTGTCCAACGCTTAGGCATGGAGTGAGAACCTTGTTGTCCCCGTACGTCGCCTCGCACAGCCGTCGCTAAACCTATTCGTAGCTAGTGCGGGGCTCTTCAACCAAGCTGCAAGCCAGATGGATGGACGATCCCGTGTCGCAGCTTTGGGGGAAGGGAGGAGGTGCTTGTTGTTGACCGACATACATCTACAACAGCAATCCCGCCCGACTGTCTCTTATTCTCAGGTTCTCTCAATCCAGTTTCGAGTATCGCATACTTGATCCCGCTCCTCATGATGACGATTCAAGCTTCCAAGTTCACCCCTGAGGTCCTGCTCTCTGCCCCACGCAGGTCCCCGGGCATCCCCAACCCCGCCGGCACCAAGGTGTTGTATACCGTGAGTTGCCCGTCTGCGTTGGGCTTGATCTGGCCTCTGGATTTCTGTCTCCATATGGGTGATTTTCAATGGAACTTGTGAGCTCGCATTGACTAAAACCAGGTTTCGACCTACTCGTTCGACTCCCACAGTAAAACGTCTCAAATCCGAGTTCTCGATGTTGAGAGCGGCCACTCCACCCTCCTCTATGAAGAGGCGTCCTATAGCGATGCAACATGGATTTCAGACCAGGAGGTTCTGATGTTGAGGAGTGGCGACAAGGGAGCCACCAGCCTGTTGTTGGGAGACGTTACGATGCCATCCGTGTAGGCCTTTTCCTCTGAACTGCAGTCCTAGTCCCTTATTGACGAGTGGGAGATAGGGTGACCCGGATTGGCCATTTCGAAGGTAGCCTCTCTAGTCTCAAAGCCAAACCACTGTCGGACGATAAAGTCGCCATCGCCGTCTGTGTCCTGACGACCCCCGATGGCGCCATGTATAACCCCGCAGCCGAGAAGAAGCAGCACACGACCGGGAAGGTCTACTCGAGCTTGTTTGTCAGGCATTGGGACTCTTGGGTTTCCGAAAACCATAATGCAATCTGGTATGGCCTTCTCAAGAAGGAAGACAAGACGTATAAACTGGAAGAGCCGGGCTTGGTCAACGCTCTCAAGGGCACGAAGCTACAATCTCCGGTCCCGCCTTTTGGTGGTGCGGGCGACTTTGATATTGGCAAGAATGGCATCGTGTTTGTTGCGCGGGATCCCGAAATCTCACCGGCGATCTATACAAAGACGGACCTCTACTTTGTTCCTTTAAAATCTTTCACGGAGAAGGAGCCGCCAGTGCCGCAGGTTGTCAAGACGAGCAAGCTGCGTGGGTACTCGGCGTCGCCTGTCTTCTCGCGGGATGGAAAGAAGGTTGCTTTCACCCGGATGAAGAGCGATCAATACGAGACAGACAAGCCGAGGCTGATGCTCATCCCAAACGTCTTTGATCTTGCAAGCGTGCAAGAGTTCTACCAGACGGACGACGGTGCTGGTGGGTGGGATGCGCGGCCTGAATGGATCACTTGGAGCAAGGACGATTCGGAGCTGTACGTGTCTGCCGAAGAACACGGTCGTATGAAGCTATGGAAGCTTCCTTCAACACCGCACGAGGTGAAAGACTTGCCAGCAGCAATCTATGGGGAGGGATCTGTCATTGAGGCCAAGCTACTCGGAGACGAAGGTGAGAAGCTCCTTATCAGCACATCATCAAGAGTCGAAAACTCGGCCTACTCGGTTCTCAATCCGGTCAACAAAGAAACCGACCTTGTATCGTCGAGCTCGAAGCACGGCAAGTCTTTCGGCCTGTCCCAGTCGCAGTGCGACGAGTTCTGGTTCAAGGGAGCAGAAGGATACGACGTGCACGCCCTGGTGTTGAAGCCTTCGAACTTCGACGAGAACAAGAAGTACCCCCTTGCTTTCCTCATCCACGGAGGACCGCAAGCCGCGTGGACGGACAGCTGGAGCACACGGTGGAACCCGGCCATCTTCGCAGAGCAGGGCTACATTGCGGTCATGCCCAACCCGACTGGAAGCACTGGTTACGGTCAGCAGCACACCGACAACATACAGAACGAGTGGGGTGGCCGCCCGTACGTCGACTTGGTCAAATGCTTCGACCACATTGAGAAGAACATTCCTTACATTGACTCGGGTAACGCTGTTGCTCTGGGAGCTTCTTATGGTGGCTACATGATCAGTGAGTCAATGCCGATACATTGCTCAGTTTGCCGTTGATGATGTTAACCCTCAGTAGACTGGATCCAGGGACACGAGCTCGGAAGAAAGTTCAAGGCCTTGGTATGCCACGACGGCGTGTTTTCCACGCTCAACCAATGGTCTACCGAAGAGCTGTTCTTCCCTCTCCATGACTTCGGCGGCCTCCTCTGGGAGAACCGTGAGGGCTACGAGAAATGGGACCCTGCCCATCACTTGGGTCAGTGGTCGACGCCTCAACTGGTCATCCACAATGAGCTAGACTACAGATTGCCCATCTCTGAAGGTCTGGCCATGTTCAACGTGCTGCAGACCCGCGGCGTGCCCAGTAAGATGTTAATGTTCCCGGACGAGAACCACGTAAGTGCTGGACATCATGAGACGTCTATACAGGATGCTGACATGTTTGCAGTGGGTCTTGAAGCCCGAGAACTCACTTCTCTGGCACAGAGAGGTTCTGGATTGGATTAATAAGTACACAGGCATTGGCAAGTCTGCAGAATTGGCCGTCCGGTAAAAGCAAGACTAGCAGACGTAGACTATTGACCGCTTGCAAGTACAGTAGCATTACTTTATAAGGAGGTGGCTTTCTGGATATTCTCATTTTCTATCAATGGCTGAGGGTTTAAGGACATAAGTTGCTTTAATCAAGGGACCTGCCTCATTCTGGAGTGCGGGTATATAACTTAAACAGCATGATCCTACAAATTTAAGTGTTTCATCTTCCTAGATGAAAGTAATAATAAATTGGAAATAGGGCCAGAGACACTGGGGCAGGCACAGCAGTGACGGGTTCCAGTAGTGGACGGTGATACAGTGTCTACACTGTCTGAACAGCTCTCCCAATCGGTTCTTCCACACCAGCTAGAGAGCTCTCACCTCATCCTTCTGTTCAGTTCTCCCCTGGTCCGAGCTCCCACCATCTTGACAAGGCTGAAATTTCGCGGGCTTGCACCTGCTTCAACTCATCCTACGACGAATGATTTTTTATTTTCTTGCGACGAACAGCTTGGCAAAAGGCGTGCCACGACTCTATAATATATCCAACGAACCTTGCGATCCGAGAAAGACGCGTCGTAGCACGATGCGAAGCTCTGCGAACCAACATCAGATCCGAAGGTGACAGACGGAGTCGCATCCACGAGCCCAGCCACAGCACCAGCGATTTCCCTCTCGAGCCGCTCAGTTTCCCCCTCGAATCCACGTGGGGTAGACTCCTTTACACGCCACACGAAGCGAATACCGCCCTCGGTGTTATAGACGAAACAAACAAACAGAAATAAGAGGAAGAAGAAAACACCCATACAAGCTACACACACATATACATATACGCACGATGACGCCCCCGCCGCTCCTCTTCCACGCCCTCCTGCGCCCCGCGGTTCTGCAAATCCTGCGCGCGACGGGCTATCACGCCGCGCGGCCTGTGGTGCTCGATGCCGTGACGGAGCTCGCGGCGCGGTACATGTACGCGCTGTGCCAGGCGACGGCGCGCCACGCCGCGGACAACAACCCCGACGGCGAGGCGCCCGGCATTGTCGACGTGCGCATGGCGCTGCAGGAGCTGGGCGCCGTGCCGCCGGACGACGTGCTCGCTGAGGGCAGGGGCGCGATCCTGGGCGAGATCCTAGACTCCGTCGAGGGAGGCGCCGAGGGGCCCGCTGGAGCGGGAGCAGGAGAAGCAGCAGGAGAAGGGCCCGATGCCGAGGGGGACCTTGCGATGACAACGGCGCTGGCCGATGTCGCGCGGGAGAGGGAGAGGGTCGAGGACACGAGGGGCGTGGACGAGTTCATCAAGTGGTTCTCCGGGCCGCGGAACAAGACCATCCGGGAAGCCGCGGTGGGCGACGGAGAGCTGGAGCTGGGCGATTACTTGAACGGTTTGTTTCTCCCTTTCTACCCATTCAGCGGAGGAGTTGCACACTCGACGAATGCACCCGGATAGAGTTGCGACGGGAGAGATGAGAGAGAAGGGCTAACGTGTTTAACCGTTGGCAGTCCTGAAAAAGAAGCACAGCAAGACGGGCGAGGACTCCAAGTACCACGGCACGATCATCGGCAAGGGTAACGACGTCGGCGAGGTCCAGGTCGAGGGCGGAGACCTGCCGAGCATTCACACGTGGCGGACCAAGATGCAGGGGCCCCTGCCGGGCAACGCACTGTCGGCGGCGTCGCCTCGAATTAAGGAGGAGTCGAGGCCGCCAAGCTCCGGGCTGAGCTCCGTGGGCGACAGGCTGGGCGACGACCGGGACGGCATGGACTTGTCGTAGGGGACGAGGCTGCGGACCGGGAGGCGCGGCGGCAGCAACAGCGGCGGGGTCAAGGTCCCTGTTCGTTGGGTCGTGGGTGGTGGCCGCTCGAGGGCGACGAAGAAGGGTGTCGGTGTTTTCAAGGCATAGCGCGGCGTTTTCGGAGAAGGGGGAACACAAAAAAAAACCAAGCACTTTTTTTTTTCTTTTCAAAAAGAGAGCGAGCGTTCTGTCTCGGGGGGGACGGATTGGGTGGGCTCAATGGGCAAGGTCTTCAGAGTGCATGATGCTTCTATTCTTTGCCCGTGGTCTGAGCAGGCATGATGGGTCTGCTCGCCGGGCTTTATTACATAGCGAACTAGACTATGCTAATCACATCACATTCAAACGTTCTCGTTTTATCCGTCATGGAGGAGGCCACACCGCCTGTGCGTCGCGGTGTGTATGCCCCTGCTACGAGACACTCCTCCCACCGCTACTTTCCAATTCATCGCTTGACCTCGGTGACGCGATCGAGGTTGAACGCGGCACTGATGAGGGCGAGGTGGCTGAAGGCCTGGGGCGTGTTGCCGAGCTGCTCGCCGCTGCGGGCAATCTCCTCGGAGAACATGGACAGATGGTTAGAGAAGCCGAGCATGTTCTCGAAGAGATTGACGGCGCGCACGAGGTACTTTGGCTCGTAGGCGGAGGCGCGCGTCATGGCCTCGACCAGCCAGAACGTGCACATGCTGAAGGCGCCCTCTCTCCCGCCGACGCCTAGGAGATGGGTTGTGGCGTTAGCTATCGCGGTAAAGGGGGGTGGGTGGGCTGACGCGTCTGTGATGCTGGGAAGGGAGGGGAGCAAGACGCACCATCATCCGAAAGCTCAGTATTGTACCGGTACACCAGGCCGGTGCTGGTGAGACCGCCCTTCTCGGGGGGCAGGAGGATACGGTCCATGGTGTTGAGAAACCGAGGGTCATTGGGGGCGATGAAGAAGACGAGCGGGGCGATAAGGATCGAGGAGTCGATCTTGGTGTTGTTCTCGTAGCTCTGGACGAAGCACTTCATGTCCTTGTTATATCCTTTCACCCAGTCAGCTCACGGTTCGGGCACTAAATAGTCAGCTGTGGGGTGTTGAGTTTTTCATCAGGGATATGAGCTCAGGACGTCTTGGGCTTAGAGAGGGAGACCGAGAGCTAGCACACACCCTTTTCCATGATCTCCTCCATGAGGCCGTCACGGGCCGCGAGCCACTTGCTGCGGTTGGGGCAGGGGAAGTTGCGCTTGTCTGCGAGGCGGAGGCCGCGGTCGAAGGCGACCCAGAGCATGATCTTGGAGTAGGTAAAGTTCTGCTTATGGTTGCGGACCTCCCAGATGGACATGTCAGGCTCTATCAACGATGTTAGTAAGGAGCGGTCATTCTATCCGAGTTTGGAGGCTCACTATCTGTGAGCGTAAGGACAAAATCTGGGCGCTCGAATCAGCTTCTCTGACGGACCGAGATAAGGGGGGGGAGCGAAAGATTACCCAGCATCACTCTCACAGAACACCACTGGTCCCAGCTGATCGGCTTGCCGTACTTGTTGTACAGATAGATGCCGTCCATTAGCTCCCCGTAAATGTCAAACTGCTGGTGGGATGCGGCGCCGTTGCCGATCCTCACTGGTTTGCTGCCTCTGTACCCCTCGAGGTGATCGAGCTCGACCTCAGGGATATCGGTCTCGCCGCGAATGGTGAACATGATGGGCAGCTCGCCGTTGGGGCGGCGGGACTTGATGAAGCGCTCGCTGATGAAGTTCATGTAAGCATCCGCCTCGGCAGTGAAGCCCAATCGAAGGAGGATGTATATGGTAAAGCTCGAGTCACGAACCCAGGAGAAACGATAGTCCCAGTTTCTGGGTGACTGTGTGAGCTAGGTTCGGCAACACAGAGAGCCGGTTATGAGACCTTACCGTGTGCCGCCAATATCTTCCGGAATTGAAAATGTAGGAGCGGCGATGATGGCACCAGTCGGCTCGTACGTCATCATCTTCAATAGCATCAGGCTTCGGTTGACGACCTCGCGCGATCGGCCCTTGTACTTGCTCTTGGAGATCCAGTTATACCAGTAGGTCGCCGTGTCATGCTGCTGGCTATCAAGTACGGCGGTTGTGATGTTCTCGGTAACATGATTGGGGATATCGTTGCGCAGGACAAACGAAACGGCCTGGCCTTCTTTGATCTCGATGCGGGCGACCACACCCTCACCCAGCATCCCCTCGCGCTTCTGCTTTCTAAAAGTGACAGTAGGCGCCGAGTCCGATTCCGTGTCAACGGTGACGTCCAGCTGCATCTTGTAATGCTCGCTGTGGAAGGTAACAGCCTTGCTCGGGCTACCTATGGTGTGAGTTGGCTCGACAATGGTGGTAACATGAGTCTCATTAGCATATTGGAAAGCTGGGAATATCTCAATTTCTACAGCACGTTAATGGATATTTGAGCCCTTGTTAAAGCAAGAGCTCGACTTACCCATCTCTAGATGACCACGGACACACTCGACTCGTCGGACAAGCCATTTCTTGAGCTCCTCCTGAATCCTGATAGCCTCGCGGAACGCGGTCTGGCGGGCACTCGTCGACAAGACTGTGGCGGTCTTCGGCCGAGGGAAAAAGTCCACAAGGTCAACGACGCCGTCATCGTGAATGTATCTGGTCTGCAAAATGTTGGAAGATGGGAGATATTGTTGCCTTTAAGTGTTATTCAGACAAGTCTCGGCAAACGACGCTTTCCGTGCTCACTTGGTGGTACACTGCTTGGACGGGTGAGGGCAGATGCTGAAAAAGCCCCCCTTGTCCTTATCGAGAAGCCGGCAGAAGACACTCGGCGAGTCAAAGTCCGGCCTAGACAGTTGAGTTAGATGTTGAGCTTCGTCGACATTGGCCTAGCATCAAGTTGGGTGTAACCGGATGGGCCGGAGAAAGTCCCATTGACACCCATGCTCATCCCGACCTTGCGAAGACGACGTGGAAACCTCCGAGCCCATCATTCCCAATGCGAGTGACAAAAGCAATGGGCGTAATGTGAGTGGAAAGATTCACAGGAATGGCCACTCGGCCGAGCGTGATCGCGGCCGAGAGCGTCTACCTGACGCAGAGCAGGAAAGAGATGTTTCGTACCAGCACATAAAATCAACAGAGCCGTTCATTCCAACAAGGGCGCAGGTGTGCATGTTGCCAATCATGCCATAGTCCTCGATGGGTAGGTACCCGAAGTGGCTGCCGGTAGCATGCCTCGTCGAACATTGCTGGGCCATGACGTCGGCTGTCGGAACAATGGAACAAGGCTTATGAGTTGTTTAAGACAAAAGACAAGAATCGTCACTTTTTGTTTGATAAACAGATGCTCTCCGTGAGATGATTTCCGCGAACGAGCTCACAGCGGTAGGCTCTTATCTAGGGAATACAAGACACAGATAGGCCTTGGTGAGATCGAAAGCTATGGAAGCTGGGGGGTTAAGGTCAACAAGCTTTGGGTCTAATCAAGGTAGAGGGGTAAACCCCGGCGATTGCTGGATGACAGGAAGCCACGATGTGCGGCTGGGTGTGGCGGCGAGAGGAAGAGACACCGTTAGACCAATGTCAATGGACGGTTCCGTCACGATTGTCTCCCATTGACAACGTCCAATAAGACGCGGGGGGTCCTCTTACCGACGGTGAGTAATCCATTCCTCCCCTGAGCACTAGCTGCATTGCCGTTGGACTCGGCTTGGTTGGGGGTTTAATTTTGAAAAGCAACCGGAAACAAAAGCAACTCGACCCATTGGTGATGTCGAGGAAGAAGCCGATGACGCTCTGAAAGATGTGGGCGCTTCGAGCTGCGGCAGATGCCGGGTTGGAGCCATCTCCAGCGAGTTTCTAGATCTGCACCCAAACCCGAGCTGGGCCAGGTACAGGCATGCGAAGAGCTACCTTGTCGGAGCTTAGGCAGAATCGGAACGAGAGCTCTGCGTCCGCCGAAGATCTCTTTCCAATGGGATGTTTGTTGGCTGGTGTTTGCGAAAGAATTCACTGCACCTCTCTTCCCCGAGTTGTCTAAGACGCAACATCCGATCGATAGAGTACTGATACGTGGGCGAGCGTAATGAATGGCGGCGGCGCCTGACATCATGGGGAAGCCTGGGCGGCTCTCCCTTTCGGGGCTCGACATAGTTTTCTTGTCCGATCATTCCCCCCTCACCCGTTGTTCGAGACATCGGGGAGTCCGAGAATGACAAAACGCAATGGCGCGACGATTAAGACGGCCGATGGGAGGTTGGGTAGGCATGAGGCTGGTGTCTCGCTTGGAGCTGTTCACTGAGATATGTAGGGTATCTAGCCCAGACCGACTCTCGTGAGGGCGGAAGCCGGTCACACATGTTCTGGTTAATTCAATAGGAAAAGGTTGGGTTGGCGCCGGCTGAGCGGCACAAGACATCCAGCGGGTTCCGACACCAAGGGGCCGAGCGACCCGCCCCTTCTTTTCTTCCTTTTCCTTCCTTGATTGCTCACGTTCACTATGGGGGAGGCAGGTGTGGCGCGTGGTCAATGCCGCACCTGTCAATGAAAAGTTCTGTTTCTAGGCCCTCAGTCTCTGCTCCCAAGCTTGCTGATCAAGGGGACATTCGTATCTGAAGTAAAAAGTCCCTTGCTGAGAATACCGTGGCTCACTCAACCTATCACAAAGGTCCTGTTGCAGCCTGGTTCATTGGATTGAAAGTGGCTTGTAGCTTGTGTTGGTCCAAGTGGGTTCCAGCATCACGAGCCATACCATAGTGGCACAGATGCTGGCAACCTTGGTCCAAGCGGTGATGACCAAGAGAAAAAGCTGATTGTGATGTGTTATTTGCGGTCTGCAAAGTGGTTTGCTAGGCAGGCGGGGTATTTGCTCGGCAGCGGGTCGCGGCTCCGCCCGAGAAGCCGGTCCGGAAGACACGGACGGTGAAGTCTGGTTGGGAGTTGGGGCGGTGGGAAAGGAGTTGCGGTTGGTTCATGGGTGGGTTGGATCACTGAGCACCACCCCATCCCGGTTGGGGTTTTCTCGGTTGCCTGTTGATAGCCGTGAGACTGAGCCACAAGGCCAGAAACCTAGCCGAGAGCCCGTCATGCACACGATGCCGTGCTCTGAAGTCAGTGCGAGAAGCAAACGGGGACCCGGGGCTGGTGAACGAGATGATATTGCGGTATGTAAAGTTCGCTCGAATAGGCTTCCAAGTGGAGGAGAAAACCTGCGACTCCGGGTGTGACAGACGACGGCTGGATCAAGCTTACATGGCTAGACGAACATATGTGAAACTTGGGCCACTGTTTCTTTAGATGAGGCTCATATTTGTGCCGTGATCTGACCCGATTTTGAGTTATGCATCTGCTCTGTTTCACGGTAAGTTTACCCTATTGTACGTATGGGCAACTAACAACTTGGCCAACCTGGAGGTGCTCCAATTCGACATATACTTCTGGTCTGGAATAAAGGGGATGGAGACACTAGTGATAGCCCGCGTGAAAGTATAAAACCAAGCAAACACATTGTGTATTCGTATCCCGAGATGGCTCAAGACGCGATTCGAGTTTGGCTACGGAGTAATGGGCGCACTACACTACACTATAGAGGCCTCCTCTTATTGCCGCTATGCATTATCCGTGCGAACCCCCTGTTGACTACGGATACTACCTACCGGTACCTTTGCCTAGGCGCCTGCCTACTAGGCTACTACTAGGTGGGGTGGTAGGTAGGTAAACAAGGTCGCCACACGCCACGCCAGATCTGATGGGGTTTGGGGGGCAGACCCGATATTTCCTTCCCTCAGACTTCCAGCAACAATAGCCCACGATGCTGCTACCTACCACTTACCACCCTACCTAACCCAACACCGGGTAGGTGCCTGACAATACTGGGTACGTTGATGGGGGGCTGAAATGCCGGAACTCCCGCGGTGCCTGTCTTGCCGTTTCCCGCCTGCTTTCGCTCGGGCTGGTTTTTCATCTGATTCGCCTCCTTCCCTCCATCCCCCTCCGTCGCATTAGGTTTGCCTCGATTGGACCCATGATGCATCTTGATGGTGAGCTGGCATGCCACAGGGAGCAATACCTACGGAAGGTCATCCCTGATGGCGACCCTGACCGCCGCAACAAGCGAATGCAACGTCTTGTGGCGGCTGCCCACGAGCCGTCTCCACCATGAGGCACGCCAAGATGATATCCACATTTCATCTTGGGAGAGAAAAGCAAAGACAATGGACACTTGACATTTTGGGCGAGATTGACCTGGCAGGCAGGTCAGCGGCAATTGGCGGTATAATTAGGTACTGAAAGCTTCTGTAGCGCTCGCCCAACATAAGTGAAGAATAAATGCTGTGGACAAGGGGACTGACTGGTATTGAACCAACTACCTACCTATGTAATGCTAGGTAGGTAGGTAGGTAGGTAGGTAATCTGTAGGCGGGCAACCACACGGCAACACCATCGTGGCTTCGTTCCAAGATACGGAGTCAGGAGAGGAGGAAGAAATAGGGAGTGACGGACGGGGGAGACCAAGCCACCGAGATCATAGGTACCTACTCCGTAGTCCGTACACTCATTACCTACCTACCAGGTGCCTTGCGTGCCTGCGTGCGTAGGTACGTACCTATGCTCCTAGCACTACCCCCCTCTCCTCTCTTCCCACCCTGGTCCACACTGAAATCAGCGTGTGGGCGTGACACTTGACCTTGACTAGAGAAGTGATCCGCACCGTCGTGACCTGGAACCTGTGCTCCTCTCTCGTCCCGAACCCAAGGCCCAGCCCAGCCCAGCACCGCCAAAATGTACGAAAACGCCAAAGCACTACCGCCGACCTAGCCACCGTCGGCAAATGAGCGGCGCCCATTCTCTCGTCCCGACCCCCTCTCTCTTTTTCCACCGACAGGCACAGGCACAAGCACAAGCAATTCCCCAGTCCAGAGTGGACACAACAATCAGATGCGCAGGCAGCGAGAGCCAGAGAGCAGTATCCGTACCTTGCGGTAATCTGGACCTAGTTTACCAGGACCTGGACCGGGACCAGACCCGACCCGACCTTGCCTTTACCACTTGCGAACCCCCGTTGTGGAATCCCAGATTAAATCATGCCCCGATCCTCCTCCCCGTCAGACTCGACCTCATCCTCACTTGTGCATGTGCTGCCTCCTGACCCTAGTCGATCCGCCTCTGCCTCTGCCTCTGCTTCTGCTTCTGCTATTGCCAGTGCCACATCATCCTCCCCCGATCCCATTGACCACGAAGACGCCCTCCCGCCTTGCCTCCTGAGCCCGTCACCTTTGCTCCTCCCACCGTCCACCGCGTCATCCCCTGGCCACGCGACCACATCGCCAATACCCGCGAACCCGGATGACCCCCGGTCACAAGACGTCGCCGTCACTGATCTTATTCACACATATTCGCACTTGGGCTCAGCCCCTACCTTGACCAACACTAATAACGAGAACCCTATCCGCGCACGCGGCCCCGTTACCGAACAAGAATTCGAGATGGAGCCGTTGAAAGGGGTCGGTCACCGCCGGCGCCGCAGTTCTCTCATGCAAAACGCCGGCTCCAGCAACCACCAGAAGGCCCCGTCGAGGAGTCAGGGGAACCTGTCCGAAGAACCAAAGATATCGGAGGAGGACTTGGGCGCGACACCGTCGGCCTCCAAAGACGCCGAAAACGACAGCTTCTCCGACGAGGACCTCCACGATGACGAGGAGATGGGCCTGACGAAGAAGGACAAGCGCAGGAAGAAGAATAAGAGAAGGAACAACACACGATTAGACCAGAGAATCGTCCGCGGAGAGATCTCGGCCGAGGAGAAGAAGGAGGCCGACCAAAACGTTATTAGGAGGTCTGTCATCAACGTGGTCTTGATCTTGCTGTGGTACTTGTTCTCACTCAGCATCTCATTGGTAAGCTTTTGCTCTTCTATTGTTGCTCCCGTCAGCAGAAAACGCAAGCTGACGCTCCATCTTCGCAGTACAACAAATGGATGTTCGACCAAAACCGCCTCAATTTCGCCTTCCCCCTGTTTACGACCGCCTGCCACATGCTGGTGCAGTTCGCCCTCTCATCTTTGGTCTTATTCTTAGTACCCTCACTACGCCCGTCAAATGGCCTGCGAAACTCGGACATGGGCCGCTCACGCCATGAATCCGAGCCGGACCGGCCGTTGATGACCAAGATGTTCTACCTGACGCGCATCGGGCCCTGCGGCGCCGCGACAGGTCTTGATATCGGGTTGGGAAACACCTCACTCAAGTTCATTACCCTCACCTTTTACAGTACGTAGATTGCGCCGCCTGAGCTTTCCGATAATACTAACGCCTGGGCCAGCTATGTGCAAATCATCTTCTCTAGCGTTCGTTTTGATCTTCGCCTTCTTATTCCGGCTCGAACAGCCTACCTGGCGTCTTGTGGCCATCATTGCCACAATGACTCTCGGTGTCGTTCTCATGGTCTCGGGGGAAGTCGAATTCAAGGTCAGCGGCTTCATCCTCGTCATCTCTGCCGCCTTTTTCTCAGGTTTCCGCTGGGGTCTGACCCAGATCCTTCTGCTCCGCAATCCAGCGACCTCCAACCCCTTTTCCAGTATTTTTTTCCTGGCGCCAGTTATGTTTTTGACATTGATCGTCATTGCCATTCCCGTCGAGGGCTTCCCGGCTCTCATCGAAGGCCTGAAGATCCTCGTGGCCGAGTGGGGTGCTATCACGACCCCACTGTTCCTGCTCTTCCCCGGCTGCATCGCCTTCCTCATGACCGCCTCCGAGTTCGCTCTCCTGCAGCGCACCTCGGTTGTCACCCTCTCCATTGCCGGTATCTTCAAGGAGGTTGTCACCATCTCTGCTGCCGCTCTCGTTTTCAACGACCGCCTGACGCCCATCAACTTCGTCGGTCTCATCACCACCATGGGCGCCATCGTTGCGTACAACTATATCAAGATCACTCAGATGCGTGAGGATGCTCAAAAGGAGGTCCAGCGTGGCCACATGGAGGTTGCCTCCGGCTCGTCTTCGAGCGGAAGCGACAACGACGATGGTGGCGAAGAAACGGGCCTTCTGCGGAACAGCACCGATTATGAGGACAACCTCGTCACTGCAGACGGCGATATTTTGCCCAACCCGCAACACACGGCGCAAGGATCACGAACAGCCCAGGCTCACCGCGACAACTAGACGGACACCCCCCCCCCCCCCCCCCCGTACGTGCTCGTCTTTATTGTAAATTCAGTTCGAGGCATCCGGCAAACAAATTGTACATTTTTCATTTTTCAAAAGGATCAAAACGCATCTTGTCGGTTGGCAGATGAGGCAGGCAAGGAGTTCAAGGGCTTTATCTGGGAAGGAGACTCAAGGTCTCTGAGAGAGAATTTGGCAAAATGGTTATATACTCGCGGGTTCTCTATGGATGAATCCCCAAGTTCTTAGGTTTGAAAGGAAAGAGTTGCATAACGAGGTGGATATACCATTGGCGGCAGAGTAGAACAAAGTCAAGACCCAGGCCGCTGGGTTCTAGACATCATCTTGGTGTAATTTCCCAGAGAGGTTAGATACACAAGAGAATATCAAGCATGATCGACCACAAATGGCACATACACATGGTTCCAACAAAAAAGTCACCACACCTCCCGTCATAGTACATGCATGTTTCCGCAAAAGAGGGTGGCTTACGATGGGCTTGGGGTTCAGCGAAAAAGAGACTGGTACTCCGGCTCGCTTACCTAGGTAACGTGCGAAGGCCTTGCTCCCGGTCACCGTCCCCGACCTGCTGGACACGGACAAGTTGGTGTAGGAGCCTCGGATATGTTAACTGCGAGCAAATTTCAGAAGCAACGCACAAAGTGCAACTCGTTCGACCGATGTGAACTGCCATGGTGAAACCTGGAGTTGGCATGGGAATGGAGCATATGGCATTCATACATTATGCTTACCGGCTTACTATGCCACTGCGGCTAAGGGGCTTTGCACGCTTGTACAAACCACGAATGCGAACATCACGACACTTAGGTTCGAGTATGAGAAAATGCTTCTATTCTTGAGTCACGCGTCGATGATTAGAATGGGTATGATGAACCTCCAACTCCAAACGCCCCCCCCCCCCCCCCCCCCCTCTTCCCGCCGAGCCTACTCGAACAAAAAGAAATACACTGCACCGGCGGAAGATGAACGTTCACCCGAGCAGCTTGAGGCCGTTCTTGGTCTTCTGCCCCGGCTTGGTGACGCCGTGGCTGTGCACGGGGCCGAGGTGGGGCTCGTATCCGGTACCCTCGCCGGCATGCTTGCTGCCGCTGCCGCCGTTGCCGGAGTGCTTCTTGTTCTTGTTCTTGCGGTTGTTGTGATGGTTCTTCTCCTTGACATTGGTGATCTTGATCTCCGTGTTGGCCTTGCGGACCGTGACGGGGTGGCTCTGAATGTATTTGCCGTTCATCTCCTTGGCGGCCTGGAAGAAGTCGTCGGCGTCGCTGAAGGAGACGAAGCCGTAGCCCTTTGACTTGGCGGTGCGCTTGTCGCGGATGACGCGCGCCTTTTGCACGGATTTCCACCGCGCAAAGGCCTTGAGAAGAGACTCGTCCGTCACCTCGCCCGCGAGGTTGCCGACGAAAAGGCGCAGGTGGCTTGGGTCCCACTCGGTCAGGGTATCGTCCGTCCACTTCTTGCCGCCGCCCTCTCGGACGACGGTCTTCTTGCGCTCCGGGGGCTGGTTCGCCGCTGCCGCTGCCGCGGCGACTGCTGCGGGGTCGGGCACGACGGAGGGGACCGCCGCCGAGCCGCCCGTCGCCGGGGCGCCGCGACCGCCGGGACCGCCGACGACGTCTCTGTTCGTCGCATCCCGGGAGCTGTATGCGCTCTGCCATTGGGCTATCTGCATCGCCATGTCGGGGTCGTAGTCGGTGGCGCTGCCGGGGATCGGGAAAGGGTTACGGATCTGCGGGGCAGCGCCGTACGTGGAAGGCGGCGCATTGTAGCTCGTGGCCTGACCGTAGCTGGCACCGGCACCGGCACCGGCGCCGGCTTGTGGGTATTGGTTGTATGAGGATGGCGGTGTCTGATAGGGCCCTGCGCTCCCTACCGCGGGCGAGGAGTGTTGCGGATAGGACTGGTAGGAGGTGCCATAGTTGGGGGCGGGCGCTGGCGTGTAGCTTGATGCGCTCGAATAGGTGGGCGCTGCCGCTGGGGAGGCTGCCGCGCCGAACGCGGGTTTGAAGGCGGGCTTGAAGCCTCCGGAGGTCTTGGACGGGGGCGGCCGTGCGGGCAGGGAGGGGTGAGAGGACGGATTGCCGGCGGAAGGCCCGCTTGAGATACCTGGAGGGGGCGGGTATGCCATGATGAATGAACTGCGGATTTCAAAGATGATTTTTCTTTAGGGCAAGTCGCGTGGGCTTGCTTGGAAGCGTTCTTTGTGTTAACGTACCTCTGAGCCTGGGGGTTCCCGCTCAAAGAAGTCAAGATCTCCTTTGCTGGTTGCTATTGCCGACGCTGCACGTGCTATCGGTCGGAGCTGGCGCAAATGCAGAGATGGGTGTGTTTCGTGATGGTACCGGAGAAAATGTGACGATGGAGCCTCCAGCCTCGGCGACGGCGTAGAGCCGATGTGGCTAGTGGCTAACTCCGATATAGTCACGTGCGAAGAGTGGCTCCATTGGTGAGAACCTTGGCAGCTTCTCCCGTGTGGGCCGGTACCACATCTGCCGGTCAATCAAACGACATTGCTTAAGTAAGCCCGTTGAATCCCGAGGTCCTCCGTGCAGTCCAGTCAAAGCCGGAAAACAAGGACGGACTTTCCGTCTTGAGCCATTTGGCATCGGCCCGGTTGCTTTGCTCTGCCAATCTGGGTTGTCATCACCGGAACTTCTTCTATTGCGCTCCGTTTCTGCATCAACTAGGTACTTCTTATCGGTCAGACTGATATGGCGGGTGACTGTCGATGCAGTAATTCGTTTGTTACACCGCTGAGTTGTTGGCTGACATCATGACCATCAACGCTGTGTTTTCTCACGGTCGGTCCATGCCAATCAACAATGCGCGTGGATTCACAGCGGAGCTCTAGCGGGGTTCCTTACCGACAACTCCGGGTCGTGCGACCAACCCCCACTAAGATTGAGGTTGCCCCTCGTTTCCCATGTCAGAGCCAGGTTTGTCGATTGGTGAGCAACCAGCGGCCCAGGGCGGATCTACCGATGCTCTCGGTCTCCGTTCGCACCTCAAAGTAGGTAGGTACATTAGGTGCTTTGGGGACAGAGGTGCGATATTTTCTGTCCCTTCTGCTGAGGGTGTGGGTCTCAACGAACATAATCGATTTGACCAGCATGCTCGGCCAAGAGGGGTTTCTTCCGGCCAGCTTCGGTCTGGTTGGGTCCGACTGCCTCTGCACACCACCCATTGAGGCGCATGTTTTGCTTGTCGCGCATGCCGGAAAAGGCCTGCTATCAGCCGTCTAGGGAAAGCAACCACAAGGCGCATGCATTATCTCTCGCTGACATATTTCACTGCTCAGGTGAACTGGTAGTAATAAGCTGCATCTTTGTCCGTGGGTTCTTCGCGTCCGGACGAAATGCCGGAGCGCGCTCTTGGACGAACCGCGACAGCGAGATATCTGTCTGGGCATCCGGAGTTGCTTTAAAGCTCTGCTGGTGGACATTGCCCAGGGTAAGGGGGCGTTTTTTATGCCGAAGAGCTGAAAAGACGGAATGGCCTCCAATGCGATTCTTGGCTTGATGTTGGGTTGTGCATGGCGGCTCTCGGGGATATTTTGAGTAATCAGACGGACACCATCAGACAGACACCCTGTTCCCTTCAGCCCCCCGCTGTCCACGATGGTGTAGAAGCGAGCAAAGCGAGGCGAGCCGCGAACGAGCGAACACCGGAGCTCCGTTAGGAGAAAGAAAACATGTGCCGCCAGGCAGGCAGCGCGCAGATTAGCATTGCCAACTAGCTAGAACCCCCCGCGTCCTATAGACCGAGCGCACCGTGTTCCTCCACGGCTGTGAGTTGCGAAACGTCAGGGTCTGACGCATCGAGTTTGAATACCGTAGTCGCAAATCTCCCTGGAACAACCAGAGTGTGAGACAACTCGCGGCCACCAATAGGAAGGGGTGCCTATCGCCGAATCGAACCACAACTGGACGGATCCAGAAGCGGCTTTTTGGACGACGGGCTGCGTCAGGCTGGCGCGCTGCTTGACTAAAACACCGCCGGCGTGGAACAGGCATGATGGTCGTTGCTGGGCCGCCATCCGCCACGCGTGCCGGGCTATTGCACAATGCGTTAACCGTGGCACCTACCTCGGGAGTCGCTACTGTAAGCACACGGAGGTGCTCGATGCTGTACCGTGCTTGAGTCAATATTCTGCAATGACTGGACTTGCTTCTGCCCTGCCCGGAGAGACAGGAGAGGTCCTGCTAGAGCTGGCCAAAACAAACGTCGAGAAGAAGCTGGACAGCGCGGGAAACAGAAGGTATCAAGAGGCCATCGTCATAGTCTGCCCCTCCATGACAGGCCGTCCAATTGGAAGTGGGGATGAGGGCCTTGATGGAGCTCAATGTCGGGGTGGTGATGTATATGTCCCCCCTTGTTCCCTTGTTTTCGTACACTGGTATTCGTACGGAAGTGCTGGAACTGTGATCCATGAGTAAGCTATGGTTCTATCCCGCCAACCAAGCCAATCATTGCAAGCCAGTGTTGCCGTCAAAGCAGCCCTGTCGACCATCGCAGACGCCATCTAGTCTCCGCTTTCTGCCCGGTCTTTGTCCCTGCTTCCAATGCGCACGCGCAGAGGCGAAAAAAAAAGTTGAGGCCAGTTGCCGACTGGCGAAGCACCGGGCAGCTTGGTGCAGCTTGGTGGGAAGCAATAGACTGGTTGACTGGGAGGAGTGTGTGCACATTTGGCGCTTGTCAGGGTGGCCCCTGCCACTAACACAAACCCCCTCCCATCCTACCCCTCCGTCGACCCTCCCCCTACAGACTTCGTCGGGTTGACGAAAGCTCCAGCTGCTGGTCTCCTTCTTGACACATTCCCTACAGATAAATAACTCGACGCTCCCGCAACCACCAAAGAATCGCGCGCCTGAACCTCTCCTCCATCAAATACAACCCCCCCACGTAACACCACCGACACATCTTTCATCATGTCTGGACCTGTGTAAGTAGTTTTCGTCTGCTTCCAACCCCTCTTCGCTCGAAAGCCAATTACCCCACCACCCCGCTCCCGGCCTCCAATGCTCACGGCGTTGACTACGATGACTGCCAAATCGCGCAAGTTTGCGTCTGTCATGATGTTTCGGCCCTGGTGCGGGCTCACGCGAGGTCCCAGTGGACGTTGGCCTCCAGCTATTTGCTCCTCCTGTTCGACCTGGACACAGTAATGTACTCATGCAATGCAGCGCTCGTCTGGCCAACATTGTGGCTGGCGTTGTGCCTGCTCCGAGGTCCCGTTCCGTTTTTCTCGCAACTAATTACTACTACCTGCTGCCCCTGAGCATTGAAGCTGACGATTTACCACAGCGCTGATATGGGCCTCATCGGCCTGGCCGTCATGGGTCAGAAGTAAGTCCCTTGTCCACCCACCGCAATAAGCGCTGTATTTTAACCATCAACGTAGCATTATCCTTAACGCTGCCGACGTCTGTCAACCTTCCATAGACCCTGTCGAGCCACCCGCAGGTTGCTGACAATACATATAGCACGGTTTCACCATCGCTGCCTTCAACCGTACTGTCTCAAAGGTCGACAAGTTCCTCGCCAACGAGGCCAAGGGCAAGTCCATTGTCGGCGCTCACTCCATTGAGGAGTTTGTTTCCAAGCTCAAGAGCCCCCGCCGTGTCATGCTGCTCGTCCAGGCCGGCAAGGCCGTCGATGACTACATCGAGACCCTCATCCCCCTTCTCGAGCAGGGCGACATCATCATTGATGGTGGTAACTCCCACTTCCCTGACTCCAACCGCCGCACCAAGTACTGCGCCTCCAAGGGAATCCGCTTCGTCGGCTCCGGTGTCTCCGGTGGTGAGGAGGGTGCCCGCTATGGTCCCTCTTTGATGCCCGGTGGCAACGAAGAGGCTTGGCCTTACCTCAAGGACCTCTTCCAGTCCATCAGTGCCAAGAGCGATAACGAACCCTGCTGCGACTGGGTTGGTGACGAGGGTGCTGGCCACTATGTCAAGATGGTCCACAACGGTATCGAGTACGGTGACATGCAGCTCATCTGCGAGGTATGTGTTACTAGGGTCCGGCCTCCGTAACTGCTGCTGATTTTTTGTAGGCCTACGACATTTTGAAGCGTGGTCTCGGCCTCTCCAGCAAGGAGATCGGTGATGTCTTCGCCAAGTGGAACAAGGGTGTCTTGGACTCTTTCCTGATTGAGATTACTCGTGACATCATGTACTTCAACGACGACGACGGCGTCGCCCTTGTCGAGAAGATTCTCGACAAGGCTGGCCAGAAGGGTACCGGCAAGTGGACTGCTGTCAACGCTCTTGACCTTGGCATGCCCGTCACCCTCATCGCCGAGGCTGTCCTTTCTCGCTGTCTGTCCGCCATCAAGGAGGAGCGTACCAAGGCCTCTACCCTTCTTTCCTACGTTGGCCGCAACAACAAGTTCGAGGGCAACAAGGAGCAGTTCATCGACGACCTCGAGCAGGCTCTGTACGCCTCCAAGATCGTCTCCTACGCCCAGGGTTTCATGCTCATGCAGGAGGTATGTGGCTACACTCATATCCTCTGTCAAACCTTGCATACTGACAATCATGTACCGTAGGCCGCTAGGGAGTATGGCTGGAAGCTGAACAAGCCCTCCATCGCCCTCATGTGGCGCGGTGGTTGCATCATCCGCTCCGTCTTCCTCAAGGACATCACCAACGCCTACCGCAACAACCCCGACCTCGAGAACCTCCTCTTCGACGACTTCTTCAACAAGGCCATCCACACTGCTCAGCCTGGCTGGAGAGACGTCGTCTCCAAGGCCGCCCTTCTTGGCATCCCAACTCCGGCCTTCTCCACTGCCCTCTCCTGGTTCGACGGCTACCGCACCAAGAACCTGCCCGCCAACCTCCTCCAGGCTCAGCGTGACTACTTCGGTGCTCACACATTCCAATTCCAGGAGGATGCGGTGTCCAAATACAAGCAGGGAAATTCTAGTGTCCACGTAAACTGGACTGGCCGCGGAGGCAATGTTTCTGCTTCTAACTACAACGCATAAAAGGTTTCTGGATGGGTTACGAGTAGATTTAGGAAAGGGCACGCTATGATATCTGGTATAATGGTGCCAGGGGAATGAAACGAAACGATTCCACGTAATTTCCAAAGAAAAAAAAAAGATAAAAACAAAGCATTGGTTGCAGATGTGACTTTTGCATTCGAGTTATAAATATCACATGTCGATGTTGGTCGATGATTTCAGCTAACCCTATACCAAATCGCGCCACTTCTTTTCGGCGTTGGGACAGGATTGAGAACAATATGCGTGCTTGCCATGACCTTTCCATAATATCTAGGCCTGCATGATTTCTGTTCTTGCTGGTATCCTCAGCGCACCGCCCGGGTCACCTCCTAAGTACGGTAGGTGGTATGGGTAGGTAGAGGAAGAGAAATTGAGACAACTAGAACGAACACACAGGAGACTATAGATGACTCAGCACTATCGTTGAGTACCCATCTAGGTACCTAGGTAGATGGCTACCGGAAGGCACCTTAGTGGTAGGGGAGCGTGTGCGCACGGCCCTGTTCTCTGAGCAGCTTTGATTGGCTGTGGCATAAATCAGCGTCTTTCTCAGGCACCATAGCCTTGTCGCGACAAATTTGGGGATCGCGAATCGACCTACTGAGTTAATTCATCCATCAACGCAGCCTTCCAATTAGTCGCGACATCGCACGCTGACTCTACTCCACGGTCACCATTTTTCTTACCACGAACGCACTTTGTGGCAACACTTGATTGCTCTCCGCTGCCAGAGCAACACGCGTCAGCATCATCCACCCAACAACATCACACCTGCGCCCTTGACCGCGATCCACCATGGCGCAGGACCCGAGTGATGGAATTGATCAGGAGCTGGTCAGTAGCTGCACCGTTGGCCTGCTGTAAATGCAACAGTCGCTCATGATTCTGTAGCTGAACCACGCCCATCTCATATCTGCCAACCACTATGCGGATCAGGCACGCGTCGATTTGAACCAAGTCACGAAATGGCTGATGGCCGCACCCCAAGTCGCGAAAGACAAGGCTCCATTCTTCTGGACCTACCTCGATCGACCCCGCGACGGCCAAGTTTATCTCACATGGCAACCCCTCAAGAGACTCGGAACGAATTTCGCGAGTGATGGAATGATCTGGGGTCCAGAGCAATACCATAGACAGGATGTTGGGAATGGACTTGTACGCATCTCTTTGTCTTGTCGTTACAGCAAACTGACCATGGCTGCAGTCTCTCGAGATTCATTACGTCAAATCAGGGTTCGTTCCTGGAGAGCAGGTTGCCATGCATGCGCGTCGCAGATTCCGCCTTGTGCCTTCGCAGACTGGTGTGATGAATGCGCCACAGCCAGACATCAGTCTCTGGATCGTGCATTACGGTCCTTCGGACCCTCCTGATCGCGTTCCGGTCAATCTGATCCCCGTCTCTCAAGAAACGCAGCATATTATGGCGACTCGTAATCACCTTCAGAAGTGCGGTCAGATTGCCCGCAAGGATTTCATGCTTTCGGATCGCGCCAGCTGGCCCCAAATTCAGTTCCCCCGTAACGGTGGACGACCACAGATGTACAACCCGCCGGCGCAGTCGCGGCGTATTCCGCAGCAGATGGCCTATCCTCCGACTGGTCCCCAGGGTCGCCGAGGTCGCCAACAAGCGCAGGCGCAGGCTCAAGCCCAGCAGCATCAACAAGCTCTCGCTCATGCTGAGGCTCTGCATGATGATGAGGAGCTAGAGAAGGATCTCTTTGATCACTTGACCCCAAGGGACATTTCTTTTGCGCGATACCAGCAAAATCACGAGTGGATGGAGGAGATTGTGTCTTCCCCTTACGGTCTTAGTCAGATCGTACCCCCTGATCTTGGTCTTGGGCTCAAGGGGGAATTGGCGTCTCTGACTGACGGGATTTTCCCTGCACAGAGTGCGGATGCGCTCACTGAACCACCTCAGAAGCCGTATATTGGGCGGCTAGAACCTGGACTGGCCGACGAGTTTAGGAAGAGGGTCCGGGAGCATCTTGACGCGACAAAGGCCGAGATGGAGAAGATGAAGGCGGAGCATGCGAAAAACTTGGCTAGCCTGAAGGCGAGCTCGGTGTTTGTGGATGCCGAGAAGGATATCAAGAACTCTGTCCAGGAGCATGGCCCAGAGCCGTGGCGCATTGAGGGCCACTACACAGACTCGGAGGATAACTCTGGCCCATGGTCACAGAAGCACAACAAGAAGGTGGATGAGATTGTGGCCCAGGTCGAAGCCAATCTAGGCCGGCAAATCGAAGTCCTTCACAATGTCCACCGGATACAAGACGGTGGGTTCCAGGAGCCTGCTCCGGAGCCCGTCAAGGAGCCCTCGCCCGTCCCGCCGCCGGCAAGCTCTCTCCCGCCAGCGGCCGGCGCTGATACAGGTGCTTTGGGATCGCGACGACCATCCCAGGCTGGCTCTACACATAGTGGGGTGATGGTGGGTGACTCGGACATCGACATGGGTGGCACTGCGGCAGGACTCCTGGATGAGATGCATACCGGGTTCTCTGCCAACTCCACCCCGCTGAACAACTTTCCTACGCCGCAAACTCACATGTCTGCTCTCAACTCCACGGCCGGAACCCCAGCCAACGCGAACGCTCCCTCGCCTGCACCAGTCCCCCCAACTATTCCTGAGGAGACCGAGACTCAGGCTTCTGCGGGCGCTTCTGCTGGCGCCGCGGAGGATGTTACAATGGGCAACACGGGCTCTACCAAGAATACGCCTGCCACCGCGCCCGACCATGGGACCGGCAGCGGGGAGTGGGTGGTTGTGCCTAAAGGGGGAACATCGCCCGACCCCGGTGCCGGTGCTGCCACCAGCACCGGCGCGACCGAGGGTGATGAGCCCAAGGCAGCTGCCAAAATTCCATCCGCCGCCGGAACGCCAGTGGAGACTCAGACACCTGGTGGATTTAGTTCTCTGGGCGACCTCGACTCTGCCGGTGACGCGATGGCTAGTTATGGAGCATCCATGGCAGACGGCCTTGACATGAACATGGAGATGGAGGACTCTGCCTTTGGTGATGCTTTCCACGGCGTGTCGAGTACCAACACGCCAGGAAATCAGTCCGAGGGTGGTGCCTGAAGAGGACAAGGGTGCTTCGGATCATGTTCTAGACAAGGTTGGCACACATGCCTTGGACGGAAACGGACTGTATATTTAGGTGGAGCGGTGGCTGGCTGGCTTGAACGTGGTCGAAGCTCACAGTTAGTTCTAGTGTCACGTATTTTTACGTTGACAGATGTAAAGGGTTGTACGGTACTACGCGGTTGGTTGAAGACTGGAATGGAACCAGGCCTTTTTTGGGTCTTTTCTACAGCACCAATGTCACCCTCAAAGTCCATTTGTGCTTAATGATTGTCGATGACCGTGGGCGCCTGCTCCATACTGACGGGCGAACTCGTTGCTGGACCGGCACGGCAGTGTGTCGTCGTAATACCTATACAGTTCTTGGCACAGGTTGCATGAGACTCGGTCGCGCCAGATGCATTGCAATCTCCATCGGCCCAGTCGGACTTCGGCCGCTTACAACGGGCCAATCAGCCGTATGATCACAGCTCAGCGGAACCAATTGATTGTATTCGTACGTTGGGAGAAATGATGTGAAACGGTCGCATTCACGGATGACACCATGTATACGCGGCCCGGCGAACGCCCTTTGAGTCTAGAGGGTGACGGTGTCAAACACGGGTGATACAAGGACCCTGTTATGGTGAAGTGGCCGGTACTCGGTGTTAGTGGTTCCTTAGCCTTTCGTATAGTAGGCCTTAACGCGGCCCCATGCCCTCGCTTCGGATCCGACAAGATTTTTAGGTTTGATCGACCCCAGGAACAGTGTCTCAGCCGCAGCTTTCCCACAACGCTAGCTCCCCTATCATCTCAACGTCCAATGTCCAACTTCTCGATTATTCGACTGTTCGACAAGATGGGTCCTCCAGGGATCCATCGCAACGAGATTGGACGAAAATTTAATTGTCTGACACCAGCGGTCCCGTAGATCCGTCCGAGGTTATGGGCGTTTCTTCCTTACCAGATCTCATGCTTAAATCCAACCCAAAAGATGGGACTCCCAGGAGCTAGGGGCAAGGAGGGCGGAGAAATCGTCGATATCATATTGTAGTATCCGTACCGGAATGAGCTTCCTGCACAACGCGACGCCCAGCCGAGCAATGGCAATCGACGAAACAAGCTCTTCCTGTGGTTACGAGACCCAAGCCTGCCTCTATTGCGAAATCCTCCACTTCAACCTCCATCGTCGCCCCTCACCAAGGTGTTTTGCATCTCAGTGATCATCCCGGCCCGGGGTGCCTAAAGCCGTCAAGTGAGATGCTTCTTATGCATCGGACAATGGCTTGGCCCAGCCCACTTCATGCCGCAATCTGCTGCTGTCGGCCCTATCCCTTAACAGCGTGCGTGGACCGATGAGACGCCCCCTGCACCCCTGCCCAGCCTTTACTCCTGGCTTTGGGTTGGCGTTCTGGGGAAACCTCTCACGAAAAGCCGCATACCCCTGAACGTACGGAGTATGACCCATTGTCAAAACGGCGTCAATCCGAATGGGGAATGCTCTGGATGCTGTCACCCCTAATTGCTCGTCCGGTCTGCCTCATCCGATTCTTTGTTTGTCTTCGCTTCTCTTCTCGTTCCGTTATTGTTGTAGTTGTCGTTGTTGTTTTTCGCAGTTTACCTTCGATTCTGTTTCCTGCCGTTCTTTTCGGAATACCTTCATTTTTTTGTCTTCTCTTCTATACGGTCTGCAGGTCAGCTTCTTTCCAAGCCGGTCCATTCGTTCCACTCATTCGAATTCGATACCCGCGAGCCCTAGTTGGCATCCCTTTTCGCTCTCTTCGTTTATCGTTCGATTCGATACTAGGCACTCGATCTTGGTGGACAATAGGCTCCGCATCCTCTTATTTTCAACGACTAATTCGAAGACGCAATGCGGTTCGCAAAGTCACTGGCGCTGTTGCTGGGCGCTGCCCTTTGCGATGCACAAATCTCGAAGCCTAGGGGAGGAGACGTGTTGATGCCTAACCAGCAGTTCGAGGTCGAATGGCAAACAACGGGTCTCAAGGCGCCCATCAACATCAACCTTATCCCCAGCGGCAAGACAGACCTTTCCGTCATCGCTGAGAAGATTGGAGGTAAGGCCCGCCTCTCTGCAAGGACATGTAACCTGGAGACTGACAGACCTTGTAGTGCAAATCGACAACGTCGGCCGCCTGAACTGGAGCCCAAGCGCCTCTATCGCAGCCTTCGAGAGCTTCGCCATCATGATCACCGATTCCGCCAAGGCCGTCGTCATATCCGAGCCATTCCAGATCATCAAGCTTACTCAGCAGCCCGGCGTTCAGACGCCAAAGGTCGTGTACTCTGGAACTCTGCCAGCAAACGCCTTGCCCGCCAACTTTGTTGCTGCAGAGGCTACCCCTGCCGCATCGACTTCTGTTCAGGCTACGTCTACCGAGGGAGCCCCGACTCAGTCAACTTCCGAGGCGTCCGATTCCAAGAAGCCTAACCCTGACAAAGCCAACCCTGAGAAGGCCGCTCCCGAGGAGGCCGATCCCGAGAAGGCTGATCCCGAGAAGGCCAACCCTGAGAATGCCGATCCTCAAAAGTCCGACAATGCGGCACCCACGCCCGTCAAGACCACTTCCGCTGTATCCACTTCTTCCAACGTTACCCCGACTCCGTCAGCGTCCCCCGAGAAGACCAACCCCGATAAGGCCAACCCGGAGAAGGCCGACCCCGAAAAGGCCGACCCCGAAAAGGCTGACCCTGAGGAGGCCGACCCTGAGAAGGCCGATCCTCAGAATTCTGACACTACTGCATCTGCGCCCGTCAAGACTACTTCCGCTGTGTCTACTTCTTCCGAAGCTTCCCTGACTCCTTCAGCGCCTGTCCAGACCCCACCCGCCAAAGTCTCTGCCCCCAAAGACCAGAAGACGACAACTTCGTCAGACACAGTTGGAAAGACCAGTTCCTCGGTTTCTCTTCCCGACGCTACCGAGACGACCTCGACCTCTGAAGCCCCCCAATCCACCTCTAAGGTCTCCGAGTCTTCAACTACGGCCGGGTCCGTCTCCAGTCTCCCAGTTGCCAACAACCAAACTGCAGCCCCAAGTGTTGAAGTGAGTTGTCCAACTTTAGATCTATGATAACTTTGTGTTGACTTGAAACAGCCGACGCCAACCCCGATTTTCGCTACTGTCTCTGCTAAGCCTGTCAAGACTGCCGCCCCGCCCCCGGCAAACAGCACCAGCGCTGTTCCACAAGTATCGTCGGCTCCTAGCCAGACCCTCCCGGTCGTAACTCTTCCCCAACTCAGCACTAGCACTCCGATCGCTGCCCCTCCTCAGCTGAATACCAGCGCTCCGATCATTGCCCCTCCTCAGCTCAACACCAGCGCTCCGATCATTGCCCCTCCTCAGCTCAACACCAGCGCTCCGATCATTGCCCCTCCTCAGCTCAACACCAGCGCTCCGATCATTGCCCCGCCTCAGCTCAACACCAGCGCTCCGATCATTGCCCCTCCTCAGCTGAACACCAGTTTCCCGATCGCTGCTCCTCAGCTCAACACCAGTGCTCCGATCGCTGCTCCTCCTCAGCTCAACACCAGCACTCCGATCGCTGCTCCTCAGCTCAACACCAGTGCTCCGATCGCTGCTCCTCCTCAGCTGAACACCAGTTTCCCGATCGCTGCTCCTCAGCTAAACACCAGTGCTCCGATCACTGCTCCTCCTCAGCTCAACACCAGCACTCCGATCGCTGCCCCTCCTCAGCTGAACACCAGTGCTCAGATCATTGCCCCGCCTGAGCTCAGCACCAGTACCCCGACTCTTCCGCAAGTGGATACCAGCACTCCCGCTATTCTGCCAGCCGTCTCAGTCACTGAGCCGGCGGCTGTTACTCCTGTTCCTGTTGCCACATCGTCCTCTGAAAGCTCGCTCAGCAGTGTCACACCTACCGCGAGGAATCCCGAGGTTGCTCCAACCGGAGTTTCCGTCGCCCCCCCTCAACCCGAGCCCTCTGTTCCCGCCCCGGCAGCTGGGCCAAGCGACAGCACGCCTTCGAATGGAGCTTCGCCTACCGACCTCACGCCCCTGAACCCGATCAAGTCTGTTGAACCCACGCCGACGCCCACACCTAGTGGAACCGGTTCTGGGGCTGGTTCAGGCAGTGGCGGTAACAATGAAAATAACAGCAGTAGCCGCTCCGGTGACTCGATATCCAGTGAGTCAACATCGGCTAGCCAGCCAACAGCTCAACCGCAACTTGGATCCGGAGATGCAACTACTTCCGTTCGTCCTCCTGGTCCCGTAATTACCCTGCCATCCACTCTGATGACGTCGATGGTGCTTGCCACGGCAGCTAACGCTGTGGCGCCCACTGGCGGGCTCTTCGCGGTGACGACCGCCCCAACTGTATTCAACCCTACCTCTGGGGGATGCAGAACGACCCAGAGCGGCTACGTTGCGGCTCTTCTAGGTGCCGTGGTAGCAGCCGTCGCAGTTACCGTACTGTAGAAAGGGTTTCAGGGATGAATGTATGAGTGGAGTTGGAGAGGTGCCGTGGTTGTTAGGGGGTGTGCTTCGTTTCTCTTTGTCCATAATGTGTGTTAGCCTAGGGAGAAAGTGATGACCGCGAAGCCGAGATAACGAATTCTACTCAGAATGGAACGTCGCAAGTCCTCATTCCAGGCATGTATCTAATTTCTCTTGGCCCTGCAGGAACTACAAGTTCAACTATCGGGTGTCAATGTTCAACGGTGTAACTATCAAACCTTGCGCCTCGGAAACCTCAGTCTTACATATGTGCTGCTTAGGACTTATATCGCTGGCGTGTGCTGCTAGTTGGAAAAGTTCCAACTTGAAGCTTAAGCTAAACAAAATCTACGTCAGACCATCAATGTTCAGATGACTTGTGAAATGTGTTTCAATGCACTTGGGTTGGCCCCCTCGATCCCGGTAAGCTCATTAGCATATACTGGTGTTGGTTGGGCAGAAGGTTTTTGGTGTCTCCAGCAGTTCCCAACTTCTCTTCTGAAATGATTTGTGAGCAACTTCGGTATATTGGCAACTTGGACGAATATTTTCACGGCGCCTTTGGGGCTTAGGGCCGGTCTCACTCTCATAGCCATAATGAAGCGGCGTTGAGAGTGACAGTATAGAGTGGGGTTTCCAACGATCGACATGGAAATCGAGGGAGCTATTCCACGCAGTAAGAAATATAAGTCTTAACGTCCAGGAACCCACATAGGCCAGACAAAGAGGGCAGCAGCCAGTCAACAGGATGAGTAGGTATCCTGCAGTTGAGGTTGCTTTCCGGTTTGCCACTGAGCTTTGTTGCCAGTTGGTGTTGGTAAAGGAATAGCGTCTGTGCCATGTACCCGTGGTGGAGATGGGCGCGACATAGATAGGCGTTTGTCACGCTAAACTTTACAACACGCGACCTGCAAGGCTGTTGGGCCCACCAGAAAAAAGTACCTCCTACCTTTCTAGGCCCCTAGGGAGTAGGGTGAGAGGTTCCTGTCCAAGCACCATGAGCCAGTACCTCACTTTGCAGCCTGGCTCTTGCCTCCAATAGCTTCCTTTACATGCCGCCTTTTACCTGTGAATCGTCGTGTGTCTATTTTTGCCCTGAACCCCGACAACAAGCCTCGATACTCCGCTCAGACGAAGCACCAATTTTCTAACCAGTTGCCGCCACTCAAGATATCCGCATGCGCTCCACATAACTCCCCGCGACGACCGAGGCGCGCCTGCCACTTTGGTTTCGAGACCCTTCTCTGACACTCGTTGAAAAGCAAAGCGCCCAAACCGTCACTACCTAGCCAGAGAACCCGCGAACGGAGAACGAAAAACATTGACAAACGATTCCGAACATGCCGGAAATCAGCGCTCCGCCGCCGCGGCCGAAGCTGAAGCTTAGCGTAGGCTCGCGACAACCCTCGTTTAGCGAACAGAACGGCGCGACGCCATCGGCGTCGACTCCATCCTCATCCATGAAGATTAAGCTGAAGTCATCACAACCGCCGACACCGGCTGGGCCCGCGGCGCCTACCCCCTCCAAGACGAAAGCTGGACGACAGCCCAAGCCGACAAGCAAGCTCATCGAGTCCAAGAAGCGGGAACAGGACGACGACGATGATAATGGCGGTGGGAGCCAGCCGTCGAAGAAGATTAAGCTCCTGAAAACACCGACTGCGTCGACGCCTAGAACTGGCCATATTGTCGTCAAGTCAAAAGGCAAACCGCCTGTACACCCGCCTGGCGATGGTTACGACTCCGAGGCTAGCGATCAGGAGAAGGATCCTACAATCGAGGAGCAGTTCATCTTGCGCATGATGCCCGGTGAACACTGCGAATACGTCAGGAAATGTATTGAGGAAGGGAAGGTTGGTGTCCCTAGGAAGGACGGCGGCGCGGACATCCTGATGAAGTTCTTCGAGGAGGAGACACGGCGCGCCATGGTAGTAGTGAAGGGGCAGCCCTACGCCGCGGTCATGGTGGAGTTGCCCACGATCACTGAGGGTATGAAGTCTTGGGACCGAAAGACCTTGATGAAGTCTGCCGACATTTGCCACATGCTCCTGGTCTTCCAGCAAGTAAGGAGCGAAGAGGAAGCAAAGAAGGCGCCGTTGCCTGCAATAATCCAGCATGGCTTCAAGTGGCCTCATGGTCTAACGCCACCCATGCACGACGCTACAAACCAAAGATTCGCCAAGATTATTAGTCGCTCGGAGATCGAGCTGAAGGAAAACGAGGTTAAGAAGCTCCTGCAGGCCGACGCGGCCGCATTGTCCTCCAAATACGAACTTGTCGACGACCGAAAGATGCAGTCTGGTGACGAATATTCCGATGACGAGCAAGACGCTGACGGTGAGGCGGACGACAGCGGCTATTTCCCGGCTGACGGCTACAACGATGGCGAACTCGATGAGCACGATGATGATCTGGAGGCCGAGCTTATGGCTGCTTTCGAGGAAGAGGCGATGAACCAGGCTACGACAGAAGTTGGCACGCCAGCAACACAACTTGAGGCTGCTACACCCATGACTATGAACACGGGCACACCCGCACACAATGCTCAGGATAGTGGTGACGGCGAGGGGTCAGTCGCGAGCGAGGAGGACGAAGACGACGACGACGATGACGATGACGATGATAAGGAGCGGCTGGACGAGGTCAAGGCAGTGCGAGAGGATATTGCGCAGCTGAAGAACGAGATCGCGAAGAAGGAACAAGAGAAGTCGAGCCAAACCAACAAAATTCTGAGGAACCGTGTCGAGGCTCGCCTGAAGGATCTAAGAGCAGAACTGTCACTCAAGCAGGCGTCTATCGGAGAACAGGAGGAGGATGAAGATTAACAGCGGACATATGTATGATGCGGAGCCCTGAAAGAGCAAGCAGTACCGAAACGCTCAGCTGGGATTTGGACGTCCGCAAGAGGCCACACCATGCACAATTTTTCACGGCTGTGTACATTTACCAAGCTCAAGCATACAAGCTTTAATAACTGAAGCCAAGGCGTTTGCCAAAACCGTCTCTTGTTCTTTTCAAGATGTGATGTTTTCAGTGATGATATGACAAGCCGGCGGCGCCGACAGTAGATATTGTACAAGAGCCCCCTTTTCTCTTGACTCCCTATGATACACACAACTCCGTTTCAGGCACGCTGCGACGGCCGGCGGTGACAGCACGAACCACTGCAGCACCCACTGCGCGATACTATGTTCCGCCTCCTTACATGGACTTGAGGTAGTTGGTCTCCTTGATCTTGGACTTGCGCTCCTTGCGCATTGCCTTGCGCAGCTCGTCTCTCTTGGCCGCCGCGTGCAGGTTGTGCTCAACGTCGCCGCCCTTCTCACCGGGCAGGTTGATGGACTGCTGCGACAGCGGGACCTTGGGCGCGAGGGCCTCGATGTCGCCTTCGGCGACGAGCTTGGCCTCGAGGGCCTTTTGACGCTTGGCGGCGGCCTTGCGCTGCTTCTTAGACTTGGCTGTACGTTCGCATGATAGTTAGCATGACTGTCGTCCGAGATTTTCCCCTAGGGGGTAAGAGGAAGGGGAGGGTGGTGATGGTCGAGGGTTGCTCGCCTGCGGTGGGGCGGAGCTTGACGTACAGAACATCTCGGCGGCGAAATCATCAGCGGTCTCGATGGCCTCCTTCTTGGACTCCAAGACCGTCCACAGCCATTCAGGGTACTCCTCATCACGAAGGGCGACCGGGTCCGTCCGGGCCTTGAAGTAGTTCAGACCGTTGAGAACGGTGCCGGCAGGGCACGAGGAGATGGACTTGGGCGGCGGGGGTGCGTCGTTCTTGAGGTTTGAGAGGTTCGGAGGGGCGTCTGTCGCTTTCGTCTTAGTTTCGCTGTCGGCCGCTGCCGCCGTCGCTGCGTTTCTTGAGGACGCGGAGAGGGAGAAGGGTCTGATGGTGAGGACGGCGGCGGCAGCCCTCGGAGCTGGGAGTCGAGGCAGAGCCGAGGCTCGCCGCAGGCATGTTCTGCAAATCATTGTTTTTCTTTGTCGTGTTGAAAGGGGACGACAAGATGGTGCGACGGGTATGCCGTCGTCAAGAAGGTCTATGGTGGTGTTGCAGGATGCATGAGCTTGAGCTTGGGGTGCAGTGGAAAAATTCTGGGGCGGGCGGGACGCGCCTGTTGCGCACTTGGCGTGGAAGGCTGTAGGCGCTGGACCTTCTCCATGGAGCTTCAACCTCAGGTCGGGTAACGAACTCGAGCGCTGCGGCAATTAGACACGATCAATTGGGTTGATTGATCATTTTGCATCAATTTGTACGCAGAGAAGCTGATCATTTCAAAAAAAGACAATGAATAGAAGCATAACCCCGGAAGCCTTGTTTGATTCATTTGTACATATCGTGAGTGATATCGCCCACCACGCGCTGGCCAATTGACGTGATACCGTCCGTCATGGCCTCGGCTCTGCGTTCCCCTTTCTGATGTAGAAAGAAGTCTCTTTCAGAGCACCATCTCTTGGTCTGTACCCAAACTCTCCCGCCCCATCATCGCATACAGAATATGGTTCCGTCTATTGCTTGCTGATGTAGTTCTGCTGTTCGAACAATGTGCCCTTGACCTTCTTCTCCTTCAGCAGTTCCAAGTACTTTTCTGTTTCTTCTCGTCAGCAATCGGTGTTCAGGGGAAGGCCCATCTCCGCTGGCTAGCAGTAATTGGGTCCCCGGCCCGTCGACGCAGGAGTGCAACTAACCTCTCAGATGGCCGCACTTCTCCAGGTGGTTGACGCCCTCCTTCTTGTAGCACTTGCCCAGCTCCTCGCCAACAAGACGCAACATCATGGCCCCGACCCATTGCTCACGGATGATGGCATCCTGTGCCTGCTTGAATGCCTTGGTGTCGTCATAGTCGACGCCGTCGAAAGTCGGGGCCACCTTTGGCTTCTGCGCCAGGAACATCTCAGACTCGGGGGTCGGCATCGTGATGGCTGTGTTCGAATTGGAAAAGAGGGTGTTCGCCTTAAGGTGCGTGTGTTCGAAGCGGACGAAACGGGGGCACCGGAATCGGAGGTTACGCGGCGTGAGGTCGAGCTTGTGGTTCTTGATGTCGGTCTCGAGGGCCCGGGTTTGGAATGGCTGTCGGGATTGGAGGAACCTGGCGGCAACCAGGTCAGCCAGATTCCGGCAGCCTTAATTCACAGGCTCCAGGCCCTCTTGCTCCCCCCAGAGCTGCGGCTTTTCGGTACGTATCCTGCTAGCTCGCTTCCATGCAGCCCCTCGCTCACCGCCCGTACGGGTCGAGGGACTGCCCCGCTGAAAAGTTGGCAAATCGCAAAAAAAAATCTCTGTCGCAAGACCCTTCGCCCCAACCACTGGACCCTTGCCTTAAAAGTCAAGCTCCCGCCTCGAGGCTACAGAGAAGTTTTCTCTCGCGCAACCTCGCTCTGGAAAAAAAGTCTTTCTCTCGCTTTTTTCCAGCTTCCCAATCCCTTTCCCTTCATCCCTTCATACCCCCAATTCACAGTTTCTTCACACCTTCACAATGGGCAAGACCAAGTCTACTACCAAGGGCAGCAAGGCCGCTGACCCTATCACCAAGGTGAAGAACGCCGGCGTCACCAAGGCCACTGAGAGCCCCAAAGCCAAGTCAAAGGCCGTCGCCAAGGAGGCTGCCGCCAAGGAGAAGTCTTCCAAGAAGACCAAGAAGGTCGTCGAGCCCGAGTCCGACTCTTCCGACAGCAGCGAAGAGGAGGAGGACTCTGACTCTTCCGAGTCTGAGGCCGAGGCTTCCAGCGACTCTTCCGACTCTGAGGAGGAGAAGCCTGTCAAGAAGGCTGCCCCTAAGGCCGCCAAGAAAGCCGAGTCTTCTGACTCTGATGACTCTTCAGACTCTGAGGAGGAGGCCCCCAAGGCCAAGACCAACGGCGCTGCTAAGAAGGCTGAGACCTCCGACAGCGACGATTCCGAGGAGGACTCTGACGACTCCGACTCTTCTGAGGACGAGAAGACCGAGAAGAAGGCCGCGGCTGTAAGTAATACCGACACCGTTCTCTATCCCAACATTCACTAACAGTGCCCCGCCAGACCTCCGACTCCTCCGACTCTGACTCCGACTCTGGTTCTGACTCCGATTCTGATGAGGAGGAAGACTCTTCCGACTCTAAGGAAGCATCTGAAACCGAGGCCAAGACTGAGGAGCCCTCTAAGAAGCGCAAGGCCCTTGACGACCCTGTCATTCCCGGCAAGAAGGCTCGCACCGATGTCTCTGACAAGAGCTCCACCCTCTTCGTCGGCTCTCTTGCCTGGGCTGTTGATGACAACTCCCTGTACGAGGCTTTCCAAGAGTTTGCCGACCTGACTGGTGCCCGCGTCGTTACCGACAAGGCTACCGGCCGCAGCCGTGGCTTCGGCTATGTCGACTTCGCTACTCCCGAGGCTGCTGCCGCTGCCCTCGAGGGCTCCCAGGGCCGTGAGCTGGCTGGCCGTGCTATGAACATCGATTTCTCTGGCCAGAAGCCTGCTGGTGACGGCAACCACCAGGCTCGTGCCTCTGACCGCGCTCAGAGACACGGCGATACCGTCTCCCCCGAGAGCGACACTCTCTTCGTTGGCAACCTCCCATTCGACGTTGACCAGGATACCGTCAACGCTTTCTTCAGCACGGCCGCCGAGGTCACCAGCGTTCGCCTGCCCACTGACCCGTGAGTACTCCCTCTACCTCGCATGCTTGCACGCAGATTGCTAACTCACTTCAGCGAGACGGGTAACCTCAAGGGCTTCGGATATGTTTCCTTCAACTCCATTGACGATGCCAAGACTGCTTTTGCCCAGCTCAACGGCCAGTACGTTGGTGAGGGCCGCAGCGGTCGCGCTGTCCGCCTGGACTTCGCCGGCCAGAAGCCCCAGCGTGAGGGTGGTGGCTTCGGTGGTGGCCGTGGTGGTGGCCGCGGTGGTGGCCGCGGTGGTTTCGGTGGTCGTGGACGCGGCGGCGGCGGTGGCCGTGGCGGCCGTGGTGGATTCTCTTCCACCAACCGTGGCGGCTTCGGCGACTTCAAGGGTCAGAAGGTCAAATTCTAAACGGCGATGCAACTTTGAAAAGATGGTGAATCAGAGGGCACTACGCGGGCAATCCTGTGGGCTACTGTGGGCTGTCGGTTCGAGACAAGTTTCTTCCCTGCGGGGATTGTGGGCTTTGAGAGCAGTCTCTTCGGAGACAAGATGGACCTGAGGGCTTTCCATTTGGGACCGTGGGCTTGTGGTAGTTTCCTATTGCTTCTACTCTACACATTGAGAGATGAAGCAGAGGAACGATGCGGGTTCTGTACGCTATTGTGGGTTGACCAAGAGGGCACATGTTGCATCGCAACATCTTCATAGTGGGCAGATGGCTTATTATCATGAATCTGGGGACGAATCTCGGTGCCTCGCATATCTGCAGGCGCGTCAGAGGGGACTCAAAGTTCTAGATGACGACGGCTTCTGTGGGCTCTGGGGGTTTTGCTCGCAACGACTTCGACCTTTGATGTGGCTGGTCAGGCGTTTTCTTCCCTTGGGTTACGGTTACTTTGAACTTGAACGATACCACTGCAATACGACGCAGGGAAAAACGGAGTAAGTATACCTTCTCCCTCGTGAATGTCATTTCAAAAAGGCATATATACACTTGCCACGTGGACACGGCGTTTAGGACCCAGCTCCTATTGTAATACAAAAGTTTTGATGTTTTCCTTGATAAGATCCGTGTCCCTGTCCCACGATGCGTGATTGTGAATGCCGACCTGTTCCTTGACCTGTCTGGATCGTCCCGTGGCTGCCGGGCGCGTTGTGGTGTCGTGTCTCATTTTTCAACAGGGGACTCCGCTCCCGTTTCGATAGCAGCCTCGTGCTCAGGTGCCCGTCGAGCGGTGCGTCATTGGCGGCACGGGGTACACATTCAGCCCCGTGATGACTGGTAAATCTATGCGGCCCAGAACACCCCGTCCGTTGGTCATCCCGCGTCTGCTCAGTCAAGCATGGTCATCTGAGGGAACACCCGTTCGTCAGTAAGACGGGGGCTGGGTGGTACGGTATTAGTAGAAACCTGTTTAATCGTTCCATTTCACCATCAAAGAGCTCGAGGCGGAGGCGAGGCGCGAAATAGACAAAAACCGTTGGGGAACAGTGAAGCGAAAAGGGGGGCGACGAGGGCCCGCCACTCGAATCGGGCATGACTTGTTGGATGGTTATAAGACGACAATTGCACCGACATGGAATGCGTGGCCGGAGCAGAGAGCCGGTGTCGGGGTTAAAGCTAGAGACTTGTGAATTGATGCGCTTCCCACAACCAAATAACCGTACTTTACCTACTTCGTATGCCCCACCTGACCCCCGGTGTGTAAGTGGGATGTTCTGGGGCAGAGCGGGGGGGAGTTGAGGATTATGCTCGACATGGATGACGCTATCGTTACGGTCAGGGGGATAGAGAGAGAGAGGAGTCGTGGCCGTCCATCATGTAAGACAACATTGTACTGTGCTTATCGCGCCGCTTGCAGCTGCGCAGGCTGTGTCTGATAGTGGTGGTTGGTGGTCTTGGCACCTGACACGGTACGGTGCTCGATAGGCGCCGGTGGGAGGTAGCAGGTACCTCGCCGGCGAATGACCGCTGCAGCTGTACATCATCTGGGCGCCGTCATGGTTTACTGCTTTATCGTAAGCCTGGAATCCTTGGATAGAGGATAGGCCCCCCCCTCCTTTGCTATGTATGCACCTTTGAAAGACCCAGCCAGTCAGCCAGCGACGGGGCCTCAACACCATCTCGCTGACCCTGTGTGCCTGGTGAGCCAGCCATAGTTCGAAGCGGTCTGCTGCACCCCTTTTCCTCCTTACCTTCAACTATTTTTCATCTTGCATTACTGCATCGTACACCAGTGCTTTGTTCGAACTATCGTCGGCGTCGGGCGCGAACAGACAACCTCGGACCCCGTACCAGGCTGATCCCACTGTGGGCGTATCTTATCTCCCAAACGCGGGGTTTCGGACGGAGGACAGCCCCCCCCCCCCCACGTCTACCCACCTAACCTCCCTCGATAACGACAATAACGTCTCTAACGATTACCACGAACAAACCATTCGCTCTTTTCTTTTCCCCGTCTAGCGGCCATTCCATTTTGAATCTCTCCCAGGGCATATAAAATAGCATATTAGGATGGACGGACAGCAGCGCGACGAGCGCGCAGGGCAGAACTTCCAGAACGGCAGGATGTTGGGGAACGGAGCACAGCCCGCCGTAGGCCCACGTAGGCGAAATGATGGTCAGTTACCAAAAGGACAAGGCCAAAGAAATGCTGACACGAAACCGTTTAGAATCATGGGTCGAGATTTCGTCGCAGCCGTCTTCGTCATCTCTCTCATCCATCGGCGACGAGATCGTCACGACAGGTCTCCGCGTTGGCGGCTCCATGGCCGCCCGCCGACGTCGCTTACATCACCAGAGCCAGCCCGTGCCAAGGTCCTTTCACGTCGACCAGACGGCCATACACGCCGGCACGAGCAGCCAGGAGGAATATGAAGAGAGCGAAAGCGAGGAGGACCGATGCCTGACGAGTTCGACCGAGAACATCCAGCCTTCCGTGCGTGCGCCATTCCACCAACAACAGCCGCCACAAGAGGAATCGGAGGACTCTGACGACAGCGACGAGATTGCCACAGCCCTGGGTCGTGTTCCCGACGATCCTGTCTTCCGGCCTCAGCCAAATGCTTTTTCACACCCGCCATCGGGTTTGAATAGAAGCCATTCGGCCAACTCGGCGATCCACCAACACCCGCACAGCGGCGTTCGGCCTGCTCTCTCACAGCGGTCCCAGACCAGGGTCCATCGCAGCCCGCCGAACTTCATGTCTCCTGCCTATCAAGCCGACAATGACGCGGCGCTGCGCGCTTCTCTCACCACACTGCTGTCCTGCGCTGCTGCCGCCCGTGGCTTGCCCAAGTATAAGGATACTGAGCGGCAATGCGCTACACCTGCGCACGCCGGAGTCGGACCCAGTTCTCAACCTGTTGAGTTGCGGCTGATGCCCGAATCTGAGCTCATGGCTGAGAGGCCTACTCAGCCCCAAGGTGCCCCGTCTGCACAATCACCTACCACACAGCCAGGGAAGACGACGTCTTCGGCTCCTCCGTCGCCCAAGAGCGCGGGCGTCGACAGGCACAAGCGTACTTCCTCACAAACACGCTCGTCGAGAGCGGCCAAGAAGAAGAAGGTCTCGGCGGGCGACGACACTCTCATCAGTCCGACGTTGCTGACCTGGGTGGTGAGTGCCGGTGTTGTAGTGCTGGTGTCTGTGGTAGGATTTGGTGCAGGCTATGTGATCGGCCGCGAGGTAGGACGACAAGAGGCCCTCTCGGCGGGAGTAGGCGTCAACGCCTCAACCGTGGCAGACTCTTCGTCATGCGGGCGGGAAGTTATTCGGTCCTCTGGCGGCGGTCTTCGCCGTCTGAGGTGGGGGGCGGGGGTTGGCCGAAGCGTCGTCGCCTGAGAGATTCTGAATCAGCTTCAACCGTTGAGCACATTGTCTGAATCATGAAGCGTCAGATGCTATTTACGTACGAACGGAGCCGGGATATCGGACCTTGCGAGGCCTTCCGGATAAATCACCTGCCTGCACGGTAATCTTTGCTACTGGTCAACTTTTTTCCGGTCACGAACGGGTTTGAACACGGGCCATGACGGATATAGACTTTTTCTTCATGTTTTTCATACTCATGGATACCTATCATTTCCCTCACGTTTGGGAAGAAATGCGAAATATGCCTGGCAAACGAAAAGGACGGCTCATGGGGCGGGAGGTAGGGGTTTTTGCGTTCTTCTTTCGCGTTCCTTGTCATCTCTCGTCACCTGCCATCTGAAATGATCCCCGGATCTGGGGGTGCGAGTGTGAGTGGGAACAACCATGGACTGGCCCGGCATGGTGTGGATGGCTTTTGTTTTCTTGTCTTTTCCGTTTCTGCGCGGGGGTTCCGAAGTCCATCGGCTCTGGACATATAAGTGGGTTGAATGAGAAAGCGGGGAGAAGGCAGTGAAGAGAACAACGGGGGTGAGGGTATACGGGCAGTCATTCTGGGCTTCTGGGAATGTCTACAGGCCTCGCCTTGTCTATTCCCTCCCCCCTCTCGGTCCGAGTTGCTGAGGGCGTTCCACTCCTTTTTTCTTTTTTGGGCCTCGCGTCCACATTGCTTAGCAATATAGCTGGTGGGCACATCTCGAGTCTTGACTTGGGGATAATTCTGCTCGGCTCGGGGTTTTCTTAGCGTAGTTCGATTAAATGAAGGCTCGGTTTTATGATTCATGTCATACTGGCTGCTATCCCGTTCATGTTGGGCTCCTCCTCATCGATCACTGTTGACGAGGTTCGCACGACTTGTCCTCTTCTGCCCGGTTTAGAAGTACGACCACAACCGTCCGGGGTATTTTACGGAAACCATTCTCTTCTTCCTTGCCCCTCTCCCTCTTTTGTGTGTCTAGATTCTTACGATTCATCTAACGACCGAACGACAAGGGGAAACCCGCCTGGGTGGTGTTTCTGCTTTCCCACTTTCTCTACAAACATTGATGCGACGATCCTCCTCCATGACCCCCTAATGACTCTAGCAGAGAAATGTCTCCTGTCCCTCCCTATCATCGCCCCCAGCAAGGACAGAAACAGGCCGTCAATTGCGTAATGATGCCCACAAGATCCATGGCTTTCAGAAGAGAAAAGCTAAGGCTTGTAACCATGCCGGCAAATCTAGATTGCATCTTAATCAACTGTTTCGCCAAGACTCGACTTTGCTGCCAAGAAAAAAGTCCGTTACGACAACGCCCTCAGAACCACAGACATGCAAATGCGTCACCAGGGCTTCCCAAATCCCTGTCACGCTATGCATCCTGGAGTTCAAGTCTCCGTTATGGCATTCCTGCTCCTCTTCCTATGACACAGTTCACTCTATCAATAGAATCACCGAGGGAAGTGTGTTGTAGAACTTCTGGAACTCGTTGAGCTAGTATACGGCGACATTGAATGCCGCAACAAGGAACGTGTGGCCACTTGAACTTGTCTGAGAGTTGATCATTTGAACCTTGTGTATTGTCATAACTTTAGATGTTGACCTTGATAGAGCCCCTGGTACCGATGAAGCTGTGGAGAGCAGACTCGTCCTTTAGATCCGCTCGTTACAGAGCGCTCAGATCAAGGGGAACACTGCTACCCCTGCCAGCTCTATAGCGTCGAGGACCGCCAACAAAGTCCCTCGGTTTTGGTAGCATCGCCTCGTCTTGGAACTTCCACCGCGGATCTTGAACAATATAACGTTGGCCACCACCACCACCACCAGCATGCAGACCAGCTGTCGTGTTGGAGCGGGTAGGGCTAGGACTTTTTGCACCGTTGGGAGCCAGAGTGAATGCGCTTGGATCCAGCATAGAGGAGCGAAGTCCAGAACCAGCGCGAGCTCGTGAAGGGGGAGCTGTTGGCGGGGGATGCGCAGCAGGGGGCAATGGTGCGTTTGAAGGCGGGGGCGGAGGAGCTGCACTGGGGGATGCTTGTCCAGCCGCCCGTAGAGCAGCCTGCATTGCCAACGGCGAAGGCCCGTTCGAAGCCGGTGGGGGTGGTGGAGGGGCCGGGGAGCGTGAGGGTGGTGACGGTACGGGGGCTCGAGGTGCAGCAGCGGCAGGGGGGGGTGGCGGAGCCGATGGGGGTGCGGACGGGGGAGGTGCTGGAGCAGCTGATGGGGGGGGAGGAGGAGGAGCTCCAGGAGCTGATACACCCGGTAACTGAGGAGGATGACTGGAGAGCGCAGTAGACGGTTTCCGGGATGCAGGTAGTGGTGGAGGCTTCTTGCCAATGGGAGGCGGGGGTCCTTTCATGGATGCTGACGAGTTGGGCCTGGGTACATCGCCCGTTGTCTTGCGCAGGTTGGCGATCGATGGGGGCAGTGCTGGAGCAGCATTGGGAGGAGGCAGGCTCGGCCTTCCTGGCGGGGCCGGCGCCGCACCGCCCGGAGGCTTTGGTGCTCCGAAAGTTGGTGGCCTTGGTGCAGAGGATGATCGTACATTATTCTCGTGATCCGAAAGGTACGACGAGTCCGCAGAAGCTCCGGTGTCGACTGCTCCACGGGTCTTGCGCAGCTTTGGCATGCCGCCGGCAAATAGACCGGCCAGTTGTGGTGCTGCATCCACCGATGGAGCGGGTGTGCTTTCCCGTCCGCTCTCGTCACTATTGCTCCTAGCACGATTGCCTGGTACTGGAGGTGCTAGGCCGCTGGGAGATTTAGGCAGACCTCCTGCGCCTGGAACAGGTGGTGCACCTCCTATGGGCGGACCTCCCGAACCGCCGGACGGCTTTCCAACTATCGGGGCAGACCTGTCGTTCGTAACGGCTTTTTTGAGAGCCTTGCCTTTGGTGATATCCGAGAGAAGAGCACCCTGCACGTTGCGTTAGTCCAGCGTCAGGAGGAGGGGGAGCATTGGCAGAGCGCCATTCAATCAGTGATTTCTTACTCTGTTCGCTCCTGCGGGTGGTTTTGCAGGCAAAGCACCGGCTCCTGGAGGACCTCCCGGCGGCGGAGGTGGCGGTGGAGGGCCACCCATCATAGGCATTGGAGGTGGTGGTGGCGGTGGAGGGGGCATGATGGAGTTTATCCCTATCCCCTCGGTATGACGTCCCTATCGGTGTGCTGTGGTATAGATGATGGACAGTCGTCTGTCGCGGACGGAGAGGTGGTTGACGATGGTTACGTCGTCGTCGGTCGGTCGGAGTCGGATGGAATCGGATGGAGGTTAATGCAAGCCAGACTTGACGGATCAAGATGAATGGTATCCCAGGCGGTCAAGAGATGTGGTTCAGATAGAGTAGGGTAGTCCGGGTGGGTTTTCGTTTCAAGAGTAGAGAAATATGAGACTCGCGAGGTGTCGATCGGTGCGTTCTCAGGGGCGACGAGATGATGCTACTTTGGGGTCGCTTCCAAGCCGCGTGGTGTTTCGTCATCTTCGGGTAGTATCTCGACGTTAGGCGCGGGCGGTACAACCGTTACATTAGGAGTGGGCTGGGCGCCTCTGCCTGTTCCGAGGTACGTCCATCTGGCCGACAGCCGTACCAGAGCAGAAGGTGCCCCCCACTCCACCCATCAGCCTCAAAGGTTCTTCGACGTACCTGTGGCTCGGGGATACGCAAGCCCAAGATGTGGCACCTACCTGCCTAGGTAGATAGGTACGGAACCTATTACCTACTACACTACCTAGGTACCTCGTCCGGAGTCAAGGAAACAGAGCAGCAAAGATAATAACCCGGAACGAAGCCAAGAGCTAGAGAGACACCAAGATTGCCTGGTTCTGTCTAATGCGGCACTATAGACTGATATGAGGTTCCAAAGTCTTGGAGAAAACGGTGTTGAGAAACATGCAGATGGTGAGAGTGAGATGGCAGCGTGTTCAGCGCGCATTGGCAGACATTTAGCCTCAGTGAGAGGCTGTGGCTGTTACAGGGCACGTTTCTTCAGTGACCCTTACAGGAAGTATTGATTAGATGCTGTACCCTCCTGTACTTGGTGCCTGTATGGCCCCGCTCAGATCATCAAGCGTCTGCCTCATTGGCGCGGCGCTGTTCCCAAGCTTGGAGAGCCTCCTTGCGCGCGAATGATCGCCGGTCGCAGGGTGCGGGTAATTAGACGACGTGCTACTGGGGGCAAACGGGGCTCAGGTGGAAATTTTGCAGGAGCTCATAGCTGCCCCAGAACCTCAGTCGCGTCCAGAGCTTCACAATCCTTTTTGTCTTGCGCCATTCTTTCTAGCTTCATATCGTCGCCTACCTAAAACCACCCAGGCCGGAAGTCGGCCTCTGTTACTTATACCTTCAAGACCAAGACGGCACGGCCTGTCCCGGTTGCTAGTTCAATTCGGCTTGTACCTCACCTGTCCAACAACTCCCTTTGCCCGAATCTCTTGGCTACATTTCTACGAAACGATCTGCCGCCCTGACTACTCGCCGCTTACCCTGCTACTGGAGCCCAGAGAGACGAACCGACCAACCAAGGATTGCGCTCACCCGCTCTTTGTCTGCTGTTCAGTTCGTCCAATCCTTACTCGCCGACGACGCGTCCTCTCTCCTCGAACACCCGGCCTCCAAGCCCCTCGACCACCATCACCACTACTGCCGAGATGATGCGGACCGCCATCGTTGGGCCGTTGGCTCGCCAATCTCGGCCTATCTGTCGACTGTGTTTATCCGTATCATCACGCGGCCGTCAACAGATTCGACTGCAACATACCGCCAAGCCAAACATATCATCGATCGTTCCTCCTCGATCTGCCAGGCTTCGCGAGAATGCCACATTGAGTCGGGTGGTGGAGGGAAACCGCTCGGCGAGCACAGCCTCGGCTTCGGCTTTGCACAAGGACGGTCATGAGAAGCCCGCAATAATTGGCGCGCCGTCCAAGGAGCTCCCTGACCCGAGCAAGCTGGCGGCCGTGGTTGTCCAGAGCAAGAGGCGGTTTCTCTCTACGGACGGCATTCCCACTCCACAACTCGTCATTGCAGCCTTGAAAACATGCCAAGGCGCCGCGAACGCGATTCAACCCTACCTGTCCAAGTCGGAGATCCGTTCGACCTCCGCCCTAGCTGCATCAACCGCCTCCAACCTGCTCTCCCTGGATTCGAACTCGACCGCGGCCAAATCTAGTAGCACGTCGATCCCATCAACTTCTGTCAAGGATACAGTCGACACAATCTCCGAGTCAGCACACGAAATCATCGCCCACCCCACCGTACCCATTGATACCCAGGTCTTGGACTTATACGTAAACATCCAAGCTAGGCTTGGCAGGCCCGAGACACTTCCCCATGTTTTCGACCTGTATGCGTCAAAGCCCCAACCAAAGGCGGTAGCGGGTTCAATCACCTATGTCCAGCAGAACCCAAACCGAGCAGAAAAGGCCATTGAGGCAGCCGTGGCCGAAACAGCTCTGAGGGCCGCCATCGATGCCAAGAACCTGGACGCTGCCATTGGCATCGTGGAGGCCTGCTACGCAACACAAGCATTCTATCGCCAAAAGCTGCTGCGGAAAGCGCTTCTGCCCGCCTTGGCCGTGAGCGCGGCCCCATTTGGGGTCTACGCTCTTGCCTCCAATCTCTCGGCATTCCAGAACACAATGGAGCCCGTGACCGCCACCAAGTGCGCCTTCGCAGCCATTCTCGCCTACTTGGGGTTCACGGCAACAATTGGCATGGTTGCGAAAACCACTGTCAACGATCACATGCGACGCGTCACTTGGGCGCCCGGCATCCCGTTGCATCAACGCTGGCTCCGGGAGGAAGAGCGCGCGGGCATGGACGACATCGCTTGCGCGTGGGGTTACAAAGAGAAATGGCGACATGGCGAGGAGGGCGGCATCGAATGGGATTCTCTCAAAGAGTACCTTGGTCTGAAGGGAATGATGCTCGATAGAGTTGAGCTGATGGAGGGGATGAGCTGAGGAACACATGCCAAGTTGAGGGTTCATTGACAAGACGTGCGGGGTGGGCTTACCCAGTCGGCCGTGGGATGCCATTGGATGGACGAAGCAGGGGAGCGTGGACCAGGGAAGCTCGTCATCGAGCTCAGGGAACACTATGGACCAGACTGGCGTCTGGGGAACTGGGTTCCAACTTACAAGTCTGAACGTCGTTGCTAAGCCCCCCCTAGTCCGGACAATAATGCAGCGTCCGGCCAATCAATTCCACATGAGCCGTCACAGAGGGTCCGCCTACAGATCGGCAATCTATCCAAGTCTTAGCCCGCGCATCTTGCCAAGAGACTGCCCAGACACCGCCCAGACAGCATCGTCGTCCACATGCGGATTACCGCTAGCCAAGTCAACAGCGCTGCTCGCTGTCATGTTGTTTCAAGCACTATTTCTGGTCTACCTGCGCACTCGACTCGGCACCTGCGCAGGACTGGTGACAAGATGAGTTTGAACAGGGATCCATCCATTGAGTGAAGACGGAGCGGAGCGGCCTGGCCTGCCTTTGCCTTGGATGGGTTGCAATGGTGCAGTAGTTTCCGGCAGTTCCTCAGCTGTTCTGCTCTATATCGAGTTGAGCCAACACAATCTATCCAACAAGCCTTGGGAGCTTGACCTGTATCTCCACCCCCCCTCCCCTCCCCTCTTCCCTTCCAAGCCTTACACCAACACACCGGGGTGCCCTCAGAAGCTATAGGAGGATGACGACCCCTGCCAACCTTCAGAACCCGAGTGAGAACGCCTCCCTGCTTGCACACGCAAGCCTCGGCGAGTCCGTACCGACTTGAGCAATCCTGCAGGTTGGTGACTTTACAAAAGGACTCTTTGCCTATAAAGAAGGAGAGCCTCTTGCAATACCACTGACCGAATATCACTATCACCAGCGCTTTGTCATCCGAACCAAAAGAAGACATTAGAGTATACCTCAACCCGTTTACAACACCAGTCAACATTCAGAATGTCCTCAGGTATACAAGGCCCAGAAAAGACCACAAACAATGTTGATTTCACACCTGTCGACCCTGTGCGGTGTGCATACTACGCCAGATTCGCATCCCACCTGGACAGATGGCATTTCGAACTGTTATACTGGATGTTTTTTGTTTTCAATCTCTGCCTCCTATTCCTGGCAGCATGGAATTACACTCGGTATGTTTCCGCCTGAGATTTTCACCCCGTAGATTGCCCCCTCCTAGAACAACTGTACTGACGAGACCGCTTCAGGACGTTGGATGCTGTGAGCGAGCTCCCCGAGACCGACTCAAAACGAAAAAGGGCCATCAAACGCTGCATATGGTTCAACCTATTGTGTGTGTGTGTCTCGCTAGCCACAGTCATCATGGAAGTTTTCATGTTGATGGCACTGCAATTCTGTGATGGCGAGGACCTCATGTCGCTATATTGGTCGACCTTCACCATGGTTCAGGTCGGATCGCTCATGGCGGTGTGCGGAATTATTCTCGCTCTCGTCCATCAACTTAGACAGCGAAAAAACCCGTTAGTACCCTTCCTGTCATACCTCAAAGTCTCTCTCTCTCTCTTTTTTGTTTTCATACTGACGACTTCTCTAGTCCCTGGGCCCTTGCTCTCGGCACGCCCGTCCTAGTCATTGCGGGTTTGTTTCATTACATCCACTTGTGCATGACTCGAAGGGTGAAGAAGGCGAAGGTGGAGAGGAAGATGAAGAACAGCGATAATGGAACGCTGCCAATGAGCCAAGTGTACGTGCACGAATCACCCCGGGAAATTGATTGCTGCCCAATATGTTCCCGCCAAGATGAGCTATTCACGCTAATGTGAGATATCAGAAACACAATCCAAGTCGAGTCTTCTGACGAGGACGAGCCCGTTCGCGGGGCCGAGATTATCGGGCTTACGATGGAAGGCGGCCCAATCATCCACTTCAAAGACGCGGTCCCCTATAACCTTCCAGACTCGAGCGAAATCATCGGGCGCTGCGTAAATGACAAACCCATTGTCATCTGCCGCCGCGATGGCTTCCAACTGATCTGCAACGGCCAGGACGAGCGGACGCCATCTCCTAACCCAGCAACCAAGAACGCCGGCTGAGGGCGAGGGGGCACCGGCTCCGTCGCTCTCCGCGGCGGGTAGGGTCCATCCTTGCATTGATGCGGCGAAGTCAAATGTCAAAGTTTATTAGTTGCCGGCCAGCGGCCAGATCATTCACCCCAGTGGCTATACCCACGTCATACCAACCAGGCACGAACGAGCAGTGTCCCTGCACTCGGGACCCCATGCCATACTCTAGACTGCCCTCCATCCACGCATACCCGGAGCATTACGACAACAAGACTTCCGTTTTCTGTCACCCGTTCTCCATCCAGTTTGACAGCCATGGCGCGCAAGCCTTGGCCACGTCCTCTTCCCCTTTGGGTTTCTATCTGTTTCCTCTTGGGCGCTTCCGTCTTGGCAGATCACTGCCAGATCGGGAAAAGACCCCTGCCTAGCTAGATCCTCCCGCTCATGGGAGCCAAGCCGCTTCTACCCTGGTCACCTGACGACCGGGCGGGCGCCGCGCTGCGCCGAGCTACGCCGTCCTCATCAATCCGGACAACTAAGGCGGCCAAGGTCGTGGCAAGCCAGCAAAGCGGAGCAGCAATTCCCCGTGCTGGCGCCGGCGGCCAAGACGTTGAGCGGTCGCCGGCCTGAGCTGGATAACGATACAGATATCGTCATGGGTTCCTTTTCTTTCTACATCATGTTTTACAATTTCCGCCCTCCTTTGTTTTTGCCATCTGTGGCTCACGCGCTATTATTTGCATTCACTCTTCATTCTTGGTGTTTGATTGATTTCCAAATTCGCAATGCAGTCTTGGCGTTTTGGGTTTCGCAGCTGAGGGAGGGGTGGTTGACTCGACGCTGGACGGAGGGGAGGCGCAAGCAATCCGCTTGTGTGTCCCCCTTTCCGAGCGCCTCAATATCCGTGCGGTCGACCATCCCTGGCGAGATTGCTGCCACGGGTCCGGGGGGGGGGGGGGATGGGGGTTGAATTTTCTTCCGCTTTCCAACTCCATCTCAACAGCCTTTCGCGGTAGCATTAGGCCGCAACAAACTTAGAAGTAGTTTTTTCTTTGGTTTGTTTTTAAGCCAACGAAAGAAAGAAAATCGCGCATAGTCTTTGTGTCTCGTTCCGTTCATACATTTCATCAGAGCTTGTGCCCAATATTGGTACTCAGTGGAGAGGCAATCGTGACTTGCGTGGTAACCCATTGGTTGCTGAAGAGTGGAACCATTTATTTTGATTTCAGTTCAAACTCTTTCTTGCCCAGTTGGCGCATATACTTTCTAGCATTTGGGCAAGGCTTGGCGGATTATGTCCAAGATACTAGAGTAGGAGCTAAGGGGCTCCACGGAGACTACTACTGGGCTTAGGCAGATGGACCATTAGATAAGCCCTTGCGGTGCAACCATGATAGTCACTCCCGCGGCATTGAATCGCTCAAGCAAGATCACTAAGCATGCAGTCCGGAAAATGTATTCGTCACTAAGAGACCGGTCCCTCACGCTGGCAAGACACGCAAATGCCTATGGTTCGAATGCCAAGCGGGGAGGTCTCGGACGGCGGAGTGTTTTCTGGGTGCGAAAAGGGGGAAAGGGACGTGAGCCGCAGCCCAGCCATCCACAACCTCGTCATCTCAACAATTCCTCTTTTTGTCTTTTTCTCGGCATCTTGTCGCTTTAGGTTTTTCTTCGTGTCCCGAGATAGGTCTAGAGAGTCGTGTTTCCAATTGCCACCCGTGTGTGGCTGGATGAATGAATGAACGGCAGTGTTCGGGAAAAGGGGGGAGGGGGGTGGATTGAGTTGGGCTAGTCCACCGCTATACTTTTTCGGTCTGTTCCGGCTGAACACGTTCTGAATTGCGTCTGTGTGTCTGGCTGTTTCCTTGCTTTTCCTTACTAGGTACTACTGATGTCTCTTGTGTCTCTCCCCTTGAGGCGGATTGTAGAGAAGATCTCCCCGGCGAGCCAAATGATGAAAACGCGCAACGTGTTTCCAAGCCAGCACCGCCGTCACATGCAGTAGCGGCAGATAACCATGTCCAAGTACGTTTTACACAGCCCAAATACCAAGAGATAGAGAGAGAGAGAGAGGGATGCCATCCTAGGCCTCATTTCGAAAGAGGGGGGTGGGGGTCAGGAACATGTCTTGAGTTTGACGTGGATGGTTGTCTCGGTTGACGTTTTTTTCCTTGGAATTACAGAGCAGCACCATCTCCTTGGGTTGCGACATGGAGCCGCCCTTCCATATCCCCTTCGCCTCTTCTAGTTAAACGTTTGTGCTTCTTCTTTGCTTTTTGTTTTGCCCCGTTTCTCGTCCTTAACTCCTCTAAATCCGAAAAAAAAAAAAGAACTCGGATAATGATTCTCTCAGCGCGAAGCGCAACAGTATCATTTCGCAGCACTCAAGTCTACTGTAGACGTCCCGCCTTGCCGATTTGTAATATCTCCCCGGTGAGACGGTCGTCACTCCGCAGGACTGGCCACGACTCACTGCCGGCCTTAGCAAGGTTTACCTCAAGCTTAGTGCCGAGGACCTTGAAGGTGGACTTCTCCACATCGATGGGCGCGAACAAGGGCACCTCGGCGGTGTAGCGCTTGGGCGGCGAGTCCGACGTAGGCAGGTCGAGTGCGATGGACTGCGGCTTGAAGTCGATCTTGGCCGACTCCTTGACAATTTTCTTGAGGAAGAAGGAGGCGATGACGGTAGAGGGCGTCTGGTAAAAGTCGGTGCGGACGGTGTCGAGCTTCTCCTCACCACCGGCCGCCGCAGCCTTCTTCTTGCCGCTGCCGATGAAGAGGTGACGGTTCTTGGTCTTGCAGCCCTCGATCTTCATGAACTGGTCGAACTCGAGCACGCGGCGCTTGCAGCAGCTGTAACCCTTGGAGCCCTCGTGGAAGATGGGGACTCCGGGGTGGTGGACGCAGGACTCGCCATCGCGGGAGGCGCCCTTGTGGAAGGTGGCTGAGCAGGCCTTGCGACGGCAGGTGGTACCATCGGGGATCTCGAGGGAGGCGTCGTCGGACTCGGACTCGGGCGCTGGCGGCGGAGGGGAGGGCGCGGCCTGGGCGGCTTGAGATAGGGGCTTGCGTCCTGGTTCGTCGGCCGAGGTGGCGAGCTTGTCGAGTAGGGAGGGTGCCGCGGCGGGGTCCGCTTGGGGCTTCTGCTCAATCTTCGGCGGCAGGTCGGTTGTGGAGTGCTTGCCGGTTGTGCATGGGGGAATAGTCATGAACTCCTCAAAGGTAAGAACGCGGGGCTTGCAGCATTTCCAACCTGTTTGATAGCGACGGATGAGGTTAGCTGCGGTGTCTCGCGCGGATCGGTGTCAAATCGATCGGGAGGTGGTTGAATGGATCATGGGCAAGGGATAGAAAAGTAAACAGCCGTACGAAGGAGGGGGATCCCTATCGCAGCCGCACGGGACAGGAACGAAAGAGACGGCGCCCCCGATCGAATATGACGAAGTGCACGTGTAGAGCTGGCATGGTGGTGGGCAAATGAATTGGTTGGGCTGTAATCGACTGAGTGAGTACCTTTTTGGCCTTCATGGAAGACTGGAGGGCCGGGGTGGTAGACGCATGGCTCGTCGGCATCGGTGTAGAGCTTGCCGCAGCCCTGGTGGACGCACTTTTCTGCCATGTTGGGCTGGCCGGGGTTTGGATGGATCTTTCGTTGCCTCGCAGTCGTTTTCGCGTTGGATGGGTTTACAGTGTGCAGCTTCCCTGAAAAGCTGTTAAAGAGGAGGAAAGTGGGACAAAGGTAAAAATCTCAATTGACGGCAGTTGACGTTTGAAAGTCGGATAGTGAATAAGATAAGGCGGCGGCGGGTCAGCAAGTTTGTAAGTTGTCGAAAGGGCCCCTGGCAGCAGGAAGCAAGAGTGAGGGGTGGATGGTCGTCGATGGAGGGGTTTACTATGTTCTCCAGGATTCCAGAATTTCCCAGGGTCCTCAACACCTAATTGGCTCAAAAAGTTTACCAATGCACGATGACACAGTTCCTGATTCGCCCACAGCTGTTCCATGGGAGGTGGGGTGCAGCTGCTTCGGTGAGTTCACCGTGGCGGCGTGGCCGCCGAGTAGGCAGTCACTCTCCGGCCCTGTCCTTGTACCCAGGCCGGGGTGGGTGGGAAGAAGAAGTTCAGTCGAGAAACATGCAGCATTTCTAAGCCACACGTTTCCCTTTAGCCCATTTCATCGGTACAACACGACTCTGGACGATTGTAACCTTGTTGCTCTGCTAAAAGGCAGGCTCGGAATGATTAATCCATTCATTAATCCGACTCTTCTGAAACACCGTCAAACGGTCACCCCCACCACACCAACGCTGTCGGCAAGAGGCAAGCACCAAGCAAGTGGCAGACCCGCCATCTCACTCTTTGCCTTCACCGAATCTGCCCACAGACGTTCGACCCCTGTACGTCGCGGATCCCTGGCCGCTCCCGACCTCCCTTTTTGACACCTGTGGCTATTTCTAGTTTACCTAGCTGAACGAGAACGAGGCTGTTTCAAAATAGCAGCCGTCGAGCCTATCTTCTCTCTGCCTGCGCCTTGCGTCTACGGTACTCTTTTCGACACCGCACCTATTGGACAGCCTTCTTCTGTGTGTGTGGGATTGGCGTTTGCCGCCGAGTCAATTGCGAACTTTTGACTTCACTGCGGTCTTCAGAATCGGGAAAAGTTATCCAGACACAATGTTTGCACCGACACGGCAACTCTTTCAGAAGGCACAGGCATGCCGAATCACTCTCTTCACCCGCGATGAGTGCGGCTTGTGCTTGCGTGCCAAATCGGCACTCTCAAATGTCTGGGATCGGAGGCCATTTGCCTTTACAGAGGTCAATATCACCGCACCAGAAGCGAAGAGCTGGAAGGACCTGTATGATTTCGATGTGCCGGTGGTAAGTTGTGTTCCCTTCATCGATCCTGCCCGCTTGTGGATTCCATAACGCTGGCAACAAGTGCCCGCCCGATGTACCTGAAGCCTATTGCCTGGAGCATCAATCTCCAACCTTGAAATACGGCTACCTTCTAACTTATCACAGATTCACATTAGCAAAGCCGAGGCTTCTGAGGAGGACCCCAAACTCGTGGGCAAGGCCATCAAGCTCATGCACCGCTTCGACCCAGACCAGATCGAGGCTAAGATGGACCAGATTGAGGGCAAGAATTGAACTGCTAGAGGTGTTGTGGTTTCTCTTCTTCACCCAGCGCGGCCGCACCATTACTTGGCTGAAAAGATTTTCTCGGCGGGTCAGCCAAGCATCCCAAGCAAGCAGCATAGCCTACCTACTCCCCGTCCCTATTCGCTGCCCCTTTCTTCCTCTGAACCTCGCTTCAGTACGAACCACCCTTGGCCGGCTTCGCCTCCCCCCTGGCAACGCTCAGTGACTCCGACAACGTAAACTGCAATGCCGTGTAATCCGTCGCAACACTAATCATGTCGAAACCCTTGTCCGCAAAGACCTTGGACTGCTCGCCGCTGGTACAGAAGATGCCCACCTTCTTGCCTGCCTTGTGCGTGGCTTCGAGGACGCGGTCGATGGCGTCGCTCAGCTCCTTCTTGATGATACCGTTGATCACCGGGTGGCCGATGTTGTTGCCTGTGTCACGCTTGTTAGAGGGTTTTAGATGCCCAGGTGGCCTCGGAGCTTCTACTAGCCAAGATCAAATGGCCCGATGAAGAGGACATCGATGCCCTCGACCGCCGCAATGTCCTCGACGGACTCCAACGCTTCCTTGGTCTCGATCTGCACCATCGTCAGCAGGCTGTCGTTGGCCTGTTGCAGGTACTCGGTCATGCTCGGCGCCGGGCTGAAGCGCTCCATGGCCAGCGGCGAGCCGAAACCCCGACGTCCCCACGGCGGAAACTTGGCGGCTTGGACTAGATCCTTGGCCTCCTGGGCGGTTCGGAGCAGCGGGACGAGTATCTTTTATTGTTTTCAATGCGTCAGTGAAGTCTTTTTGAGGCCTCCAACTTCAGTATGTTGACCCTACCCCGTGAGCGCCGCAATCTAAAGCTCCTGAAAACATAGTCAGCCAAGTCCTGTGATACGAGCCGTCTATGGACAAGGTTCCTTACGCTTGACCATCCAGCCCTGCATGTCGGGCAGCCTCACGATCGGGGAGACACCAGCCGCGGCAATTGCGGGCACAGCATCGTGCATGGCGCCGTCTGGAGTCTCAAGTCAGATTACGTCTCGCTTTTCAACCAGGGATGGAAGCCTCGAAATCTATACCGTCAATGTTTCCATGCTCGCAGTCCACCAGGACCCAGTCCACGCCCGGGCTCCGGGCAAGGACTCGGGAAACATTGGCGCCGGGGATCATCTGCCATAGCCCGAAGCTGGGGCCGGTACCCTTGGTAAAAGCCGTCCGGAGCCTATTGGCCGTCTGCATCGCCGACATTTTGTCTTTTATTTTACTTTGTGCTTAGCGGCTCGGGCAACTTGAAAATGTCAAGAGAGCATACGTTTTGTATAGATGGATGCAGTTTTGTGTAACGTGAGTCCTTGTCTTCGGTGTGTACTGACGTACGATGATAATACCACCCGCAATCCGGGCCGTGGTGAACTGACACTCTCTGTCAACCGCGCCTTGTGTCAGAAGCGCTGGTGCGGGGGTGTCCGATATCCAATAGCGCTCGGGGAGAAGGCCGGCTGAAACCCCTTGCATGCAAACAGGCAGAGAGGGGATGAATTGACAGGCCAACTGCGGCCGGATCCCCTCAACCGCAGCGGGCCGAGGGATTGTCAGGCGGGCTCACGGGCCGGTTTGGCGGGGATGTCCACACTACACAAACCGAAAACCACAAACCATGATCAACTATACATCCAGGCGGCAACAAACTAACGTCGTTTTTTTGTAATCGGGAACCGAAAATTGAAAAAAACCAGAGAGCAAGAACCCATTGGTAAAGCGTAGGGCAGAGCAAGACAAAGTACCTCAACCCTCAACTTTGCTCACAGCTTGCGGTCGCAGTCACGAGTCGACGAGCATTCTAGAAGCATTTCGTCAAACCACGCACGCACTGCTTCTCATTCAAACGTGCGCGAATGGCCTCAAAAAACGGACCCTCCAACGATTCCCAGTCCCTGGGAGACAAACGGGGTGGCATTGTGTGTAGGCATGGCCTTGCTTTTTGCTTATTTTATTTTGACGAACGTGAGAAAGCTGTGGCCTCTGGTATTGTACAACTGCCAATGCGCAACCCGGATATGACGCTTGTAAATCACGGAAAACGCGCCGATCGCCTGGGCACGCGGGTGCCCTCTTCTTCTCCAAACTTTTCTCTATCTTCTGCTTCTCGGATGCAGACTTGTCAGCGTAACGCAATGTTCGTTTCTGGCGCACAAACGATCCTCTTGAGATTTCGTCTGGGCCTTGTTCAAAAGCTTGTTCTGCGCGGTAGCAACACTCGTTGTTTGATGCGCATGGTGCCAAACCTCGAAAGTCGGAATACCCTGAAGGGCTGAGGCGCTGCTCTGATGGGGGATCATAACCCCTGTGCGTTAACCGAAGCTCTCGCGAGCTACACGGGGCGCGGTCTCTCCGGGCTTCCTTTCTGCCCCCTGATGGGGGATACTTAATCCTGGAGACAACTTCGCAGGGAAACATTCGTAAGTGAAACCTGGCCATTGCTGTGCAGAGTGTGACATACCCAAGATAGTCTTCTTTAATGCTCCCAATCGCCCACATCTCGCCGACTTCTGTACGTGTACCGATCACTTTGACGCGCACGTGTGTCCCCGGCTCGATGATGGTGTCCTCGTTGTTGGTGAACTGCGGCGGAGTCGCGTTGGGATCCCACTTGATCTCGGAGGGAATCAACTGGTGGAGGGATCACAGGTTAGTGAACGGCGAAATAGGACTGCCTGGCCAGCGCGGAAGCGAGAACCTACATGTGCCGACACGAATAACCGGAGAGGTCCCGCCTGGGCGAAAAAGCCCTGGTGGTTGACTGAGTAGACCACAGCATCAACCTGGGTTCATGTCAGAAACCGCTTCCCCGACAAAGCCAGGCAGATTTGTAGCAATTACCGTCTCGCCCTTGAAGGGCCGCCACACGACGGCTCGGTAGCCGACGGTGAACTCGGCCAGGCCGCTGCCAGGGAGAATGCGACCCTCGGAGATGTCGAAGGTATCCATAATGGAAATAATATAGTAGCTTCCCGCGCAGGTGCCCTCCACGTCCTTCAACAGCTTGCTCGTCACCAACTCATGCATGTTCCGACCAAAGTAGGATGGGTGCAAGGTAACCCTGCGCTCCATGTTGTAGAGGAAAAACATGTTGGTGGTTGTCGCAGCGCAGCGTGTCCGAGGAAGAGTGGCGGGTGGTTGTGAACGCGGCTGCCCAGATCCAGCTCCTGCGAATTCTTGATGGCGCGTAGCAGCAATGCGTCTGTATTAATATGCAACTAGTTCTAGAGCTGATATCGAAGTGAAATGAGGTTCAAGTGACGCGCGTGATTCGACGAGTGAACGCAATCGTGGCGCTGCTTCCGAAGCTAGACCGCTGTACGGTGCTTTGGGGGTTCGTGAGCAAATGAGAAGCTGTGAGAAGTCGCGCAGCACGTCGGCTCTTAGTGGAGAAAAATACAGAATGACTGAAGAAAAGAGAAGCGCGAGGACTCGATTGGATGTCTGGTAGTGCCCCTATAATGCGCTATCGGAAATGCGCCGCCGGCGTGGTGACTCGACGGGTAGAACGGAGAGGTTGTGCAAGATGAAGCCGGCGAGGCTGAGATGGCCTTGTTGCGGCGAAGAAGTGGCTCCTGAATTATTTTTGCCTTGCGGGACAGCCACATTGCCCAGGCAGAAAAAGTGGAATGGGGAAGCATTCGCCCATGAATGAAATGTCAAGCCACACCTACAAGCAGAACAGCAGAGTTACCCACGGATAGGATAGGCGCTGAACCCTGTCACTAGCGCGGAATCTCAATGTGGCTAGTGGCCTGTGGCCCTGGAAGACCGGGGTAAGAGCGATGTTCAGGAAAGACAAAGTCTGAACCTTGTTTGTAACTGAAGGATGGAACTGAGTAGCAATGCCGATTCGTGGACTAAACCACGGCAAGTAGGTAGGCGGAGATGGTTCGCTGAGCATCTCAACCGCCTAATGTGCGCCTATCGGGTGTCAAAAGGAATGCAACGAGTGGTGCCATTTGCAACGGCGGAAAATCGCAACCCTAGTTTTTCACGCATACCTCTTGTGGCACAGCTTCCTCGTCTTCTTCTAGGTACCTACCTAAGTAAGCACTGTACGTATCCGTTACTACGGATCTTTTTCTAGTCTTTCTTTGTGGCCAAGATTTTCGCGTTTCCCCCAAACCCAAGAGAGTCGGCCGAAAAACCTCCCCCAGCCTCCAACACGCTCACAAGACAAACCCACGACATCAGATTGGGTAAAGGGGCGTCGTACGTTGGGTGCATGCACCTTTAGTGGTTTTTAGTGGACTCGGCCGCCCGAAATCCCCAGTCACGAGCCGCCCCCTGTCCGCTGCTGTGGTTTGTCACTTGCTGGGACACCCAGTGGACTCCCCCCTACGGGTCCCCCAAACCGAAGCGCAAAAACGCGCTCCTCAGCGGCCCCACGGGCGCTTCCACTCCAAAGGTACGGGCGACGTGCTGTAGTGGGACACCACGTAGTTTATGAACACCATTGCAACCCTGTCCGGAACACGACGGCCTTCCTTCATTTTCCATCATCCTCCACACGGTCCAACATCACCAGCTCTCTAACCTCTCTCCCTACCGCCAGCAGTCAATCTAACCATCCGATTCCTTGTGAGAGATCGACGCACTGCTGTCAAAGGCACCCAGCACTCTCGAACCGCCCTGCTTGTCCGCTTCCGCTCCAACTCAGCTCTCCTGTCGATCCGCCTGCGGCTGAGCTACCCTGCAGCCTCGTTCTGGTGTGTGTGTCCTACATCCATCAAACCTCGGTTCTCAAGTCACCCGCTTCGCCTTGGCTCAGATCCCACAACCAATCACCGTTTTTTCCGCCGCCATCATGTCCCTCGACTTGGAAAAGCATTTGACCTTTGTAAGTGAATGAGAACGATTCGGCATCCTCAAATATCTTCTCATAGCACCTGTTAATCACCTCACAGTATGGGGCTTATCACCATAACACTGTCAACATTGGCATTCACATGGCATGTGTGCCCATGATTCTCTTTTCGGGATTTTGTCTAGTAAGCAGCCAATGAGAGAGCGCGCCCTCCTTGATCGTCTTGAGCTCATGCAGACTTGCCCAGGCTACCAACACAGGACCTCTCATCCCGCTCCCCAGTTGGCTCACTGTCCCCAACCTGGAACTTAACCTGGGAACCTTGGCTGCTCTGACTTGGGGTGGTCTGTACGTTCTCCTCGAGCCCGTAGCCGGCACTCTGCTGGCCATCATCTGCCTGGGTGCCACCGCTGCTGGCAATTCCTTTAGGCTCCAGAACCCCGCCTTGACGAATCAGGCTGCCATCGGCGTCCATATCGCCTGCTGGATCTTCCAGTTCATCGGGCATGGCGCCTTCGAGGGACGTGCGCCGGCTCTTCTGGACAACCTGATCCAAGCCGTCTTCCTCGCCCCTCTCTTCGTCTGGCTCGAGTTCCTGTTCAAGCTCGGCTACCGACAGGAGCTCAAGGGCCGCGTGGACAAGGCCGTCGAGAAGGAAATCGCCAAGTTCAGGACTTCAAAGGCGAACGGGGCAGCCAAGAACGGCAAGGCCCAATAAATCATGCGCAAACCAACCGTCGATAGAGGTTTACTCGGTACTGCGTAATGCAAACCATTCGGAATTAGTGTTGCGCGCTCGCCCCGCGCCAACTGTCCGCTTGCCTGTCTCACCCCATCGCCAGAGAGAGGTGAACGATATAAGGGGTACAGGGATCGTCAGGGACGCAGCGGCCAAACGGAGAAGAGACATCAGTTGAGATCGAGGTCCCACGGCATGAAAGCATATTCGGGCAGGCGCCATTCATTCACAGGCGGAGTACTTTCATCGGATACCAATTTGCAGCTTACGCGTATGCAGATTGTCAGTCATTGGATCTGTTACCTTGGCCAGATACAGTGCTTGCCACACAGAGTTGCCATCAGACCCCATACGCTTGGTCTGCTTCAGGCCATAAGCTATTTTTTATTTTTATTCTTTATTTTTTGGGAACAGGAAAGGATGCTTTATTCGTCTAGGTCAATCGCAAAGAAGTGAAACGCACGACACAGGTACATAGTTCAACGAACATGGAGCATTCACTCACCAAATCTCTCTTGCTGCCATCTATCTCCGTCTTGCTAGGCACGGGTTGAACATAGTTACATTAGCCTCCCCTTCTCCACGTCACGGGAATCGCGGCACACAAAGGAGCTGACGTCTGAGTGGGCGTCCGCGGCAACTTTCCGGCTCTCGTATCTATCACAGCGAGCATCGTCGCGCCGATGCGAACTGCCCCCAAACGCGTGGAAGAATCCCTTCAGTGGGCCGGACCTTGGTGTTCTCACTGGAGGCGCAGGGTCGGTGCCTCGGCGACTGGGCTCTCCAGGCCGAGCACGTTCGTGGACCAGGGCTTGTGGCCTCCTGTGCCCCCGTCTCTCCGGGATAGGCAGCTTCGGCGCGAGTCTGGTATCGGTCAGACTTCTGGGCTCGGCGTACCCATTTTGATAGTGGAGCGACTGCTGTGGTCTCTGCTGCTGGGTTTTTAGGGTTTGTCCTACCCGGCCGCCATACACTGGCTCTTTTTCGAGATGAAGGTAGGGGTCAGGGTTCGGAATTGTTGCATGATGTGCTGCGTACCGGTTTTGATCCACATTGTCCGACAGGGCTGTGAGATGTTGCGCATGCCGGAAGCCATCGACTGGGCTCGCAAAGTGATCCTCCCCATGCCGGTGACGATCCGCGCAGTGTCTATCATGGTGCTTTTGCTCAGGTTGCTGATTCCGGTCCTTCAAGACAACGTCAATATTCTTCACCGTCTGGTCCGGTTGCTGCGGAGGTTGCTCCTGCTGCACGTACGACCCCGAACGGCCACGGTTTCTCGGCGGGGTAAGGGGAGCGGCGTCATACACATCGGCGATGTGTGGTGGGTAGTGGTAGCTCGGGTCACCCCAGCGATCACCGAGCGGGACATGGATGAACGACGGCATATCGGGTAGTGCTTTGTCAGTTTTGGCGGTACTCCCAGCGACGACGTCCCGGTTCAGCCGCTCCTCCTGCTCCCACTTCCTCAACGTCTCCTGAAAGTTTTCCTCCCGTGTGTACCACCGCTCTTTGACGGCATCTTCCTTCTCCCTCTCCTTCATTCGCTGTCGCGAGGTGTTCAACGCTTCGGGCGTGAGCTTGTGGCGGTACTTGCTCGGCACGATGCCCCTGGTCTGTGGAGCGGACTGCTCTGCTTCGGTACACTCTGGGCAGGTCTTAGGAGAGAAGAATGCTTTCCTCTCCACGAAGTCGCTGCAGGGCTCTTCATTGGGCCAGCCGAAGGTAAACAGGAAGGCAGGGTAGCAGCACCAGCTAGTCCTTGCGGACCAGAGCTTGCGGCATTTGAGGACGCACTTTTCGTTGTGGTTGCAGGAGTATTTCACGTGGGTGAAACACATGGCTGCAGTTGTGGCGACGGTTGCTGAAGAATGCGACGGTGACGTTAGATGATTCCCAATAATAACCTACTGCTTTAGTTAGACCAGTTGTGTTTATTTATGATGTGAAGTAGTGTGGTAAGTGTGTCTAATGTCAGTCAGAAGGCCTCCATTTTGACCCGTTCAAGCGTGGATCTATATGACTCTATGACAATCCTGACCTCACTTGCGACGAAAGAAAACGAACAAAGGTGGAAGGTGGTGGACATGATGGTTCTTCATCAATGCCATTGTACATGGTTGTTGTTGTATTCCATCAGTCTTTTTGGGTATCTATATATGTCAGGACGAAGAGAAATATCTTTACAGTCGGTGAAGTATCCATTGGCCACTTCATTAATTCATCAACATCTGGCAGTACTTGGCGTATGAGTCCCTTGCCGACCAGGTCATCCTGGTAGACACGACAGCAAAACACTATCAGAAACAGAACTTGACGGAGGATCTACGGACTGTTCGACGGCAGTAACTCTTGTCTTTTGACATCCGGAAAGAACTAGAAGGGCGTTGATTACTCCTTGTACACAATGAGGGAAGGCGAACTTGAGACGCTGTTCACCATCTTGTTACGGAATCTCCTTTGACACCCGTGTTACTATATATAACACTCCTTTACCTTCCTAGCATTCATCTTTCACTCAGACTACAGATCATAACGGCGTGTTGCTTTCATTGACAACTCTGTTTCATACGAAACTATGACGCTCGAGGCATTTTGAAACTTTCGACTTTGACCCTGTCACTTCAGTACATATCGAACAATAATGCCCAAAGCTTAACCACGTCAATTCTCCTGTCGCTCTCCAATGTCCTTGTTTCTCAACTGGTGTCTGGCCAAGAACGCGCCTGTGGGACTGGTAGCTCTTTGCGTTGGCGAAACGCAAGGTTACGTTTCTTCATTATTCCATCGCTTCCCACTTCTCAATTCATCTCGAGCAATACAGAGAGAGACATCTCCGTCCTGTGCACCAATGCGCATATATATCTAAGTATACATCAACTTTTGAAAAAAGAAATCGAAGAAAAATATCCTCGCTTACACCGTGTCCCGGGGATTTTAACCACCCAACACCACTCAGTGAAGCATAATAGAGATGACGTACTACCATCACGAGACGTCCAGCTTTTCCGATGAACCTAAAAGACCGGACTACTGAGGTGCATTACATATGAACCATAACGACCAACAACACCCGGTGATAACCAAATTAGATGGAGTGATTTCAACTCATTCTGTTTCTGAAGACATGGGTACACAAAACCACCGTCGTTCTGGATCACTTGGGACAGTACGCGAACCGCCCTCGCCGCCCGACATACATGATTCTCGTGTTTTAGACCCCGTTGCATACGACAAAGTCCGAGCTCACCCGCCGCACCGAAAAACACAGAACCGTCGGCGTTTTGGAATCCCAAACGACCAGCCAGATGGTGCGAAATGGGCCATCGAAGATCGTCACGAAAATCTTATCATTTGGGAAGATGACTGGGGAAGATTGTGGGAGAAGGCTTCGAGAGGTTCTGCGCAGCGGAGTGATATGGTCCATGTACCCGTTTGGTGGCAACGAGCAGAAGCATACACAGACGCGTATATCAAGGAAGCCTCCAGGTATATCTTGTACCGGAACCTCGACGGGAATATAAGGACCCGGAATTCTTTGCGAAAAGGGATATCGGCATCAACACACTGCTTCTTTGGGTACTTCCCAAGGCGTGGCCACACCGATCTGTGGTTCTTGCCCAAGGCAGCCCCTAAGCCATCCGGATTGTGCGTACTCAGCCAACAGATAGCAGTTGCTGAATCACGCCCTCAAAACCCGCGTACCGCAGCAGGCAGGGGAATTCACCTCAAAGCCATTTGCCATGCCGTCAATCAGGGACTGGACAGTGGCAGGGACGTTCACATAAAAGGCTGCCAGGTGGTGGGTGGGACAACCGATCACACAAGATCTCTCAGTGAGGAAATGGAAAGCCTCCTGTCCCTCGTCGAGATTGCCAGGCTTGGGTTTGGTCTTGTGACGACAGAAGAGAATGCTGAGTTCGGGTTCGACGTCGGCGAGCGGGACGCGAAAAGAGCATCCGACAGCTCTGTAAGACCCTTTGCGACGTCTCTCGGTTCTGAGGGCCTCATTCGACCAGCTCCAGATGACAATCCTATTCGCCCGCTGGCCAACGATGCGCGCTATCACTTCAAAAACCAGATTTCCGGAGGAAGGAAAGAGAATGGGCTCCTTTCATCCACGAGCAATGGCGGATTGGTTTCTGGACTTCACCTAGTCAAGCGCCGCCATCCACCAAACGTATCGATCGTTCCAGACCCGCATCCTGGCGCCGAGGCGGAGGTCGTTGGGAACAACAGAAGTCCGGGAGCAGCACAACTTGGAGGGACTGGATCAGCTTCCGCACGAGAGGCGGTGTCTCCTGAGATAGCGCGCAATATCCGTGAGGATGGTCGGCACCCCGAGCTCCAGCAGCAGGAAATCTCTAAACTGGAGCAGCGGCGGGGGCAGGCAGACTCACAGCTGGAAGAGCTTCAGAGAAGTGCGGGGCGGAGCCGAGTTCGACATGACCAAATGCAGCGGCGCCACGAGGAAGGAAGAAGCACTCGGAGACGTAGGATCTCCGAGTACGGCAAGCAAAAGAATGCTGTCTCTGCTACCGGTCAAGGTCTTCCCACAAACCCCGTCAAAGGCATCCGAGGCAGCGTTTACCGTAACCGCATAAGCCGTTCCAGTCCCGAAGCCGGTGGCAACCCCCAGACCTGGCAGTTCGAAAAGGAGTCCAGCCCTCGACAGCAAACAACCTCCTGCTGGAAAATGCGGCAGGAGGCTCTCGCGACTTTAGAGGGGCGGATACGAACTTCGGCTGAAACGAACGATGCAGCAGAGAACCGAGTGGGCGACCAAGAGGATAATCTTTTGAAAGTACCGACCTCACCAAGCTTCATGATGGTTCTCTCTCACACGAGAGCAAAGAAAACAAGTTCAGGCACCTGTTTATGAAGTAGGGGCTGAGGAGCTGGCCGTAGAGTATTGGCGCAACTTTTACTCGGTATTTCTTCACTTACATGGCCTCACAGTAGCAGGAGCGAAATGGTATCGGTAATGACGTGGGGAACAACAAAGCCGTATACGCCCTTGACGATGTTGTTGAGTGTTTGCAGCTCACCGGCGTAGAGAAATCGACGTCTTCGCCTACTGATGTCATTCAACCCCTGGCCTCATTGCAAATGAAGCAACTTCTCTTTGTACGTGATGTTCTGGAATGATGTTTGATGCAGTCTTCCGTCCTCTCGTAAATAGTTGTCCACCGGAAATTTCGACAGTATCGAATAAACAACCCAACTGCCAAAAGCCTCCCACCGCCTTCCATCTTACCTAGCTTTGGATGTGGCTTTCAGCTGATCAATACGGGAGAGGGCCGATCCAGTCCCGAGATCCCCGCCGCTTCCATCAGGCCCACCTCGGACTAACTAATATCGAGTTTGGTTCAGGACGGGTGTCAACAAAGACGCGTCCATGTGTGATATTCTGAGAGAAAACTCCACATTGCTTGTACTCTACCAAGGGCGATCCCATTCCGGCCATGATGTCCTTAATGTCTCTCATCCTGATGGAGGCATATCGCGCAAGCACAAAGTGTCTTCTCAACAAGGAAGAGTTTGACCCGGTCAAAGAATGGGATGTACCGACGCCGGCCCCTGATTGATCTCCCGGCCTTTTCCAAGGTTTCGTTCTCAGTAACGTCATAGGGCAGCCCCCCGAAACGTGGCACGCTGGTCTCTGGGTACCTCTATTCTCAAGCAATATCGTTGATAGTCTCATTTTTCTCCAGCATATATCCGTAGACTCTTACTTCTCGGATGCTCAGACAGAATGGATACATATCCACCAGCATTGCCGCGCTGATGGGATCAGAGAAGGGGGAAGATATGCTTAAGGGGCTGAGACAACCCAGAATTGACCTTATTTGTTTCCCTCTCCATCTCATTTATTGACGGGCATACCGCTTCATCATAACTGCCTTTGAAGCGGCCCTTGACGAAAGATGAAAACAGAGAATGCAGCAGTAAAAGGGAAGAAAGAGAGTCAGACACAAGCAAAGCGGTAGGTAAGAGGCTTGAAGCCTCTACGTCAGAATAACTTCCGGAAAATATAGGGGCCATTGATCATCTCCTGACGATCTCTGAACAGCCTTATCGACGCTGCCGGACATTGCTAGGTATTACTGCGGCATAACATCACCCAAAAGACGTGTGGTATTCACTTCGAACCAATGATTGGCAGTAGGGGTAACGGCTAGCTCAGAGTGCACTAGCTCTGACCGCAATATGTCATCCCCGAAAACGTCAGCAGCCGAAGTTCGGCTGTGCTGTCCCGGCAGTAGATGTGAGTGGTCATGAAGATCTGCGACCTTCTGCATGGAGAGTACGCAGTAGGTAGCTGAAAGTAAACTGTAATCCTTGGGGAGCATTCCAACGGCCGTTCGCAGATGAGAGGCGCAAATGAGAAAGCAAGGGGGGGAAGATGCCACGATCCCCTGCCGGAAGACGACAAATGTCTCAGTTTTGAGTTATCCACGGAGAAATTACAGCCAGAAGAGGCAACGCTCTGGAAGAACAACGGGTCGTCGACCGGCCGAGTCGGGTATCGAGAGCTGTGGAAGGCGCTCAGGCTGAGACTTTCGCCCTCCCTAGACCACCTTGGTCAAGATGCTTAACTTTTGGTGCTCACATGTGGGCCCAGCGGTTGACTCTCGATGCCGCTTGTCAAAGCGAGCTATTACGGATTGTTGCAGGAAACTCATCTATAGCTTCACAAGCTGGACACGGTCAGCAGGGGATTAATGTGAACCCCACGTTGGGGAATTCATTGTTGCCTTGGCGCCGAGGAAGGCAGGCAACGTGAGTGACGAGGACTGAATCCGGACTCGACGACAACAACAATGAAAGAGATGAGAAGGCAGCCGAGCGAGAAAATACCAGGTCATTGGCAACCAGATCGATTATAAAATACCTTGTCTCCTGCCCTCATCGTTTGAATATCTATCTTCTCATCAGTACACCACACCTTCACCACAGGATAACTAGTCGCCTCTATTCTTAGTTCTCAAGTCTCCGGATTCTCTTTTTCAAAGGCATTTATTTCCCTTTCATTCTTGGAATCTCAAATCATCAAGATGAAGTCCACTCTCATCGTCACCGCCCTCTTCGGCGCTGCCATCGCCAGCCCGGTTGCCATTGCCAACGTGGAGGCCCCGGGGGTCGAGAAGCGTGATGTCGAGCCTCGTTTGTTGGGAGCCCTTATCAACCCCATTCGTGTCTCTGCCACCCTGAGCATCCCCGCCTCGACCGCCCTCCCCAGCGTTCTCACCAGCGTTGTCCCCAGCGTTGTCCCTACTACAGACGTCGTCACGCTCCTGACCGTGATTCTGAGGAGCATACTCCTCAATGCCCGCAATATTAGTAAGCTACCCTGACTTGGTATACTGCACTGGAGTCAGCCAATCTAACAAGCCGCTTAAGATACGGGTCTCGGTGGTGGACTCAGCGTGCCTGATACCCCTACTCTCCCCAACAATCCTGTTGCTACCGTCGCCAATGGTGCCATCACCAACGACGAGCTCCGTAATTTTATCGACGAGATCGTGACTCAAGTCCAGGTCGCCATCGGCATCGGCCGTAACCTTTCCCCGAGTCTCGGCGCAGGTCAGCTCAGGTCGGCTACGGGCATCTTCGACACGATCAAAGACGTCCTCGCTGGCCTCGGGCCAGTCTCCACAATCACCTGTAAGTTTCTGTTGTGGCCATCAGTTTCGACCGATCACTAATCTTACCAACCAGCCCCCAACGGCGTCTCTGGCGCTAGTGTTCCATTGAACCTGGGGCCTCTGACTGATGCTGTCTCCGGCATTCTCGACACTGTCGGCCAACTCCTCGGCGGCCTCCTCGGCGGCGGTGGCCTTTTGGGCGGTGTCGGCAATTTCTTGAGCAGTCTCTTGGGCAACAATGGCAGGAACGATCTCCTGGGCAGCCTTCCCGTTGTTTAAATAAGTCGATAATAGTAACGGCTGCGACTCTTTCGGGCAGGCTACTCTGCAGCTACGGTACTGCACAACCCATAACGAGTTCCAGCATCCCGACGGCAGGCCGGATCGACTTCAGAACCTGTCTTGTCGCCTCGCTCTTTAAAATATAACCCCCCCCCCCATACAGCACGCGGCTGTATGGTATAAACGATAAACTTTTCGAAGACTTTTTGAGAACAACTGAAACTGTGGGTTCAAACGGTGGAACCATAATACTAATGGGGATCTTTTACTTTGTTGCGGGCAGTTGCGAGTCCTACTGGCTCGCACAATGCCTTGCCTATATCTGGAATTATCTTTAATTGTCTCTTTAACAGCTTATTAGCTTCTCTTCTATACGTCCCCCAGGACTCACAATAAAATATGTCGATCTTTACAATTATTGCGGTCATGGAACCATGAGATAGCAACAATGAAAGTGTTTTTGAAAAAGTGGACCATAAGATGGAGTTCCATTGTTCCTGATTGGGGCGACAATGTCTTAATACTTCAACGTTTCCTTATACCTATTCCAGACCCTGCCTCTGTTGTTTCATTGTTGTGATGCCGTCGGCACTGAATCAGATGAACGTCACTGGTCGTTGCATTGGATGAATACGCCTCGGGAAAGGCATGAAGCTAGTGCATTCGGGGCTATGTGCGATAAATGCATATTAGGGCCAAGCCATCACTGTGGGTCCGATCCCAGCGCCCGCCTCTCATATAGGTAGCGACATCGTTATCGGGCTTCCCCCACGATCGATCACGCAAGTCGATGCCCGCAGCCTTTCTCAGCTTTGGCTACCGCATATATGGCTACCACTAACGAGCGAAATCGCGACGCCAGCCACTCAACCAAAGGGACGACTGGCCCCTGGTCCGGGCTTGCTGCTAGCCCAGGTAGTGTATGTACACTACCTAGATACAGCAGCTCGCTAGCGTTCCGGCTCCTACCATAAGAAGGCGCATGTATGATGTATCTGTCATATTTCGGAGTTATGATGGAGTTTTTCAAGAGCAGATTTGGAGGTCCACCGAGCATCATCGGTTTGGACGGGGCGATCTCGAGAATATGTCTTGGATCTCCTGACTCCTGTTTGAACGGCCTCCTCACAGAGAGCATGAAAGAGGTTTCCTGCCGATACTAGTTTACCATGCAGATGCAAGAGCTTGTTTGATCCAAGTGCTGCTGCAGTCCCCTTCGTTCCTCAAAAGGAGGGGGGTCCTGCTGGGACAGGGGACCCTGATGCAGCCTGCATCGGGTTTAGACGCTGGGCCGGTTGGCTGGTGGTGACTGGGTGTGCTGATGACGGACACTGCGGCGCGGCCGGCAGAGCTCCCGCTCGGCGGCGCTTCCCCACACTTTATCCCTCCCACCCGACGATCTTTCCCCTGCGGGGAGGAATGTGAGTTCATGACGGATGGTCGGTACATACGCGCTTGCGTCGCCCAACACACGACATCTTTTCCCATGACCCTTTCCATCTCTTCCTTCGGCCGTCCCATCTATGTATTTGCTTATTTTACCACCACATTTGTTTCGTCAGACCAGTTCATTCGCAACGTCAAAAGGGGTGCATCGGGAGATCCTGTGTCGATTAAGGCAGTCCCTCATGTGTTGGGCTCATGATTCGTGGCAGACTTTCGCGCTCCAGTGTTTCAAGCACTTAGCAGCATTCACGTCGTACCCCCCCCTTCAATAATGATAGACCAAAGAACCATGCCACTCGCCCAGGATCGACGGCATCTGACTGGCTAAGCTGCCGTTCCCGCCGGCCATCTCGGTCAGACAGTAGGATCAGACCACACTCGCGCGGGGTAACACAAGCAAGGTGCAGTTCGCGGCCCCATGTATACTGGCTCTTCCAGCTGTACCTGAGCAGCAGAGAGAGAAACAGGCCATAACGGATAAGGAATAGAGGACGAGGGGGCGCGGCGTTCGCCGTGCTACATCGTGCACTTTGACATCTGAGCAACCCAAAGCGACTTGACTAATCATCAAGCCATCAAGCCCCCAATCATTCGATGTACGTACTGGCCTGTTAAGCTCGCGCTACTACGCCGCTGGCGATGTAGGCGGACGAGTAAACGCCGTCATCGTTCTGGCCGATGCATCGACAAGCTTTCCCGCATCCCTTGTGTCAGAGGGGTGGGCGGCAGTTTGATTGGTGAAGTCATTCTTGGGGGTACGCCTCTGGCCTGGAAGTTCGAACTTGGCTGGCAGAGCTGAATTGCATATATACCCTCGCCTTCCTCCCACTGTATCCATCATTATTACAGAGCTCTCCCAACTAAGAAGCTAACGACACATACGCCATTGACCAAGCACGAACTGTCATCAGCAACACATAGTCAAATCCAGTGCCCGTCGTACTGCAAAATCACCACAATGGACTCCGGAAAGACCTCTAACGCTCCCATTTCTCCTACCAGCCGCAGACGCGTAAGATTACCCAGAGCTCACCACCCTTCGCTGGAAGACTGGCTAACTGCGACGCATACTCTAGAGTTCTGGCACCCTCTTCCAAGGCCTAATGGACCAGAAACGTCACGAAGGCACTGCCGCCCGCAGACAGTCCATGACTGACTCAAAGCCCCCACCTGGTTTCTTGGGCCAGATGTGGCATAAGTACGTTTGATACCCCCAGACTTCCACACGGATGTCGCTGACAAGACTTAGCTGGACCCGTGGCCCAATCAGCCCCCCGAAATAAATCAATTATAACCATAGATATCAATATGTAGGATTTGTGGGGTTAACCGGTCTCATGGACCATGCCGATGGGACATGCCTATGAGACTGGAGGGCGAGGTGAATGTTGTAGCTTTGGCCTAGAGATTGTACTGTAGCATAGCATTTTGCCAACATGATGTTTCTTTCTTTTCACCCCACGATACGATACTTGGTTCAATTTTAAAGTAATACCCATGCCATTCTACGTCTTGTGAGGTAATATGACAATGATTTCCATGGTCTTATTTCGCTGATGACAATTTAACCGACGAAAACAAAGCTTGATCAAAACCTGCCGATCCATATACACCGTTCGTTCTTGCTTCCCCCATGTCACTTTCAATGAGCACCACATCCATTGCGTCATGTCGACTTCGGTGTGCACCGTCGTCGTCTCAAGAAGACCTGCGACATGGTAGTGTTCTCTAGCTGGAATATAGGAAGGAGTATGTTGTCAAATCTGTAAGATGGAAGCCGCTTTGTCTTGCTGTTGCAAGTTTGAAGCGATTTTTACCATCCTAACATCAGCTGGTTCGGTTTGCTTGTCGAAGCAGTATTGCATGGGCATCATACGTCACGTCATATCCAGCTCTAGGTGCGTGCGTGGGCAACGATCAAGACCAGTCAACCTGGGAAAATATCGGCGTCCATCTGGCCAAATAATCCTTGGGCGCAAATGTGCTGTTCTAACATCACCCAAGGGCTGCAAGGGAAGCATTGTGGACACTGAGGTTTAATTTGCTTCCTTCGCATCGCCTCAGAGAACAACTACTGATCAGTAAGCGAAGGGGAGCGAACATAGCACAGGCTATGCCGATACTGAGACGGGAACGAGGGGTCACGTTGTAACAATGACACTCAATAGACATCAATGTTGGGAACAAATGTCAGGCTTGGATTACGACTGTCAAGGCAAATTTATCTGAAGGGAATCAAAAGCCATCCCTCTCTTCACAGTAACCCCCCACCTGCTGTTCCCCACTATCACATTTGATCTGTTTCGCATTCCCCGAACGAGGAATGATGGGAGCCACTGCCAGGCTTGTGTTTTGATGATCCAGGACGCTGGAAGTAGAAGAGACTCAAGAGTCATCCCTCTCTGGAACCAAACACCCCACCTGTTACCCCCCATTTGACACAGTGACCGCCGTTATCAACCCCGAAACTGTGATCGAGCAGTGAGCTTTTTTCAACAGACACCGATGTGACTGTATCTGGGAGACGCGACCAGCCCAAGCCCTTGAACCCTCCGGGTTCCCATTCGCAAGCGTTGCCCCCACGTATCGGCACCCACAAGGTGGTGGCGTAGATCGTGGGGTAGGTCCTCCTCGGCCGAGTCCGAGACGCTGGCTCCGGAGCAAAGTAGCTTCTGCCGCGAAGAAATCGTTGATAGTTATGATGAAACGATCTCTGGCATGCCGCTCTTACTATCGCGCTTATCTCCTTCAGAAAGGACCCCGCCTGGTTGGCACTGGGTAGCACATCTGCGCGCCTCTGACGCAACAGCTACTACCCCCATCTGTCGTGATGCCGACAGCGGTTGTGTTACTCGATCATTTTCGACAGTCAGCCACTCGTTGGAACGACGGGATCTGCTCAACAGCGCGCAGCTGTCCAACCAAGGTGGTTGGAAGAGCAAGATGAACACTCGGGCATGTCGAAACATGCACTTGAACACAGTAATGCTCGGGAAGCCATAGGCCATCCACGAGAATGTCACTCAAACAGTGGATAGATCGTCCGCTGAGAGTTAAATCCAGTATGAGAAACGAGTCGATCTCATGAAATGCAGTGAGATGATTACCGTGAAGTCGTCGTCTGGAAGTTCGATCGAGAAACGTCAGTTGTTCTCGAGAATTCGTTTTCTCCACGGCATCAGAATGCACATGGAGCCGGTCCGAACAGCAAACCACGAAGATGTACATCGTGAGGTATCGGATATCCGGAGCCAGAATGGCCAATGTAGGGCGCCGAAGCCGCCCTTCCGTCCAACGCTCATGATCCAAGCGTAACTGGACTACTCAACGCCAAATGGCGTGTTGGGGTTACTGGGGACGAAACATCGTCGTTCATGCCCAATGGCTCGGGATTCGTACCCGTCCCGAGCTGCAACCCCACCCGTTCGGTCCTCAACATGCGAGAACCGAGGCCTTTTAACGTCCTGCCCAGGACAAATCACGACCAGTTCGCCATCCTTCCCGGTTTCCGTATCCTGATGCATCGGTCAACGGCGTATGCCAAAAGTAAGGTTACAGGACGAATGACCTACTATTCGCGCCAGTTGGCAGAAATAAAAGACCCAACAACGAAGTCCCAGGCGGCCATGTCATTATCGTCGCAGTTCATCAGGGATTATGTGGTGAATGCAGAGGTCTAATTGTCAAGGTAATGAGGATGCAGTCGAGACTCGTATGTCTTGGTTGCCCAGCCTTGGCAAGGTTCCAAGTCCATAGGTCGCTACTGTGATTCGTCAGCCGTATGCCGTCGGTTATGGAAATGGAAAACATACCAAATGCAACGCCTTGACGAGAATCATAACCGTAATGCAGACCCTATAGGCTCCAAATGCCTCGAAAGTCGCACGTTCGTTGCCTTGATGCAACCTGTGGGCATTTTAACGTCCTACCCAGAACGAGCTGGCAAGATAACCAAGCAGGTGGACCAGCGGTCTATTTGTATTGTGGTCATTCAGAGCAGGTAGGTGTTGTGTGTAAGTGCCACGGTATGCGTAATGCTCGGCATGTCTGGCCACTCGTGTCGACTGGCAAAGTGGAAATCGTATCAGAGAAAAATTACGTTAAGGTGGCCGAGGTAAAGTGCGGGGCTACGGCTGTCATCAACGTCAGTCGAGTGCTGATGTAGATATTGTCAGAAAGATGCAATACATACTGTTGAGGTTGCCGTCGAGATTATAGTGCCGCCGAAGCCAAATGTCAAACTAGGTCGAAACCGTGTCTCCAAGTGTCCTGCTAGGGCAGGGAGATTATATGGTCTTGCATATTGCGCAAGGAGTCACTCTGCAGGTGACGCTTCGAAGAAGTGGGCAAGTAGAGAGTAAACGCGTGCTGGGCTCGAGAAGGAGAATGAAAGAAGGCTGACGGAATGACCGCCAGAGAATATTCACGGAGGCATAGTGCGAAGGGTGCAGCGTTGTTCGAGAGTCGATGAACAGAGGGGATGGAGGTGATATGTAGTTGAAAGGAGAGAGAAAATGGGTGGGGGACGCGTCGGTCTTTAAAGGTCGAATAGAGCCCAGCTCTTGCTAGTAAGGTTAGTTCACAGTGCTTTCCACATTTTTCGGTGGACCCGGTGGAAGGCGAGAAGGGCAGGCGATAGGCTTAGCGAAGATGGCAGACAAGGCTAGGTTGATGTTGGCGATTACAATGTCGGAAGGGACAGAAACGGCAGAAGCAGTTACGTGAGCAGGAGAGCTTTGGAAGTTGCAAGTTGCAGGCTGCAGGATACGACACGTGCCGAGAAGGTGCTTGGGCAGAGTGACAGTGACATCGACAGTGCCAGGCCGGCTTGGCGGCTGCGAACATACTGTACCCAGTACGTACCGCAGATGCCGCAAGATATCGACTTCCCAAAGCCGAGGCTTCCTTATTCCAGAACTGTGAAACACACATCCACGCTGTCCATTTTTCCTTTTCTGTATCGTCAGGACCATTGGCAACCATTCTGGCCTCCAAAAAGAATTACCACTAACAGAAAACAGGGTTGGAAAGAGCCTTCCTAGCCCGACCGAACAGTGCCACTTTTCGTATCGGCTACCCTGACACAGAGGACTTCGACATCGCCATGATTGCAGTCATTGTTGTCAGCCATCTACGAGAACAACATTTTCCTGGATCCTGCTGTTATGAAATATGGATTCCTTCTATACCGTTCTAATATCCATCTCTATATCAATCTGATGACAAAGCCCTAGCATTGACACTGATTGCATCACCAACCCGTATAGTTGGAAATTGCTCCCTCTCCGTCACGGCTTTGGCCTTTGGCTCGTGTCCCATATGCGTACCGAAGTAAACCTTGCCGTCAAACCTCCGTACCTTAGCCAGCGTCACAAATGGCTCCTGGTGCCTTTCACTAGTCTCTTGGTCGACGCAAACCATTTGACATCTGCGACAGGCTCCCATCATTTTGAAGTCCTCTTCGCCTATGGTAAGACTCTCCCAACTGTCCTCTGCCCATGCTGGTTGTTCGGAATTTCGAGCCGATCCGATCACCAAGTTGGCACGAAACGACTCTGGTGGGACAGGCCTACCACCGTTCGCCTCCACTTCGCGGTTAAGGGCATGCAGACTTGCCGAGTTGATCATCAGGATTGGGCTTTCGTTGGAAAGCAGTATTTTCCCTGCTGGTTGCTCTGAATCCGAGTCTGGAGGAGATGGCAATTCCGGAAAGGCCCCTGGACATGTATTCGGCGCTGCCACCTTGACTTGCTGATGCTTTTGCACCTTGGCTTTCGAGTGACGCATGCCGAGCCCTTGCCCGCCTGCTGGGAATCTGGCTAATACACAAGGCACGCCCAGAATTGCGCTGAAGAAATCGTTGACCAAAGGAGAGCCGTAAACATATGTCGTTACGGCGTCCCCACATACGCGAGAAGACCTCGTTGAAGGCGAGCTTAGTGTCTCGAATTGACGCGGATCCGCGGAAAGAGGTACTGAAATCTCGTCGGGTAGATGCGATGCTTTGTCACCGCGGTAGGTGACGCGCAAAAGGCCGCTCTGAAAATCGAGGACAGGTGTGATCAGAGCCATTTTCGGGTACCGTTTCTGGCTGAGCGCTTGCCCCGATCCCTGGTGCACCAGGCACCATTCCCTGTCCCAGGCCAACCCTTCAGGCTTGACTTCCCAAGCCGTCCCAGAAGGTACATAGTAGCCGCCGCAGCTTTTGATGGGATACACACTGATGCTCTGGACTTGAAGTTCCGCAGACGAAGCAGATATTGCGGCGTGATGAACGCTAGTCGTTATGACTTCTTCTCGATAGAACTCCTTCACGAAGTTGATCAGAAAGACAACATCTGAAAGTGTACTCATTGCGCCTAGACTTGCTCTGATTACGCCAGTAGGCTTCCCGGCAACAATGTCTTGGTCCGTCCCGCAGCGGAAACCAGATGAGAAATTGTTTCTCATCTCCCAAGGGCTCAAGCCAAGTGCCGAGGCAATACCTCCTGGGCTGCATAACCCGCCAGTCCGAATGTGCAAGTTCTTCAACGTTGCGAGTTTCTCAAACTCGTGTAAGCTGACCCAAGCGCCGGTAGAATCGCGCACGTTGAATGATAAGATAGGCCCGCTTTCTTCGGAATCGGAGATTTCATTACTTGGCTGAGAGTAGATGGTGCAGACCGACTTCCCGTTGCCATGCTTGAGGTCGGCCAGTCCATCATACAGGCGAGCTGTTAGAAAACTGGTATGCGATGCCACGCAAGCTATACTTCCAAACAGTTCCGCATGAACATCTAACGCTGCATCGAGTGCGAGAATGTTGTGGAATGGTAAAGTGCCATCCTCCAAACGCTCATGCAGGAATGTCGATTTAGGTGAATGCCACTTCTCCTGTCCACAAATTACCATGTCCACAGTGCCACCGCCGAAATAGCGTCTGTGATTGAATATCGGCTCGGCCTGTTTCCTCACGATCAAAGCACCTAGATCTGGAAAGCCGAATATTTTGTAGAAGCTGAGAACCGTGAAATCGGGAGCCGTTTCCGAATTACTGAGGTCCAGAGGCGTTGTAGCGACAAATGAAGCCGCGTCCAGCAGCGTGAACACCCGCGTCTGTGAACCAGTGGGCGATTGCCGTAATAGAGATGGCCACGTCAAGGAATAGCGTCGGCCATCCATGTGAGACTGGGCTGTGTATGCAAACAGCGTATGCGGGCCTGGGTCACCCAAGCTGGAGGGGAGTTCTCCGGAAATCCAGCTCTGCACGTTGTCGTTTGTAACACACGCGTTACCACGTGCCTCTTCACGAACTCCTATGATGCTCGTGTGGCAGGCTTGGTGATACGCAAATGAGAACCCCCCGGGCAGAGCACGAAAAGCCTCCGACACAAGTTTGATACCGGCTGTGGCATTCGATACAAAGACCAAGTCGAAACTGTCGGGATCAGCGTTGAAGAAGTTGAGAAGTTTCAGGCGGATGTCCTCTATCCGGGATGCCGTGAACTGAGAGGACGGCGAAGCTGAGTGCGGATTGCCCAAGAGATTCGACATCATTTCCGCAGAGAACCTTTCGATGAGAGACTTTGAACACAACGTTGATCCAGAATGGTCAAGATAGACTGAATCTAGTTTCATTGGTTAGCACGTCAAAACCTGGTGGAATTGCGGGGAGACGAGATCACCTTTGAGCATGGGATACTCTCTTTCCCTGAACTCCTCCACCCGGGAGTTGTAACATCGCTTCGCCGTATCAACCATGTTGGCAAGAAATTATGCTATGGAAGGATCCAGCTTAGAAACAACAACGGCAAGGCGACTAGGAATGTTGGCTAAAATCGAGCCAAGAGAGTCGCAAGGCTGGATAGGGACGAAGGCGCTAGTTGCCCCGCGACTTCAGTATCTAACAAATGCTTCGGATTAGGTGAGACGACAAGCCTGACCAAGCCCATACCCATACGGTGGACAGAGAGACTGAGGCAGTGAGCCGGTGAATTACATTGCGAGGGAGGTCAGAACGTTCAGGCGAGGCCAGGAAAACAAGAGGTGTTGCAACATCAAGAGAGGCGGCTTGGTCCGGCTTTCATGCTGAAATCACCGGGCACCTCCGCTGGTGTCTAATTGATTGCCACCCTGTTCGTTGACACAGTGTGGCTAAGGATGACAGGGGGCAACACTGTGAGCTGAGTTGTGCGCTCTTACCACCTTAGGTAAGCTGCATTACCTGACTGTCTGACAAAGTGTACGGTCGGAGTCCCGCGAGAGCACGGACCATCATCCACGTTAGAGCGTGGAACCGTGTTTAATTGAAATCGCGAGAAAGCGCGCTGCGCGACCCTGGTATCGCGTCGTTCCCCGGCCATCGTACTGGCGCGCGCCTACCACTTTAATTAAGAGTCTGCAGTTCCACATGGAATCGCAAGCTCCCACACCAGAATCTTCCTACCTCATCCGCTGCACGTCTCCTTCTATATCGACAGCAGTCTTCCCAGTCGCTTCCCCATCATTGTCAAACCAAGGCTGTCTACTTCCTATACCTCATCATCAGTAGTAATGTCTCGTGCTTCACTTGGCAAACGGACGAGGTCTGTCCAGGATCAGGGTAAGTTCTATCACGTCTACCCTGCTGCTTCCGAAGTACTTGTTCTCACAGCTTGTCCAGGCGAGACCCAGCTCCCCGCTAAGCGTACCAGACGACAAACTCGAGCTGCACTGCACAATGATGAGAACGCAGATCCCGAGGGGGCAGCCACTCCTGAGCTCGACTGCCAGAGTGACGACGAGGCCTACGTCGAACCGGCCGCGAAGAGCATCAAGCGTTCTCGCTCCCAGACTTTCTCAAAGACGATCCCAATCACGCCCCAAACCCCACGACACCGAGACGCCTTCGCCAACTCTCCCTCCACGCCCCGACAGGTGGTCAAGTCTGCTGGAAGGCTCTTCCAGAGGTTGACACCTCAGTCTCCTCTTACGCCTGGCTCTCTTCAAACCATTTACCACTCTGCTCGACAACTCTTTGCCCGGAGTGCCGACCCAGGCCAACTTGTGGGACGCGAAAGGGAACGAGAGCAAGTAGCCCAATTCGTCCAGCGGTGCTATTCTTCGACCCCGAGCGGATGCCTCTATGTCAGCGGCCCCCCTGGAACGGGAAAGAGTGCGATGATCAAGGAGATTACCGGAGAGTTGGCACAGTCTACAAATGTACGACAAGCATACGTCAACTGTATGAGCGTCAAGTCCTCCAAGGACCTTTACAACACCTTACTGGAGCTCATGGGGTACGACAGCGACCTCTCGGAAACTCTGGCCATGAAAGAGCTGCAGAAGGCTTTTGCGACGACGAAGAAGGGCTCACCTGTCTACCTGCTTGTCCTTGATGAGATCGACCACATCTTAACCATGGGATTGGAGAGCTTGTACCGGCTGTTCGAGTGGTCTTTGCAGCAGCCATCGCGACTTGTCTTAGTTGGCATTGCCAACGCACTCGATCTCACAGACCGTTTTCTGCCACGACTTAAATCCAAGAACCTCAGGCCAGAGCTTCTTCCATTTCACCCGTACTCGGCTGCTCAGATCAAAAGCATCATCACCACGCGCTTGATGACGTTGTTGCCGACCGACAGCAAGGAGAAATCACTCCCCTTTTTCCATCCCGCAGCCATTGAACTCTGCTCCCGGAAGGTGTCGAGTCAGACAGGAGACTTGCGAAAAGCCTTCGAGATCTGCCGACGCGCGCTGGACGTTGTTGAGTCAGAGACCAGGCGCCAACACGAAAATGAGGCAAGGGAGAAGGTTCTGCAGATGACACCGTCCCGCAAACCTCTTGGCGAGAATGTCAACATGGCTGGCTCCAGCTGGTCCTCTAGGAGCGTCTCTCACGTCGCAGCGACGTCTCTCAAGGCTTTAACAGTCGAGAGCGCCCCGCGAGTGCTCCTCAAACACCTGAATCACGTCACTCAAGCAGCGTTCAGCAACGGAACCAACCAGCGACTGAAAGCCCTCAACCTCCAGCAAAAGGCGGCACTCTGCTCGTTGGTTGCCCTCGAGAAGCGCAACCGAGCGGCAAAGATGGCCAGTGGTTTGACCACACCCACCAAATCGCAGACGCTGGCACCTACAGTCAAAACTCTGTACGATACGTATTCTGTTCTTTGCACGCGGGACTCGGTTTTGCACCCGCTGTCAAGCTCAGAGTTTCGAGAGGTCATCGGAAGTTTGGAGACATTGGGCCTAATCAGTCCCGTCGATGGGAAGACAGGTGGCCTTGTGGCGATACAAACGCCAAGCAAGAGAGGACGAAAGTCGGCGCTGCCCACAGGAGAAGACAAGCGAGTGGCCAGTTGTGTCGGTGAAAAGGAAATGGAGAACATTGCCGAGGGCCTAGGTGCAGGTATCTTGTCCAGCATCCTCAGCGGCGATGCATTGGATTGAATTATGGGATGTAGCAGGAGTTCTTGGGGTGCATTTTGCATGGCATCGGAGTTCAGGAAAAAGCATGGCACGTGGGATTTGAGGAGGATCTGTGGCGAGCTGGTCATCACAGCCAGCTAGGCAAGCATTGTATATCGAAGAGTTATGTGGATATTGGAGCGAAGGCTGAATGATGGCCTATTGGAGGTGCTAAGAATCAAGCGACGGAGAATGGCCGACATGGGAGATGCCCTGACGGAGGGTACCGGGGGGGGGGGGGGGGGTGGTAGTGTAAGAGACATTTGGGACGAGACATTAATAGCATGATACCAGACGGTTAAAACAAAACAAGGCTTGTCGAGGCAGCTGAATATGACCCGATCTAGCGCGCGCTCAGATGTGAAGTGAGTACGGTGACGAGGCGAAACGGGGATGAGGTGCTGGAGCCTACTACTACCTGGGGTCAGATGGTCGGTCGGTTGCATGCTCCCAGCAAGTGTGTTCCCGCGAGGTGGGAGGGGGGGTAAGTGTATCTCTGTACGTTACGCTAGCATCACTGTTCCTGATCGGAGGATAAGGTGTTTCTCTCCCCAAGCCAAGAAAAGCTCCATGCTGCACTCGAGATCTGGGTAAGATTAGCTACCGCTACCAACGGTATAAACGGCATAAGACAGACGGGTTATCACTCATGTGTGGCACAGCGTCATCTCGATTTCTGGCTTTGGCTGGCGTGTTCATTCGTCGGCAGCAAGGGTGTGTGGTTAAGAATTATGTGGCTTGAACTAGTTCCGTCTCATGAGTCGAGGTTACCTAGGTGCGAATAGTTTCACACGTTTCTGTTGTCTCGTACATAGGAACAAGTATCGTAAGAATTTTCAGATTGCGAGAGTGAATCCAATAGGCAAAGCCAAAGTAGAGGCAAGGACCACTCAGCTGTGATGCCTCTGGACTTTGGGAACGGAGACACGGGATCTGTACTAGGTCTCATGTTGTGCCACCGTTTCCCAATCTTAAGCAACGGACCGAACTGGAGGGTGCTCGGAACGCATCATGTCCAGGCCGTGAGTTGCGCCGGATGGACTGGAAGGGCGATTGCACCGCGATCCGTTCCTTTGCGGGTAGAGAAGCGGTTTCGATGGTGTCTATCGGTTGTCGGCATCCCCATGTAAGTGACGTTCAGCCCCTAGCAGCTGCGAGGTGGATGGGTGGTTTCCATGCAATTGAACAGACCAATCCACGCATCTCTGCAAAATCGATGTGGAGAACCCACAGCATCCTGAGACGGGTTCTCAAAGATTCTCAAGAAGGACCGCCGGGCAAGCTTAGACGGCAAGGGGCCCAACGGACCAACAGGCGTCACGGGCGGCAAGCACGACAGGAGGGGATTGGCATGTGTTGTGTACCTGACAGAAGAGGAGCCGCGCGGTCTTGACTTGTTTGTTGGGCTGCAGCAGAGGTTTACCTGGGTTCCCGAGTCTCGACTCTCAAGCCTTAGTCAGGCAAGTAGCCTCAGTGACAAGGCGCGCGCAAGGAAGCTGTCCCCCTCCCCCCCCTCTCTCTCAAAATCCAAGTTGGGATGGGCAGGCATGCACAGGGGGGACGATGAATCGGGTGATGCTCTGCTGTAACTCGGCAACCCCCGTTTTCCTTCAGTATTACCTATCCATGTACAATAAAATTGACTATATGCGTACGTACCTCCTTTGTCCAATGGCCGCAAAACGTCTTGACTCTTTCTTTCTTTCTTTGTCTCCGTCCGTGGGTCCTGGTTGCTGCTCTCCAGAGATGGAGATCCAGTCCACACAACTCACAATCCCCAGTCGCATATGTGGCACAATCTAGCCAGGTTCCCTTACAATGAATGTCCCCATGTCGTTCTTTGCCGTCCTTCCGCATGCTTTGACTAGGGCGGGCTGGTGGTGGGATCACTGAACTCAGGCAATGGAGCCGCTCCTCTACCTATTGTCATCCAGACTCAGCATTGTCACTGACACGGGCTCTATTCTTCGACCCCGAGGCCGTCCACCCGTCCACTTGCTTGGAATAAACCCCCTCCCCCTTCTCCCCGCCCTCGTCCCTCTCGTGCCATTCAAAGTACACTACCTACTCCCTCTTAAGACAGCGCCCCGTCAGTCAGTCAATCAGTCCAGTTTCGTTTGGGAAACCAAAGTCCGCAGCCGCGTAATACAAAGTATACATCCGGCACAGCCAACGTGCACAGTAATTAATGGTTTACATACAACGTGGCCCCGACCCCTCCCATCGCCCCAACTTCTCGTGCCTGAGGCTGTTCTGCTCCCAAATTCCCTCGGCAACACGGGCAATCTGAGACTGTGAACCCTCGAGATTTCCAGAAGAAGCGAAGCTTTCTTGGCAAGGCTCCCTCTTCACTCTTGGCATATGCAACCAAGAAATCCGCTTCCAGCATCTCTCGGATCCCAGCCTGGCATTCCATCGCCAAATCAATTCTCCTCTCGCTCGGCCCTATCGAAAGCACAGCACGCTCAGGTCCCTTGACCGTCCCGACACACCGAGACCTCGTGGAGCCGGTGCCCAGCCGCCCGAGCAGCCGTTTCTACCACCACCACCCACCAAGACGACCAAGACACCCTGAGCCACGTCTCATTGCTTGCCCACGTAGCGACCTTACTCTTCCCCGCCGACCGCTGCAAGCCACTGAAGCCACTGCTTTGGCGTCGCTCTGCGAATCCCCTCGTTGCATGCCGACGTGAGGGTGCCGTCGTCGCCGTCGTCGCCGCCTGTGCTGCGCCTCCTCCCTACCTCCTCCCATCTCCTTGCATCATTAGTCGCTCGGCCATCCCCTTCACGTCCTTGACGTCCTCCACCGCTGCCTCTGTTGCTGTCAATCACAACCGTCATCATCGCTACCACCACCGACGACCCCCCCCCGACTCCGACCCCCGACCCCGACCGATCCACGACACAGCCAAAGGCCCGGCCCGCAAGTCATTGCATACATGGGCGCATACTCGCAATCTAACGGCTCCGTCGAAGAAACAACCTCGTCCGCTCGTTCGTTTTTCTCTCGTTTCACCCTGTCCAGCCGATCGCGCTCGCGTAACCTCGCCGACTTCCACGTCCGCCCCAACGACCCGCACCGCCAGTACTCGGCCGGCGACCACGTCCATGGCGCGGTAGTCCTGACTGTGGTCAAGCCCATCCGCATCACTCACCTTACGGTCGCCCTGCATGGCTATGTTCGCGTGCACAAGGGGCCGGCTGTCAGCGAGCCCCCGATCGCGAAGCCCGCCCTGTCCGGTCGGTCGTCGGCACAGTACCATGGCAACGGCTACGCTTCTCTCTTCCAGGACGAGCAGGTACTCAGCGGTGAGGGGAGGTTGGAGCCTGGGAAGTACGAATTCAACTTCGACTTAGTCTTCCCTGAGAAGGGCCTGCCCAGCAGTATTGATGTATGACCTGACCCCTCCACTAGCAAGATGTAACGCAGTACTGACGCGCCACCACTCTCAGTTTGAACGAGGCACGATTTCCTACATGATAACAGCGACTCTGACGCGCCCGACCTCGATATCTGCCACATCGTCTTGCGATCGAAAAATTCAGTTGGTGGAGAAAATAGATATCGGACCCCTCGCGCCTCCTCGCCCCCGGACTATCTACCTCGAGCCGATATCTAAGAAATCGAGACGCAAAAGAGCAGCTGGGCCTGACAAGGCTTCCCTCGCACCGGACGCAAACGAAAATAGTTCCGACGCAGAACACCATGATGCTGAGCGTGCAGTCGAATCCCCAGCGCCCGCTGAAGATCATTCACACGATCCGCAAGATCATCCACGAAGTCCAACGCATACAGACATGCAGAGTGAAGTCAGTGGCGACAGTACTGTTAGCTCGAGCACAGGCATCAGCTTGGCACGAGCAGAGCCTCAAATCGCCAGCAGTTCGCTGTCAAATTCCAAAATGCAAGCCGTCGATGAGAAGACGATTACGGCAACTATCGAGATGCTCAAGGGTGGTGCCTTGCCAGGTGACACGGTATCAGTGAAGGTATCGGTTCAACACATCAAGCGGATCAAGAGTATGCATGGCGTTATTGTCACCATGTACCGACAAGGCAGGGTCGACACGGCACCGCCCGCCTCCATGTTTGCCGACATCCTGTCGAAAGACGAGACCCGCAAACTTGCGCAAGAAGATTACTACCCGCGATCGCGGACAGGCCTGGGTGGTCTTTCATTGACATCTACATCGTCGCTCAGTGTTTTCCGAAAGGATTTATCCCAGTCTGTTGCCCCTCTGATTATCGACCCGGCAACGATGGAGACAACAGTGACGGCATCGCTCAAGGTGCCCGAGGACGTATTCCCAACCATCAAAGGCGTGCCCGGCGACATGGTGAGCTTCAAATACCAAGTGGAGGTTCTTGTTGATCTGGGCGGCAGGCTTGCCAATCAGCTGCAAGGGGGCGGTCAGCCGAGAGTAGCACAGTTCGCGCCGGGTTCCGGCGCAACTGATGGCAACAACGCGGTGCTCACTTCCTGGGGAGGCAACGTGATAGACACGGATCGGTTACGACGTGAAAAGGGAGTGATATCAGTCGTTTTTGAGGTTGTCCTGGGCACGACAGACAGCACGCGGCTACGCGGCCGGAGTAACACGTTGCGCACGTTCCAAACGCGCGAAGTCTCTCTCAATAGGGAGGTTTCCAATCCCTGGCGTGCTGGTGACATTCACAGGGACGACGGCGAGAGCTACTGGCCGCAACCAACCCCCCAAATGCCAGTATCTCTCAGTCGGCAACCTACAATCACGATGCAGCCTACGAGCCCGCCAGATGATATGCAAGCGCCAGCTTACGTGCCTCCCCCCCAAGTTCCAGACGAGGGTAACTTGACGGAGAAAGAGCGGGCACGAAGGCAAGAGGAGAGACTCTTACCGAGCAGGCCACCCCAAGCGTCGGGAGCAGGCCCGTCTTTCGCATCGGCACCGGAGCCGAACATCTACGACGCCGAAGACGAGTCCTCGGAACTGCGACCCCATCATGGAATGAATGGAATAGAGGATCAACCTTCGGCACCGACGCTCGACGATATTTCGACGGCTCGTGAAGCTCGAACGGAAGACAAGCAAGAACTTGAGCGGCAACGGTTGCTTAATGAAGCCAGTGCGCCGCCAGAGTTCCCAGACGACTACGACGCCGGACCCAGTGCATCAGCGCCGCCAGCAGCCGCCGCCGCCGCCGCCGAGCCATCGGCCCCGGTATTAGCGGACGAGAATGACTACGGGCATCAGTACAGCTACGGCACAGAAGCAGGCGCGGGACAGTCCAGTCACCACGCTATAGGGTCAGAGCCATTGCCGAGGTACGAGCGATGAAGCAGTGGCGCATGGACAAGCATGAGGGCATGAAGGACAAATGATTGAATGGTGTATGATAAGTCTACACGTGTATGTGGTGTGTGTATGTGTGTGTGCGTGTGTGTGTATTGAGCATTTGCGAGTGCGCCATCTGGGAAGTACTATATAGAGACGAGGGGGTGAAACGACCCGAGAGCAAAATACATCAAACGAGTATGGCATGTTTAAAGGCGTCTTGTTCGCATCTGTATGCATATGTCTACATGCCGAAATATCTTGGTCTAGACAAACAAGCAGACGACAAGCAGCGAGCGTCTGCCAGCTGCATATGCAGTCGGCGGCTATCCTTCTTGGCACGACGCTCTCCCGCGTGTGTGCAACACCACATACGTATCTATACACCCCCCAGCACCTGCGACCGCGAACCATCCCAGGTAACTCTGTGCTCGGCAAGATGGAGTGCGAAACAACGTGTAACAGGCCACGGGTGGATGAATGGCCTGCTGGCATGTCGATGTGCTACTTGCTTACCTTAGGACGTGCTCCACTTGTTCCGTCCTAACACTTGAGGAGGGAAGGAAATGTTCGTTCAAAAGGCTTGGCTTGACGATCAAACAATTCACCTCCCACGGGTTGGGGAAATTCTACCTCGACGTTTTCCCCTTGTCTCTCTGCCCATGTCGCCACGGCGGAACCCGAGAGATCCGCGCGAGCGGGCGAGGGGGAGTTCCGTTTTCCCTCGTTTCCGTTCCGGTTTTCTTGCCTAGTCGTTTGCCTTCCATTACTCTGTAAAGGGTCAGGAGGCGCGCGGGTTTTTATTTTATTTTCATGGCCCCTGTCCCACCGATACAACAGGTAACCGAGAACGAGATAAAGTGTATTGTGAGGGAACAAAGGGGCGTTGCCAGGTTCGGCCTCGGGAACGGCACGACCTAGGCCAAGTCGTGTGGGCGTGGGTGTGGACTGAGGTTGATTCGGATTGGTTTTCTCTCTCTTAAAAAACACGCACCAACAGCGGCGACGGGACGGCGGCGTTTGGCTTCCAGTCGCAGACCTGCAGACCTGCAGAGAGCCCGGGAAGCAGAGGGGGCCTGCACGCTTGGATTGCGCCGTCTCATGTGGCGTCGACGCAGTTGTCAAAGGGCCAGGTCAGTTGGCCGTTGGGGGGGGGGGGGGGGTCCACTGGGGTACGAATGCGGTGTGCTGGCAGGGGCCTCACCACCTGGTCCCTACACCAACAGGTGCAAGAAACCAGGGAAACATGACTGATGATGGGGGAGGAGGTGGTGTAGGTGATGACATGGAAGCCGATGTGGCCGGGACGGCAGGTGGGGTGGGAGAGGGAGAGATGATGGGGTGGGAGAGAGTTTGAGCCCATCCCGTCGAGACAGCCGCCGCCGCAAAGCTTGGCAGTGCTTAGACCCCCGTGTTTTCTTATTTTATTCCTGCTCAACCCTCAGCCCTAGTGGTGTGTCTAGCCCGGCATCGGTTGCCGCAGGTCATTGCTTGGTAGGTCGGTCCGGGAACGCAACCGTTCTTATCCGGCAGCTCGAATGACTGGTTCTTGCTGGTTCGACTGGCATCGAAAAGTGCGACTGCATCGCGGATTCCCCTACGTACAGGGGATTTGGCACGTTTTCCGGATCCGTGGCTGAGCCCTTGTACTGCTACTCAGTACAGGGGGCAGAGGGGGTCGGGTAGCAAGGCTTAGCTAAGTACACTAATGTACGATGTATTTCGTGGTCGTCGGTGAATGGGTTGTTCCTGTTGGCGGGTGGGTGGTGGGAGAATGACGTGGAAACGCGCAGCAGCGGCGGCCCCTTACCTAGGTAGGTAGCGTCGAGTTCATATGCCCAAGGCTACGGTGGATAGCAGTATCTGTGCGGGAATATCTTCCTAGCGGGTCTATCCCGATGTACTGAGTCTTCAAACAGTGACAGTTGACGTTTTGCATCTCTTTCTCTGCCTGTCTCAGCGCTTTTCCTCGATGCGTGGTTTGATCCTCTGGCGCCACCCTCTAGCGTCATATTCTCCAGGCACATTTGAAAAGAGGCCATGTCGTGGCGCAGATGTGATGAAAACTGTTTCTCGCAGACGCGGCCGCTTGACGAGCGGCGCATGACTCCCCTCCCGTCCTCGTCTTGTGTATCTCGAGAACGCGCTACACATTGGCACAGCAGTCAAACCTAGCTCATCAAGGTCTCCGGGAACAAACGAAGGGTGAGGACAGCTCGCGCTCATCATCGTTATGGCATAGGCGCTGATGGCTGAGCACATTTCGCGCCCAGCCGTGAGACGTAATGCAGACGGACGGGCCATCGCCAGAGGGTCCTCGCGCGCCCCTTTCCCTCGAGTGCGCCGGCCTTCAACACTCGTTAGAAAGAAGATGATGACGACGGCGGCGACGGAGAAGAGGAAGAAAAGGCTAAAAAGAAAGCGAGCCAAACAGGCGGAGGCAGACGCGGCATCACCATCGCCACTTGAACCGCGACACACTCCAATTGGATCACGGGCCCCCCCCCAATCGTGGCTGGCGCTGTTACCTGCTGCTGCTGCTGCTGCTGCGGCGGCGGTGGCGGCGATCGCTGGGTCGCTAAGGCATGCAGCTGGAAACCGGGCCTGCAAGGAACTGTCAGCAAGCTTTCTAGACTCCACCCGAAGTCCCCTACCGATCCTAGGTACCTAACTACCTAACCTAGTCCCGAGCTGCTGTTGCGGCCCCCCGAGCCAAGCACGGAGGACCCCGTAGCTCGTTCGGTATGGGTCTTTCCATCAATCGCCCTACCAAGTTGCAGTCATCGATGGCGCAGTGTCTTACGCAGTGGTCCTTAGTAGGCCCTCATAAAAGAAAGCTTCTGATTGCATCTGGCCCCCGCAGTGCCCTCGCTCTCCCCGAATCGACAGCGGAGGTTCGCAGAGTGCCCAGACTAGGTACGAAGGGTGTTAGGTACCGGTGGTTGGCGCTGGGTAAGGGTACCAGAGTACCTCCGCCCGGGCTGCCAGCGGCTTTGCCAAGCCTGTCGATTGCTTGCTGCAACATGGATCCGGAGAGTTACCGGTACGGCTGACCACCTGAGGGAGGGCGCCCTTTTATCCCGCCTTTCTACCCACCCAAAGGTCTCAGGATTTCTTTTCGTTTCACACACACACATACACACACCAACCTCGTATATATATACACATCTGCCTTCTTCACATTACACCTCGGCTTGTCTCGGGCGTTGTTCGAAAGCAGTCGTTTTCTCTGAATAGATTCATCGTTTTTTCGTATTGGTTTTTCTTCTTTTTTTTTTCTTTCGAAACCAAACGTTAGTAAATAAAACAAACATGTCTAGCCAAGACTACTACAACCAGGGCGGCGGATACCCTCAGCACCCTCAACCTGTAAGCCAGTCACTCCCATTACCCTCACAACAGCGTTTTCGCGATGCAATCACCCGTCCTTTTCCTCTCTTTGCTTCAAGATGGCCGGTCGTACGACACGAACACCGACCGTTAACACGCTCACCAGTCCTACGGCCCCCCTCAAGGAGGCTACCCGCAACAGGGCGGCGGCTACTACCCCCAGGGCGGCCAGCCCCAGATGCAGTACCAGCAGCAACCTCCCATGCAGGCGCCCCAGCAGAGGAAGCAGGGTGGCGGAAACTGCCTGACGGCCTGCCTCGCCGCGCTGTGCTGTTGCTGCGTGATTGACGAGACGTGCGAGTGCTGCGCGGAATGGTGAGCTCCCACGCCCCTCTACCAAATTCTTCCTCCCAGGATTGCTGACAGCCCCAATAGTTGCGAGTGCTGTTTCGACATTTGCTAAATTGCCACACTTGTCGAGTGGGGGACAACGTCGACAGCATCAGCAGTTTTCCCGATTTGCTTACCGTTGAGACTGAAGCCGCCTGTAATGGTTTTTTTTTCTTGTCTTTTCTCTTTTCTTTCTTTGAGTGGCGGGGGGCCCGAGCATCATGAGATTCGAAACCGCCATGCGGGGAGGAAAGGCCTTTGAGCTCCCCTCGCCAAGAGCAACAATGATGAGGGGCAAGGAGGAAAGCGGCGGCTTTGCCCGCCTTGACTTGTTTCTCCTGCGGCCTGCATCTCCTGGCCCCTTGGCGTGATGAACCCGAGACGACGGAAGAGTTGGGATGGACAGACGAGTGGGAGGGAAGGAGGCACAGTATCGATGGATGGACGGGCGGGGGGGGGTCTCACGATGGGTTCAGCGGCCTCGTTGATTTACTTTCCACACTGGCGTTTGCGGCGTGTGGTCTATTGTTTCCTACATGGGGTTGATTGTGCTTGTTGGGCGCACTTCGCTTCGCGGTCATGACTTTACCCAGTAGTACGACTCATCTGAAATCCAACTTGCGATTTATATATCCTTGGTCAGTTGTTGACGTCATTGTGACTGGAGGTTCTCAGCCCGACTATTACACCGGCATTTTAGTCTCGAATGCATCCTTCCGGTCATTTAGCCTCGGCCCGGGTCGACGGGTTGAACGCGAGGATAACCTTTCCGATCCCGTGATCTGTCTGCTTGGTACCACTATGATAGACATGTTTCACACTTCTTTAGATGCAGCACCAAGACAGTAATAGCAAGGCTTCAACAATTTTGAATTCCTATCGAAGGCATTGGACCCTTCCGAGCCTAACAACGCGAATGCTTGCAGGGGCACAGGGTCGTTGTATCGCTGGCCATCACAAAAAACTTTTTTTTAATCGCATTTCACCGACTTGAATTTAGTTGTCCAACTGGACGTAGTTGGCAGGGAAGAGGCCCTGTTTTCCACCGTAGGAGCCGAACCACCAGTCCTCATCAGGAAACTCGAGGTCCGTGATTGTTGCGTTCTCGGGGAACGAGAGCTCTGAGCAGCTGGTTAGCACCGCGTACGTACAGGGTGGGGGTGGGGTGGAGCTGTATTACCATTGTCCTCGGCTGCCTCGTAGTCGAACTGGGCAGTTGCTGTCCGACCGCCCCCGGCAGCTGCCGGAGCCGGCTCCGCTTGAGCCGGTGCGGGAGGAGGAGCGCTTCGTGCTGCCGGTGCCGGTTCAGGCTCGTCATCGACAAGTTCCACGTAGTTGCTAGGGAACAAGCCGCTCTCGCCACGAGAGTTGGTGCCCATCCACCAGTCATCGTCAACCATCTCGATGTTGGTAACATACTCGCCCTCACGGAGTTCAAGTTCGTTATCCTCGGCCTTCTCATAGTCATACTGGATCAAGGCCCGCTTGCCACCGCTTGACGCCTGACCCGCCGCTACTTGCTCCTGACCAAACTCATGCTCTGCAACAGCTGCGGCGGCGCCGCGGCCAACATCGACCCTCTCATCCGAGAGTTCCTCTTCTCTTGGCAGCTCTCGCTCGATCTCTTGAGTAGGGATGGGCCGAGGAGGTTCTCTCTCCATAGGGGGCTCCATATCGACCTCGTGTCCACGAGCAACGGGCTGCGCAACCCTGATGGGGGACTGAGGCTCTTCCTCTTCTTCCTCTTCCTGAGCAGCCGCTGGCCTGGACGGTAGACCGGGAAGAGCAAACCCACCCGCAGGGGGAGGGCGAGAACCGCTAGGTGGCGGAGGAGGAGACGGCTCATCCTCCTCTTCCCGGTGCTGTTCGCGGGGGATAGAGGGAGCTCCGCCAGAAATGGGTGGAGCGTCTTTGAAGCGGTCCCGCAGAGCACCAACGCCGCCACTGGGCGAGGCAGGCGCCCCAACGCTTCTCTCCTGGGGGTCTTCACCGGTGTTTTCCTGGCTGAGACTGCCACGGCCGTATTCAGCAGTCTTGACGGGGCCCCACGACTTGCCAGCGTAACCACTCTTCCACTCGCCGCTCTTCTGCACGCCGATAGGAGACGTAACGGGGGGTGAGACGGTGTTGGAGACGGACCCTCCTTGCTTTCCCTTCTTTTCGGCCCAAAGCTGAGCTGGCGTCTTTCCGCCTTGGTCGGCGAAGGTACGGCTGGCAGCGCCAACAGGCGGGGGAGCCGGCACGGAAGGCGCACCGAATCCAAGACCGCCAGGCGTCGGCGCCTTGGTGCCAGTGAATGCAGCTGCGGCGCCAAACTTGCTGGCCACCTTGGGCTTGGGCAGCGATGTCAGGCGCTCCGACTGAGATTGGCTGAAAGCGGCGCTCCGTTCGGCCAGCGACTTGGGCCGCTCATCATCGGCAGGCTCCTGTTCCACGGGCTCTGATGGCTTCTGTGCCCTGGCGCGAATGGCGGCGATGTCGACCTTGCCAACAGGCTCGTATGAGCCCTTAACAGGCGTCGGCCGGTCGTCGTTCTGGTTCTTAGCTGCGGCACGGATCGCAGCAATGTCCACCTTTCCGACGGGCTGATAAGCACCCCTTACAACATCGGGGCGGCCTTGCGAGTTGCCCCCGTTGGAGCTGGAAGGCTCCTGCCGTTGCTTCGTAAGCTCTGCCATGTTAACCTTGGTGGGTTTGTACGCCGATTCAACTTTCTCCAGCTGTGACCGAGTCACCGGCGGGGCGTCTTCTCCCCACCCATCGTCATCAGGGTTGGCGGTCTTGCGGTTTCGCGCGGCCACGATAGGGTTGACATTTCCAACTGAGGACGTGGTGGGAGTGAAGACAGGCTTGGAGGCCACCGGGGGTGGGGCAGCGGAAGTCGTGGAGCTGCCTGCTGAGTACTTGGCACCGGAGGCATCGGCAATCTTGCGCATCACGCTCTCGGGTTCGAGGTCGCTTTCTGAGCGGGCCGTAATCTGGACGTGGTAGCCATGGAGAATCTTGGAGACGGCCGCGGTGTGGGTGGTAAAGTAGCCCTTGGTTCTCTCTGGGACACCGCCTCCGCACCAGGCAATCAGGGCGTTCTTGGGAAGGCCAGAGTTGGGGTCCTTGACTTTGACGAAGGCGAATTGGATGCGGCCCTCGTTGAAGTCTTCGATGAGATCCGAAAGCTCGCCATCTGCGCGGGGAGGGACACCTGTCAGCGCATGCCTCGCCAAGCCATGTCGAGCGTCGGGAGCTCGAGTGAAGAGCGGGGAACCTACCACCAGTGCTCTGGACCTTGAGCACGCTCTCCTTGGAGCCACTATCTTGGAAAGCATTGGCCAAAGGAGCTTGAACGGAGAACAGTGCCCATTGAGCGTATGTCGGCGAGCTCGACTTTGGAAGCGCGCTGTTGATGACGCCCTGATAGCTGCTCTTGATCGAGGGTCCGTTAATGGACAGGTTGAGTGACGCCATTGCAAGTTTAGGCAATGAGCTTAACTAGCAGTCGTCGGGGGTCGTTGGGTCGTCGAAAAGTAAGGGGAGAGGGAAGATTGAGCAAGGGGAGAGTAAGGCAAAAGAAGATGTCGGGTCGTAAGGATCTCCGTCGGGCAGTCGCCTGTGTCTGACGGGCAAAGAAGCTGACGTAGCAAACCAGCCGCCTCTATTGCAGAATAACAGTCGTGGACAGCCGAAAGTTGGAGAGGCGCAGCACAGGTGGAACTGGAACTTGGAGGTGAAGCACGGTCCCGCCAGCATCCAATACACTGGCGGTCGGTTACGCAGCTCAGCGTTGTTCAGTGTCGGGCCAAGTGTCGCGGCGGGGCAGGAAAGCGTGGGCCAGCTGGTACCTGAGGTACGAGTACAGCCGAACCGCGTGTACAGCGACGCACTGTGCCAGGTACAAGCATGCTTGCCGCTTTCGCTCTCTGCTTCGGGCCCCTTCACGCCTTAGGTGGGGGCCCTCTTGTTCCATCCTATGTAATTAACCCCCATAAATCTTGCGCCAGATGACGCAACTGCTAGTCTTTTCGGTTACAAGCGTTCCTCTGTACAACTAGGCCATCTCCAGCTACGGAGATCGGTGTATCCGTTACAATCGCAGCCACCCCAAAAAACTCGCTCCCAAATTGCCCCTCCAAGTACCCCTCTACGTATCGAAGACCCACGGTTTATCAGCCATTGTTGGCTTTGTCATTTCATGATCCAACATCCGACCGAACCCGGCCCTCATCTGGTGTTTATTCCACAAGCCTCGAATCCTATCCGCGACTCTCACTGGCAGGTTCTCTTTCCCCATTGATCGCAACCCCCCTCCCCTGCCGTCGACGTATCATCTTGAACGTTCCGACCTGACGAAAAAGCTCGCGATCCACGAAATTAAAATGTCGACGATCCAAGAGATTGCCAGTGTGGCCGACTTCGAGAAGCACATCACTTCCACACCGCCCACCACCCTCCATATTATCTCATTCCACGCACCATGGGCCGCCCCATGCGCTCAGATGGCGACTGTCCTCGCGACCCTTGCCTCCGAGTACCCCGTCACCAGCCCCCCGCAGACATCTTGGGTTTCCATAAACGCCGAAGAGCTTAGCGAGATCAGTGAGACCTACAACGTCACTGCCGTTCCTTTCCTCGTACTCCTGCGCAACGGCCAGGTCCTCGAGACCGTCAGCGGCAGCAGCGCCATCAAGGTGCGCAACGCGATCGAGACACACGCCAAGAAGCCCGCCACCGGCACGACGAACGGAAACCAGGGCGTCGAGAACGGCCCTAGCGCTGCCGCGCCGGCGGAGGAGGCTGTTGACCCGGCCAAGGCTAAGGAGGAGCTTTTCAAACGTTTGGCGGACCTCGTCAAGGCCGCGCCGGTTATGCTTTTCATGAAGGGCACCCCGAGCTCGCCCCAGTGCGGTTTCTCGAGGCAGCTTGTCGCACTCCTGAGAGAGCATTCCGTCAAGTACGGCTTCTTCAACATCCTGGCGGACGATGAGGTGCGGCAGGGCCTGAAAGAGTATGCAGAGTGGCCTACTTACCCTCAGCTCTGGGTTGATGGCGAGCTGGTCGGCGGTCTTGATATTGTAAGTTCCCTTAGCAACCCTTCTTGCTAGCGGAAGCTAATTTCTTTCCCTTAGGTCAAAGAAGAAATCGCCAACAACCCTGACTTCCTGGCTCCTTACAGCGTCAAGTCCAACGCAGAGACTACCGCCACCTCGTAAGCACCACGGGAACAGTCAGTCTTCTGTTGAAACACTTCGGGTGGTTTCCGTCACATGACGATGGCGTTTTTGTTGTCTTTATGGTTACACATACCCAGTTGCGCTTGGATTTACTCATTTGCCCGGACATACAGAGTCATGCCAGCTGCCGGATTTCTCTAGTAGACTATTCTGTCAACTCTTTCTGGAGACGTCTAGTTGTTCGTCAGGTACCTCCAGTTTGACTGGCAATGTGGGACTCTGCTTCTGAATGGACCCTTCAAAAGCCCCTTTTAGGGAGTGTCCGACTAGCATGTCCACCGTTAACTAGCGCTTCTTGCACTCTGGAGGACCAAAGTCGTTGAACAACCCGCTGCCTAACAAGAGGCATGGCTTGAGCAGACACAAAAGTTGACACATTCCGAGACATATAAAGAGACGAATTGGGGTAGTTTTAGAGGAGCACTTCTATTTCAATAGGCGTGTCTTCATGTTATGATCAACGACAATGGAACCATTTGAGCATGCTTTCCCCCCTCCTTGACCACATTGGTAAGCTGTCTAAGAGTCTATCAGTTCTTTGCTGCTGCTTTTTTTTCCTCCCGCAAAGATGGACACCCACAAAGTGTTGAGGTGCTTCCTACCATATCCTCGGTTAAAGTATCATTGTGCTTGATTGGGCTTCGTAGCTATGGATATACACCTAGCGATCTGTGGTAGAAATTGTGCTTTGTCTCTCAAGTATGTCGGCTTTTGGATGTGGCTCTGCAAAAAATGATTCCTTTCTGAGAAGCTCCAAAAGCACATTTCATGGTCCAGTTTCAAGAAAGGCCGCGTCAGTCCTCCTCATCGTACTCGTCCTCTGAAAAGCTGGCAGGGTCCAGAAGCGGGCAAATCTCATCCCAATGCAAGTTCCCTTTGATTACAATACTGCGCGGTCCTCTTTTGGACTTCGACTCCCGGATCACCGATTGGAAGCGCTTCAGGAGACGTTTTTGCAACCTTTCAGAAATCGTCTTGTCCTCGATACCCTCGATGAATCGATTGATGAATCTCTTCATGTCGCTACCGTTCTTAGGCGGTGCCTTTCGATAGCTACTTTTGGAAGCCTGTACATATTTCCGGAAACCCGAGATTTTGCGTTTGGATACCTTGAGAGATTCGACCTTCAGCTTTTTGTGTGCTCTCGTCGGCAGAGGGTTGGCCGCAGTGCTTGGTCCGTCGGAAATAACTGCGTGTGGCATCGGCCGCTTGTCAGATTCGGATGCCAACGGTACAGATTCCTTTTTCCGCTTGGTCGCAACCCGAGCTGCCCTCGATCAGTATCATCTTTCACTCCAAATAGGGCCACATACTCGGGGAAAGATCCTGAGAGTCTGGTTGCGTGGCCTGAAGAGAGATCTTGGTAGAAAGCTGCTCTACCTTGCGTGCCAGGTCGAATCTTTCCTCATCACTCCGAACTAATTTGTCGGCCAGGATCCTGAGATCCGCCTCTTGTCTGCGAATCCTGTCCTCGGCTAAGGAGTATTGGTTGTTCAGTTCAGAGCCAATGTCGTCAAGTCGTTTAGGCATGGGCTGCAGTTCCTGTATTCTCATTTCACTGGCTTTGACGGTCTCGTCATTGGCTTCTTGACGACGAGATATACCCTCGAGCGTCCGTCGCATAGTCAGAAGCTCTTCCAGTATGACGATATGGCTGGTATTGAAAGCCAGCTGGGTCGCTGGGACGGTGCTGTTAGCAGCACTAAACCCGTTTGAAGTGACGCGGGTCATCTGCCATGCGTGTCAGCGTCAAGCGGCCTCTGCTTGTATGGACTCGTGGAGAATATATGTTTTACATACAACTACGTCTGAAGGAGTTGTGCTACACTCGGAAGCTGCAGCAGCCACTGAGCGAGTTTTCATCATGCTGGTTGGAAACACCGCAGTGGTAACAGTGGGAAACTTCACTCGAATATCCCGAAACAGAGATTGACCTCCACTGTACACACGAGGAGAAATGACAAGAGAAATAGGGAGCCGGGCGAGAGAGTGGAGATCGTGGGAACAGCAATGCTGATCTGGTTGTTGAGAGGAGGATGCAGCTGAGCTCTGTGGTGTCGTAATAGAAGGGCGGGTGACAGAAGTCAACCTTGGATCTACATGGCATGAAGGAAGTATGGCAGGCGTAAGGGGGGGACCTTCCCGAGGAAGGATGTCGGTCATAGGAAGGAGCCCGGGGTTGGCAAGTCGTGGGAGAAGTTGACCTGGCCAACGTGTATTCAACCGCTTTTGGGCCCGAGCTGGAATCGCCGGTGTTCACCTTGATTAGGCACCGAACAGGTTGCTGGTCAACATTCATTACCTTGTGGCACTACAAACTAGATTGGTATCGCACGTACGAATAGAACATCAAACATCAAACATGAACATGCCCGTTCGTCCCATTCGTTCCTCCCAACGCCGGCTCCGTTCCGTTCCTGGAAGATATGCCCTGCCTCGAGGTTCTCCCCTGCATGTTTGAAGACTCCGCGTCCTCCAATGTCATCGACGCCTTGCGGTTGGTGCTGCCGGGGCGAGCCTCGCTGTCGCCCTTGACGGCTGTCCACTTGCCCACGCTCGTCCCCTTCTCCCGCTCCTCGGCAATCCAGCCGAGGAACAACGCAACGTCCTTTGCGACGACCCCAAGCACCGCCTTGGCCTGGATCCACGCAGGCAGCACTCCCTTGGCATCCGAGGCCGTCGCCATGATCCACTCAATCGCCCCCGTCGGCAGCCTCCGCACTCTTTCGACGCTCACGTACGCGCCGACAACAATGCTCTTGTCCTTGACCAGCTGACCGTGGTCCGACCCCGCAAGGTCCAACACGGGGACCGACACGACCACGAACTCGTCAGCACCCCTCGCCTTGGCCGAGACGATGAGCTCGGGGAACACGCGGTTCTTGAGCGGCATCACGAGTCTATGCTTGATCTCTGACACGCTGAGCTTGAAATCCCCCCACGAGATCCCCCCCTCGTTGACCACGATGCCATTGCAGTCCCACGCCAGCGCTTCCCTTGCCTGCATGACGTTCGGCGTGAACGCTTTCTCGGCCTCGACATGGTCGTCCTTGAAACACTTGACAAACTCCTCCCACGCTGCCGTCCCCTTGACGGGTTTATCCTTGTGGATGCTCCTCCGGCACGCCCACGTCTCAGCCGAGACGGAATCGCCGTTCGGCAGCTGATTCCGCGCCGCCTCCTTCGCGAGCTCCGCGGCGGGAACGATGCGCTCGTACAGCTCGACGGGCGCCGTCGACTCGGGGAAGGTCTTGTTGCCCTTAGCCTTCCACTCGTTGGGCCGTGCCGTGCCGTCCTTGGGCGCAACGGCGTCGATGAAGGGGACCGCCTCCTGCAGCACGGCGATCAGGAACGGTGCCAAGTCGGCCGACGTTGCGCTCGGGGCCGGTAGCTGCTCCGTCCGGAGGCCCCATAGGCGGACCAGGGGCCCCAGGTTTTCGTCTTCCGTGTTCATATCGGCGGTGGTTCTTGATTGCCTCTTCAGGTCCGTAGATCCTGGGTTGGTCAAACTAATGAATGCGTCGTCGCAATGCTCCAATCGCAGTGCCGTCGCAATTGCAAGTCGTTTGCGCTCTTTATATAATGGGGATGGGTTTATCGAAAAAACAGCCAGGTAGGCGTAGTAGGCTGTGCAACGTCAGTGGGCAAACTCTAAACCCCACGTTGGTACGCGACTATTCGTAAGGAAATTTGCGCGAGCGAAAGTCTCTGTGAATGAGCTCCAGCTCCAGCTCAAGCTCAGGTTGGGATGAGGGGAGGAGAGGGATGGGAGCAGAAACCGGACAGGGGATGGATGTCTGAGACTCCCTCTCATATTCGCCGCACTGACCTTGAAACAAAACACCGCCGACCGACCGAACTCGTTCGGCTGTACACCAGTGTCGTGATCACCATGGCTGGACCGCTCTCTCTCATTAATACCGACTCACCAAAAATCATGTCATTTACTTTCAGGCCTGCCATATGTGGAGGAGACGGTCACTGGCACGGAGCCAGTAACTTTATAATGTTTTCGTGATGTCATAACGGTCTTTTGTATTAATATTATTCAGTGGTGACGGTTTACCCTGCCACCATTGCGCCGCAGCGCTCTCATGTCCATATACTTTACTCCCTTACTTTCTCTTCGCCTTGATGTAGTCATGATGGCTTACAATGTACGAACCACAACCACAAAATTGCGTAAACCCCCTTTGCACCATTCACCAATTTATGGGTTACGCTTCTCCCAGTAAATGTTGGCGGGCTCCAGAGGACGCGAGAAGAGAGAGGCGTAGTCGGTGCCGTTGATGTTGTTGCTACCGTCGACGTTGCGGAACTTGAAGTTTCTGACGATCATGGCAGTGATAGTCTGGAGCTGCAGGTTGGCAAAGTGCTCGCCGATGCAGCGGTGACGGCCCGCGCCAAAGGGCAGGTACGGCGAGGCAGCACCCTTGCTAACCAAACCGTAGCCGTAATCGATCTTCTCCTCCTCGGCAGCGTCGTTAGCTCCGAGTCTAGGAGCGAGGGGTGAGTCGGCGTCCCAGCGGTGAGGGTTCCACTGGTCAGGCTCGGGGAAGTAGGCCGGGTCGGAGCCAGAGACACCAGGGGCGGCGAGGAGAGTGTGGGTCGTGGGAACCACGTACTTCGTGCCGGGAACGGGCATGGGAGACTTCACAGCGCGCATGATGGAGTGAATAGGGGCGTGGAGGCGGAGGGTCTCCTTGATGATGGCCTGGTTGAGGGGCAGCTTAGCGAGGTCTTCATAGGCCAGGGGCGGCAGGTCGGCGCCGAGAACGCGGACTTGCTCCTCGTAGAGCTCCTCCATGATGTGAGGGTTCTGGGCAAGACGAAGCATGATCCAGGAGCTCGTGGACGAAGAGGAGTGCTGGCCGGCCATGAGAAGAGCAATCATCATGTTGGCGATCTCGTGATCGGGGACCTTGATGCCGTTCTTGTAGGTGGAGTTCATCAGGTGGGACATGATGTCGAGTCCGTTGGTGCGGCCCTGTTCGCGGCGTTCCTTGATGGTGTCCATGTAGATTTGGGCAATTGTGTCGTGAGCCAGATCGCGCTTCTTGTTCCAGGGGAGAGGAGCCCAGTGAAGCACGAAGTTGATGGAGGTGAAACCCATGTCGAGGTCATGGTACAGGGAAGCGAGGGACTCGTCGAACTTGTTGCGGATCTCAGCGCCCTGGAGGGCGTGGGAGGCGGTGAAAATGGTGATCTCGGCCATCTTGGTGGGGATGTTGACGACGCCAGACTTGCCTTTGAAGTCGGGGCTGCTCTTGAAGTAGTTGGTGACCTCGTCGGCTACGATAGGGGTGTAAGAGCGGAAGGCTTCGGTGGTGAGGGCGATCTTCATGAACTTGAGGGGCACGCAAGCTGTCAGTAGGGAGATGCGCGGGGAGAGATCCTGTCGCCCACATACCTTCTTCTGCTCCATGAGCTTGGAATTGGGGCAGTCGTAGACGACGTCGCGGCCGAAGACGGGGGTGGTCAAGACGGTGTAGATTTCCTCGGCATTGACATCCTTGAGCTTGCCGTTGAGGATGAAGTCGTTGCCCTGGGGGCCGAGGGCGACTGTGGTCTTCTTGCCGAGAAGAACGAAAGTAAAGATATCGCCATACTTTCGGAGTTAATGCTTGTCAGCTCGAGCACGAGAAGTCGTAATAGTTAACATTGTTGGTGGGCGCGCGTACCTTCTCACGGTTGGCTTGGAAGAAGGCTGGGGGGTCCATGCCGTAGGTGACGGTGCTGCCAATGAAGGGGAACCAGTGGAAGACCATGGGGGGTTCATTGGAATTCTTGAAGAGGATCTGGTAGGCGACATTGAGGACGACAGACAGGGAAATGACAGCGGTGACAATGACGAAGATTTGCAAACCAGTTCCTAGTGTCTGGAACTGCTGGGACAATGGTCCGGCGACCTCTTGTCGGAGGCCCATGCTGGGCAGGAGAGAAGGACGAGAGAGTGCTTCTGTTGGTGTTTTCGAGCGTCGTCGCGTCTACCGGTGTCGTCGATTGTTGTGAACGAACGCAACACTCGGATATCAGTGGCACGAGGAGAACGAAAAGGCATCGAGAAGGGGGGTTCTGGCCGTGGTTTTAAATTACCCATTAGAGATTAGATATCTGTCGCGTTTTGTGAGGTCCCACAATTTTTGCGTAACCAGAGCTGCAGCGTTGCGCCTTGTATGCACTTGGCTAGCATGCGTGGGAAAGCTTCCAGGCGGTCAGCTAGCTGTGTGGCCACCTATAATCGCCTTTTGGGCAGTCGATATTTCGGCAGACTTTTTTTTTTTTTTTTTTTAACCTTTCGATGCACGTTCTCAAGTGGCATGGCCCGGAAAATAGGAATCAGGGGAGGACCAATTGGTGGCACGAGGTGCTTAGCCAATGGCGGGCCGTTCGTATTCGTATCCGGGACCCTCATTGCCTAATCAAGCAGTGGACGATGGGGATGATTCGATGCATGTGCCAATTCCCCAAATGCTGTCAACCACATTTCAACGCGATGGAGCCATTTCGAATTGCCATTTTACCTGCCTCCGAAGGCTCGGTCCACTCCCCCAATTCTACGTATACCGCGAGTCTCCCCGAGCGAGGCAGGTACCTAGGAGCCATGGAGTCCGTCTGGCCACTCACGGGTGCTTGATTGATAAACTAGTAACCCGAATAAGAATAAGAGACGGACCATGCCGCCGCCCCAAGCTCCCGGCCGACTTCACCACCACCATCACACTGTCCGAAAGGCTTCCATATATTTGACACCCCTGCAGATGCCTTCAGCTCTACAAGCATTCTGATTTGGCGGGTTTGGCATGCACAGCCCTAGGCTTCCTCTCGAGCAAGCCGATGCAGCATCCTTGATGAGGTAAACGACATCGCTGGAAGATTGCGTCAACCGCATGCTTGGCTTCTGGACTGCAGGCGCTCTGGTCTAGTTTCTCCTCATCGAAAGTGGTAACCATGCACTTGGCGTCGTTGAGAGGCCCAAAAGCCGAATACGACAAGTCCATAGTTGAGCGCCGAGTGCCCGCGGCCGCAGTCGATGTGCTTTGCGCCTTTCCCAGCATTCGGAGCAATGTCCTCTTGAGGACTGGATGGATTCCAGGGCTCTGAAGTGTGCAAACGTGTATCGAAAAGGCACGCTGCCAAGCTGTCGCCGACGAGGGGCTGGAAAGACTGCAACTCTCTTGAGATCCATGCCGAGATTCGCAAGATTCGCAATACAGTCTCACTGCCAACGAAATACAAGCCTGCTAAAGATAGCATACGGCTCCATGATGGCTTTTGCGTCGAGTCGGCCAGAGCGTCCGAATCACGAGGTGAAGATTCTCGTGAACCCGGCCAACAAAAGTGTCACTCGGCGCTTTTGCCGGTGTTGACTTTGATGATGCTGCTTGGAACTAAGTTACTAAGGCGGAGAGACTACCGGTGATGTTGGCCGGAAATCTCGAAGCTGGTCAACATGGCAAGGTCTGGCTCCCACTGACAAGTGCTCTGGAGGTGGCTAGACAAGTGGCGAGGTTTCTATGGTGTGGTGTGGGAATTCTCTTGATGAGATCCTCGTATCCTTGCCACCTTCAGAGTGCAAGACACCTTCGCTCCAGTACCCGGCTTCTAGCCTTTGCTTCATGACCCTAAAGCCATCAGATCGCCTTGTGTGCTCCAAACAGTGCCAGGTATTCCAGCTGGAAAGAACTCGCAAAGGAGGTCGGGCTGTGACCTCGATGCTCGATGATGCCTGTGGTGGGCGGAGTCTGGCACGGAGACGCCGTCGATGTACCGCACCCTTACGCGCCGGAAAACAAACTCATGGCAGCCTCGTTGGATGCTGCCCCCGCGTTCTCTTTCCACAAAGGTGGCTGCCCCGAGTCAACCAATTAGTAGGTCTTACACAGCACCTGGTATATGGCTAATGTAATAGACTAGAACATGTGCTTCTTAGATCTTCCAAGAGGGGTTGATCGCCGGTATTGGTGTTGATCTGGGACAGTAGCTTCAAAGGAAAGGCAAAATATGTAACAGTCATCCACACTTGCATCATGGGGATACATGAGTTCAGACATGGTTTGAAAACTGGATTTTTATTATTATTAAAATTTTTTTTTTTTTTGTATTTGATATGGCTAGTTGGCGTCTTTTCTTCGAAGCCCGCTTCGTGGGATTGTTGGTATATTTGGGTATGATTAGTTGATGCAGTAACGACCGGAGGATTGTACCTATGGGCTAGTCTCAATGAATACGCTTTTGTGTGCTACGAGGCAAATATAGACGTATCTCTTTTCCGGGGACAAAAAAACCCCCCCCCAGAATTGTAAAAGAAAATAAAAATAAAAATCATGTGTGATGTGCCTTTCGCTTCAAACGCCGTACACCGATGACCATGCTGTGTGATGTGAATCTTAGCTTTTGCTTTCCCTCGCAGCTCGGACGCTGAGCCATGCATGCCCTGCCCTATCCTGACGGATTAAGACATGCGTTTTTAGATGGACAATCCGGTCCACCCGTATGGGCCGTCGACGTTGACCCAGTTTCCCGATTCCATGGCGGACTCCCATCCCATCATGACTGCAAGCAGACGACAGCCCATGGCGCTAACGGTGCAGACGATTGCATCGCTTGTACCGGCAAGAACCGCTAGGTCCATCATGTACGCCCGGCCGATGTAACCGCGAAGACGAAGGGTCTCAGCCGATGGAGCCAGTTGTTTATTCTCAGCTGTCGCGGCGTTGGAAGCGCTCATGGACGACAAGCCAAGGTTCCAAAACATGGCGGCGAAGAAGCCGCCCTCCCAGCCAAAGGACTCATCTTCGAAACGATGCATGACATGTCTGTCCGGGGTGGCCTTGTGGGTCTCCTGCTTGGATGCAAGACGAATCTGCTCCTGAGCGCGCATGGAGCCCTTGAAGTCATCGGCATCGTAGACTGTGGGGTCGTCGGACGCCAATACAACGAACGATTTTTTCTCGGCGAGTCCGTTGCCGACGCCGCTATCTCTTCCGGACTCATTGTGTTTGGCCTCGATGATCTCGTGGGCGCGGTTAGCAATGATCTCCATAGGGATGTAGGCCCCGCGGTATTGGTATTCCAGCGGGTGGCAGTCGCCATGGCGAACGTGGACCCCAACAATAAGGCAGTCGCGAGGGTTTGAATCTTTGGTGTGTGCCTTTGCCTTGATTTCCTTAACCCTGTTGAAAACATACTGAGTGTCGTCCTTGTTGAGATCGAACAGGGCTCGGTAGCCCTCGTGTGCCAGGTTGAAAAGTTCTCGCACTCCCTCCTCATCCTGGGCTCGGAAGTCAACGTAGGGTTTGCTCAGAGAACCAGCCCAAAGTTTTTTCACTGTCTCCGAGGTGACCACAAGATGGCGAGCTCGAGGAGGGCAAGGGACCATGTAGTGGCGGGGCGGAGGGCGACAGTTTGGAGCGGGGGGCGCTTGGAAAATATCGGTGTACTTGCCGTACGCCCAGCGAGAGTCGTCGATGAAGAAGGCTCTGCCTTGTCTCTGTGCAAGGCCATAGAACGTCCAAAGCTGCATAATGGTGTGTCCGATCCCAGCATCTGCCGTCTCCAGGACCATGGTCATTGAACTCTGGCAGATAGGCTTCTCCACCAGCGAGTCCTTGTCCTCCCCGACCAAATCTCCGTCTCTGCCCTGTCCTTTGCTGGGCCATCTGCTGTTGGCAAGGTCCGGGAGAAAACCGAGCTTCTGAGCTTCCTCCACATCGACGAAGTACGGATCAGCCAGGGCCTCGGGACTCGAGAGGTCCTGATCGAGAATGTGGATCCGATGGCGCAGGTCTCTCACACGAGCAGCAACCTCTCGGCACTTGATGCACATGTCTCCATACTCCTTCACCGACAATGGAAAGTCGTAGCTCGGGGGGATTGAAACAGTCCACTTGTGTTTCCCGCTGTGGTCGGTAATGACGATAGGGGTCGGGAAGTCGGGCAGATCATCCTGCCCGACCATCTCAAAGTCTTCATGTGTGCTAAGGTGTGGCAAATTCAAGTTCGGCACGCCGAAGCTGCTTCGGAAAGGAAATGTTACAAAGTAGAACAGCAAAGCTGCGAATGCAACCCAGAATGCAAGCCGAAGCACACGGCTAGGTCGCGGGTGGATGGGAGATTTCCGGGGTGGGGGGATGAGGGCCGGTAGACTCGGTGATGGTGGCGGCGAGGAAAAGAGGAGGTGGTTGAAGCTGAAGCGCGACGAAGTAGCGGACAAGGGGTTTTTCTCGTAACTGGAGTTGTGGTGGGAGGCAGACCGCCGCAGGTTCATCCGCGGGTTGGATATTGACAGCTTGGATTTGCTGAGATCTAGTGGGGCCGGCATTTTGGCTCGCATTATAAGCAGCTTTGGTGGTAAAAATAGGTGGTATTCCGAAGAAGCGAAGGTTCGTAGAGTCGTTTTCTGGGCCGTGTCCACTATCGAGGTAGCGTCGTTCCCAATGGGTATCTTTCAAAAGGTCAAGTTTTATGTAGGAAGCGGAAGTTGTGAGAATGGAATATCGACAGGTGATTGTTTCTTAGTTAAGGAGTGTCGGTGGACGTCGAGCCAAGTTTGGTCATGGGTGAGAGAGGTCTTCTTCCTTCTAGGAAGCATTCATGATAGTTATGGTTCCAGCAACGGTCGCACAAGATGAGTTGAGGTATACAAACAGCAATGCGGTGGTTGACGTGGTGGATGACGAATAATGCAGCGTCTGCGTACAAGACGTGACCGAGGCCGGTGGCACGGTCGGGTTAGATGTGAAGGGGGAAAAAAAAAGGGTAAAAGTGAAGAGAGACCGGGGACGGCGGGGGAGAAGTAGTGTTGTGTGATCGTGAGCAGTTCAATGTCGAAGCGGCCCAGCTTCTTGTTTTGGGACCCCCAGCGGACCGACCGAAAAGAATGAAAGGTGCGATCAACTGCGTGAAGTAAATGACCGACGGTGGGTCTCGGCAGCGATCATCGAGGACCAGGGTTCAGTTGGGAGGGGAGCTGTTGCAAAGCAGATGACGGGCGTTCCGTTCGTTCGCCGGCGCCTACGGAGTACTTCGTAAACTATTGCGTATGTATGGGGCGATCCGTGATGTCGGGAGACCCTTTGCAAGACAGCAAGAGACCAGAGACTAGGGGAAGAGGACCGGCCTGCCGAAACAGGTGTATGCGCAAGCGTTATGCGGTTGTATGGTGCTTGCACCCGGAGCCCCGTCTATCTTGGACCCTCAGTCTTGTCGGACTTGCCAAACTGTTTTCGATACCGGCCCGAACAACAGTGAGATGGAAGGCGTGTACGTATGTGACACTGTTGTGCAATTCAATGGATGCAAATAGTAGAGAAAACGGGACGATGAGTTGTTCGTCCGAGGCGACTTGATAATACACTACCAGCAGCCCACGCGGACGGGGGAGCTCCCGTCAGGCCGCTTCAACCAATACGTCTAAAGGGCTGTCAATCAGGAGTGGTCTCTGGGGTGACCCATACTCAACGTCAGTTGAGTAACGGACTCGACCCGCGGCTAAACTAACAGAAGCTAGATTGACTCTATGGGGGGTCGTGTCGTTAGAGGTCATGAAGATAGCGCAGGGCCCTTCGTTGCGGTGCCGGTTCTCTGGTACCCGTACATCTCGCTCACTGTGCAGTTACGAGACATGGTCTGGCAGTATGGGAAGGTGGAAGTAATTGCGTACCGCTCCGTTATTTGGCATCTGGTCCCTAATCCCGC